CTTCTGACTATTTCCATATATCTACCGTTAGTTTATGTCCAATGAAAATGAGTGGTCCATGTAGATACGAACGAATCGATACGATGAATCTTCTGACCCATATTCAGAATCAAAGGTTTTTGTTGCAAAGTTGAGACATTCTAGCATAGATGTATGTAGTTACCTCCCTGCACCTGAACAAACGTGAAGTCGAGGCCCTGCATCGCGCGATTGCCTGAGTTTGTGGCGGTTGATGTATGTGATGTACATGTAGTATATTTGTGCTCTTGGCAGGCACGTGACGGGACTGCTATGCGCTTGCTCCTGTATCCTGGTAGCAATCCTTGTTTAACCGAAACTCTGAATGACCATAATCTAGAAACAAAGATGTCTCGAGAATCATCGGGTAGCTGGAGTTGCCCTCCTTTTATTGCATCTGGAGTAGTATCGGATTTTCGAGGCAGTTCTTATGATGCTGCATAGCCATAACCACATACGTACATAATAGGCTCATGTGCGCATTTGTATTTATAACCCCAACAATGATATCTGTAAGTTTCTTTTTAGCCACGTCGAAAATAAATCTCACTGGGCTGACTACATAGATATGGGATGCTCGTGGAAACTGCTGGAACTAGAGATGACGCTTTATCTTTGAATCATTTACCATCTGCTGACGGGCGGGGGTTCTTCTGATTTTAACCGCCAAAATTAAGGCGGCTGAAGACGGAAAGGATTGATAACCTTCAAGCGGTACAGCCTGATTTTAATTCCGAGGCGTGCAATATATAAAATTTCACGCCTTTAGTGCTCCGATAGGAAGTTTCCCCGATTGAAAAGACCTATTAGTCACTCCAGGAGTTATCAGGTATTGATTTCAACTTGAGCACATATGAGCCAAATTGATTTTTTTTCTGGGTGTTTTGTGCGCTCAATATCAAGAGGAACGCCCGATATACTCAAAACCAGCGGTGTTAACTAAGTCCGTATTATATGTAGGTCTCTGGGTAAAGAAGTATTCACAAATTACCGTTCTACAGCCTGCAAAGTAACAATCAATGGTTAACTACATGTACCCGCACCAATCAAATACATGTAATAATAGACAATGTACAGCTCCGGACAGCTATAACAAGCCGCTCCTAGCAACCACCTCAACCCCTTCACCCCATCGACTTTCAACAACGCAACCTTGTCCATAAATAATATTCTTTTGTAAAATGGGTCTAACCATAGTTGTAAACGTTCCCACAAAAGGGTACTTAAAATAAATAAGAACTCGTTGCACTACGACCTCTTGAAAATTTTGTGCAAGCCTAATTAGATAAACTTATTACCCGATTGGGATGATTAATGAATATTATTACCCCAATTAGGACTAGTGGCTGGGTTTTAAAAGAACATGAGGGTTAATTTTGACTGCCCGGCGCTGTACTTCACCTCTCGTATCCCTTAAGCTGTCAATGAATGTTGAACCTCCCCCACAAAAAGAATGCCTTTACTAATAGATATTGTCATCTCTCTTATCAAATCATAGATCTACCATATAAATTTAATTCCTGTATCATAGGAGGTCAACATTCACGACTTACGGGATACTCTAGAAGTGGTGGGGGTTAGCTCAGCTGACCAGGACAAGCCCGGCCCCTGAATTCCAAGTTCGTTTTTGAGATGTGTGTGCCGTTTGTTCTTCAACATTCCATGTATCCTTTGGCCTTGAGCTGCCGTGCCGGGCCGAATTGAAATTAGTTGAATGTAACGCGATTTGGTAATCGTGATACAAGTAGGACATCTTATCTAGCGCTGGAGATAATATATATATATATAAATATATCAGGAGCTCTTTCCGAGATTAGCTGGACGTCATTTTCGATTTCGCTTATGGTTTCCACATGTTTTGCTTTGGTTTGGCATGGTAGTCAATGGGATAATTCGAGTTTTGTAGACCTAGGCCTGCATAGCAAAGGCCTACAAAATTATGAAAGTTTAAGTCCTAGTAATGTATATGATTGGGTATATCAGTCTAAAGAGTCACGGAAGTGCCCCCAGAGCCCTGAGGTAAGATGCACATGCCACTTCTCTAGTGCGCATGAAGTACCAAAGAAATTCGCCAAAGCTGAACAACCCTAACCCCTGCGAGGATCATATAGATCTCGATCGAACCTAATAGATACATGTATATCGTAAGGTCCCTTCTACGTTTACCTGCGGGAAACTCCGAGTTGACTCCCCTGAGTTCAGTTAAAGGGTTTTAATTTTAAGGTTGGAAATAGGCTTTAGATATATATTGCGCGCGGTACTAGTGGCGTTTGCCATCGAGACTTCCATAACACAAGTACAATTGCGGCTCGACATAACCCAATACACCGGATCCCCTGCTGTACCGTACGAGATCTTTAACTTAATTGCTTAAGCGAAATTAATGTTGCTGCTATTTATGTTCCCGTCTGGACCCTTCTCGGCGAACTGGTGAAACGTGGATATCCGAAGCGACGAACCAACTTATTCGCGACGAGATGAGCAAGACTAAAAGTGATAGGGATATAAACTAATGTTTGCCTTTTCCGGACACCGGTTTGCCGCCTTTCAGCTACACCGCTTGTCCGAGTAGGTCCTCTTACTAAGCGAATTCAGATGACATGCGCTACAACCTCTCAGGATATTCAGGATTAAGGTTATATCCAAGAAGCGTCTCTTGGGGCATCATGATATGTTGGATATAGTAAGGATAGTTTTACTTTATTAGATCCTTAGGGCTGGTGGCAGTTCGTTCGTAGCTATATATTTACACTCCGTTCGGCAACACCCTAATATCATGATATTCAGCCCAATATCGTGATATTGAGAAAATATGCAATATTTTTTCTAGTGGTAGTGTTCTGGCAACCACAATTTCTACGTTGGGTTTTTAATATACACTATTTACATATTGATCTGACTTGATGGCTCAATGGGTACGGGGGCCGGGCTTGGAAATGAATCCGGAATCCAGAAGAGCTTGTATTTGTAAGTATTGGTGGTCCAGAAGGCCTTTCTGGACTCCGGCCAGTAACCTTTCAATCCCTTCATCAATTGTGGTATTATATTAATCATCTCGTCCTCTTCCAGTGAGCATTGATATAATTCGGCTCCGACTGGATGGAAGGCATCAATCTCACCCGAAGATAAAATGAAGATCAGAAGCCCGCTCCCAAACGGGCCCTTAGCCATCACGCTTGGCACCGTCTGGCATTTGGATGTGTATATACCGTCTTTTCTGGGTCAATGGCGAGCCTTATCGATCTTTGGCTTGGCTGGATATCAACTACAGCTAAAAGCTTGCCATTCGCCATTCAACAAGTTTCCCCATTGTCCCAGGAAATACTATAGAGGCTTTCCCGAGAGATATTTGTGAAGAGCCCTGTAAACAACTAATCGGTCTTGAAAAATTAGAAGGGCAGTCTAAGGAGTTTAAAGAGCTAGTAAAACTCATAGTGCACTGATAGAAATTGTTTTCTAGATAACACGTTTTATGTCTACACCCCTTAAGCTTCTCTCCTATGAATCAACAGTATACTCGTAGTTTTTTGGCGTTTCCAGACGCAACTGCTATTGCATACACAGAAAAAACTCGCCAAGGCTATCTTTTGTATGGCATGCAATAGCAGTTGCGTCCGGAAACGCCAAAAAACTAGGAGTAGTATTAGTGATCCCAGTCTCGGGGTGTCCGCGGAGGTATGGCCTGGTCCGACGCATTACTCTCGACTCCTAAAAATGCGTCTTGGCAGTGTCCGGACGGGTTTTGGGAGCACTCCTTCTACTCGTAAGTTCATAGCGTTTCCGAACACGACTAATATTGCATGACATACAAGAAGGTGGATTTAGCGCTTTTTTATATGGTATGCAATAGCAGTCGTGTTCGGAAACGTCATGAATTTATGAGTACACGGGATCATATATAAAGTTATTATCACCGAATATCGAATATATACTCTCGGGAGCTCGAGGCCGATTTCCTCAGCCCGATGCTTGGAAAGGCTGAAACTCGATGTCATTACACAGCATATTTTCTCATGTGCCATGGTCGGAAGGCTACATCATGCGCTCATTGGATACAGGCTAGGTCACGGAATATCACTCGTTATCACCCATCGTTTGAGGTTGGTCATTGATCGAGGGTAGGTTTATGGCGCTGGCAGGGAGCAGTAGAGCAAAAAAGAGCTAGGTGATGTCAAGACTGACATCACCAAACAATGTATATCTACATAGAAATTTATAAATTGATATATCACATTCACACAGCATAGCCTCACTCGGGGGATTCTAGGGTCAATGTTAATGCCTTGGCACTACATGCATGGCGCACCTCTTCCAAAGAAACTAGACAGCCTCAAAAAATAGGAGCTCGTCAGCCTTGAGAAGTTGCCACAACCTTCAAAATTCGTAAATCATCGTGTAGCTCACTTCACAAGCCGCCCTAATTCACCCGAGATATGCGGCATTTCGTTATGGCATTTGGCCTGTCCAATCCCCAGCCTCACATCAATTAATTTGCTGAACATCAACTGTCCCATGGTACTTACTGGGAAGAAGTATGTATATCTACAATTATCCTCCGCATCGACGTAGACCTGCATCGATGAGTGGCACGTGAGAGACAGGAGGCTCTATAGCTCAGATTGCTTGTCTCTACTTCAATCAATTACATAACATCATATTTTTCCTGAAGTGTAAACAAATAGCACTAAGAGAATTTATTCCACACAGTATTGAATACACAAACAAAGGAAAGATTCTCAGCCGAGGAAGGTGCTATGGAATTTTTCTTAAACGTGTAAATAAAATACAACATCAGAAGAAAGTATAGTATACCAAAGAAATAATAACCCTCGAAAGATGGAACTCATAATAACTTATAACTCTAAAGAATAGAAGTAAGAAGTGTCCGGGAAAGCTCTAGAAAAGGATCAATCATGGGTCGAATCTGCGTTACCGCAAAGACCAAGGAACAGGTTGGTAGGAGTTGGTGGACCTGCCGGGAATCAGGGAACTGGCTCGAACTCTAGTATTTTCCACACCTCAACGAAGCTTGCACTCTTGCGTGGGTTGTGAGTGGCTACGCAGACATTTTCAACCCCCACCTCGAACCCGGAGGAGAATCGTGGAGCCGCTTCAACGACTTCGGACTCGGAGGGATTGATAGGACTTTCGGCTTTGGACGCAACCGTGGATAAGGTAAAAATCGCGTTGTCCGGCTCTTCTAGAAACCGACATAGGCCGGTATAGCCAAGGCCATCATACAGATCTCGCTGTTGCTTGTCACTTAAGCCATAGCTCGCAACGAGTGCAATCTCCTTGCTTTGCTATCAACACGACCCATTTAGTTAGCCCTCATCTATTTAGAAAGATTATAGAAGACTGACAGTATGGAGTGCATCGCGATGGAAGTCCAGCTTCTGGTAAAGCCCAAGCATGGATTCCTTCTTCGAGGCATCGTAATCCTTACTCCGTTTCAAAAGAGAACGGCGGAAGGATTGGTTTCTCTTCCTTCTAAGAACTCTAACGGTTTCCGCGAAGGCAGATAAACTTGTAGAGTTTGTATCTGGGTTTGACGCCAGATCCCCGGCTTCCCCGTTGAATCCGAAGTGGTCGTTTTGGGTAAGGGAGCTGGTCATTATTGATATCGTCCTCTGGCTATGGGATAATGAAAGAAGGATAAAAGCTGGGAAGAAGAAAAGACACGAAGAGCACCTCTAGTGATGCTTCTTATAGTAAGAGGCATGGCTCCCCTCGGGTCTTTAAGTCACTGACAACCTATCAATATTCTAATACGTGGGTGTCATTTTTGCGGTGTATGGGCTCATCAGATCTGTGTCCTGAGCAATAGTGGTTTGACGATAATTCAAGCCGCGATCTGTGTTGTCCATAATCCACCATCCATATTGCGTCGAGATTGAGAATAGGTATATTACAGAGCGTAGGAAACACACACACTCCTCCCTGCTTGTGGTAGATGGATTTTACTCCAATGATTAACCTTATTGTCTCTAACTTATTGATCGACAGTACAGATGAGACGGGAGGTGGTGGTATATGGACAAATTATTTTCGATCTTGGAAATTTTTTTTTCAGTATCGTACGTTTTGAACTTTTAGGTTAGTGATCTTCAAGCGTTGCAGACTAGAGCGCCCTGAATTGGAGTTTGATCTCAGGGCTGTGCAATGTAGTGGTTCCTCCGGTGCATGTGTTTTTGTCGCACGGTAGTGGCTTTTTTTCCACTTGCATGTTATTCACAGAAGCCGGAGGTTAACCAGCCTGTAAGTAGGGGTAAATGATTCCAACCGAGTGATCTAATATGTATGTTCACATGGGGGACGGGAACTAGGAGAAAACATCATTGGAGGTTCTCGATCGGACGGAGTTCCAAGGTATTGGAACAAGCCTGAATGCGACAGACCCAACACTTTGAACCCTGTATTTCTGATTGGATGGAGGCCGACAGGGATTAGAGCAAGCAGACGGAGCTCCTGTCTATGAAGCATATGAGGATAGATTGACAAGACGTTACGTGCCGATCCTACCTGCCATTAGGGAAGAGCTTCCTCGTGTGGTAGACGACTTAATTTGATATATTCCGAGTTTGGGAATTTCTCTTAATGAAATGGAGCCGAGAGAAATAGGAAGGGTACGTTTGGGGATAGCCTCAAACGTCACTTGCCGAGAACAAGGGTCTTAGAATACCTGGAGTATATTTATTGTGGGTTTCGAATCTCGTAGAGCCAAGCTTAAGGAGTGTTGCGTTGCCCCGAACTCTGCAGCTCTGCACTGTCTAGACCCTGTAGCAACAGGAAGATCTCCTTTCTACCCGGTAAATGTATCTGAGTCTTAGGTGATGTCTTATAGATGCCTGTGCCCAATGAATATAATAAGGTTACCGGTGGAGTCGTTCACGGGTAAATATAGATGCTGGGTGTTGCACGACGTGACGGACATGCGTTTTTTATTAAAAAGGATTGGTTCTAGAGCTTGGCGTTTTCTCGCCATGGGCCTCAGAGCCCTGCCCTTTGACCGCTAGTGACTGTCTTCGCCCCGAAAATGACGGTTTTTTAATCCTTTATGAGGGGATATGGTATGTCGCTGTGTTCTGAACGGGGGAGGAAAAAGTAAGCTTTGCTGTCCGCCACATGTGGCTGAAAAGGTGGCTTGAGCTTAGGATTAGGAGATATTGTCGATTTCCTTTATGTGAGGGATCTAGAGATCGATACAATGGGATTTTGCAGTTCGTCTTTGTATATGTTCTGTATTGAGGATACACCTAATTGTTGGGTACGGTCATCCTTATGTACCACAGAGGGCAAATATGGCTTGGCGTAGCTACATTATTAGTGTACGTAATTTATAATATGAAGAGCTACAGTATGTAAGAGAAGGGTTCAATACTCTACCATAGGACTCTGAGGTTCTTCAATTCTCCGCATCATGGATTCCGCCTCATGGTTCTGGGCGATCAGACATTAGGAATAAACGTCGATCGCGCGATATCCTTGTCCGACGATCGTGTTGCTCATGCCAACTGTAAGCAATCGAATGAATTCATGATCAACCTCTTTGATGTTTTATTTTGTGAAAGAGGAAAAAACAGTAGCAATTATTTGCGGTATTCAATTTAACTTACACTCTCCGAGATTGCAAAAGTGATGCTGTATCAGGATGGGTAAGAAATGCATCAAGGTGTTTGTGAAATGTGCATACGTAGGGTTGGCTGGGTATATAATTCCACAATAAACAGAGGGTTCCTCTGTAGTAATATTCGTTGCTGTGCTCCACCAGTAGAACTAGATCATCGGCCAAGGGCATATATGCGGGCTGAACGCATTGCCAGACTCTCGGACTGGTTTTGTCGGCGATATACACTTCATTGAATTCGCGTACGATGTAATTCGTTCTAGAAAACTCTTCGTAACTCCGGAGATATTCGGAAGGAGATATGCCCCAATTTGGATTGAAATAGGAAGATTGCGCATCTCGGAACTCATATAGAAATATCGTTTCGATCACTCGCAGGAACCGAGATAGTTTAGGAATAGAAATGTGAAATATTCGAGGAGCTTAATTCGCTTGGAGCGTAAATAGTTATGATTGATAGGGTCGGAATATTTAACATGAATTTCCTTTTTATGAACATCTTTCCAGCTGCATCATGGTTTCCGGCCTTCCGGATCTGCTTCCAGTCCACTGTATAAGAAAGCTACACGTAGTTACCTTCAGTCAGCAAACTGGTGAGCTTTTTGATGGGTGAACGATACTAAAGATATATTCATTACCTAAACCCAGTGCGCATATGCGCACGTCTAGAGATCCAAAGCTACCGTACCTTAAAGGAATCAAGTGAGCTTTCGTCCGTATGAAGTCGATCGTAGCACTATCTGGGTGTGTGTAACTATACCTCAATGGTGGTCTGGATTCTGATTTTGATTGATAGAAAGGCGATCCGTACGCCTCAAAATTACATGATCCGCGAGAAGCAAGGCCGAAGTCCGAGACTACCGTTGAGGATCTTAAAGAGCTTGGTTGATCCATGCTCATGCGGGGAAGCGACAACAAGTAGATACATGTATGCCAAGCTGACCGCTACCAACGAGCAATGATCTCTTTGGCCAGCTATCCGAGGGGAGCGAAATAAGAAGTGATTGGCGGCCTTAGTTGGGTTAGGGCATCTTGAAATGATTTCAGTCGTTACATAAATAAACGCCCACCTGTATATTTGGGAGCTCGGGAGAGGAGTGGGGTTATCTATGTATACATGAGGTATTCCGGTGCCTTGATTAGTAGAAGCAAGTGCTGAAAGTACTCTGAGTTCGGAAAAGCTATCGACTGAGTGACAGGTAACTGAAATTGAAACTTGAAACCTGAGTATTATACGTGCTCGGGTGCGCAAAATGTGCGCACAGCATCATTCGTGAAATGAATTACCATTCTTCGGTCAGTGCTTGAGAGAATTCTCCGGGGTTCGTAGGTGAAAAGCCATGTGATGATGCCGAGGACCACTTCCATAGACTGAAGTAACACAACGCGATGCATGACCTACTCGCTTCGTAGACGATAGGTAACCTGATAGGAAGCAGGAAGAGTAAGGTGAGGTAAGTTCATCTCTCAGCTCATATAAATTTCTAGAAGTTCTGCCACGTTGCATTTGCAGCTAGCTAGTTTAGGAAAAGGCTGAATGTCCGCATGACGCCAGCGACTCCGTGCGCTTCTTTCTCTTATGATCATAGAGGTTTAAAAAGAGTAGGATATCTGGCTCTCAAGAAGATAGAATGTGTGCTTCGTCTCAATCCATCAAAACTAAGTATTTATGGACTTCAATGATCGATCGCCTGTCTTGTGGAGACGGTGTTGATCCCAATCAGGAATAAAAGTCATAAGATAAGAGTGAAAAAGAACCTCATTATGGGCACAACTATTTACCACATGTTCATCTTTCGCGAGGGAGCTCTTAAGAATCTACATAATTAATCTTTTTCGTCGAAAAAGGTATGACTAGCACCCCCGCGTTGTGTCTCAGAGCGGAAAATAATTGAAGACTTATGACAATTCTGATAAAATTAGGAAAAGTCGACTTATAAAGTACTCAAGGCGAGGTAAAAGCTCACCAGACGGGGGGAAGACAATTTCAGAACTGGTGCCATCATTCAAGAACGGTTCATCAAAGATCACTCGGGACTCAAGCATACTGGAAAACCAACGACTGGAGCGCCAGAAAATATTTCAACTTAGCTAATATTATATCCAAATAGATAGGTTGGATGATAAATATTGATGGAGAAACAGAGGCGTCTGGTATATTAAATCCCAAGATCGTGTGAAAATACAAGACTTTTACGAGAGAAACCACAGCTCACTGGGTGACAAGACAGATTGAAGCCTTTTAAACAACATATGATATCTAATTATCGTTATGCTGATCCCATCTCTGCAGGAACTCAACTGAAAAAGAAAAAGAAAATGAAAAAAATCACCTTTAAAGAAAAAAAAAACATGAGGGGGAAAAAGGTGAAAAAAGGAACAAAATTTGAAAGGAATCATGGCCCATTGTCCTGCAAACCCCCTCTTCATATCCGGACCCTCCAAGGGCCTCTACGCATCCGGGTCTTCCGGATCGAATCTCTTGCCAGCAGAAGGAATTGGGGCGCTGATAGCAGCGGAATCTCCCTCGACGGTGATGACAGGCATAAACTTGTCTGCTGCAACCTTGTGGAAGACCATCCCCAAGCTTTGAGGAATGCCCTGCAAGTTCAAGTCCTCCTTCATGTACAGGACGACCTGGGTCCTCTTTGCCAACGTTCCTTTCCCTGGCTTGACGCGGCCTCCACCAAGTCCGACTTTGAAGAGTGCCTGATGATGTAGGGCTCCCTGGTTTCCGGTGACCTCTGACTCATAGTTAAATACGAGGCGTCTTGTTCCTTCCTGCTGGTACCCTGTGGCACTTTGTACTTCTCTGTAGCGAAATCCGTCGGGCTTAGAGCGGTGTTCAATCTCTGGACCGTCGTTGTCCTCACTGAACCTGGCCGGAGAAAACTCTGCTGTGGCCTTACTGATAAAACGTACTTTTTTTGAGACTCGCGTTCCAGATGCATGGTTCTTAGACCGTTTTAAGGCCGAACGAACGCTTCGAGGGATCTTGGGAGAGGCACGATGAGACGCTCGAGATGGCCCAGCTAAAAGGGATGATAGAGAAGCGAGTGAAGAAGAGGATGAGACGGAAGCGGCATCGGTTATTGTAGAAGGAGTGAAGGGTGGAGCAGTTTCGGTTGCGAGAGAAGGGAAAGCAGAAAGAGAAGCAGCAACTGAAGTAGGAGTACCGTCACCGGTAGCTGTGGGAGTGGGAGCATCGGCAGCTTTTGCTGACGGAGAGGTAGAATTTGGAGTAGCTGGATCAATGGAAGAGGTAAATGAAGCGGAATTTGATGACGAAGGCTTTTTGGCAGAGGTAGATGACCGACCGCCTCGGGTAGGGCGGGCTGCACGAGCAGCACGAGCAGCACGGCCACGACCACGACCACGACCACGACCACTGGGAGGAAGGGATGAAACAGTGGAAGGAGAAGAAGCATCAGTGACCCCGGAAGATCTCCGGGCAGTAGAACGGGGATTTCGAGCCATGGAGAGGTATTTATCTGCAGGTATGTCTTAGTAAGAATCTTCAACATCACAGGCTATCATATTTTATCTATCCAGGGATACCTACAAGGTGATTATGCTGAAGCTTTTATCTGTAAATTTTATTAGAATGGTGCTAATTAAGGAGGGAGAACAGGGCAATGCGGTATGGACCAGAGATTTTGATAGGCGAAGATGAAATGTTATGGTTGCGTGATATTGTGGTTGTTGAACGTTACTGGGAACAAATGTTTTCTTGGAGATTGTTGTTGTAGGTCTCAACTGTCACTGGAAAGGGGCAGAATCTACTGCTGAGACTGAGTGCAGACGCCTTGGACGAGAGGAGAGTGTTTTATGGTGGTCGTTGGTATCGGGGAGTTGGGGGAAGGTTGAACCGGAGGTGAGTGCTTGTTTGTTCTAATTGCTCTTTGCGGAGAATTAAAGGTATGGTGAGCTCTAGAAGGTAGGACAGATGGAAGAGTGATTGAGAGAGAGGAGGATGGATCAATGGGAGAAGGATTGATTGTGTTTGAGAGTCTTGAAGAGTGGTGGAGGAGGGAGATGTGTGGTTGTGTGTTGTGTGATGGTTATTGCTGCTCTTTGTAGAGATTGCAGAGGGGTAAGGCTGGATTGTGGGGTCAAAGGAAGTGTCTGTTAGGGCTTTCGTCCACAAAAAACATGCATTCTATGGCTGTCGTCTATGTGGGAACACTGCCGACGATATTGGTAGGGCAAGAAATTTCGTCTTGGCGCACAGTGCTACACAATATGGAAGGGTCGATTCCCTCGCCCCACGACCACGAAAAAAAAGGATTTAGGACGGAACGGGATGATCCCCCCATGTTGACGTTGGGCAGGTTCGGATGAGAGTCAGGTTATTTTCATCTCGCTGGTTCCTCAATCGACAATGTATATGGGACCGACTGAATTATCATTGAGAAGCATCCAAATAGGATCTTCCTGTGATCGATGCCTTGTTAGCTCAGCTTCAATCTGGTAAACATTCATTTAGCACCCACGTTGACAAGAAATAGGGTGAAACATTGTACAATCAACGCAGTCTACCGATGGAGCCGCCACCAAACAGGTGCAAAAGCCCCTTCCGACGCTGGTATAGTGGGAGCTATAATTCCGGAAAGAATCGTAGAATTGCAGCTGCACTCATCAATACGCTTCTCGACTGCCGTGGTGATACAGATACAGCTTCTCATATTATTTCAGGCACCATGTACAATTAATCTGGCACTTCTACATGTAGCATCGCCCATAGTGTCAATTACGGATTGTTCTGTATTAACCCCTATATCTTATCATTGTTTTGTTGCTTTGTTTCACCCCTGTGATGATGATCCCAGGACAACATGCGCACCTCACCAATGTAATTTACGAGTGAGAACATATGATGCAAACTCTGCTTCAATGTTTTTTTTTTTGTTTAATTCATTAATTGTATGCAGACCGTAGTCTCTCTGCTTCAATGGATCGCTTATGAATTAAATGTAGTTTACCTATCAAGTAGTAAATCGTGTCTCCTGTGGATAAATTGGCATTAAGCATACAGGTAAATAGCTCAAATCTAGATGTAAATAACCAGAGTTATATAATATCTAATCTCGAGTTCTCGAAACCTGCGCTGCCATACGGCTTTGCCGGTTTATTATACTTTCACTGATCGTTAATGATCATCAAGAGTAAAGAATAAATGGCTGTGTGGTGCACATATCAAAAATTAAAGCTTCCCCAAGGCCAAAAATGCATATTGTTCTCCGTAGAACCCGACCTGCCAAAACATCGTGATTCATGGCTCATCACTCGTACATTGCAAGGATGTGAGTTGAGTCAGCGACTCCAGAGATTCCAAATGTCTCGGAGGTAGAACTTTATTTAGACTTCGTACACATGCAGTAGTGCCGTGGAGCTTAGGTGTCGATCGATGTTTAAGGCTTTATGCAGGATTCAAATTGCTCAAGGCATTTTACGTTATGATGCATTATCAGCCTCGCTGCAGAAGGACACCTTTACCTACAAGAATACCTCTACTCAGACCGTGGTACAAGGCGATGAAAAAGGTTGATATACCGACTCTGTTGCCGTGCATCACTGACACTTATACGTGTCTTCGTCTCCCCCGACGAGTACCTAAATTACATCTACAATCCTCCACTCCCCCCTACATCCATACTCCTCTAAACAGTTCAACAACACAAACACAACCAGCCACTACTCCTACATACCCTCGGCCCTCTGCACAAACCTCCCGGCATACACCCTCCCCCTCCACCTCACCACCCAGTCCCAAAAGAACGACCACTTCCCCCTCATCTCCCTCACACTCATATCCACGTTCCTCTCGCGCCACAGCGCCACGCACACATCATCCCACTGATCGCGGATGAGCACCTCCCACGAGTGCGTGCGCACGTACTCCACAATCCAGTTCAGAAGGCCAATCTCCACCCTCGATAGACCCTCGCGCCGGCTGTCGAGGACGAGCATGACGTTCCCAGCGCGGTTGCGGTAGTAGAAACTATCGAACCCTCTCCCGCGCGCAACGATCGAAGGGCCCGGGCCGGTCCTGGGCTGGAAGCCGTCAGGCGCCTTCTTGATGGCGATACGATGCTCTCCTTTCTCCTCCTCGCCGTCGTCAGGGACGACTTTCACGGCCTCTTCAAACCAGCCCAAGTCCGCGCCGGGTGGCAACCCCTTCTGCACAGTCAACTCCGCCGCCTTCCTCGTCCAGGCCCGCCTACTAAGCCAAGGCTCGATAACTAGCCGCTGCCGCGCTCTGTTCTGCTCGAGCGCGAGGCGCGACGTGCACTCGACGAAGGCGCCAAAGGCCGGTGAGTGGAAGCCGGCGGAGGTGGTGGAATTGACGGGGCGGAAGCCGTGGACGGGGTGTCTTGTGGTGTTGGGAGGGAGGGTGAAGGTGGGAAGGTTCACGGTGAGAGTGGTAAGGGCGCGGGGAGCGAGGTCGACGCGGGCTGTGTGTGCGTGGAGGGAGAGCTGGCTGGAGCGGGCTGAGGTAAGGGCGCGGGGAGTGAGGTCGATGCGGGCTGTGTGCGCCTGGAGGGAGAGCTGTGTGGAGCGGGCTGAGCGGGTGGCCCGTGTTTCACCGGGGATGAAGGTTCCACCGGGGATTCTAGAGGGAGTGAACGTGGCAGGGGCGGGGACGGGGGCGGCCGGCGCAGAGGAACCGGAGCTGGAGGTCCTGGAGCTGGAGGTCTGAATGGTGCGTGGAAACATCATAGTGTGACATGTAATGTACAGCTATAAGTACACTGAGAAGGAGCAAGCTGATGTCTGTCTGCAGCTAATAGAACAGGATACTAGAGAAGTGTGGAAGGCATTCAGTCGTTAGTTCTATCTTGATCAAGAGATGATAAGGGTAGCCTGCTTACCGCGTACAGTGTGTGCTTGATGTTACAATGTTCTCGAGGAAATGAATAGGATGGAAGAAGGTGGTTGGACGTCGGGTTGAGCTGAGCTCGGGATGTTGTTATATCTAGCCAGCAAGCTAGCTCCAGAGCACGTGCACGACGTGTCCACCACATGGAACCTGATTTCTGGCCATATGAGCTCACTGCACCTCCCGTTTCACGATTTTTGACATTTCAGAGATTGCAAATGGGGAAGAAAACGATATCACTGTGCCATCTAGGCAATATAGAGATAACTATGAATATTCTTCTATTACTGGATTTATCAGGGGGATATAAACACGATTCTACAAACTATGGAGGAGCGTTTCTTTGTATGGAGAGCTCGAGAATAAGCTCCGAGTGAGAGCTGGCGAGGGGGTATTGGTTGATATTCGGAAGATATGGATTTATGCATACACTAATTATGGGCTAGAACTCCTTCTGCACGCCACATAGCAGTGTAAAATTACTTACAACTGGTACATGGCTGTGGAAACTGCCTTCGGGAGTCCTCAGTTGCTTTTAATGTTTGGGTTGATATCGGACGGTAGAAATGAATATTTTATCATTTCTCACTTGGCAAGAATGTAGGACCCTGGTGATGGTCTGGTATTAGTCACCATAGCTAAAGCTGTCATATCCGAAGCTATAAAAATAGCTCGAGGGGCAGACGAACAAGAAACAGAGGTACTGCGAACTCACCAGGTTTGGAGATAATAAAAGAATGAAATGTTAGGCTGTTTTCCACTCTTCTCGCCGTCATTTGAGAGTAGAACCAAGACCATTTACCAGCGTTAAATCCCCCCCACACATGCAGTTCCGCCATTCCGTGATTGTAACAAGATAGACTGTAAAATTGTGCTAGCAGTGCCAGCTCTTTTTTACCTTCTTATTCCTTTCAAAATATCGTAGTAGGGGAGATTGAATGCAATTCCTCGCTGCTTCTGTAGGGCATCAGCTGCGACCTTGAATCGGTAACCCCGACTCACTCCCACTGTAAGAAGACGGGCAGCGGAATGATCCATTCAGCGTGGAATATCAATACAGACGAAGACACAGAACAATGCTCATCCTATTCGCCCACAATAGGCGTAGTATTCCGCAATCAAGGAAATGCCTTCAGCAGTTTCATAGAATCAATCGTTTCTCGAACATGGTTTCCTGCTCATTCAGTTAGCCCTTGTTTCCGGAGAGATCAATGGGAGCAGAGATCAAATACCTTTCCCATTCTCTGCGCTCTTTTATATCAGCCCATGGTGTGAACATCGAGTATTCTTATTGAAGATGGAGAACTGATTAATCATTACCGGCAGCTGCTCGTACGAGAAGATCAATGGAAGAATGTACATGAAGACACGAGATCAGTCCGCAGGTCAACGAACCTGATTGCGGACAGCCATCACTGCGCTGGATAAAATTTAGGCTAACCCTAAAGAAAATCATTCCATTTCTATGAGCGACAGTGAGGAAATGAGCTGTAGGCTAAGCCTAAAAGAAACTCTCCCTTTCTATGGCTGAAGAGAACGGACCTCAAGGAAAAGTACTTTAACCTGTGGTCCTCCCACTTCTGATCTTTGAGACTGTCGTTCATCCTTCAAAAATAGCAGACACTCGCTTTCATCCAATCTCAGCTATTTTCATTGTGTTCGGATACGTCCTCCCCACCAGGGGATCTCTCTTTTTCTTTCCTTTCGATTTCCTGGAGTGTCTTTTATGTCTTCTGTGCCGCAGCCTTAAGATTCCAATCTTGCCCAGGCCGTCAGTTTAATACCGGTATAATTCGTCAGGTTTGGGTTCCGCTCACGTTCAATGTGGCGTGCATCGAATTCATCAGATAAAATGTCTGCGGACAAGATATCTGCCCATCCACAATATATTCCTGCCCTTCCAACAATGTCTCAGGAAAGGTTCGAGATTTCCGCCCAAACCAGCAAAATCCCCGAATTCACATCCCTACACGGTCCTAATAATCATGCTCACTCTCCCGAGATTCATCATCGCTTTCCAGGCACCAACCACTCGATGAACTCGCTCCCGACCATAACTACTCAAGGCTGCCCCCATGAGCACAATGTCCATCCAATAAGCTCCCAGGTCACCTCCATCGGCCGCATGGGCATGGTGGGTGAGCAATTCGGCGCATACGGCCCTCTTGCCTCCATCCACGTTCACCAGCGTTCGACAAGCCTGGTGATCCCGACCAACAGCATCCGCCGCAAGAGGAACAATGGGGACCTCAAAGAGACATTCCGCATCCCCTTCATGTTCGTGGAGGGCAGTGGCGGTGGCAGCTTACGAGATATTCCGGATCGACCAGCGACCCCCGAACCACGAAGAGCTCGCTCCTTCCTGCTGAAGAGGACTGAGAGCGTCGTTTTCAGTGAGGCCAAAGGAGCTTCATGGAGTGATGCGCAGGCCCGTCTCTATCCGTGGGCTGCTGAGAGTCCTACTACTCCAAAGACCCCCGAGATGCGCCGTGCGACCAGTACTGCGAGTATGGATCCGTTGGAGTTCATCAAGTGGACGGACGAGCGTAAAGAGGGAACCAAAAGGGTGAGGGCCAAACAGATTGCGGAGCATAAAGCGGAAATGCGTGCTGCGGGTATCGTGTTTGAGGATCCAGCTTTATGTGAGGACGAGGAGATCCTCTCGCCGTCAAAGAGGGTGAGGCTCTCGATCGACAACCAGGCGATGAGCAATGACGTCGACATCGTTGACGAGCCAATGGAAGACGACGACGACGACGATAACCTCGACGACTACAATCTAGAGCTTCAATGCAGCAGCTCCGACTCGGATGTCGACTTGCCCGACCCATGTTCCTATCAGTGGGCAAAGGCCACAGATGCTGATGGCGCGGAAGAATCTCTTGGGCTAGTTAATTACGAAGGAGATGATGAAGAGGATGAGCTCATCGAAGAGGAGGAGGAAAACAGTAGTGAGGAGGAGGGTCTAAACGTTGCCGCCGGATTGAATGTGTCGGGAGGTAGCGAAAGCTTCAATGCCGATGTCAAGGCCATCGACGATGGAAGCAACGCCTTGGCTGCTCTCACCTTGACTGACCCTTTGACTTTGGATCCACGCTCAATTAACAATAACGTCTTCAGTGCTGCCAATGACGCATGGTTGCTAAAGATGGTGCCGTTATTTCAAGAAAAGCATGAAGGCATGGAGGCATGGGTCGAGATCCAAAAGGAGTTCTTCATGGTGTCCTACAGCGTGGTGACTATTCCCTGTCTCCAAGGACGCTATGTTCTACTCCAAAATGGATCTCCTTTGATACAGAGGAGCCGGGCGCAGCAAGAGTAATACCTGCTCTATACTGTCTGACCACAGAGAGAGGTGTAATGGTATACCAGTATGTTAAAATACCCCCTATTAACCAATTACTGTCTAAAATCACTAACGGATAACCATAGATAATAGGAGAAAAAAAGTATTAATTCCACCATCGGCACATACACCATAATTACTGCCGGGATAAGAACCGGTTACACATCAACACTTTTCCCATCCTTGGAACTCGGTGGTTGTTCTGCCCAACCTTCCCATTGTGCTTGTATTTTTATAATGGGATATGGTTGACTGTTTTTTTTTTTAAAGGGGAGTTTCAGCTGTGTACGACGTTAATAAATGAAGTCTTTGTATCCTGGTATCATATTTAAGGCATTAGGATTTTAGTCTAGGAATTCTTGACTATGATATTTCTCAAAAAAATAATAAATATAATTAATGTAAAGCTTATCACTTCTATGACTGTGCAGAGAGAGGGTTATCTACAATCCGATCTTCGAATCTTAGGAAACCGGAAAAAACCGCGGGTAAGTGTTGGGTATAGAAGATCTGGTACATTCGATTTATACCAATTTTCATGGATGGATCAATAAAAGTTATGCTACTGAGAATATAGATAATGCATTGATTAGAAGAGTGTTGCTACGAACTTCGCATATAATATGGTGAAAAGTAGGCATAACCTCACTTTTCTCACGGTTAGAATAAAAGGAGAACGCAAATTATGAATTGTACATGTTACGGACAACGTAATTCAATCTATATGGCCGCTAATAGTTTGTTCTAGATTAGATCCGGAAATGCATTTGGGTGGTATTTGCAGTGACGGATTAAAATGGGATAATGTAGTTTGGACTCGTGGCAAAACACAATTTTTATTTTCTCGCGCCCTCAACTTAATCTAGCCTATTTGCGAGCGTTGTGAGTAGTGCAGGGTTTCCGGCAAAATTCTTCTACTGATAAACACTGACCTCTTTTTCCTCCTCTTTTTTTTCTTTTTAGCCCACTGGCTGTGACCATATCTGGCAGTACATGTAGTTAGTACGTAACAGAACGAAATAAGAATATAAACAGAAGACGAAGCTGAACGTCTTCAAACCATATTGAGATTGAAACGTGAAAGTAAAAGTAAAAGAAGGAGAGAAAAGTAACAAGTAACCTTTGATAAATGAAATGTTTTAGAAAAAAGAGAATGCATCTTAGACAACTCAGGTGCAGGTCGGTGAGACGACTAAAACCAGTGAACTGTTGACTCTTCATCTACTATAAGGGAAGGGAGAACCGCCCCCCCCCCCCCCCCGGGGTAAAAAGTGACAATGAGATACCACTATCCCGAATTGTAAAACTCTAACATCGTAAATGACATATACACGAGGGGATAACCAACGGAACATTAAGCTTATGCTTATTCCCTTCCTTTTCCGTCGGCGTTTTCTCGAGTAACCTTAACCACTCGTGACATGATCAGAAGGGTCGAGGGCTTTCTTGTTGCGCTTAGAAGGGTGGAGGGTATTTTCGTTCTCAGAAGGATCGCCGATTTTTTTGTTCTTAGAAGGGTGGAGGGTTTTTTCGTTCTCAGAAGGATCGCCGATTTTTCTGTTCTTAGAAGGGTCGTAATGAGGGTCTGAGGCAAACCCTTCGAGGTCTGTGATTAAACCTTCTAATCTCGCTATCTTAGTGTAAAGTGCTTTCTGGTCTCGACAAATAAACTCATTATGTCTCTTTAACATTCTAGTTCCCCTTAGAAGTGCATCTCTCTTCCCCTCCGAGACACGGAGCCTATCCTCAAGAGCTTCTATATCCTCGCGTAGATTAGCAATCGTCTTTGCCTCATCGTCAGGATGGTCCTCCGTTTCTACTGGCGTCGAAGCTGGTAAGATTGGATTGTTCTCCTCGGAGTTGGAGCTGGGAGGTATCGGCATTGACGTGGCAGGTGTGGTATCCGTTTTTTTAGCGGTGGAGTATGCCAACTTTTTCTTCATCCAACTAGAATAGGGCGTCGAAGGAATCTCTTCTTTGTTTGGAGTATTAAAATTCCATTTTACGCCAGATTTCTGAGCTAGGGCCGTTGCCCGGCAACCTGGCTTCTTACAAGAAGCAGTTTTAATTAGGCGGCCGAAGTGGTTTCTGAGGGCCTTCCCGTCCTGGCGTGTATAGTCAAAAGCGTCACAGCCGATGTTGTACACATTGGCAACTTTTTTCCAGCAGCCCGGAGTAGTGGGAATTACGGAGATGCAAGCCCCAATCAGCTCACTAGTAGCTACTTCGCCCTCCTTGAAAGTAGGGGGAGGAGGAGCAGCAGGACCGGCGCGACGCTTGTTACCAACAATATAATACGGGGGGACTGTTGGCCCCTGTTTGGCTGCGGTAGGTGGCGAAATGACAGTAGTGTTAGTGAGGTGACCAAGGGCGGTCATTTTAAAATGTTAGTACTTACGAATTGGCAGGTCAAGCGAAGTGGTAAGAGTAGCAGCCGGAAATTGCCTTTTGCCGGTGCTGGTGAAGTTTTCGTTTTGTGTGGCGTCCATTATAATTCGAGTCTTCGGGTACTGTTTTCGTATGTATAGATTTGAGATTATGAGCTCGAGTGTTGTCGTATGTGGAAAACCTGAGATTATGAATGTTGTCGTCTGGTAGTGGGAGTTGTAAGAATTTATAGACTCAGGTTCTTGGCATTTGGGTATTTGTAGAAGTGAAATAGCTGTCCTCAAGTGGTGCTGCAAGTAAGCAATTTATGTAGAGGCAGGAGGCTACATGTACTCGCCTGTCTTTCATATATGTAGATCGAAGCTAGAAAGTACGCGGAAATTGCCGCTGTGAAGTCATAGTGACTGAATCGGAAATCTAAACTCAACTACATGCTTCTATTTCTGGGTCTGCGATATCATTACCGGGCCTATGATCAATACATTGGACTACGTTGCCCGCGGTTTTCACACCATAGCATCCGCCCAATACTTCTTATTCCTCCGTGTGAAACCCCTCATGGTATACTAGTTAACCATTATGACCGCGGCCAACCACTCCTAGCCTGCTCTTTCTACAACAATATCCTCTGCTGATAGCTGAGCGAATCTACTTTAGAATTTCTGACCGGTTTCATGACATTTATTTGAAAGACAATGGTAAGAAAAGAAAAAAGGGAGAAAGAGAAAAGAACAGAAATCTACTCCTTGCACCACGAGTTAATACAAATTCCTAACCAGGTGTTTCCTCCTCAAATGAAGCTTACACTACAAAGTAGGAAAGAAAAACGAAGACTCGAGAATGTAACTATTTCAATCACCGCATCTCTGTCAGCAAAGATTGGCTCTACTATACTCCAGAGCCCTGGCAGGATTCAAGGATGAGAAAGCGCCTCCGCAAGACAGTACACAAATGAATGGCGGAAGGGGGATGAAAGAGAGGCTTTATATTCTACTCACAAGAGCACTATCATCCAGATCGACAGCCATTGACCCCACATCTAGATAGAGTTGATGATATCCCTGACCCCCGCAAGGTCCCATGCGGGGCATGGTAGTTGGGTCAACTTCTCAAGCATCATTTGGCCGATCGCTTCGGAAGTACCATGAGCTTATTAATAAAGAGGTCAGTGTTACTTATTTGAGAAGTAGGGTGCTTATTAACTAACATAGTTCCTCTCTGATTAAGCATATGAGCCTGTGATAGAGCTCAAGGTCACGGTTGTACATTGCGACGACGGCTTGCTTCCTCTGCATTTGTAGGCACGGAACGATACGGCCTCCGTTGGATATGATCTCCCCGGTACGATGAATGCGGTAGTCGTCTCCCGCGAGGACTAGACTGAGGGTCACTGCAGCGACGGTATAGTTCCAGAGCGAGTGGTGAAGCAGTTTAATGCCATTTGCCCAGTGGAGCAAGACGTGGCCGTTAAGATTAGAGCAGATATTGGGGTCCATCTCTGATAAACGGGGAAAGAAGGAAATTGAGATGAGGAATTGGATAGAAAATCGAAGTTTTGGTTGATGGTGGGATGATGGGATCGGAGAAAGGAGGGAAGGAAGAGAGGGGCAGAAGATCTATATACACGCGCCGAGCTGCGCTGAGATATATTCCGAACCTGTGCGTATCTGCTCCTTCAAGGGTAGACATAAAGAAGAGAGCAATGCCATCGCCATGGTAACATACATGCACTCAGGACGATAAAGCGTGCGGGATGTTGATAGAAATGTATCTGTGTATGATCCTGCTAGTAGCATTGATACTGGAACATAAATACAGACATGTTGAGGGAGGAATGAGTATCGGTGAGGAATCTGGAGAAGATGCGAATAATAAAAAGATTTTGTTCCTGGTGGTGATGTTGTTTAAGGTTGGAGATAGAAATAAGATCACAGTAATGGAATGATCAGAAGCCTGATGACCAGAATATACATCCAATACTTGAAAAGTACAATACCATAGAACACAGAAGAAAAATTAAGAAACAAAGAAACATTTCGTATTATACGTACTTCGTAGCGGATGAAGCGATGGTGACTTTTTTGGCGTTGGCTTCGGGGTTGAACGTTGTCCGGAGTCCGTGAGTATTGCTTTTTGGTAAAAGCAACGATATTCTCTTTAATATATGTACATGTACATACAGCCCCCGACTGTTGGAAACGTCACCACAATCAACGGAGGTTATATTGTGAGGGGATATGTGCAATCCAGCGTGATTAAGCAATATGAAAAGCAATCGGTATGTATGCATTGAGACGTAGTCTATCCCTCCCACGTCTTCATAGAAGATTTCGGTAAAGAAGAATGTTCTACTGCAGCTGTATGCTCCGGCAGACCTGGCGCTCCCCAGCTCTGTTGAAAGTCGCACAACGTTAGCCAAATGTAATAGAACAAATATGAATACGGATTGACTTAAATCTCGATAAGGCACTTTCAATTTCAGAAAAAAAGGTATCAGTTACTCTTCCAGGGTCTCTACTCTTTTTCACGAATTGAATACACGTGCAATTTCTCTGAGGATTTAAGTAAGTTAGGGCTCTGTGCTCGCAAGTGGATCGGAAACTATTTACTACTACAAGGCATGCAAGTCAAAGATGTATGAATTTATAGCTGTCCAAATGTAAATATCGAAGCAGTATTGCAAAGGAAAGCCTTGGATGTGCTGTTCAAAAAGTGATTTCTGCTGTTTCACTAATACACGATACTTCAAACCTGAGTTTGAAAAGAAAGACGATTCGGAAATAGTTAATATTACACTTATATATGTATCAGGCTGTAGCTGAAGAGAAAAAGATATAGAAATCAAACGTTCCCTCTACCACCCTGGGCCTATTTCACGCATATAACACCTCTATATCCTTCGGTGGAGGACTCCAAACTCCTGCCGCCAACTCCATGCAATAGATCGCACAATTATCACCTATGAACCGCACACAAATCAGCCATGAATTAACCCCACGAAATAACACGATACTGACCAGCCTCCTCCCACAAACACTCTTCAATCATCTGAAGCTGGGCTCTGATATATTCTAGCTCCAGTTTCAGGCTCTCATCATTATTTTCGGAGTAATCTCGGAGGTTCTTGATCCTCGATATGCAATCCTGCTGTGCTTGATTGCTTTTCGTTTTGAGATGATTGAGGTGCATAATCACGTGCGCGTTGTGGTTGGAATGAAGTGGAATCGAAGAAAACACTAACCCGCAGGGCTCATTCATCCTCGATAGCACGTGTAGAGCTCTTTGGAATCGGGGTGTGTCGGGTGTGTCGGGGTGTGGAAATCCGTTCTACGGGATATTGCGTTAATTCGTTCTGCTGGATATTGCGTTATGCGGCAGTAATGATACGCGGAGGATATGGAGGGCTAGAAGTGCAGAAAGTAGTTGCAAACGAAATTTTATTGAAGGATGCGGACAAAGATAAAGCTAATTGACGACCACGCTCGTCTCTGATAAAGATATGGAGATGTGCTCTACCATTGTAGGTGTGGTTGTGTTGCACCGCCGCCTTGGATCGACACACTTTACATTCGAGACTTCTCGGCCTTGTTTTGAGAAACCGGGATTTGGTATTCGGATGCTGATCGATCCTAGCTAATCGCAAGGCTGGTGACATGTGCTCTAGAAGAGTGGTTGCGCATAGTGCGCATAGTGACAAATAGTGTCGATAGAGATTACTATTTTGATACTGTGGTATTCCTATTGGCTCGCTAAAGAGGCGAAGGCGATATAATCGCCGCGCGAAGAAAAGAATGAGGTCACGTCGCAGATTTATTTCTTCCTAGTGTCGCATGTTCTGCGTGTGCTGCGTGGGGTCCGTTTGGCGTTTGCCACAGCGAGTGACAAGCTATGTTCACACCTCCGGCACGACCGGCAGGCTCGGGGAAATTGATTAATTACTTCATTAATTGTGTGCAAAGGCTTGGGGAAAGATAAACGTTATCACCGAGAGTATTCCATATGAAATGAAGCTCTGAGGCATCAAGGCTGGTATTTGCTTAGAGTGAAATGGGACAGCGTGGTTTGAAAGAGTGCCGGTCGAAAGGGTGATCACCATGAATTATGGCCTCAATTGGACTAGATGTTAATTGGCGATCTCGTCAATTAGAATGTTGGACATGTAGGTACATACTCGCATGGAGTGAATGTCCTGATATGGACTCCCGCGGAAGCTTGCATTACGTACATATTTTCTCGAGTGACATAACCTGATATCTACTCTGTCACAATCACCCACCCACATTTAGGTCTTCTTTCAATTTCCTACTGGCAGTAGTCTTCTAACCAATACCACCCCACTTATCGACCAATGGTACTTTTTTCCCATCACAATTGTGCATGCAAAGTATAGTCTGCCTATCAAATACCGCCATAACTCGAAAAATTGGCTAGATCAAAATTACTTGTGCGGGAAATTTCTGGTGCAGATCGATGCCATTCAACCAATCACTCAAGTGGTAATCCCTGGACGGAGATAGCCAATTTTTCGAGTTTTGGCGGTATACCTATATCCAGAAGGGTGCAGCTTCCCTGTCTCGCATCAATAGAAAAATAGATCATCTTCTAGCTCCCCCGCATTGATTCTACCCCTCAGCTAGGTTCTTTTTCTTTGCCCGGAGACTGTCGTCTGTTGAAAACGCTGAAAGGACAAGACGAGACAAGACTAGGTTTGAAGGTCTCAAGACATCTTTGGCATTTGTCCCCACCTGACTAAATCCTCTAGCCCCTACTCCCCCCGAATATAGAATCCTCATTCACCCTATTAATGAGTATAATTGCAGAGAGATGTCAGAGTTCGAAGGTCGCACGACGACGAGGTTTTGACGAGACTACACCATCCTCTCGAGGCTTTCAAAACCTATGTTAAAAAACACAAGACGAGACGAGAATTCACGTACCCATCACTGTCATCACGTTACTCCCATCTTCTCTAGCTTTAAACTCTATTTGCTCAGACGAACGAGCATTTATGTTCAACTCTCATTTTTCCAGATGCTTTCCTCTGCATTATAGCAAGTAAATTTTCATGATTTCACAAAACAAACACTAGACAAACTCTCACTTTGATACCACTACTCTTACTATTCATCACCTTTGCTATTCCTTCGTCCTTTATCCAGGGTCGTAAGATTTCCGGATGCATCTTGTAAAAAACAAAGTTCATTCCCTCCCTCGCCCCCGCCACTCCTTTTCACGTTATAGCAACAATTCTCATGTATAAAACCACCACCCCCAGATATTTTCGTTTTGAAACCCCCAATCCTCATCAAAGAACCTTTTTCTATTTTCCGTCTATCAAGTATTTGTGAAAATCTACACATCGGGTATGCGGGCCAGGGTTCCCCCCCCCCCCCCCCCAGAATCTCATATCTCACCCTGATCCATTCCCAATCGGCCTATCATCATTCCTTTAATGGACTAATCATATCATACTAGCTCCTCCGAAATTATATTAACTTTCCCTCTATTATCAATACTCTTGTCATACCCCCTTAATTCAGTATATCTATTTCTGCATTTGACGACCCCGTGCTCTAGGCGTTCTATATTTAGTGGGATGGTTTCTCTCTCTAATGTTGATGATATTCTTTTTATATCTAGTTCTGGGTAAAGGATAAAAGGATATTAAGCCCTATGAACACCAGAACATGCCGGATACCTCCGAGGACGGGACCAACTCTGATCGGAGGTCATGCAGCTTGGCCACTGACGAGAAACATCGACGTACCCTTCTCGCCTTTTGTTGCCAGAGGTCGTTCGTTATATATCGTACCTCTTCTAATGAGTATAATGTCATTGGTTGAAGCACGTTTATACGTATGTTGACCAATCCCTTATGATCGACTGTTGAGGAGGTCGAGACTAATATAGATTAGTCTCTGCGGCTCTCTCCAATCTTTAGATATCCAGATTTTCCGCAGGAGACCTTAATCTGTAGTACTACCAAGTTGGTCAACTCATTACTCTTCTGTGACATGATAGATAGAGAGTAGGACTATCGAGTTTGTCAGCACCCGCTGCAGGGCCAGACAGTCGAACAAGGACAGCAAGCTTATCGATAGGGCGCAACGTTGTGTGGAACTTAGATTTAATGCAGGTACCGGAGGAAGCTCATATCATCCCTGTAGCCCCTCCCATCCCCGCATATGTAGATCAGGTGATACCAATTACACTGAAGCTTCAAAAACTACCTGTAGTTCTTGAATTATTAATCAAGTAACTAACTACAGTAGGAAGAGATAAATCCCCGAGTGTCTGAGAGTACTTAATTACGGCACAGATACGCCGTGGAGTCAACAACCGTACTGAAGACTGGACACACATCTGGGGGTTAAAGCTTCTAGCGGCTCTTCCAACGAGAGATACAGAGATCTAGATGCTCTAGACTCAGACTCGCCAGCCTCAGCAAATTCTTAGGAGTATTTCTTGGCTGTCCCGCCAATGGAGAAATATTCCTTGCGATCTGGCATGTAATGGCTAAGAGTTCAAAGTCCTTGGCCTGACACAGGAATATTCCTTCATTGATGGGGAGAAGCCGAGCGATACTCCAAGTCATCGACATTACTTACATGTATGTAATCAATCAGCCCTAACTTGATATTTCAGTAGTGGATTAAGGCTGACATCGAGATCGTACTACTTAGGTAACTCGGGCATACTATTTCAAGTAAGAGCGGCAAAGAAATGGCAACACAGAACAGCATTGGGGTTTAGATACGAAATAGTTCGTTTCTTCTTAGAGTGGAAGAGGTTCCCATTTCTTACAGCCGTTTTTTCTCTTTTTTTCCCTTTTCATATTATCTGGCTGCGTAAATCTTCACACACATATGTCGGGCCACCTGTTAATAATATTTCACATGATACAGGTAAGTATCGCAAAACCATAGTACCGGACTCCTATTCGATAGCCTCTAATTCTACGTAGGTAGGCAGTGTAAGACTTTGGGAGTCGTAATTATATGTGTGTGAGTTAGGTTGGCGCAGCCAGGTATTATGAAACAAGAAAATCTGAAGAAGAGACTGCTGTAAGAAAGCCTTATACCGAACCAATCCAATTAGAAATAGCGTCTTCATTAATAAAATTCTCAACGACCGCTATTCTAATGCTATAGTTGATTTTCAGACCCATCCAATCCGACGTCTTTTTCGAGACAAAAATCAAACCTACTATTCCAAACATTTTTTCGCATTCCATAGTCTCTTCCAGACTCAATTATAGGACTATTAAAGACTCCACAGGCTCGAGCTCGCTACTGGTAGAGGTGAATTACAGTGGAGACCCGATAGCAGCATTCTTGATCCAAGCATGTTGTCGATAGCAGCACAGGAAAAGCCGTTCCAAACCATATACTATTATCGAGGCTCCACCGTAACTTCGATATATCCCAGTCATTTGAAGGAATTATCGAGGTAGTTTTCCGTTTATCCAAGACCTACTACTATACCCGACTCCAGAGCTTGTGGGCGAACTTGGCATGAACCGAAAGGCCTCTCTAGACATGCTGTCATTTAATCATCGGTTGGAATGGGCACCAAGTATCCAATCTCAATGAAGATTCCGAACATCGCCCAATATACCACAGCTCTCCGGACCTAGAACTGCAAATTATGCACTGCCTACAGAGAGGAAATCTCGAACAAATATCTACCGAGATAGCAGGATGATCTGGTCCACCGTCGAACAATGCGCATAGATGAATGCTCCTCACCGGCTATATCCAGCGGCGAACAAATCTAGCTGGGTAGATTTACCATTAGCCAGCGAGGAATAAAAATCACTCAGTGGTTGGGGTTCCTCTTTTCCTCTCACCAGCTTTCGTCAAACCAGTTACCAGCTTTCTTCCTTTCTTTCGGTTCAGGGAGTCCAAAAGTCTCCGGTGATTATGCCCCATCTTTGCCCAATCATCTTCTTTCCCGTGAAGGCAATCCATCCCCTCCCCCCTTCTCACTCCAAAAGGATTTAAAGAAAGATGAGCTTTTGGCCTCGGGTGTGAGCGAAAGAGGTGTGGACCTAGCTATAATGATCCCGGAATACGCTGGGGTTGTTCCTCGTTGGGTAATGTTGGATTTACTTAGTCGGATTGGTTCGTCGCTGGGCCAGATCAATTACCACCTCATACCGGAACATAAAACATCCTTTTAGGCGATCATAAGAGGCCCTGCCGAATCGAAGAGGGCGAGAGTTCATTCCCGCAACGGGTTTTTCGAGGAAATCCCCCAATAGAGATGCCACAATCAGAAGAGGCTGGAGGACACAAGTTCAGGATCCACCGCCAGCCTTCGTAGTGTATAGCAGTAAAAATTCGACTGTTCTTGCTTTCGCCTGGTTCTCCTTTGTTTCCATTCAAATCAGCAACAAGTCCATCAATTGAACAAGGTTGAAAAAACAAGGAAATGATTCAGTAACGCCAGATCAACTAGGCACAAGAGAGACTGGTCACCACTACTCTACAGTCCCGGACCACCTACCTCCGCTACGAGATGGATCTTCTCGGTGAATTCAGTATACCCTTCTCTTCCGGATTAAATCTCTCGCTCCCCCAACCAGAGAAGGAAGCAGTAACTCAGGAGTTGACACTAAGCATCCATCTAACTGTGCCCATGGAGGCAAGAATATCAATGTATTAGCGCAAGAAGAAAAAGAGGAGTTAATTAGCAACATTTTGCTACTCACAAGCAATACCCTAAGCGTCAATGGGCACGCGCGGAGAGACTTGTTATATTGCGAGAAATCGAGAGTTCCCAACCCCACAGGGCGTAGGCGGTGTTCCCGGTAATGGCGCGCAGAGAGATTAACGGATTCTTTTGCTAGGGGAAGTGAGAGTTGGCCGGGTAGTGACATAGCAAGGATAGATGACGTCCGGAGCTCTGGGTTCTGTCGAAGATTACATGTATTCAACGTTGTGACAGATGGTGATCCTTGTCCAGGAGCTGACTTGGAGTAATGGGTGGGCGTGGTATGTTTAGGGGAGTTGAGAAGCAGACTGGGAAACCTTGGTTAGTCGTATAAGAGTAAAAAAAAAAAGTATAAATAATGTTTCAACAGAGTATAGAGTGGAAGTCAGAACTAGAGGTGTATGTAGAAAGGAATGTTTTTGGAAAAATATGGAAATGACGTGAGAGGAGGCTTTAGAGAGCCGCAGTGCTAAAAAGAGGTATGAAGCGGCTCCGCTTCCTGCTAATGCGCTAGCTACATGTGGTCACATTTATGATATATCACTTCAACGATGCCGGGATCTCTGGAAAAACGTTACTCGATACCGTCGCCAAGAAAGGTACTAGAATTATCATAAACTACAGTCTACATACAATTAATAAATTAAACAAAAAAAAAAAAAAAAAAAAAAGGTACTAGAGAATCAAGAGAATAATATTGAAGCCTTGTCGAAGAGTATTGAATTTAATGAGGAGAACAAAAATGCGGAAAATTAATACATCTAACACACACCAGCAAGTCAATTGCAAGTGTATGATGTCAGACACCATATTTCCTCCCCATTCAAAAAGCCTTAAACAAAGTTTGAAAGCTATTCTCCTCTGGCACGCTCACCTCTACTCAAAGATCACCTTCCGAAAGCGGCGACTAAACACCCCTAACATCAGTAACCAAACCAGACGACACCCAACAGACAGACAGAAAACCTACCAAGCTCCGAATCCCACAAGCGATCATTCTCATCAATCCGTCTCCACCCCTCCGCAATCTTCCTCTTCAGCTCATTCTCCCAGTCTATCACTAGCTTCTCATCCAACTTCATCACATGTGGTATGTCCGGAACTGCAGGGCGCCGTGCCAGAAGCTGCTTCATTACGTTCCGCCACTGTAGCATGAACAGGAGGGCCCTGGCGATGCGGAGATTGTTCTGCAGGTCGCAGACGTCCGACATGAGTTCGAAGCATTGGCTTTCGCAGTGCTCAAGAACGTGGGAGTTGTGGTTGGGGATGTGCTCTAGGTCGGGGGTTGGTGAAGAGCTCATTTTCGCTGGTGTTGAACGAGTTGGTTGGTACCCCCTACAGTGCTGTGAGTAGAACGTTTGGCTTGTGGCTGTTTTTGGACCTGGGCGAGAGAAGTTGGTGTTGGGTGAAAGAAGAATTTGCAAAGACGTAGGAGGTTGGATGATCAAAAGGCAAAATGTGTGCTTTGCCCTGAGTGGCTGTGTTGGAATTGGCGGATAGTGCGAACGCTCAAGAGTGACCACTTCTTCCCAAGAAAAATGCTAACTGTTCTCTAAAACATATAATCAGAGATGCCCAATCACTTACAGAAAAGGACGTATTCAAGCGGCATCATTTCCCCCACTCTTCTAGCCACCTAGAATATACCAGCGTTCTACGCGCCCTACCACATGCACAAAGATGTCCAGAGTGCGAGTGATATTCCGTGACCCAGGCTTCCACCACTATCTAATGGTTTTTCTTACAGCCCTATGGCTATGAGGGTTTATAACCTGTATTCCCGCCATTACTGCACTTTAAATACCGCCAGCCATATAACACCGTATGGTATTGAACTAATTATTTATATGTAGGAGGCTAGGAGCCATAAACTATGGCGATATGAACACTTTTCTCTCTAGAACCTCCCTCCGCCCTCACTCTCATGCATAAGGAAACATAATATAAAGTTAAGGTATTCACTACACTCTAACCTGTCCATAAAGAAGAATATTAATTGTGAGGAACAGTGTATTGGTCTGTTACTTCGCAATCAGAATTATTAAGGTTTGCAGCGCTAGAAACCTATATAAATAATGGATTGCACATGGTAAATAAAGTACATGTAGGGTTTCTATAGAACCTTGCGCCATTCATACCCTGCATTCAGCTGGGCCGGCAGGGCAGGCATACCCGCGCTAAACCAGTAGCCATCCTCCGCTGATTGTTCTAGTGGGCCAGATCATTGCCATGTCCTAGCTTTCCACCTCCTAGACTTCCCCTACTTGGGGATTTACGTGACTCCGTCATAACCTCATACCAAGATTCCTCCTCCCTCCTCCCGCCAAACCCCCTAGGAAAATTGATATGAATATAGCTAACGTTGTGTAGTACACTTCGCCGCTCTGCCGACAAGCCCACTGTGAGCGCTGCAGCAGACCGATGGAAACGTTGCAGTAAGCAGGTGATCTGTGCTAGTGGGATCAGCCCCACCTGAGACATCGTTTCTTCTTCTGCTCTGGGCGTGGAGATAAACATTTGTAGTGAAGGGAGTAGGGAGAGTTTCTCGAAGAAATAAATTCTTCAAATATCTTCTTAATGCCAGTAATTGAAAGAAGATGCAAAATCAATGCCTCGCGGCTTTGTCTTGGCTGTTCTCCACTCTAGGACTTGCACCCCAGAACATCGAAATTGGCCTAGGTCGTGCAGTTGTCCATGCTGAAAATTTCTCTCGAGCGATGGAGGGCTAGGGAATGGTTACATTTCCCCTTAAACTCCGAATACCTGCACCCTACCTTGATCAATTGGAGTATGCGGCCGTCAATAAGACCTTCCCGCCATACTCTGGAATATGCACACTGCTGACACCTTTTTCGCTCTGTAGATCAACGAACTCAGAGGAGAATCAGCCCGAAATGAAGTCGACAAAAGTTCGACCCCAAACAATCGTATCCTGACACCTCTACCAGTTAATAGCACAAAATCTACGATGCATCGTCCTTTCCCTGGTGGAAAACATCTGCATATTTTCAACAGGGCATCCCCCCTCCCCACCGCATAGTATCGACGACAGAGCAAACCTAGACCCCACATGACAATTCCTTTCCAGCCAGGAGGAGACATGATAGCCAATTCCGAGTTAAAAATCGAATTCCCACGTCGACTGGCGCTCTAGAGATACCTTCCCGGTGCGGTGCGGGCGAGTGGGATTGTCAGATTAATGATTACAGCCGCAACTCGATATCCCGAATTGCCAAGATTCAAGGGATTTCGTACGGAATATCAAGGGATTCGGCACATTGATTTCCGGCATATCGAGTTGCGGCTGTAATAGTAGTGGGAGTAGATTGGGGGGTAGGGGGAACTGGCCGGAATTTATGCGCAGAAAAGTTGACTTTTTCTGGGTACCGCCGAACCGGTAAAGACGGATGGCGGAGGGCCCTGGTGATGCTGAGGATTTCTTCTGAGGATATTCTTCTGTAGATGGTTCAATAACATCTTCTCTCGGATACATACGTACGTTGTCGGTGAGGAAATGTTGTTGCCTGGGCTGTGGGGTCTGCAGTAGCGGGAAGAGACAACACATCGCACGGGAGTCTTGGCACGACCTAGCCCACTTCCACCAGAGAGCCTCTTCCCTTACTTTCCGCAACCCTCGCAGAAACAAAACACCAACCTTTCTTTCTCAATTGCGACACGACACGGCACGATGTGGCATGGAAGAGTTTGTTCTGACGCCGTTGGCTTCGGAGGGAACTCGTCTATGTTAGATTAGTTCGCCTTTGGCTAAAACCGAATTATGAGAGCGGCGTCTCCGAGGGATAGTTCCATGCAGCCTGCCTCGACTGCCAACCGATAAGTACAACTATTTCGCAGAGGTAAACCATCACAGAAAATATTGGTCATCGAAAGTTTTAGTACAGGGCAGGCAGCAGATCGAGGTTACAGGCCGCGGCTCCGGCAGTGCGACCAGGAAACCGTAATTACCCTCACCTCACCTTCGGCCATCGCCGACTTACTCCAAAGGGCATATACTTATAATTACTGTTTGCGCGTTTAGGAGGTAATTGGGTCTAAGTCCCACAAAGAAATACCGCTTTCTAATTATATACTGTTGGTAAACTGACGGAGGACGCTTGCTTTACCGCCAGTCGAACAATCAACCCGCGCGGCGCGGGGTCGATGGATCTTCGCGCTGCGTTAGTCCGGGATACTACCGGCAGCCTGCATTCTCTACTTCTCTGCAAGCCAACCCCCACTTCTGTAGTGTGCCCATCCTACACCTGTACTACCCATTCACCGGCGTTGACGGCTCCGATATGAGTGATTGATCGGGAAGGCTTCAAGAGGTTCGGGGGGGGGGGGGGGGGGGGGGGGGGTGCGCTAGGGGAGGAGTACGAGTGAACGTCTAATTTTTTCTTGAGGGGGAGAACGCTGATAATTCAGACCCGAAAATGCTAGAGAGGGGGATGGTCGCTCTGTAAACGAATGGAGGTCTGTAGTACGAGAAGGGGGTCGAAGTCAACATGTCTTTCTATCCCACCGGAGTTCGAGAAGATTTCGGATGTGTTCGTTAACGACTCCACCATTTACCGGAAGTGTCGAGGATCACAGCAAGGCGAACTGTACTCCTTCGAAAGGACGTCAATCAGATTTGGGCCATCAATACTCCAGCATGATGGCATTCAGTGCAGTCCGTAGGATGATACTGATTGGGAGGTTCGTTCTGTGGCACTAGCCTCGAGTTGTTTCGAATAAGGTAGCAGGTAGCTTAGCATGAAACTGTAAATAATAGCACCTTCTTTATAACCATAGATGTTCTCTTGGCATTCTCTAGTACTTTCCCACTCCAGGAAATCCCAACCATCCATCTTCAATTCCCTCACACAAATAAGAAGCGACCCGCCAGTGTTAATCATGATATATCACTCGGAGATTGTGACCTTCGTCTGGCCTTCGTTGTGAGGCTTCCTAACGCCAAACCAGATGCCTTTTAAATAATAGTACATCCCCTGGACGGATAAAACCCCCAAATTCCACGACTAGGCCCCTCCACTAACTCCGCCAACGGGCCAGGCGCCGGCTTCACCGTAATTGAGATTCGGGAAAAAAACTGCTTGTTGGTAAAAACTGCTTGTTTTTGAACATTTCTTTAGTCTTAATCCGCGAGTTGTCGTCCAAGATCAATCGTTGTAGTATAGAGCACCAAGGTTGAAACCTTTATTCCTTTGGACCCCGTGACCTTAGAGATATCTGGCCCAGAAAGTGTAACATAATAAGAAAAGTCTATCGTAGACCACGTTAGATTTTTCGGAAAAGGTCTAAATGACACAGTCTTCTATAGAGTTCTCGGTAGACCTGCCCTAAAATAATACATGATGTAAGATGACACAGTTTGCTATCATCCGAAATGAATATACATATGGATGGATGGCTAAGCATTGACATCGAAGGGTTAGGGTTCTGCTTCACCTTGGCAGTGTGCCAAGCTTGAGTACCACTTCCAGCGCAGCATCAACTATCGGCGGTGGTCTAGTGGATAGACTGCAGTGTACGCTCGGTGTTTGTAGAACCTTTTCTTTTCTTTTCTTTTTTTTTTCTATTCTGATCTTTGATTTCTCTAGAGGAAGAAGGGATACATGTAAGTAGTAGGATTAGGAATCGAGCACTTGCCGGTACTTTTGTACTCTCGGGGTGAGGCTGAGTGGACTCTATCTTTTGATCGCGGCGAACTGTTTCATTTTGCATCATGTGTTATTGCAGGGCACGTATACCAAAAACTGTGTCATTTTAGAGCTATTCCATTTATTTGAGATTATAAAGATCTCTAACACAGGTTATTACACCATGCCTTAACGTTTTCGAGCAGTTCAATATCGGGCTGGTCTTGAAGTATTAACTCGAGAGGTTACTTGTATTGATGGTGGGGAGAAGAGAGGCTAGTCCTCTCTTCTCCAATTACAGTCAACTGCAAAAGTCTTGATTTTCCTTTTCCGCCTTGCATCAACCTTTTTTCAGAGAAATCAAAATTTACAAAAACCATATCATACCCCTGGAGGTTAGTTGAAGCCAAATCTTTCATATTGAAAAGGTAATAGAAATAAAAATAGTTTATGAAGCGACTAGATCACCTCAAACCAAAATACCTCCCATTTGGCACTTTGTCTGAAGTATTTCGCACCGTCTTGGCATTTTATGAGCGAAAATATTTTTAAAAAACAGCGCTAGGTAAGCCATGAAAAAAAACTAAGGCTTTTGCAGTTGACTGCAAGTGCAGAGTCTTCTCTCATGAGAACTAAGCTGGATTGTTCTCCTAACACGCATGGCGGTCATATTTATATACCGAAAGCGCCCAAATGTCATAATCCGCTAAGCTTTTGTAAAGCTACTGCTCATCGGACCAGGCAGTTCGGGCCTTTTCATAACTCAGAAAACCGCCGCCAGTGAATCGCCCGGCGGGTGAACTCGATGATGTAGTTATTGTTCTTGGTCTTTCTCTTGACCTCCCCCTATGTTAACAAATGCATCGTTAGTCTGGTCATCTTTCTTCACCGGAACCCTCTCCTGTGAAGTGGTAATAGGTATCAAGTTATGAATTGATAGAAGGATACTAACGGAGCTTGTTCTCTCCCATTGAGATAGCCGTACTATCCAGATAATGTTTGGATAGTACGTACTATTCGGATAGTATCAACTGTAACGGATATTGTTGAACCAAATAACAAAACTAACTTGCACTTCCTTTGCTGGTTCAAAGTGTTGTTCGGAACTTATGCCCGACCTTTTTGTCATGTTTCATTAAAGAACATCTCGGTCATCGTCAGTTGTGGTGATATTCCGTCCAATCAGGTTTTCTTGTTTCTCCCCCTACATGGTAGATGATGTCAGCTATCTGAATGGAATATTCTGTTCAGATTAATTCGTAATAGCAAAGGCTATCCGAATGGTACCCACTATCCAGATATTATCTTAATAGCTATCTCGTTCGGACAGAACATACCACGCACCCCCGAATACCAGGTAATTGGCCGGCGCAAGTCCTGACACTGCAGGATGCATGCAAGATCCTCTAGTATTATCCCAAGAATTCTTGCGGTCGGAGGTCTCCATGCTCCACTCGTGTCTAGACCCGAGAGAAAGGGTATAGGGCGTTGAAACACCGCTGCAGCTGTCGAGTAGGTGATGGTGAAGGTTCTTCTGCTTCTATTTATACCGGCAGAGAGAACACGTATGTTATCGGATCGTTGCAACATAGTTTGTTGTAGTACGGGTCAACAAGAGAGAGTACGGGTATCGAATTCGAAAGCTGTCCAAACCCGAAAACGAAGGGGATTCGTGGGGGTCTGAAACGGCCATGTATTGTATTGGCGGCTCATCGTGGCCTGTAAAGTACACTACACATAAGGCGATTTGCGGGGTCTGAGGCCGGAGCCTATTCTCCGGACACATAATCTTGGAGTGTGTGGGTGAGATACCTCGCTCCTGGTGTGTTTCTCTTATAATTAGTCGTTTCTAGGCATTGTTACTTTCATGCTTAGTATAAGGAACGTATGCAGCAAGATTCTGACCCTTGTAGAAACCATTCGGCTCTTGAAAAGAGATTTTTAATTCTCATTTCATCACTTCTAATCTTGAATGGCCTAACTATATATATTCGCAATACCGCCCTAATCTGCTAACAAAAAATATCAAACATATATATAACTTCTCCTCGAGTATCAATACTAAATCGAAGATGACCAGCTCCCAAGATACCAATAATGCAAACATCATGGAGCCCCAGTCTTCCGTCCCTCTCGGGGTTCGTCTCTCCCCCCCGCTCAATACTATAGCTCGCCTCGAAAAGCGCCGCAGCAAGCTCTATGAAATTCGCGACAGCTCCCGACTTAAGCTCCACCACAACGAGAACGGGATCTACTACGGGCTACGTTTCCAGTGTCCTGAGATCACGCCTCCCCTTAAGCTGTTCATCCGGGTGGGGCTGAAATGCTTCGAGGGCATGGATGTAGAGGGTGCGATGAACAGGATGGATCTGGATGTGCGGTCTAGGTTTACTGAGAGTATGGTGAAGCATCGCGCCTTGGTTATGTTGAAGAAGAGAATAGATAGGAGAATGGCGGAGGTGCAGGAGCTTTTAGATACGGCGAGGGTGGAAGCGGTAGATGTTAAGCAGAGTGGGAACCCGTATGCTAAGGTTGACTATAGACGTTTGAACTTAGATAGGTTTGACTGAGATGTCATATGAGGAAGTTCTTAACGTACACAATAGTACTAACGTAGGATCGAGGTCGTGTCAGCAGTGCAATATTGGGTTTAGCTATCACAATAATAAAAATTTAAAACCATGTGGTGCTTAAAGAGCTTTTTAGAAAAAATTTATCGTTTTGTGAAAAGGATAATAAGAATTATCTTTGATCCATAACATTCCCTCTAGCTAAGGCTTGCTTAACGTCTCAAGATGACCGAACTCCCAAAAAAGACCCTATCAGAGGTAGAAGCAATATATGTTCAAAATTCAAAGGGTCAGCCTTTTCACTATGCCAAGACATCTTCTATATTCCACGATAGCTAATGTCCTTCTAGAACCTGGAACACTTACTGATACTTCCACCACCTCGTCTCCACACCTGCCTTCCAAACCGTCATTTTCATCCTAATAGCCCATAAAACCAAGTTAACACTCTAAAATTATGAAAAACACTAAATTCGGCATATAATCCTTAAATGTATTTCCCCCTGTGCTCGAGTTGTGGTCCCTTTGACCACGTTACCCGGCTTCTCCCGTCAATCTCGAGTGATGGGGCGTGAAAAGAACGGTTTCCGCTCGATTTTCGTCTGGTGATATATATTATAGTAGTTTTGATACGAGTATCAATTCCCCGACAACCGTTTCGAAATTTCTTAAACCCTTCTATCCAGATATGGTTCCGATATTAGGGTGACCGTGAACTGCCCTTGACATGGATTTCGCACTCACCAGCGGTTGTTGAATGTGGTGTTGCGCGTCGCCCGCTCATGCCTACAGCCGCTAGAGAGGTGGCCATGGGTGGAGAGAGCGTTCAGAGATTTTTTGTGCCAGTGAAAAAGACAAGAACTAGAAACCTATTGTCCTGTCAAAATTCGCAAATGTCTGTTATTGAGGGGACGAGATCTAAAGTTACCGCTCTACCGGGCGCGCAGATCACCGGTTGCGCAGCGGAAGAGCGCAGTATGCGGCTCAAAACCCGTCAAATGAATCCGGGACGTTACGCACTAGTGGTCTGAAATAGCGACAGACCTCTCGAATCCGTGTGTTGAACTGTTGCTTCACGACTTCTCACCTCCGGAAAAGAAACCACGATGTTGGTCACAAGCAGAAAATCGCTGTGCTGTCCTGGTAAGGTTACCGAAGCTCGGAAGGAAAAGAAAAAAGGGACCTTAGGCAGCAACTTATGTAACTTAGGCGCAAGGCGAAAAATACAAGCTTTGACTTCCAATTCCTTCGATGTGCGTGCGTGGCGTGGAGCCTCAGGGTTAGGTGTGGTGTCTCAGAAGCACAACAACAACGCCGGAGGTACATCGAGGCAGTTACATGTCCGTATAATTGCCTTACCGTCGTACCAATAGTAATTCTTCGCAAAAAAAAAATTTGTAAACTTCGGGTCCTTAATCAATTACTTTCAAAAGAACTTACTCTTATCGTAGATTGAAGCCCGCCTATTCCCAATCTCTGCGCCCTCTCTTTCAACCTCTGCCGCAAAACAGCGGGAGGCAACACCGATGACTGTCCTGGATCGCAACACGATGAAAATAAATATCGTCGTAATATTATGCAGAATAGATATTGGCCTTCAAACATGACGTAGATGGTTAGTTACTCCTCTCATGACGATGAAACATCTTTTCAAGCCTCCCCCACCCCCCAAAATATTCAAGTCCTGGTTCACAAACTATCACTCGAGCGAGCGAGAATCCATGATGCAAGCAACTACACCATCTCAATCCCCATCACCACAATCAAGATCAATTTCATAATTAAATACGTGCTAAAGACATATCATGCTTCACTTAAGAATTATATATTCGCCATTTGTCACAGTAAATACACTACTATAAAAACCACCCAATGTACAAACCGCATTTTCAAGGCATACCAAACTTGAAGCTAAGGCGCTCTTCTCACCCTGGAGGAATATCACCAGATAATCGAGGCTTTTCCTTGGTGCTTAGTCGTCGAACTCTGGTCCTAGGGCATATTCTCACTTGCAGAGACTTCTCCTCGAAACAAAACACGCACACACACGAAAAAAGACCACTCACGTACCTCAACACCCCTTTCAACCGTACCACCGCCTCCATCGTGCCCATATGCCCTGCTTTAGATGGCATCGTGCCATACGAGGTGTAAGTCTTTCTCTCTTATCAAAATTAGAAAGTTAACTGATGAAAACACCAGATGGGGACAAGCCCAAGGCCGGAGAGGGAGCGGCTCCTGCCCCTCTCGGCAAAAGAGCGGTGGTGCTCTGATACCACTGCTTTGGGGTTCATCCACCGCCTGCCTTCTCCTTCCTCTCCTCCCTGCTTTTCGTGTGTCTGTGGGTCTCTCGATTCACTGCACATACCAGCTGCGAGCGGCTGGGCGGCAGTCGCAGAAGAGTGGGTAGTCTGAAAAGCGCAAAAGAGACACCCTGGAGGCAGAGGAAGCTGGGAAAATAGAGGCTTCCGCTGCGGGATCTTCAGCTGAAGGATCTTCTACTGAGTAGACGAAACGGTCTGCTTCCGAGGTGGGTGCTGGGGGCAATGTAAGTTTCTTTTCCATCAGCCATCGATTATCTAGAACACTTATCTAATTTCGCTGCTCTCGATCAAGTGGTGGAACATGTGGGCGTAGGCCTGTATGTAAATCGCTCCTTTCTCCTTGATAGTGTTTTTTTTTTGAATATTTCACTAACTTCGTTACTCTTCAGGCCGCCAATTAATTACGGTGGTTGCGGGTCCTGTGGGACTGGGCCGGGCCAGAACAACCTTTAGTATGTTATGTTTCTTTCCAGTGCTCGTTGATTTCGTGTATTATTTAGCTGACTTTACTCTTCTTAATCAGGATAGGGGCGTTCTGCCTCTCCAATGTATGTGAGTTACTCCTATCATTAATCAATCATGTGGAATATTTGACTAACCTTCCTGCTCTCACCAGGTGCCGGGGCCCTCCAAGTTTTCACCCACATGGTGGGCTGGGCCTTTGTCCTTGCACCATTGGCCTCCGCTCCCCCACTTCCTACCTCTCATTGCATGCCTTTAGGCCGAGGGGTAGGGAGTGGAACGTGTGGACGTTGGATGTAAGTTTCTCTTCTCTCCGTTCACCTATCGTTTTTGATATTTAGCTAACCTTCCTGCTCGCAAACAGAAGCCTCAGAGGCAATGTTTCCAGCAACTGGTAAGCCGGGTCTCCGCCCATATGCCATTGAGAGACGGTGGCATAATTACTCCCCACATTGCGTGGGTGAGAAGGCACCATTATGCGGCACCATTATGTGGCACATAGAAGGTCGGATGAAGTGAGCGAGGGGAAAGCAGTCGGAGTTGATAGGGGGATTGGACAGGGAAGGCGGGGGGCGCTAGATGTAAGTATCTCTCCCCGTATCTACTTTCATCTTCCGCTAACCCACATATCTAAAATAGCTGGGGAAGCGCAAAAAAGGTCCAGTCCATGGGGGCGGAGAAGTGAGCCCTACCTCATTGTGTGCCCGGTGACGGGCCTGGGGGCTAGGGACAGGAATGGAGGTTGTTATCATCCATCATAATTAAAGACTTGAAAACAATACTGACGTAAATCTATCTCTTTTTCCTAGATCGACGTTATACTGTAAGGGAGACCAGCGTTGTCTATCCGGCGCACCTACAGGTGTGGCGGTCAAACGAAGGTTAGTTAGTAGTATATTCCATTTTAACGTGACAACTTACTAAATATTAATCAGGGCATATCCGCCTGGTAGGGACGGCAGGTCAAGGCAATGAGGACTCTTTCCCGAGTGGAAGAGCCTCGTTTGTCCTTGTATCCTGTAAAAAAGAAGAGTTGGCCGCGGGCTGGATCTTGAGCTTGTCGTCGAGCATAACCGGTGGATCCGGATCGGGTTGCTGCGGGTAAGTTTCTATCTCCTAACCCCTTTATTAGGAGGACTATCATTGACGTTTTATCACTGAGCAGGCTTTACCTCAACTGGCATCCGCAATTGTCCTGCCCTTGCCCCTAAGGCACCCTGGTAAGTAGTCACGATTATCCCATCCCATGATCATTGACATTTGCAAAAGAAACTCACCATGATATAATCGCTGACAATCAGAAAGGGTCCGAGAAGCACATCGATGCTATCCGGTGGTCTGGTGCTTCCAAGTCGCCGACCCTGCGGTCTTTGCCTGGTGATTATTTATGATCCGGGTCGCACCCGTATCTACGGCGCTCTATGATCGGGGTCGCGCCCCGATCTGCAGTATCTGCAGCGCCCGCATTTCCTCTCGCCCATTGGGCCTCCCTCCCCCCTCCGCCTCTCGTCACCGACACCGGGTCCGAGACCTCTGTAGTCTGGTGCTTCGTGTCGCCGACCCTCCCTCCTGCAACACAGGCCACTCCGGGGCAGCATTCAATACCCCCTTTTTCCGGCCAAGGGAGCCTTTATCGGAGAGATTACCTGCCGTGGGGTAGTAAATTCTACCCTTAACGAGCGTGCGCCTCCCTGGTTGGTTATCCGGTCCCTCCTGTCTGGTTCTTCGACGTCGCCGACCCGCCTCCGCTTCTCCTGGCAGCCTGCCAATGCGCAGCACCGCATTGGGTTCCACTACGCGTGCGAGTTCCCCGATCGAGTGGGGTGGGCCAAATATGCTTTGGTTAGTACAAAATCCGTTCATTAGATTGATTGTCGTTTGGAACTGATAACTAACCATTCTCCATACAATAGCAGCAGCCTATCTGGGTGGTCCCAGGTGGCGCTGGCGCCATCCTTCCCTCCGGGTGTGCTTGGGAGCCCTAGATGGGTTGATCAGGGTGGTATCTCGAAGGATTAATGTGGCAGACTTGCCTGCCGGGTCCCAGAGGGGATCCGGTGCGTGATCGGTGTGTTGTGGGGTTTGGGGTGCCTTTGCCCGCTACAGCGGGCAAAGATGAAATAAAATCTTTTTGTTTTTTCTCTTGGTTTTCTATTGTGATTTCCTCGTGATTTGTGATTTCTGTCGACTGTCGATGTGTTGTGGCGTCCGAGAGTGATACCTACATGTGCCTTTCCCGGTCCCAGTCCACCGCCTTCTCCTACCGGCTCGTAATATCTAAGGCCTTAATTATATCTTCAGCTTTGTTTGACAATGCCCTTTGATTGAGAACGTCTTTAAATATCTTTATTTTACGTAGTACTCATTATTATATATCCGTTTCTTGGGCGCCCTTTCTTTCCAAAAATATGATTCTGACCTTCCTTCATTATAGTTTACAGAGTGCCGGAACATGAATATTTCTTAAACCGAATTTGGTACCTACATATCCGATATTCCATCATTTTTCTCATATTTCATTCTCATATATAGGTTACCTTCGAACCGTCTCCAGAGGTTGTAACATTGCATTATATCTGCCACTGTCCTACGGCCACATAAACGGGTGAGTATACGATTAACCAAACCCTCCGGTATTCAGTGATACGGTTGCTTCCCACAGCACTGTAATGCCGGTCGTACAAGAAGAATAAATACTATACTCATTTATCGTGTCTCTGTCCGCACCGCCCAGCATAAGAATAAGGGTAAACAAGTAAGAACACTCCCAAACATCATATTTGGTCCTAGACATTGACCACGAAGCTACATATACGCACGCACCACAGACTAAACTATACGATTGGTACAAGTACAACTATAATCTCAACCTCTCCCCAGTATTCAAAACTATCGTAGCCCGCTAAAGGTATTATACCCCGTTCAATCCCATTCCGTCTTTATCATTCGCCCCGGCCAAGAATTGAGGGCATGCCCTAAGTCCGGTAAAAGCACCCCCCTTGGCTCAAACTTAATAGTTTTAATAATAGGAAGTACTCTCCTCCGCACTCTTGACATTCTTTTCACATTTACAAAAGAAAGCATTTACCTCGAGGGGATCACATGTTTCATCCCAGCAGCGATTTTCTCCTCGATTGCGGCAGGCTTGCGGCAGGCGGTGAAACATGCGCTCTACTGGAGCTGATAATTTTATTGTGGGCTCTCTTGCTCTCTCTTGGTTTCCTCATCGTTCTTGAGATATGATCTTCGGCTCCATTGCTGATATTTGGTTGTTTTGACATGAATTTAGGTGTTGATGTGTTTTATCTCCTCGGATTATTCACTCCCATCCATATATCCTCTCCCCAAGTTCCTCTGTCTTCCGGAGGTCTGCTCTTCCGTTTTCTTTGCACTTCCTCATCAAGGACTCGGATCTTTACTCTCTTCGCTGTCACTTAACCACCATTTCGTACCGATTTTTCATTTTTCACCCATTTTTCATTAATGTTTGTATTTTGGCCTGTGTGCTTTTTTTCTTTCCCACAGAAACTCCTTCTTCCACAGATCCATGCTTCCCAAAGGTTGACCGATCAGCCTTTTCCAACTACAAGCCCCCCATATCCTACTCCTCTCTACTTGAAACCCTCCCTTCTTGATTTTCATCGGTCTACGAGCGAGTACGGCGGTGAAGAGATATTCTCATCCGCATAGAAGACAATCTTCAGATTTTACAATTCCCCTGTAGTCATTTTAACCTCATTCTCTAGCATTGCGCCAAGTAAAAGCAATCATACACTCTCTCCTCATTTTTTCCCTTCTTCCGAAGACCGCTAATTAACACCATACTCTCACATCCAGCCCTCTTAGATTCACTTTTCGTCCTTTTATTCGGGAACGATCTCTGCTTTGATGATGGTGTCTGAAAGTACGCTGCATGGTAGGTTTCTTTTACATTGCCGAAAACACTCATCTTCAATGTATCAGCATCACCATCATATCCGCCAAACTGGCCATGAATCACCGTTCCGACTCTGCAGTATTGGGTCTGAAATCTGACCTGGCAAATCTCTACACATCTTCCCAATTTACTAGTTTTTCCCTAATCAACATCTCTTTACACGTTGCCTGCCTGCAGTATATTCTCTTCTACGTTGATTCTAAAACCACGTTTGAGGTTCCGATATTCTAGTATAGCCGGAAGAGTGGAGCTCTACCCCTTTTACGTGCGGGTCTCATTACCTTCAAGTACGTCTTCTCCTCATTATATACGTTCTCGAATCTTCACTAATATTCTACAGTACGCATAACTACACAAGCCCAAACCGAAAGCATATTATATCCAAAGCCCACCACCTGCGAAACGACCTACGCATTAATCTAACTCCATCAAAATATATAACCAGCATTTGGCTGCAGCATCCCACAACAAACGCCGTGTTGCCTTTTCTTTATAATTGAAATTCGTCTTTGTTTTGTTTCTTGTGTTCTAAAACTAGAACTGTTTGACAAAACCTTATGACCCCTACTACTTTCATCACAACGAGAGCGGACGTTCCGTTCATGCCTTCCAACGGAAATAAACGCCTTTGGAAAAGTTTCTTTTACAGTCCACATGATAATCTTCTCTCTCAACGCGACGACAGAACATGAGTCAAGCTCCCCAAAAGCCCCTCTTCCCACTTCCGTCGTACAGAGATGTCGGGACTGCATCACAACCGGTCACTCGTTCACAGGTTCTCACTCGGGCCTTGGCAGGTTTCCGGATAAGAAATGTATCTATCTTCATCGCATAACATATTCTTCTTCGAGCTGTGCTCAAACAGCCAGAGAATGGAGAAGGAGATATTTGGATTATGGTTAACGGCTATTTGAAATATAATTTATTGATTTTATGCAATATCCGTAGTGATAGGGGAGCCTGAGACTTCGTGGGAAACCCATGAGACTGTCAGAAAGCAAGAGAAGCGGGAAAACATCGAGCTCGAGTTTCAAATTTTATTCTATCAATTTTGACAGTTTCAATAACTATGTATACTCACTTATCTTTCTTGCCATTCAAGTCCCTATATATTCGATATAAGACTAGATTAATATGGTTGCAGACATTTCATGAGCTCATGAGAACGGGCACATCATTCATGTGAATTTCTCTCAAACGGTGAGTCCGGTCTCGAGCAACGCCATTCCCACCACTAAAAACCTATACGACAATTGCGTGGTGGTGGCCAGCAAACACTGCGACAGGGCGGGGCCTCACCAAGGCAACGCAGATAACACGAACGCAGGCAGACAAACTAATGGTAATGGCAATAGGCTGCAAAGATTATACAAAAGAACTATTCGCAACATATCTATACTCAGCCAGGACCAGTCTTCCACACTCCCGCTCGACACAGGTCGGCAAGAGACAATCAATGGATATAACTCTCAGATAGTACCGCCTCATTGTAGCCCAGAAGAGAAAGTAGAAAGAAACTAAATTTGGTAGATGTTTTCTTGGTTTCCTCGGTATCCGTCCCTTTTCTTCCCCATCATTCTCCTCCCTTCTTTTCTTTATAGACAAACAGCGCCCTCCTTTATATACCATGGGTCCGAGTCCCGACAAGTGGTGGTGGTCCGAGTTCAAGAAAACTAAATCACTTGTATATGAACAGTCAGCCAATGCAGCAGTGAGCGTTGGAGAGGACAGAGGTAAGGGTACGCAACAATTTCACAGCTTGGTTTGGTGCTCCGCCAGCTGTACTTGGTGTTCGTCAAATATACTGTATTTCTGTTTGTGAAAGGTCCCTTAAACTCCTCCTTTATTATTGGTCCATTCCCGGAATAATATCTGTGAGAGTTATTACAGAGTGCTCATTTTTCTAGTATTGTTTTGTATAGCACCCTTCCTTTTACTCGATACGGGGCAGGGGCGGAGTTGCACTCCCGAAAGCCTGTGTTAGATAACTAATACTTTAAGAAAGATTTATAAAGAATCTGTAAAAGCATATTTTGAGACCTTTTATATATCTTACTCCTCCACAGTACGTATATCCTAACTCTCTCGACGAATAGACCTTTCCGTAGTAGTCTTAGAGTAGTCTAATATGTATTGCCTCAACGTCCATATGGAAAATATACTTCGACGTACGCGGAGAAGCGTGGTTCTATTTTCCATCAATTATTAAAACTGTTGCGAGCTAAGAATCTCGCAACCCACGAAAAATCCCCGACAATGGCCACAAATGCAGTACAAGGTATGATGTTCATAAATCATCCCTCACTGTCTGTCGCCCTAGCAAGGAATATCACTTGGCAGCACCCCGTTGGTGTTTTGTTGGTGAGCTTGAATTATAAATGTTATGAGCTTGAATTATAAATGTTCTGATATTCAATACCTACTCAGAAGTATTTTTAAAACAGGCTACACAATGTTGCCTGCTATCCCGGGGTTGTGGCCTTTTGGGCTGCGTCCTGTGTGAGCCTTCCCGGCCCTGAGCATTCCCTTATCATTCGCGTACATATTGTTAGCTTTAGCCTCTCACCCTCCATTACAGGCTATATAGCCAGTTATTTCATTATATGAAGCAACGGGGAGCTGTAGCTGGTTGAGAGGGTTTCATAAATAAAATGGAAAAGAATGAATATTAACCCAACCAACGCCTTTATAGTTCTTCTCTTGTTATACACAGATACCTAAGAGTAGCTGCTATATATCTCTGGCACTATGTAGCATTGAATCTAACAGCGTCCCAAATAATGGTTTGCCCTACTACTGGGCGGAGGTAATGGTGTGTTGGCTTGAAGACAGTAACATATCAAAGTGCGAGCCTCCCCCGGGGGGTGGGGGGTTGGTCTTGCGTAGGTCCAAGAACCTATTGGTTGGGAGGAGATATATCAAACGGCTGGGGTAGCCAAAAGCTGGCGACTCTACCAGAGTTAGGGGGAGATTGACGTATCTAGCCTTCGACATCTATGTCTCAAGAAAATCATATGTTAGTGGTTAGGTAATTTATGTGTGCTTCTTGGGAATCGTCGTAGTGAAAAGGCGAAGAAATGGGTCATTACGAAAGTGCGAAGATCTCAAGAACAACCCCCCACCGCGTGCCAACTCTTTTGATCAGGCCATGATCGCTCCAACTTACTCCCATATATTTGTAACACTGGAATGGTAATCATATAAAAGCCTTAAGCCCCCTTCTTCAAACATCTACAGAAACGAACATTGGTATGCAGCGGCTAAGCCACCCTACTCTTTCCTTTAGAGATTTCAACCTCCGGCTCTCTTCAGGGGTAGAAAGCATCATCGTGGTTCCCGGTATCCGATCTTGAGCTTGTGATTGAATCGTTACGAGCATTGGGAAGGCAAACGCCATGACGAGCCTCCTCGACGTCTGTAGACCTGATATACCACGGTTTCCCTTACTGAGATGATTTCCTTATAGCTTTCTACTGTTTTTATCTCCACAACTACAGTCAGTTCTCGTTCCGGCATCTTAGAAATATCGGGTAATCCAGCCTACCCATTCTACATCAAACCCTTATGACCTACCTCTTCGAACCTAGAGTGGAATAACAAAGATTGAAAGATAGGTTTGGTGGTTATAACTTTGGATGCTCGAGCTCTCGGAGTCTGTTCTGTCCCACAAGAAAAGCGTCGGTCGGTATTGGATATGGTAATTAAATCTAAACCTGAAGAATTAATGTTAATGCCATAACTTGAGAACACTCAAACCGTTTCAATGGAAACGATGTTGGTCTTCATTAGTCTCATGTCATCATGTGTGTGATATCGGCACCTGTACAAATAACATGATAGACAACCGTTTAGCTCGTCAGTAATCAACTACGTTCGTCCGGCCTTATCATTGTAGATCGGCTATCTTAAAAGAATCATGTATTATATAGGAGTGGGAATTGACTCCTCTTGCAGTTCATGCTGGGGATGGAGACTGGAGAGGGGGGGGGGTTCTTACTTACGTCCTTTCTTTCTCTTTCTTTTCTTCTTTTTCTTGCTGTCTGGGAGAAAGAGTAAATTCGTCATCTTATGGACCACAATAAGAGTCTTGGTCAAAGGAAGGGTACTCTGGACACCGAACTAGGTGAGAACAAAGCTCATTATGTTTCTTGTTTGCATACCCCAAAGTAGTACGTTGCAGATATTGGTATTGTTTTCAGATTCACTTGCTTTTGTGTCGCATCGGATCATAAGTGGCAAGTGGCGGTAGCGGGTACTGGCGAACATTGGGCCTGTTGTATGCTGATTTGAACCTGAACAACTTTGTAGTTAACAGCAAAGTCACCACCTCTTTGAAAGCTCTTATCTCTCGCAACAACCCTCTCTTCACTCTTTCAATAAAGTTCCTCTCTGGAAAACCGGCCACTCCCTATCCTCTGCCCCTACAAGCTAACCTTTCACGTTCAAAGGGACACCAGTCGAGTAGCTCTCTCTACAACATTGTGGACTGCCTGTCGACGCTGTCCCACTAAAACCCCACAACAGGCCCTCCACCTCCTTCTCAACCCTTCTCACATTCGTCTGTCTCAACTAGTCTTCCTACAACTCTCCACAATCTTTGTTAATTATCACCTCTGTCTCCCCCGCTCCGCGCCTGCTCTTTCCAGGCCACAGACCACACCGTGCGTTGAAGTGGGACTCACCACAGACCCAGAACCTATCAAGAACACACAAACAATTTACCGTCCTTTACCACACCATCTGAAGTCGCTCTCCCTTTGCTCACTCACGGAATTCACCTTGTGATTACCCCAACAGCCTTTATCTTCACAGGCTTTTACCCCGAAGGTTGTCACCAAGGCGTCCACAAGGATATCCATCCCGCAAATACCGACACCTAGACGTGCTCAAAGAAACAAAATCTAGAGGTCCCTCAGTTGGCAAGTGAAATGAACCGTAAACGTCGTCACTCGGGTAAAGGAGGTACGTATCAAATTTTCTACCGCTCATTCGCAGTCAGTTTTTAACATTTTTTGATTAGCAATCCGGCAAAACAAGAAGACACGGCGGGGAAATATCAGTTTTGTTGACCCCAGTGGTCCGGTTTCCTCCAGCGCTCCAACGGGGAGGACTACCTCTGCTTCCTTCAACACTCCTACTCTCCCCAGCACCCCTGCCGGCCATACCGCTCCTGCTTTCCCGAGTAGTCTTTCCGATGAACAGCACACCTGGCTTGAATCCAATATCACCCTGGATGGAAGCACTGCACTTAAGCTTGTCTTAGTCATGCAAAGATTCAGAGAGCGGTTCCGCATTCCAATCACACATGCTGGTGTCTGCAACAAGTATTACTCCATGGTGTTGATAAACAGCATAATAGAGACGCCAAAGCATCAGCGACCCGTTCCCTGTGATAACTATCACTATCTTCGACTCCAATACTTTGTGGCTTTTGAAGATCACGTTACAATTCCCGGGGATGATGAGATGGAAGAATCATACCTACGGGACGGATTTCCAAGCCGAGGTGAAGCGTGCTTCACTAAACCACCAACAAGAAGAATGCATCCGATTCACCCAAGATACACATACATCACACAACTATTGTGGGAAACCGGCTACACATGGATGCAAATAATGTGGCTCTTTGGTGTCCAGGCGAAGGAAGCGACGTTCAGGATTGATGACCGAGTCTGGAATATCACCACTCCTAAATTCTTGGAAGCATGGGCCAAGATTAAATCATAGTCCCTTTTATATGCTGTGCTGGAACTGGGAGGAAGGATATCATCAGCACAGCACACAACTTTTTATATTTCGCTCGTTTTATAGTTACTACCTTCGTTTAGTTTAAGTCTCTCTTTATGAAATAAGTTCACATAACGGTTTTAAAGTGGTGCAGTTCCTACCTGTTCAAATTCATCTATTTGACATCTGTAGCCTAGTAATGGACGTGATCCAGAGGGTCCCCGGGATATACTATTACTATTTGATTTTATCTGTAAGTCTATATCTACTCAATGAGACATAGTAATGGAAAGATAGGACATTCGCTGTTCTAGCGGGCAACTAAGAAATAATCTAGGGATGACATTGGAATGGCATACGTGAACTCAGATGACACCACTACAGATATATTAATCCTCCACTGGTAGCTCATTTCCTTTGAGGGTGGTCAGTGGTCGCTCCGTTTCTCCGGTGTTTTTCTAGATGTTTGTAGAGATCGTACAGACACCATGGGTTGTGTTAGTCGTAGGATTCAGAGTAATGGGAGTGTATGGTCGTGTCATTTCAAGTCGTGATTGATTTGGGGGCTGAAAGAAGTTGTCTGGTTTGACCGACAAAGTTGAGGTGAGGTTATAAGTGAGTGATGATGGGGTTCTTCCTCGATGGGGCTATTCCTCGCGTAAGCAAAGAATCCCACTAAAACCGGTGAACAGGTCGGAAAACCGCGAGGTTTAACGGCATCAAAGATCTGTTCGCAGATTTTGATATTGTGGCAATTGTTCGGCTTGGATTGCCCCACCATTCGAGAGCTTTTTGTAGGCAGTGTATGTACTTATATACAATCAACAGCAGGGTTTCAGAGTCTAAAGTAATACGAGACATGAAGTTGCACGATGTTAGTGAAAAAGTAAATATATACTAGCACGCGCAGGCCAAGTAAAAAGACAAGTTAATTAGCTTCAAATTGATCAAAATTGCAGGTATGATGTGCCCTCCCTTAAGAAAGTCAGAGTACAACTCATTTCGCAAAACTTGAAAAAAAATTTGAACTCTGCACTTTATATCCCTGTAGATAGCCTAGCCACATTTCAAATATTCTGGTGATTTACTTTTTGGAGTGATACACGTTTTGATCTGAAACAAATTACAAATGGGAGTTCATGTTTGAGGGACATCTTGTACGAAACACTAACTGAACACCAAAAGATTTAACCACGGCTTCCTCGTAAACAGTACTCATCAGTTGTTCAGATACTTCAAGCTTAAGGATTAACCGTCTATTGCCATTCTCAACACTTTTAACTGCCATTCCAATCCTGTTCTAACTCAGTTCTCAATGTCAAAATAAAATGGAAATGAAAACCTATTTCTCTAGCACTATTAACAGATGAGAGTATTTTTGTATATCCAATCAACGCCTGTCCATCTGGTTCTCAATAATGATTGCAACAACCCTTTGGTTCAAAACGGCTACATACATGTATGTCGATATCTTGCCGCCCATAGCCTTTCTACGGCGAAGTTAAACGTGATATTTTCCATTTCCCGCTACCATTCCGAGCTCAAATTCGGATGGTTGAAACCAACTAAATTACTATTAAACAATAAAGTCTCATTTGATTTCTTCACCCGCAGAGGGTTCTGGGTGATCCCATGAGGTTCTTGCAAACCCCTTCGATCACTCAGGACCGGAAGTCTAATACTCTCCTGGAACAGATTCATCTCCCGAGAGACCTCAGAGAACAAAGCCTAGCATTCTTCTAAAATTCAGACAACCTTAAATCTAGGCGCCGCTATTAAAATTTCACCCCCCTTCCCCCGGCCTCTCACTGGGGAATATAGAACCACATCCTTGTAGGTACGCGGCCTATACACCAACACTCCGCATATTATCCATGGTAATATAAGTTCCGAGCAGGTATCCCGGAACCTGCTGGAGACACTGAAGGTTCAAGAACCATACGTTTCCTCTTCGTCCGTATATAAAGCGCTTTTATCGTTCCCCTCTTTACTTTCTTCCTTCTTTCTGCTTTCTTCATCATCTTTCCTTTGTCCTTATCCTTACCTCAATGGAGGTTAACCGGGATCTTTGCTCGCCTTACAAAGCGTCTGAGAGAAGGAGCTCCGTCATCCATCATTCCTTCTCCCTATTTTCTGGAACCTGGATATTCTTGTATTTCCATCTGGAAACGAAGTACTTTTCTATCCATTATTTCGGATAGCTATCATTCGTTCTAATTTCATTAGAATACTGGTATCTGAGCATACCCATGGGATGGAGCTCCTCTGACAGAAAACAACATTGACTAAGGTTAGTCCATCGTTCAACATACTTCTAAAAGTCAGTATACATATATATTTGTAGCTGACATTTGGCTTGGTGATAAAGCATTCTGCTAGGTCGTTGGCCAGCGAGATTTCTCACCGCCTGCCTTGGGGGACAATTTAGAAGATAGATTTTGTGAGTTTCTCTCAAAAGTCACTCAAGTTAGTTCGTCGTTACTAATATACCGTAGTTCTAGTTTGTAAATTCGGAAGGGGACCAGTATATTTCATCAATCCAGCCATCATTAATGGGTCCTTATTATACTAATATTAGTATAGTGTATCTAAACATTACTGCCCTTCCTCCAAGCTATGGAGGATCTTCTGTGAGTTATCTGATCTGGTCTGAATTAAATGTTGTTAACTTAATAGTTTGTTCCATAGAGCGTCTCATCAACGCATCAACACTGGTTCGAAGCGGTCATCGATACGCTTCCCCTGGCTGTTTTCCTTGGAAACTCCAAGTGTAAGGTATACCCGCTATATTTATATCCTTGACGCATTATCTGACGCTCTGAGCAGTTTGGAGTCAGTATAGTACGGTTGGCTACTCATTGCTATTACCACCCAGATAGGGACCAATAACTACCCGACACCATGTCATCAGGGTCGAAGAAGCCCTGCAGGGGCTTTGGTTCAGGAAAGGCATTCTTCGGAGCCTGCTCTTAATCCATAGGAATCTTTGGCAGATGCTTGACTGCATTCCTCGCCCGCCTCCCTTCTCTCAGTTCATACGCACTGATGAAATATCGTGCCATGAAGATGGAGATGATTTTGATACAGAACTGGATGATTCGGGGTTCCGTCCCCAATATCTGAGTGGCTCTATCGAGGCCCCTCCCTCTCTCTTCATCCGGGTGGTGCGCCGCTCTCCGCTGGTTTACTTTTACATGAGCGATTCAACATAATCGAACATCTCTCTTCCCCCCCCGCCCTGCGTCAAGGAAATGATTTTCCATGGGTTTTTCAATCTTGGATTATATATCTCAGTCAATTCTCCCAGCAGGATAATAGAGCTGAAGGAGAACGGACATATTCTCCTCAAGGGTTTTTTGAGAAGTATGGTTACCCCCCCCGGGGCCAATTTTCGATTCATGGAAATAATTTTCCCGCCGGGCTTAGGGCTTTCAGCTAACATACTTCCAGGTGAAGATAAGTAACTTCTTATAATTTGAGTAGAGGCGACCTATTCACCCTTCGATATCCTCCTGTGAGGTCACTGCTTCGTTGTTTCACCAATCGCTGCCCCTGAATACCGATTCATCCTCGTTCTTGACTTTTTCTCGCAGTGGGTGTCAAACGTCTTGCACAGGGGCTCATATCATTGGCCAATTGACGTCCCCAAGGTTGATTGGCTAATTGACGTCCCCAAAGTCGTTTGGAGGTCTGTCCCGGCTTGGTGAGCGGTGCGAATTATCCCACCACCGCTATACCATATTTAGCGGGGCGCATAGTGACCGTCCTTTCTCTGCTTGCCCTGATTTGTCGGGTCGCGGAGCAATATCCGATATTCGTTCCTTTCCCGCTTTTTTCTCTGTCTTCTCGGCATCGTTTTTTTCTATTTTGTTTTTCTGTATGGTGGGAGCACTACTCTTCTGTGCCTCATGATATGTATGATACCAGCTTGGAAGTACTAGCACCTGTCGTCTCACTCTCATCTCAAAGTCTACCTTTTCCAGACATTGTCTCTCTTTTGCGGTTCGGGCTTGGAGAGAACTCGTCAAGTGACTCCGTATCTGGGAGTTTTGTGCGAGGGTATTAATGCGCTCCCCGAACTTGTTTCTGATTGGCTAGTACGTCGTGTCGGAAATAAATCGGATATGCTGCGTTTCTTTGTTCCGCGTGACCTGTGTCTTTTCATGCTTAGTTAGAAAATATACTCTTTTTTACGACTTGACAATATCTGTGACAATCATCCTGACTTGCGTGTGAACATATGCCTGCCAAGCCTGGCTTTTATCTCCTTTCATCTTATGGAATATCTTGGCTTACTATATTAGAGCTCTGTCCCGACCTGTGTGAAGAATTAATCAATTCGTTTTAATCCCATGCTTGCCTCTATCGTAGAACAAACCTGACAGAAGGAAGAGTATACAGCTCTACAAAAAGGTGGAGGAAATATGTGACTTTCCTGTGGTAATCATAGAAAATATCAAGTAAGGCATGGAGTTTATGTTCCCCCTAGATAAAGCAGATAAGACGAAAAAAGCAAATTGATGGGAAAACAGCAGAAAAAGACATGTAAGAGACTGAAAGTAATCTCTGCACTGTGCGATCGATACCATGTGGTCCTTCTCACGAGGGACGTGTCATCCTTGGCGAAATATACCCCAGCGAGATTTCACTCTCCTCCGGGCAGCCACATCTTCCCGCCTTGCCAAGTACTTGGCAAGGAATCCCGCCAGGAGTATCAAGACGTGTTCGTTGATGAAATTGAATTGGGATTGAAGCGGGAAAATACACTTCTGTAGTGGGTTTTATTTCTAGGGTTGGACCCACGGTGCTGCGATAGATAATTGTTTTGGCTCTCATGTGCTGATGGTACTACATGTCGCCGGGAATGTATATATCCCCCTCCCAGGTAATAGCATATTGCTTCGAACTTAGACCAATAGCCCAAGATTAGCAAGAGATCAAAGAGGCAGTAATGGCCCTGAAAACGGCTCATGAACACCCCGGCGGTGAACAGGTTTTATACGGGGATAAACCAGAATCTCACTTTTCCCTAGTCTCATATATATCACTTGGATCTCGTACTCGACCTTGAGCATTATCACCCAGTACTAATATCGAATTAAATGTTAAAAACAGTCAAAGTCTTCTACTACGCCTTCGCTTGGGATTATAACGTCAGGGTAAAGATCCCGATGATTTGATCCCCAACGACGAAGAAAACTTTCAATAAGTACATAATTAAATCATGTGGAAGGGCGATTCCCTTAATTTAAGAAGTCCTGGATAGCAAATCTTTGCTGTAACTAACTGTAGTGATAATCCTCCGAGTCTATATATTCAACTACTGGTGCTATTACTCTAGCTAGAATTTTAATGCTACCTTTTTCTGCGACCTTCGATACCAGAAGTACTCGCAAGAACGTACAATCACATAAACCATACAGAAGTAGTCCTTACATCTATTCTTAGTATTTGTCGTACAGGCTATAAAATACTTCAAGTATCGTTTATTACTCGCAAATTCATGACGTTTCTGAACACGACTACTATTGAATCATACAATACAAAAAGCGCCAAATCCACCTTTTTGTATGTCATGCAATATTGGTCGTGTTCGGAAACGCCATAAAATTACGAGTAGCTTTCTTCCGTACTATAAACGGAAGACTATACACTAGGATAATAAATTGATAATCTAAGAGATCCAAGTCAACCTTTGAGCGGTGGGAAAAGAGAGATAATACAAATTGTTTTTTGAATAGTTAATTTTTTTTTTTATTTGTAAGTAGCGGTGGATGTATGTAGGGTAGTTCTGGGGTAGTGCGATATTGTCATAGCTTAAGGGCTGCATACAATTAATGAATTAAACAAAAAAACAAAAAGTCAACCTTTGAGCGCTGGATCATAAATTATCACTCGATAGCATTTTTACGATAGAAAGAGCACAGTGATACAACGCGCTAGCAGGAGGATTTCCTCGGAAAGGGAAACCTAACACATACGTAAACTAGTATTTTTACCCGAAGAGTACCTCTGACCTGGTCCCGTTCCCTTGGCCAACCGGGAAATCGACCGAGGAACGGCTTCAATTCTGAATATCGTGCAGCCATGAGTTATACCGTACGTTATTGGTACTAGAGATTTTTGTACATGTAACCGGTTACTGTTGTTGTGTGCCCTCATGATATATACACGTAACACCACATGGCTACCGTTCTCAGTCCTTATTCTGGTCTTGACGTCATTCCGTCGCTAAAGGTGATTTTGATTTTTAAATTGTGCGTCCCATCATTATCATCAACGTCGCCTATAAATAATTTTCTCAAGCCGCAGAGCCCTCCTAACCTCCTCGCTTGGGCAAACATATCCCGCGGGGGACGCGGGTAGCTTGACCAACCAGATGCGTCTACCTTCTCTTCACTGCATTACATGTGATTGAACACATGCTCAAAAAAATCGCTGCGGATGGAATATTTCCTGCGGGGTTGATATTGACTACACTGAAGATACCCTGGCAATATCACATCTCGCGTCTTGGCATATCACGAGTGATATCCGGTGATGCCCTTGACTGTCCGATGATCACGTCCACATCAGCGCCATTCTATTCGTGAGGGATGAGTCTACGTATGTCAGTAGGGCCGCAGAAGTGTAACCAGGCTGATACATCCACTACAACTACCACTCCCCTCCCACCCTTACTCTTACCTCGCTCCGTGCACCTCACCACCAACATTCCTCCCTGCATGTACACCCCCGACTGCACCACATTTCGTCCCACACCAACTCCAGGTGTAAGAATGGGGTATGGGGATGCTTCCTCAGACCCTTTTGGGATGTATGGGAATGAAAGTTACTGTTTCGAGTCAGTTCCGGCCTACGAATCGCAAAATTCTCACACGTATGACTCCCCTCCCCCCTCCCCCTCCCTCTCACCCACCTAGGGAAACCTAAGCGCGCTGCGAACATAACTAACCAGCTACTACTATAGACCTTCATGGCCCAGCTCAGTCTACCCAGAGGATACATATGCCACTCAGTTGCCTGGTGTGCTGCTGGGCCATATGGTGGAGAGTATCCTCCCTGCGCCGAAAGTCCGCGGCGGGCTGCCCCGTCCGACCACTGCAACCAAGAGGTTCAATGAGCCCCTTTTGGACTTACCCGCAGGCTACGCGCAATGGACCCCATACACCATCACCCCAAGGTCGAATGAGCCCCGCATCTACTCACCCGAATACCCGAAATATTGGGTTGCCGAAGGGCAAGGTAGTGATAGTCCTGAAGGACGCATAAATCTCGACGCTAGCAATCATAAGCCTGTCACCTCCAAATCGAATGCGCCCCGCATTTACTCACCCAACTACTCCCAGTTTTGGGTTCACGAAGGGCAAGGGAATGATAGTCCTGACGACCGCAGGCATCTCGACGCCAGCACCCATAAACCCAACCCCGATATCTTTCACTATGTCCAGCCCTCATCCAGTCGTCTCAGGGACCCTCGCGGCCGCATGCTCCTCGACCACCTCCACGCTGCCGCTATGCGCGCTGAAGAGAAGGAGGCTGCGAGGCGATACCTTCCTATCTCTCCATTAACCCCACTATCTCCCAGGGATACCCCAAGTCCGGCGTCTTATGCCAAAGTCAATGCCAATATTAATGTCGAGCCCAGAGCGGCCTTTGATCTAAGAGTAGATACGACGATCGACTCGAGGATCGTTGAGAGATTGAGCCGGCTTCTGGTGCCGAATTGTCCGCCGGAGTCGATGCTTGCTTGGGAGATACAGCAGCGGTGGAGACGTGAGGTAGAGTCGGAGTTGATGATGCCGGAAATGATGCATCCGAGGCCGAGTCGGTGGGGGGTAGGGTTTTATGGCTGGCTTGGTTATGGAACATATTCACCCAGTACGTGAATTGGTTATGATGGGTATTCTCCCTTCGTTGTAGGAGTACTGGAAGGTGATCTGTTCGGTGTTTAGAAGATCTTCCTCTATCTTGAAAGTGTCGGGCTTTCATATGCTTTCAAGTGAGTTGGGTTATCGTCTTTTTTTCCAGTTGTATATAGGCTTGATAAATGGACGTATGAGTAGTGGAAATGTCAATTATATACACCTGTATTAGTATCTCCTAACTAAGTCGGTGTTCGGAGATTCGAACCACTGCGTGGGTATATTCTTGTGTGGTAGGAGTCATCCAAAGAATATAACCAGTTTACCTGCCACCACGAAAAGTCCGTATCGATTGGATTGCGCTGGTCCGTAATTGCGCAGTGTATGATACCAGATAGGAAGTCACTCGTTGAGCAGCTGGGACATAGGGCTATAGCGATAGGAGGGCGAGTAATTGAGTACGGTCGGGCTAGTTCAGCTTACTTAGCATGGGATGCGATATTTGCTAAACTTAAGATCTCGGAAAAGAGAGGAAACAGAAAAATAGCATGATCTTTAGCAAGCAAGCTTGGCTTCAGATATAATTACTAATTAAAGCTGTTATGTTTCAATTTATTTCGGTGAATTTTATGAATTTTCAGTTATCCAGTACCTTACACGAACATATCCCAAACTTTTAGAGACCTGCTCATTGTCAAGATATATCATTTCCATGTAGATTTATACTTGACATACAGAATACATGAACATTTTCAATTACAGGTTGTCGACAACTTGAGAAGATGTATGAATGTTCATTGTCGCAAGTAACTTGAGCTTCACATGTTATCACTCGAATGCCAAGACTCTTGAAATAAGTACCTGAATCGTTACTTCTCTCTATGTGTACGCAGTAGAAATGGTGAAGATTATTATTAATGCTACGTAGTATATGCACTATACATGAGAGCATATACTACGTAGCACATAATGATTTCTCCTCGTCACCCTGCCTCTTGGGACTCTCCTTCTCTTCTCTTCTCCTCTTCTTCTCCTCTCCTCCTTTTCTTCTTCACTATCATCCTCAAGAATAGCGATATTTACCTACTTCTTAAACTTCAATTTCAAAAGTGTTCTGCGCCCTACCGTTGAGAGACAGCAAAGCGGTAAGAATCCCGAGTTTGCATGACTTCTCGCACTCAGGTTAATTATGAACGCTAATTCCCCTCCTTGTGAAAAGATCTCGTCGACCTTCACCAATTCTAATATCATCGTCTTCATCACTTATTTTTCTACCTCGTAAAGAAAGATAAAATGAGAAGAAACGTGTAAGTACTCCAAGATCCGTTGTGCATGAATTCTCGATGCTGATATTCGAGCAGGAAGCTGGTTTCCACGTATGCCATGGCTAACGGATTTGATTACTTTGCTGGCGGGTATGATGCCTCATTACTTATATAATTTCTGAACCTGAACTCTCACTGACCGCTACCAGATATATGTTCTCGACTGCTGAGCCAGCCGGGTCCGTGCACTCGTTTGATTCGAACGCCACTCATGGCTCCAACTTTGAAGAATTGTTTGAGGACGACCTTCCGCCGTTGGCTGTTCTCAACCGTCATTACGATGTACTCGAAGAACTCATGATGGTCATGAGAGCTCGCGGTAAGGCGGACTTGCAAAAGGAGGCCAAGCATGCTCATGAATCTCATCTTGCGAAGAATTTGACCCTGTTCGGGGAGGTCACACCTTCCGCGAAGGTTACCGAGAAGCCTTCGGGAATGGAAAGCTTCTTCCATCAAAAGCCCCATGTTGGATTTGAATTCGGACAGAAAGGTCCGATTACTTTCACCGCTGGGAAGTAGTTGGTGGATATGTTTGGTGGTATTTTTCCTTGTTAGAAATGGTTTCAATTAGAATGTCATCATATTTGATATTTTCTGGGAGGCGTTTTTGTTTTCATTAAAAGCTCTCTGATCATGATCAAGCTTGGTAGATTTGTCAATCTAAAGCTACAACTTGAGGATATACAGCTGCTCTTGGCATAGACAGAATATGTCTATGTTTAATATATTTTCTTGCTAGCCATAATTGCAGCAACCCGGAATGGTTACTTCCATTCTCTTGCTTCCGTTTCTGAGTATCGGAGGTGTTCTACAAGGAAAAAAGCATGGTTTTGGAAGCCGCAGACGCTCCATAGCCCCGGCAATAACCTTGGTGGAGATACTATTGATTTGCAGGCTGATTGAAATTCTCACTCGACCAGGTTGAAAAGGTGACTTTGTCTCTCTGACTACATGTACTTGCTTCTTATGGCATGTGCACTATAAGGAACTCACATTTGATATAAGGATATGCTAACAGCATTTAACTAAGAAAAGGTTTGAAAATCCTCTGTAACCCTAACCCATGAGATACCCGTTATTTGTCTGCAACTGTGTACCACAGGACAGTGTACAGGTACCTGTCTCTCCCCACTCCTCATTAGGCACCAATCCATTCCGACCCTTCCTATCTCGTCGTCTCATTTGGATCCTGTGCAGAAATCTAATCGAAATGTGCTTAGGTAACTCTGAAAACGGAGACTTCTACCATGCAGCTCAGAGCACTCAGTGATTTTCCCTAGCTCAAGGCACCTCATTTCTCTCGCTGACCTTAACCCAGACAAATTAACCAGCATCGACTCAGCTGCAACACCGTCCAATGCTAGCTAAACAGCAGCTTTGAACATTCCCATCCTTCTGATCACTCGGACACCCCCTGCCCTGGCTGTCAACCCGAATAGACTGCCTTCACAAGCGAGAACCAGTGAACGGTGCCAACTGTTCGTCCTTTGGTAAACTGGAACGCACCAGAAACATCACCTGACGATAAGGGCTCTCACACTGGACAAGTACCAATATCATTATTTTTTTTATCGGACCCATGATAATCAGGGAAGATGGTCCTCTTTCGTAGCTCTCCCGCTGTCCGTGCACCGATACTCTACTGACACCGATAGGCTCCATGTAGTACCAGGATTCCCGTAAATACGGTTACTGGTTCGGAGATACTCGGCCTTTGCATGGGAGCTTCGCTGTTTGTGTCGGAGACTTTGGGACGCCGGGTTGAGGTGTCCTTTGAGAAATAATTGCTCTTTACACTTGTCGGGTGGGTACATGTTCCTAGTGTCGAGTTGCTCCGAGATGTGGTTATTTTACTGACCTGTCAAGTAGGATACACCACACAACTACGTACGCCCGCTCCCATGCGCACCAGAGCCTTCTTTCACATGAGAATAAACGATGCACGGACATCGTTTACTCTACATGGCCAGCACACTTTCTCTCACGAGCCTACAGATTTTATTCCACGAGCCTACCTGAAACTCACCTCTAGTCTCAATTATCGTCATTACCGATCTGCACACTTTCACGAGATCGGATGAAATGGTCCCTGCACTTGTTGTCCCCCTACATGAGACATCGCTTAAGGTACCCCATTCTTCTTTTTTTTTTTTTTACCCTTCCCTCCATCGTGGTAGTGGTTCCCCGCAGAGAGCTCAGGTACACACACCCACGACTAGCAATCTTGGCAACTGTTTGTTGAGCCTCATGTCGGTACGTCATGGGTGCAACGCAACTAGACGTGGTTCTGTTCGTGTCATCTGATGTAGAAATTTTTTTTCTCTCCCCTCCTGCTGCTGCGGGGTTGCAACAGAGAGTGGGGAGAATTGCTTTCACGCTTTTTTCCTGTGTCAATGATTTGGCTAATATTGTGTGTGGAGTTTATAGATACAGTTTTACAGGATATGCCATATGGAGTGAGTTGAAATTTAATGGGGAGTAGATAATAATAATAGTGTAATGATGAGGTAAGAATGAGAAGAATAAGGAGAATCCCAACCGACCGCCTGCTCCAGGAACAAAAGGAAGATGGAGAGAGCCCAAAAACAAGAACCGAACCCGAACGCCTGAGCCCAAAAAGAAAGAAAAGCGCCAATCAAATAAACCCAACCCGCCCAAGATGAGGATCCTGGTGAAGATCTACATAGTTCTATGTAAGGCCGGAGTTAGCACTAACAACGCTACCGGTCTCGCGCAGGAAAAATAAAAAACCGGGCCTACCTCGAATCAACTCCGTTGAGGATCAAAGTCAAAATATGAAAACATCCCCTCCGGGGCATCTGGTATATCCGGCGTTGGCAGTCTGCTTATTCGCGGAGCCGGAGGAGGAGTTGGACCACAATAGGTATTTGTGGCTACGGTATTGAGGAATAGTGTTATTGAAAGTTGCTTTTGTGAGGTTCGTGGGTGGTAGAATAGCATCCTCGAGGGAGGTGATGGAGGTGCTGTGAGACTTTGCGACATTGCTACTGGCTCTAAGTGTATTTCTCTGTCGAAAGTGTTAGTTTCACTGAAGCTACACAGACGGGGGGGTAGGAGGGGCACATATAGCATACCTATCTATATACGTTCTACTTGCTACCGAAGAAAGAAAGGAAAAAGAGAAACCACGAACGAAGGAGGATTTCGGATTATGAGCTGAGGGTAACCAGTTGTGGGGGGGGGGGGGGGTGTACAGTCTTGAAGGGAGGAACCGCCGAAGCTTTATATGCTCCCAGAAAACACCCCGGTTTCCGGTCGTATCCATTATCCATGCGAGGTTACATTCCGTCGACCACCACTCCCACTCCTCCGACTGCCTGCCTACCACTCACTGCCTCCTCCGCCGTCCGTCGTATCGAGGGGAAGGGGAAAGTTGACGTAAACGAAGGAGCAGAGGTGTTTGATTCCTAAGCGAAAACCAATTTATGGTTGTGTAGCCCCTCCCTCATCCCTACCTTATCCCTGCCTCTGCCTCTTGCCTACCTACAACCTAGAGTAAGTACCTGCCTGTCTACCTGCCTGCCTGCCTGCCTGCCTACCTGCTTGCCTGCTTGCCTGCCTACCTGCCCTCCCACCTCCCCGGCTGCCATCAACAATCCCTGCATCGCAACCCGTGGGGTCGGCAACGCGTTCGCGTCGTAAGACTACAAGAGAGCCGCATTAAGGTTATCTCGCAGCCAGCCATACGATGAATTTGTAAGACTTCCAGAACGACCCAGGAAGGGCCCAGTGCCGCCAGTCAGTCCTGGAGTTCCGTGTCCGCAGCGGGTGATTGGTGGAAGAGGCAACGGAACCCAACTAACGCAACCAACCAACCCCAACGCAACGCAACGCAACTGAGCGCTCCGGGGGGGGGGGGAGGGTGTGCCTTGCGAATCAATCGACTCGGAGTGGTCGTGTCGGTCGGTGCTCGGTGCTTGGTCTCCGGCGGAGAGAAAGGCCGACGCGACGGTCGGTCACACCGGACGGGGGAATGGGAATGGGAATGCATGTGGATGGGATGGGATGGATGGGATGGCCGCCAATACGCAATGCCTTACGTTGATATGCTCTTCCCTCGCTCGCTTTTTCCTTCTTCGCTCTTCCAGCGAGATACACGTGCAGAAGTGGGTAGGTTTTGTGCGAGTGCTGTTTTGTGCTCGTGTAACGATCACCATCCTTAATGAACATCAGTAAGTACACAGCCAGTTCCAGTTCGCGAATAGGTCTCTAGTGCCCTATCCTGCTGCTGCCTAGGGCTGACAGCGGCAACAACGAGAATGAATTTCTCCTTATCCCTTAAGATCTACTGCTACCTAACTGCTCTGCCTCCCAGGACCGCCACCTGAAACGAGCGCTGAAAACGTGATCACGTGACCAACAATTGCGGTTCCGAGTTATTCCTTGACGACAATGAGAGTTGGTGTAACGTGTGGGGAAGGAGCTTGTTTTTGGTTCAGGACACGTACTCTTCTCTATGGCTGGAGGGAGGGACGTAAGACGTGTGTGGGGAGTGGGGGTTGTGCTCGTACATGTAGCGTCGCCGTACCTGCGTTGGAGGTTGGGAGTCGGGCTGCGAAGTGCGTCACGTGATGTACTTCTGGGGGGAGGTAGCTGTTTGGTGGGTGTGTGATAAGATCTGGATCTGATCTAATATGCGCAGTACTTCCATGTACATACTTGGAATTGGCTTGGACTTTGTGGGGATACGGCGGCGGCGGCGCCAGCGGGGGGATAAGGTGCTGTCCCCGGAGCCCCGGAGGTCCGGGGTCCGGGGATGGCCGCACGAATGGGCGGCGATGGAAGGAGCTCTTGTCATTGGCTACTACTCTACATATAGCTACACTTAGGAGCTCTTGTCAGGAACAGCCAAGACTTGATCTAGCCATGCAATGCAATTATATAAACGCCGTAGGGCTGACACCCCTCCCACGCCCCCCCCCTCGTCCCCAGATAACAGACAGACAGGCTTTGGATCGAGCTGCAGCTCGAGATAGTGGTATACGTGATGCGTTACTCGGACCCCGGGTAGGCAGCTGGAGAGCTTCCGCATCGTGTACCAGAGATTTAAATATATCAACAGCCGAAAGCTCGTTCTCTTCTAATCAGGAGCGTGTACAGTAAGACGGGTAATTCGGCGTGGTGGGAGGTGTGGATGAGGTGGATGAGGTAGCTATGGTGGAATTGGCTGAGGGGTGTTGAGAGATACGGATCTGGGACATAGATCGTAGATCTGGCTAGTGTACCAGCTCTCAAGTTTGGTTGGGGAGGCGAGCTAGGTGTGTGTATGTGTATGTGGGTTGGGTTGGGTTGGGTTGGGTTGGGTTGGGTGGGATATGGGAGGTATGGGGAAGTGGTGCTGGGTGGTGGTAGTGCATGGGCGTACGGTGTGGATTTGCTGTAATATTGCGTTGGCTGGGGGGGTATGGCTCCCCGGATCTGGCGGGTTGTATGGGCACGGCGTTCGGAGGATCTTATCGCCACGTTTGGGCCGTGCGGCGCCGAGAATACCGGAGGTGGTGCAATATTGTGTTTCCGGTGAAGCATATTAGCATTATATACAAAGCCTTAATTTGATCTGATTTTACCTATGTAGTCATTCTACACGGTCACATGATGGTGATGTCAGGGATTTTGTTTTTTACCAACCTTTAAGTACTTGGGGTACTAGATATGTAGGTCTCTTGTTAATTACACATTCTCTGTCCTTATATTTTGTTCTGTACATACAGTTAGATCTAGACCGTTCGCTATATACAATACAATCCTGTCCGTCTCCACATCCCTCGATAAACCGCGCGCATTAACCAGACAGACCTCTACTCGCCATCATATCCATGACAGAGATATATCTCATAATCTCACAACCCCATTTCTTACGGCCACCCCAAAGTTCTACCTCGCCCCCCCCCCAAAGACCCAATCCGTTCCATGAACGAGCTACATTTCAAAATCGGTCCCCATCCCATTACACTACGCTAGTACTTTAACAAAAAAAAAAAAATCAATGGTCCATCATGCAACGCGCGAGCTGTAGTACAATTCACCACATGTCATGATGATGCATTTCATCCCATCCCATCCCATCCCAGCCCGAAACAATTAAAACCCCGGGCAGTTAAACATAAAGAAACCCACCCATGCATGCCATGCCATGCCATGCCATGCCCAACCCAACCGTGAAAACGCCAGAAATACAAAAAAAGAACCCCCACCCGGCCCGGTTGATAGATACCAAAAGACGATAACCACCCACAGAAAAAAAAAAAGGAAGAGCGGAGAATAATAAGAAATGGAAAGAAAAAAAAAGAAAAAAAATTAAAATACCCACTTTCCCCAACCATGGCCACTCTACCCCCCCTCCGCTCCCTCTCCTCCGTCCGCCCCCTCCTCCCCCCCTCCTCTGCTCCGATGCCTCCTCTCGAACCGCCGCCCATCAGGATACGAGTCCTCGGGGTAGTGCCTTACATTCACGACCTTCGCCCAGCTCACCTTCTTGCGCTTCCCCCCCCGCTTCTCCGGCGCCTCGTCGGGCCTGAGCGCGCGCTTGAGCGACGGCTTCGTCGCGGCTGCTGCGTGCTTCGGCCCCTGCCTTTCCGCAGCCTTGTCCGCGCCGCTCTCCTCCCCGCCAGAGCCGGAGCTGGAGCTGGAGCTGGAGCCGTCGCTGCAGCTCGACCCGTCGGAGCTCGAGACGTCCTCGTACAGCGGCCGCTCCACCATCAGCAGCAGGTACAGCGCGTGGTCGGATATCGTGCGCTCGGGCTCCTCCTCGGCGGCGCCCTCTGCAGGGACGGCTTCGCTCGCGGTGCGGGGGGTGCTGCTGCTGGTGCTGGTGCTGGGGAGGTCGGCGGCGTCGCGGTGGTGCGGGGGGAAGAGGTATGTGTATTGCCGTGCTGGGGCGGTCGGGGGTGCCTGCATTTTGTGGACCAGGCCTAGGCTGTGATGGCGGTGATGTGTTTGTGCGTGCACGCTGGGTGCATATGTTGGAATTTTGGGAGGGGAGGGTTAGGTTTGGGATGCTTACGAGGCAGGGTGCTTATATGGGATGGCTCGCTATGACGGAGGGGTGGGGTGGTTGTGGTTGTGTGTTTGCGTATTAACGGTGATCGCAAGCAGGTTTTGTGGTGGTGGTGGTGGTGGTGGTGGTGGTGGTTGTGGCTGGCTGGCTGGCTGGCTGGCTGGTTGGTTGCGAGGCATCGGGGTGGCTATTGGAGGAGTGCGCAGCGGTGCAGTCAGGTGCGGGTCAATGATTGCGGAGCCGCTATTCGGGGCGTGGGTCAACGGGTGGAAGAATGTACGTACATGTCGATAGAGGTGGGGAGTTGTATGGATGGAAGTGTCATAGAAGAGAATAGGAGAGAGGTCGACATCGCTGGTGAAGGAATGAGAGAAACCCGTGGGCGCGAGGAATACGTAATGCGGCGGCTATAAAGAGAAGTGATAGCCTCATGCACGGATCATCACTCGTGGGTGCTGTGGCGCAGGCAGGTCAGTGCGGGTGCTGTGTCTTTGGGGGGGTGTCTTCTTTGCTTCGTCATCATCATAACAATACGATCATTCAATTGAGCTCGTCTACTTTCACGAACAGAGCTGGAGCATCCCTCATGTGATTCGTCTAGGATCAAGGTCTACACTGAACTCCTATTTCGCTGCAAAACGCCTCACTCCGCACTTTGCCCGCCTTACATCGCTACCCAGGCGACGGTATTCTCTGTAATAAGGTATGAAAGGGGAGATGAACTAAACAGAGAGAAAAGACGAAACAAGAAACAAGTCTGCAAAACCAACATACTCCTATACACCCCTCCCTATTCCCTCAGCAAAGATTTATCCCCCCCGACCCTCCGCAAGCCGTGCACTCCGACGACACTTCCTCACCGGCCCCACCTCCACCTCCACCTCCTCCTCCCCATCGCCATCCCCACTCTCCCGCCCCGCCTTCCTCTTCCGCCCACCCCCCCTCCCGCCACCCCCAGCAGCGACCGCCACCACCAGCGGAGACTCCACAACCCCGCCTCCATCCCAGACACCAACCTCCTGCTCTCCCTCCTCCACATCCCCATCCTCATCAACCCCGCCATCCCCCGACCCCAGCACCAGATACCTCGCCCCCGGGAGCACAGGCGACATCAGCCCCTCGCTGCCGCTCTCGGCACTTTCCGGGGCGGGCGCATACCCGTCGTCCCCTCCTCCTCCGCCTCCTCGAACATACTCACGACCGCTCCCGCGGGTGGCAATATCGTCGTCCTGAACATATGCATCTTCGTCGGCGCCCACAACCTCCAGCTCCATCGCAACGCCCGTAAGGAAGTCGCCCATCGCCGCGATGGCGAGCGCGTAGCGCCACGAGGAGGGGTCGCGCTCGAGATGTGTGTCGCGGCGGAAGCGGATGATGCTGGTGTCGCGCACGGCGGTGGCGGAGAAGATCTCGAGGCGGTGGCGCAGGGTGGTGAAGAATTGGGAGACTGTCATTCCCGGGGGTGTGGGTGTGGGGGGTGGTGAGGAGCGCGGGGGCGGGGGCGGGGGCGGGGAACTGCGCATTTGGGGCATTGTGGGTGTGTGGGGCCGGGGCAGAGGGTGTGCGGTGTGAGGAAGGGTGTTTATATGCAGCGGGGAGGTGGTCGAGGGGATTTGGGGGGGGGGGGTTATAAAGTATCCGAACACACGAATGCGTCTTGGGGAAGTAGCATTCTATTCCTACCAATATTCCGTCCCTTCAGACACAATAGGTTATCTCATTTCTATTGACATTACCATAATCCTCGCAAGCCATTGACATTGAACCTACCGGTTCTGGCATCCATAGAATCGTAGCTAGACCGCACATACCAGTCAACCCAGTTACATACTAGGAAGACTATTAACTACAACGGTAATAATACCACTCACGAAAGATCACTCGGGCTTGGATGGTGGCAGGGTTAGGGTTGGGTTTGTATTGGCTGTTGGTTGTTGCGAACAATGTCCTGCATGTACCATCTCAATCGCATTCCACATCAATAGACGTAAAATGCTCCTGGATGATTCGTATGTGTACATACTAAGTATTGCAAGATCGAAGTGGTTTTATCCCGTGGTTGTTTGTTTCTTTACCGGCAAGGGCTGCGGTTGGTTCGGAGCGGAGCGGAGATGGAGTTCGTGTCGGCCATTAATGGGTAGCACTCGGATCCTCTGGCTGGTTGGCGCTCGCTATATACACGTCGATGGCCTGCTGTAGGCGGCGGATCGAAGGCCTAGGGGGGGGGCTCGGGGCGGGGGCGGGGGCGGGGGCGGGGGGGGTATTGAACACTCCCGTCCAAAATACCGATCTGGTCCTCCAACAGTTGATTTAGCAAAGAAATTCCGTTACCGGATCGTATATATTTTCCAGCCAATTAGAGCCGGTCGAATCCAGCGGGCACCCCCGAAAAACACCCGTAGCCCAGTTTATTGAAATCATGGGTGATTTAGCTGCGCTGCCCCCCCGCCCCCCCCCCCCCCCTTACGCGGTCATTTCAGAGGTGTTTTTTTTTTTTTTTTTTTTTTTTTTTTTTTGTATCGAATTGATGACGGGTTTGATGTGAGTGTGGCGTACCAGCCACTCTGCAAAAGTGTTTGTGAGTCCGGTTTCGGGGTGAGACATTTAAATTTCTTCATATGTAACCGTGGCGGACCATCAAAACCCCCCTCCCCCCCCCCCCCCCTCAATAGAAGACTTTCCTGGTGACCAATGGCGGCCCGAAAATCAATGTTGAAGGTGGGTGGTTAATGACCTACTTTCTTTTCTATACAGGTCACCAACTATATCATCTATTTTTTCGTTGCTTTGAACCTCACCACTAATAACATCATGAATCAACTCCACGGGTGCGCCACACTGCGCACTGGCATTAAAACCTAGATCACAAACACTTTTTTGCAGAGTGGCTGTACACTACCCAGACACACTACACAGTCTCCACTTTAAATTTCAAAGGATGCAAAACTAGCCCGCTGATCATCTCATAACACTCCCCCCCCGCGGGGGACACCGAAAAATACCGCCGTGGGGGTGATGTCGCTCAAGGTCGGATAAGTTGTAAAAACGAGTGATATTCCATGATAGCCAGGAATCCTGATTCTGGCAATCTAACTAACACTGACTACGAAGTGCGTACAAGTACTCGAGCTCTCCTCCGTATTGATGTCGGTCCGGTGGGTGTATATAAAGGCGACTCGCTAGTAGACCTTTTTACTACATGTAGTAGGAATGCTGGTTCATGATATATGTCCATGTATACCGGGATTTACCACAAACTGTTTTCTTTCAAACGTACCCTTGAGGATTAAAAACAATATCACACGAAGAAGCATAAAGAACGACGAGCATGAATTAACGTCTCCAAAAGAAACGATATCCCCGCTACTCGGACCACAAGTATGTAGCCATTGCACACACGACCCAAACCCAACCCGAAAAAGCCCAACCGGGCCAGAAAAACAAAAAGAAGCATTCTCACGAAACTGGCCCATCAAGAAAGATTCTACACGACATCGGCAGGATTTGAACCTACGCTCGCGAACGAAACAGATTTCTAATCTGTCGCCTTAACCACTCGGCCACGATGTCCTGTTTCGGTGATGCTGGGATGGCTTTGAATCCGCGCCAAGCTCGGATTTCGGGGCTAGGGGAGGTTGATCTGTAGCACTTCCGGGATTGGTCTCGAACTCTCTCTGGTTACCGGACTGCTTTGGTTTGTGAAAATTGCGAAAGCGTATTTCAGGCCCACGTAGTCCTGCAATTGTGAAGGAAATTTCTTTTCTTGCCAAGACCACTAACACTAGTGCGTCGGGCTACGCTACTAGTACGAGAACCTGGTAAAACTCGTAGTGTTGCGCGGATACCGAAGTTTACATAGAGACAACGCCCGAATACATAACCAGGACCGCAAAGCCTCATGTTAAAGCACCGTAGTAACGTTTGCCGTTTTTTTCTTTACGGACTACAGTCAATCGCTAGCATTCGTATTTTACGTTATACCCTACAACAACTCCTCGCGCGTTAATTAAAAAGATCGGAATTTTGTGTGGGGATTTGGCTTCCGACATTTTAATCAACGAGCGAGTACATGTACACCTCCCCGCAAACTGTTGACTTAGTACAGCGCAAAGAGAATAGACGTAAGTTTACTATAATAACATACCGATAGATCACACCGACAGATCACACCGCATTAAGAGCTCTGACCTGATTGCAGATCTGAATGGTTACGCTAGTAGGGTACTAAGGATACTCGACTGTTGTTCATTAGCACAACTTCCAATACGCCTCCGGATCATCTTCACTGGCTCAATCTATCCCAACTTCTAGTCCCATATTCCTGTATAGCCAGTACAGGCCCGCAGATCGCCACCGACTTATATATACATCTAGCTATAGGATTATCCATTTCGTTCACCCATCGAATCTCGGGACCCAGGAGTCAGGAAGGCGTGAGGACACAATAAAGTGAGCAGTTATCCAACCAGTACCCTATTAATCCCTACTAAACATCCAGGAATTCTAGATACTCAGAAGAGAGAGGCGCACATAGAACTTGATTCCAGACCGAGTGATATTCTATGACTCCGCATTAGTTTCAACGGTATCATTAGATTTTTTTCTACTGTTCTTAGCTTGGAGCTACCATCGACACGTCAATATAATCTGCGCTATGCAGTTTCTCTGGGGCTGCACACCCAGCGGGCTAAACTCTGTGGGCTGGTTTGAGCCCAGAGGTCGGATATGCGGGGTGTATTCCCCAGACCTCAATACCACTTTTGGATTATTCAAACACAGCGTCTAACCAATATCCACTAAGTACCACTTCAGAAAGACTTCATGAAGTCCTAACTTCAACACAAGGAAATTGAATACGTATGTACCGATCTGGCTAATTGACGTTACACACGATCTCAAAAAGGAACAGGAATTAACCCCGCATGAGTGTGTCTTGCATGTGATCCTCTTCCCTTACTTAGAAGACGTTGTTATCTTTAGGTTTTTTGGGGAAAGAATAAGATACAACGGGATCGTCGGAAAGCTGCATGAGGAAGATGGTTTCAGAATGGAGTAAGCTTTTGGTTGTGAAGGGATAAATTTATTATTCCTAAAGAAAATTAAAAGAGTAAATCTACTCTACTGTGAAGTTGCTATTTACACCCCCCCCCCCACCTTCCGTCAGGTTGCAGGATTTCCAATCCTTGTCATTCCCCGCCCCCACTCCTGGTTGCATACAGGGCTGAGCCCAGGTGGGGCTGCCATAGCTCCACGGCATCCCAGAAGCCAACGCTCATTAGATTTGAAGCTCGATATTGATCTGCCCACGAGCTCTTCCCCGCTGCCGCATAGCTTCGGATCTCTCAGCTATCGTCATCGTAGTCTCTCGTGTTGTTGCATCATCTTTTTTCTGCCGGGCGTAGTACCGCTGCTCGAGTGGTACCGGTGTTGTCGACGAGGTAAATGAGCGCGCAGCGTATGTGGGAATGTACGGGTTTGGTGTTGGCGGTTTTTCTGCGGCCGCTTGACGACGGGAGCGGGGAAGTGAGAAGAAGGATAGTCGGGAGGAATTTTTCTATAACGAGGTTAGATAGTGTTTGGATCAGAGACAAGGGGGGGAAAACCTTGAAATGCATCTTATCTGCTGGTTTTTGGGTTCAAATAGTTTTGTCTGAAAATCCTTCCGGCGAAGGGCTGATAATGACGGCAATTGAAGATAATTACCAGTGAAATATCTCTTTGATTACCAGAGTCTGGGGCACCGGGGGAGAGACAGATCTGATAATGATGGTAGTAGTTGAAGAGGTGGATAAATATCTGGTTTCGGAACAGTTGAGGGGTGATGGAGTTTAAGTACTATAGAACTTCTGTATAAGAAGCATTTCTCATGACGTGCCCATACTTGAATGGAATACAAGCCTCAAGCCTCAATAAAAAAGATGTGGCCCCCACGTCTCACCTCATTCACCTGACCAATGCCATGCAGATGCGATGAGAAACAAAAAGCAAAGATGACACGCAAGCTCAAACAATTATGATGTATCGGAGATGTTGTTACTGATTGGTTGATATTGATCGCTCTACAGACTGATTTCTGTTCCTGCGCCAAGTTTTCATGCGAGACCCAGCCGCTCATACATACATGTATGTTTTCAGCACCACATGGCGGTTTCCATCCGGAGATTTTGTTTCGTGATGCCGGCTGGAGATATCGAGTGGCTTGCTCTAGCTGAGACATGATCCCCGTTGCACAAAAAGAAAACCTGCCGATAATGACGTCGTAAATCATTGATTCGCTTGAGGTCTAGAGCTTTTACCTTCACCCCTACCAGGCTGGGCCAAAAGTTGAACCAATAATGTAACCCTACTTATGATATTAGAGATACATGTATAGGCACATTTTAAACCCAAGGTACTATGAACACTTACTGTGTTCTTAACCAATAGCAAATGCTATCTACTTTCCCAGCGATCATAGAAGAGTGACAGCCCCTCGCGCATCAGAACAAAGCCTGGCTTCCCGTCCATATTATTTCCTTTTAGATACGGAAAGTAGTGTGACAAATGAAAATGAAAGGGTTCAATTTGAGGTATTTGTAGAGAAATAGTTCCCTTGGTAGATAGTATACGGTAGCTGCAAAACCGAGAGTAAACCTTAATCGCTTTCGGGTGACCTATGATAACCCTAATACACATGATCCACTCTAGTTTGAACTACCCCACGTCGTGCTCAAGATAGGTAGCAAGGTCTTCGCATTACACATCCTCAGATTGAATGATGTCTAACTCTTCATCCGACAATTAAGTCCTGTTCTTGCATTACCCCCCCCCCCCCCCCCCCCAAAAAAAAAAAAAAAAAAAAAAAAAAAGAAAACCCCTACGCTGCCAATTAATACTGGACACGCGTAACCACTAGCATAGACACGCCAATGACTCGAATCTTGATCACCTCCGTTATTAGGAGGGTAATGCTAGGCCGAGTCTGGCTATGCCCCCGGTTGAAATCATTTGCTCATCCTAAGAAATATGTCGGTGGGGATGTTCTGCTATTATTTTGGTGCTATCATTATAGAACATTAGTTAGCTCTTTGAAGGATGCGAGGAGAGGGGTGTCCGCACTTCTCGTTTGAAGAAACCCAAGTTAAGTCAATTCCTGTCCCAAGAGATCATGTATATAAGCTTCTTATATGTCACATCAGGACCATATATTTGGAAAGATCTCATCGGACTAGAGAACCATTATTATCGGTCACGTCAGATATGTACCAAGTCTGAGACCTTTTGAGTGAGAAGCCTCCTTCGACTTGTCTTTAAACGGTCTTCCTTCCATTATCATACAATTTTGTCGAGCATGTAGGCTAATCGCATACTACTAGCTCTGAAGTTACCTGCTAGATGATATATGGTAGGTCTCTTACACTGGAGTTTACTCCACAGTGTTTACCAGAAAACTCGAAGACCTTCCCTTAGTCTAGTAAAATATATCTTTGGTCAGACGTAGTACGAGGTACTAATATCTGATATCACAAATTCCAAGTAATTAATGGCCTTTTTATGTCGGACACACACAAAGCACAAGGTCCAACCCTATTACCGTCACCCCAGCACGTTGCATCACCTGGAATAGCACACCTCCTATTCGCATACTCTCATAACAAGGAACTCCGCTGGTAAAACGAAATTATTTAATGAGTTACAATGGAATCCGAAAGATGAGGTCTCAATCAAAAAAAAAAGAAAAAAGAAAAAAGAAAAAAGCCTTATCACAGTTGAAGGAGGAGCAAATAAATCCTCTAATTCTCGGAAAATTCAACGGTGCTTTCAGACATAGGGTTAAATTAAATAAATTTCTGATCTCACCTTAGCTAAAAACCGGATTTTTTCTTTTCCCTCCAGGCCAGTCTTTTGGCAGAAAAGAAAGAATGAGATTTGCCCTGGGGCAATTGTATGGAAATTATAAGGACATGATAGCTAGCATCAGTTCCAGCCGCTCTGTCCCGTCCCGTTATTGAATTTCTTCAATTGGCCGTGTGGGTTATAGCGCGGGACAACACGTTACTTGTTCCTGTGAGAGTTTTAGTATATCTGCCGACAGAGACTCACGCTACTGGCTGGAGTGTACCATAGTGACACAAGTACCTGTGTGAAGCACTACGCGACTTGACTGAACCGGTATTGTATTGGGATAATGTATTTCCGAATGAAACAAGTACAATGACTAGAAGTACTTTTCAAAGGACTCAGCCACAGCAGTTATGTTTCTTCCCCTCCCGCTCATTCTAAATTTCATAGGGTACCTGCTTTAAACCTATTTTTGTGGCAGAAGCTGAGTCGGAATATACTTGAAGAATTCACTGCCTCCTCAATTAGACAATCTAAAGTTCGCGAATTGATTCGAGGCTCTCCCGCAACGTTTATCTGCGATCTTACGAGTGATATCACATGACTCACCCTTCCAAGAATTGATTGATGATTGACCCTTCCAGGAAACGAAACACTCTCGACTTTGTGCTGGGCTTCAAGTGGCCCGGGTGGCGTCAATGACGTCTGGTGGGAGCAAGGTCCTTCCTTCGTACCAGGACAGTATCATCCACCGATTCCACGTCGCACTACAACATTCCGCAGTGCATCGCCCACTACGCCAACAAGCGCCTCTTCCGCCTTCGACCGCATCCGCGGCGGTGCGGCGGTGCGGCAGGATTCAGCTTCAGATATGTTTGTTACTCTAATAAACGCGGTGTTGCACACACCCTCGAAACACGTTGGCGAGTTGCTCGGCAATGCCGGATCTTCTCAAACTGGCAATGGTTCTAATTACATGTAGTTACTGCAACCATAAACCCTGCAATGCGAGAGGCACCCACCTAAATACATATAGAGAACCTGAGGGTGGAGATAAAATTAAATGGCTCACTCTAATCTGGGCTAGACACCCACAGCGCATGGTATTCTTCAGATGGTCTATCCGTCATAAAGGTGAGAACCCACATAAGATCCCAGACAAAGGCGGTTAGCTTTGTTCAGCAGAAGCGCCTCCCCAGCCCCATTGGACTATTCCACTGGTGATGTCTGGACTCTTTTGCATACTGACTTTGGTGTTTACACTTCGATGTCCCCCATCTTTGAGAGTCATGCCATTTTCTGAGGACATCCGCCCAGACGTGCGAGTGACATGCCATGACCCGATTACTATCAAGATGCATAATCAAGGCCCAGGAATTACTCGCCGCAGATCCGAGATCTTACCTTACGCTATTATAACTGTCAAGCTTAAGCCTCGGCTCCGCCGACCAGTGAGCGGTGGTCTATGTTTCAGCCGTGATTCGCCAATGCAGCCTCTGAAGATGAAACGACGACTCCGCATTTCTCATCTGTTTGCAGCTTGGCATACCTACTTACTGTCAGTGAGATGAGATGAGATGCGTACTACAACGTTAACTCCGGAATTTTTTAGGAGGTGCTGACCGAAATCTGGGTCCCAAAGCTTTTTTTTGTAGGGCTTTATTTTACCGAGAGAGGCCTTACCCGTGGTGGAGGTGGGGGTCTTGATCGGATGTCCACCCGGAAAGCCTTAATTCGTGTTGAGTGAGATCGCATCTTATGCGATTGTACCTGTGTAAGATTTGCTTCTTGAAGCTGCGCTTAAAAGAGGTTTCAGAAGAATAAAGTATATTTTGCGCTCTGACTGTAGATCTATCGTCAAGAACAATGCGGTAAAAATAAAAAGACCACCCCCACCCGTCGCCTGCGGAAACTCCTGGTTATAAAATGACGAATGAAAAACATGAAAATGCAGCTAGTAAAGCAATGTACAAAATATGGTTGAAATGCAGTCCATGCTGAATTATTTGGACACATCCAGATGTGAATGTTATATACACAAAACTTCATTAAACACAAAACCTGCTATGCTATCCAGTATAAAGTTTCGCACCCCCCTCTAAATTATGTCCCCTTCGATCTCTGCCATGCAGAGGACGGTCTTGAATTACTTGTCGGCAGCTCCTGTGCCCGCCCGGCATTCAACCATTTTGCAAATGGTACTCCCGGCGGCAGCGGGTGATAGGCAGCCTCCTGCTGAATCTGATTCTGCGATTTTCCAGTCCCCCCAAGTACGGTTGATACATCATCTGCATCGTCACTATAGTCACTTTCCGTCCCACTGGGGGCATAATTCCGCGGTTGTGCGCCTGGTGTTGGGTGGCCTGCTGGCCTTGGTACGGGTTTCCGGGGTGGTACTATTTTTGATGCCTTTGTTGCCGGGCTTCCGTATACTACTTTAGTTCCAGGGTGGACGGCTGACAAGCGCTTTGCGAGTAGGTCAGAGAAGTGTTTGGTATTACTATTATGGTATGAGCTGCGAGAGAGTCGGTCGAATGTTACGGCCTTTCTTGCGTATGGTATTATAGATGCGCGTTTTGGTCGAGATAATATCGGGCGCCCGGGCAAGGGGGTGTCGCGCTCTGTTTTTGACGATGCGGCGCCTAGCATGGATCTTGCTGATTCTCCTTCTAGGTCTCTGTCTCTGATTGTGCCATTAGCCATTGTTCCCCACTACTATATTCTGAACCGAGACACCTACTCTTCGTCTTCATAGCGGCGGCTCGCGAGAAAATTGACGGCCCAATATAGTAGTAATATTAACATCGCAAGACCACCAACAACACCAATTGTGATCGCGACAACTCTTGTATCACCGGATCGATGATTTTCATCTGAAGTCGCGCTCTCGGTCGGGGATGAATCTATATCCAAGGTTGGTGATGCATTTAGTGGGGTCGTAATTGTCACAACCACCATCGAAGGCCTCACAGTTGAGGTCACATGTGTCGTCACCAAAGGCCGTGTAGATGAACTATCGTCTGACACGCTAGTTGGTAAGGGGGTAGATATTGAATCCGAGATTGTAGTCGCTACCGAGGTTGGCTCGACCGTCACCGCCGATGCTATTTGTTCATCCTGATTAGAACTAGAAATGAAAAGCTAGAGGGAAAGTATTTACTGCAAAACTCCCCGACACATGCTGATATCAGTGCTACTGATACTTCTGCGTCTGACATTGTTCAGAGTTTTACTTCCAGCGGGACCCTCCCTTTTTAATACACGTGGGTTGATATTGTCGATTAGAAAAGGAAAGAGCTATGGAAATATATTGAGTGCGCCCGGATTCTTCGATAGTATCATGTAATGTTCAAGAAAACCTTCCAGTCAACAAAACCTTTCCTCGATTTCTCTCGGGGGACCCCGACAGAACTTATACTCTCCTGCCCCACCCCAGCGGCGTGGTTGATGAAAATCCATGTCATGTATGGAAATGATCGTAAGGTTTGGCGACGGCGCAGTCTGACTGACAGAATAGGTATCTGAGAAATTGAAGCCTTGACAGTTTTATTGCTTTGCTTCACTATGGGAGACTAAATTCGCATGAATAAGCGCTTAGGAGGCGGAGATCCCTGCGTCGATCTCCATATGAGGTTGGCCAGAGGCTCTTTTGCTATTTATGTCCCAGGAAGATATCCCGGTGGGGTTGATACGAACCGCAGGTGGCACCCCACCGACGACGGAACCATGAATCGCAAAGCATTGTGCAACATTTTCGAAGCTGCCATGTAATTTTCCACTGTGAAGTTCCTATCTTTCACACCTCCGTAAATATCGATCCCACGACCAGGGAAACTGAGAATGTTAATGACAGTTGACATTCGTTTTTGCGGGTTACCAGGAAATTGGTACCTTCTCGGACCATAAGCGGCTAGGTGCAGGCTAAATATCCGGGTGCTCTTCCAGAGAACCTAGTAACACCCACGATTTCTCACGCACCCCCAAAAAACCATTTCTCAAGATGATTTCGGGGAGTTGCACAATAAACCAGATTATTGAAACTGACCTTCGGCTAATCGCTTAGCTGTGTTGCAGAGGAAAAGCACAATTGTTTTTTTTTAGTGCTTCTCCCAAGTTAAAGTGTTTTATGGCACCCTGCTGCGGAAAGTATAAAGTACGCATCCAGTTCAAGTCATTTGCTGTCAAATAAAGAAGCTTCCGTTGAATTCTGCTGTCATAAATGATCTAAGCATGTGCAGTTTTGCTTGATATCACCATAAACCTGTATCTAGATACTCCACGTGCACAAGAATGTCCACGAAAACGTTCTCACCAAGTTATCCCTACTAGAAATCACTTGACGGGGGTCGTAGCGAAGCGAAATTTGATTTCCGCCCTTTCCAGTTGGTTATCCCCCCAGCGCCTGTGGAATTAGCAGGGATACAAAGGCTTATGATTAAGTAGGAAATGTAGCAAAGACAGAGAGACAGAAAGGGGATAAATGATGGTAAATAAGTTCCCTAAAGGATAAACGGCTGTGTATCTGTGCGGCCCATCCATCAACGCCCCAGTCTCAGTCACGTTACACTGCTTACATGTATGTAGATGTATTATAGTAGAATCATCGGGTAAATTAGTAAAGACCCTACGGTGAAGCTTGATATTCTTGTCGCAAAATTGGGGCCGATCTGTATCATAGCTTTTAAAGGAATCGAGTACCCTTCAACGTACGCAAACAAGGACAGATCCCTTGTAGAGAACTGTTGGATTGTCTAACTGGATACAATATGTTAATTTTGCACATATCTCCTACAATCATATCTGCTGCGCCTTGTATGTTTGACTTACGCGGGACTGTTTTCGAAAGCTTATGTGCGGAATTATCCAAATTCCACGTGACCAGACTCTATTGTTTAATGTTCAAACAATCCAACAATCGGGAGGAGTCCCGCGTGTCAAAACGACAGCCAGTGATAGGAAGACTGGGAACCTTGAGAGTTAGACACGAAATCTTGCACTATATAGTTGCCAAATATGCATCCAAGAGCGAAATTCATGCGTGATTTTCTGCTGTGCCTCTTCTCGTTGTTGAGTCTTCATGCTGTATTTAGCTCCAAATATGTGTGGGGTTTTATGCAGAAAAATAACCCATCACAGAAAGGGTGGGAATTGAGATTTCGATGTAGGGTAGGTTCCCATTTGTGGTTTTATCAACCCTTTGCTTTTGTGGGGTAGCTGATGAAATTTTGGTGCTTTCGATCTAGCCCCGGTCAACTCATGCATGGGGGGTATCAACGATGAAGCCAAGAAGAGGGTGCTTAGCATCCTTATAAATAATTCACCTCTCTCAGTGCACAGGTCTATTCCATTCCTCATGAGTTGATCGGTTCTCTGCCAAGAGGAAGTCCTGGATGAAGAAAATAAAGGCGGCGACCGGAATGAGAATGGTATATAGAGGAAACAGAAGCCGAGCCTGATAATAATGATAAAGATCCTGACATTTGTGATGAAGAAGATTCAGTGTATGTTGATAGGGGAGAGGTGCATGTACATGTAGTTGGTACAGGACTCTAAGCTTTCCTTGGCCGGTTTACACCTAACCCTGAAGAATTCAAACTCATACATGCTCCGGATTTCATCCAGCTTCAAGTATTAATTACATGTACACATAATTTAGAGAAATAAACTTAAATAAAATAATCTTGGTCTCGATAAACTCAGACGCTTTCCCGGATTCTTGGTGATTTCGGGCTAAATCCTGTGGGCAATTAGGGTACACCGCCCCCCCCCCCCCCCCCACAAACCCTTAGCTCCCACAGCTACCTGCACACAACAACGCATACGCGTAGCCTTCACCACCCACCGCCCCCAACTGGCACCAACCTCAAGCACCTCTGGTAGTCTGGTGCGAGACTACATAGAATAATCTCATGTGTAAGCTCTATACATGTATGTAAATGGCCATTGAGAGCGTCACTGATGCGTACAGAATAGAGACTATCACGAGGACGCTGGAGGCGAGGTTTGAGAGTGCCCTCGAGGTGTTTTATCCTCGTTGACATCTGTCTTTGTCTGACCCCGACGTCCAATGCCGTTTTCCTCGAGACCAAAAGCGGAATTCTGTCCTTAATCTCATCTCAATTGGCGGGATTAAGTACACCAGAACCGGGAATATGAGTATTACGACGATGCTTCTGATAATCAGGAGTGGTGGGGTAGTCGCCTCTCGATACAAGGATACGGTCGGGACCGAAAATCTGTTCTTCTTATAACGGGGAATCTGAGTACTACGACAATGCTTCTGATAATCAGGCGTGGTTGGGGCAGTCGCCTCTCGATATAAGGATACGGTCGGGACCGAAAACCTGTCTTTCTTATAAGGCGAGTATCACTATAAGAAGCAATGAGGTGCGGGTAAAAACGCATTTCGGGACCGCCGATTACTTTCCTTATAACGGGACAGGCAGGGTGTCCTCAAGGCAAAGACAGGTAGTGTCCTCAAAACTCCTTGTTCTTTTAGAATACTGTCCTTTTATGTTATCGAGGACATGTCCTCGAGGAAAGGACACAAGGATGTTCGTCCTCGTGGACCATGCTATAAGTATCGCTGAAACATCTTCTCTCTAAAACAGATACGCCCATCATGTCACAAGTACGCCACCCACTTCAAATCTCTCGATGCAGCGAAGGTAAGAGCCACCCTCAATGTATCACTATCATCAATGCTGCTGTTAACATAAGTAAAGAACCTGCGATTACCCATCCATTGATGATCCAGGAAAGCTACAGCGCAAACATATTATTCCAGCTTAGGGTGAAGGGGGCTACTCATTCCCAGTTTTCGAAGGAACTCGAACTGTGGGAGACGACTTTTAAGTTCCTCAACACTGAGTATATCGATCTGCTGGTGTTTTTCAAGGCATCAGGTCATCTCAAGGGGAGTGCCGACGAGATTGAAAAGGCCTTGAATCCAGCTCGCTTGGCGGTGGTCAGCAGGATTATAAGTGCCTTGATATACATGAGGATCAAGCCTCTTGAGTCAGTTAATCCCATTGGATGACTTATAGAAACTGTGCTGATATCGATACGGATTCTAGGTTTCCACATAGTCAATTCGCGGTCGCAGCCCTTGAGACGGCATACAATGAGTGGGATAAATTTGAGAACTCGTTGTTTGTCCTCATCTGGAAGGTATCTAATAACCAAAGTTTTCCTTTATGCTCTATATGACACAGCTGACACTGATGTAGCTCTTCAAAAAATCTGACAGCCCTTAGTATATTGGATGGCTGTCATGTAAATGTATTACTATTAGTTCTCCGCAACCATTGTGGTAGTTCTCCTTTAAGTACCAACTTTTGGCCACCAATTTTCGGTATATACCTTACCGTTCCTCTCTGACCTCCTCCGTCGAAACTAATCAAATCGTGCATAGAAGCCCCATGATATCCGCATCTTCTGTATCCATAGTAATTGTACATTGATGCATTCGTTCTGTATTTTAGTCAACTACCGCTAGGAGGCATTTATAAGATTAATGAGTTAAACAAACAAACAAACAAAAAGAACCTAGGAGGCATTTTATTTTCAAGATTATTAGTCTGAGGATGGTCTATATGTACTATTTTATTACTTCACGTTTTCCTTTAAGAATTTTTATATCTTTCAAGTAAAAATAAAGGTATCAAGTCTCAAGAACATATGAACTTGGAACTACCTATTCAAGATGGCGATTATTATACTTAAACAAATTATTTCCCACGCCCATAAAAGCCATATATCTTCCCCAAGGGTGACCAAAAACTACTCACAAGCCTTGCACACTAATCGATCTATCGAAAATCAAAGAGGTTAACTACCTACCCTATACAGCATATATACTACAGATATCATGGACAGTACCAAGCGCCTCGAAACAGAAACAATTAACGTCAAGGATATAACAATTGGCGTAGAGCTGGAAATGATACTTTTCAAGCTACCCTTCGCTATCAAACACGTTCCATATGGTGAACTGGACTTTATCGCTAACGCTTTAGAGGGGCTAGCTACCGAAATGGGTGTCATGCGCATCATAGAGGGGGTAATGATCCAGGAATTAAAGAATTTCAAGTCTCAAGACACCTCTATTGAAGGAATGGCACAACGCGACCACAAAGAGCTCCACTTCCAGATCAAAGACGACATCTCCATCAAGCCCTTTCACCCGACCAACAAGAGCCTCCATGGCCGCGGTGTTGAGGTCTGCACCCCAATCCTCACCCAAGATAACTGGGAACAGACTCTTCGGTCCATGTGCACCGCCATCACCACCGCATGCCAACAATGCGGCGCCGCCATACATTTCAACGACACCTGTGGCCTCCACGTCCACATCGGCCTTGGCCGAGAATACACCGTACGAGAACTAAAACAGCTCGCGAAAGCGATCGTCCTCTTTGAACGCCAAATGGACCAGCACCACCCGCGACACCGCCGCTCCCCACCACCGGGCAAAAACAGGAGCAGCATGATCGCTTCTAACCTCGATAACCATGGCCTCAGAGGCCTCCCTCCTGCACAGATGATCTGGAGAATCGATGACCAAATCGATGTCTACAGGGTGTTGCGCATTATCAATGGCGCCAATGACGGTAACTATACGAGTATATCCAGGTTCTATAAGTACAACCTGACATGTGTGTTGACATACAAGACAGTTGAGTTCAGACAGGCGGCTGGCACCATTGACGCGGAGTGGATTGTCGCCTGGGTGAAGAACATATGTAGCTTTGTGACTGCGGCAGCGGCGACCGAGGATGAAACGTGGTACGAATGGGCCGAGAGCCTGGACAGTGTTGTTACTGATGCGGAGATCCGCAGGAGGTTTGGGATGCCAGAGAATATTGAGACAGATGAGGCAGATGGTGTGGTAGAAGGAGAAGAAGATGAAGCTGAGTACGAAGATGGAGAAGACGACATGAGTTTTGACTATGCTGACGAGTTCGAGCTCTTTACCATCAGTGGAGACGACAGCGATTCGGAATAGAGTTATTTTTGAGGGTAGGCTGGATATATGTAGTGTTGGAAATTTAGTTGGTAGAGAATTTAGCGAAACAATAGATTATGAATTGACCTCAAGAGTTTTTCCCGTAGGCAACAGAACCCAAACAACGCCCGGACCCGCCAAGAGCAGCATCGAGTGATAACCGATGAAGATGCAGGGTTAGGGTTCTGTCAAACCTCAAGATTTGCAGAGAACGCCTGTGACTCAAACTTTGTAATATTGTGAATGAGAGTCAATGTCACAATCCCATGAAGCAGGTGTTTATAAATTGTTATCTTCAAATCTCGTTATTTATTCATAAGTATAATTCGTTTCTCCCCCCAACCAACACCAGTACTCCAAAAGCGCCTCCATACCCCCAAACAAAAGAAAAAAGACCGCCGCCCAGTAATACTACAACTAAGGAGTGAGAAAAAGTTGGATATAAAAACAAACACAAAACGCCCATATAAACAAAAACTCCTATAATGTAGTCCCAACCGCAGCGTCTATATGCTATCCGCGCCCTTCAAACAAAACACGACATCCCCCTCAATGGCGCTGTTCCTACCCGCGAGATACCTCGTCCTCGGGCGTCCCCTATCCAGTAGTTCCTCCTCTGCCCACGCCCCCTCTAGCGCCGCCCAATCAAGGCCTTCATCTCCCTCTTCCCCTTCCTCCCCTTGCATCATACCAACGAGAATATCGCCCTCCCGCTCCTCCTCGGTCCAGTAGTCGGCAATGACCTCCTCGACATCCACACTCGACTCGGAAGATTCGGCACTGTAGATGCCCTCCCGCCAGTCATCGGGTGACCCACCGCCATAGCTCCCGTTGAGGATCATCTCAATCTCAAACTCGAGTCCCCCGTTCCCGTACTGTTCCTGATGGCCCTCGTCGAGGAACTGCTCCTCGTACATCTCGTCGACATCAAGTTCATCCTCGTAGCGCTCATCAACATCGCTGAGTGCGCAGCCTTCATCCTCGTCAAAGCGGAATGCATCACCGACGCTGCTGGCAAATGAAGCACGTGCTCCGTAGTAGCTTGCGAGCCGCGGTGAGACGGGGTAGACGGGTGATAGTAGTGCTGTCTCTCCGGGCAGCTTGGGTGATAGCATGGTGGTAGTTATAGGTTTTGCGGGTGATGGAGGCGGGGGTGGGGATGGCTCGCTGTTCACTACGGCGCCGTCTGGGTCTAGAACGCTTGCTCTAGCCTCTACGTTGAAGATGGAGTCTGAAGCAGGCCTTGACTGACAGGTGCTGGTGCTAGCGGAGAGAATATCTCCTGATTCGCTCCAGTTAAAGTTGTTGAACCACTCCACGAGGCCGTCGTTGAAGCCTTCAAAGTCAACCTCCAAGACTGGGCTAGACTCGCAGACTGGCTTTGTGGGGAGAGGAGAGTCAGGGACTTCGGGAAGTGGCATAAGTGCGTATATTTCTTTTCCTTCCGGTGTACCTGGCTTTGGATGTTGCTGCCTTTGCTTTACCTTGCTATTCACAGCACTCGCTTTAACCCTCCTGCGTTTCTGCGGAACCGGTGCCATTATAACTGGCGCCGGAAATTCAACATCACCCATTAGCTCTACTGGTGCAACCTCAACCTCACTGCCAACCAGCTCAGCCATATACCCCACTGGTGTTGGAGTTGGCGTTGGTACCGGCGGGGTAGGTCTTGCACGTTGTCTTTGAGCTCGGCTTTTCGCCGGTGTTGGTGGAGGAGGTGGCGTGCGCGGCGGCCGCTCAACTGAGTCGATCGTGATTCGGCGCGGCGCGATCCCGCTTGAGTTTTGGAGTGTTACAATATCTGGATTGCTCCTGGCTGCGGGCTGCTTCTTGGCGTTTGGGTACATTGAGAGTACAGATTCAAACATCTCACTTGTTTTGTTGCGGAGCTGTACCGGTGTTCCTTTTCGCGGGGTAGGAGAAGATAGATGAATTGGTGGTGGGATCGTCTTACCACAGTTGCCTCGGGGTGGTGGCAGTAATGGGCTATTCTCCGGTGATCTCCAAGGCCGTGCACGTGAGGGATATATTCCTGGCGACCCGATCCCTGGCCAGAATATGTCATTTGGCGTCTCGGGAGCAATGAAGCTAGATGGTCTCTTTTGCCGGGAATCCACAAGACGTCTCATCTCACCGGGTGAGACCAGTGATGGCGCGGACGCGGACGGGTGGTGATTTCTGATGCGGCCTGGATGCGGTACTGAGCGGATTTCTGGTCCTGTACGTGATGATGTTGATGTTCCTCTGCTGATGGGGGACATGAATTTTTTTGATTTCGAGGTTAGACGTAGGAGCTTCCGCGTGGGCGGAGATGATGGTGGTATTGGAAGCTGCTTTTGAGTGTTATAACTAGGAGTAAGAGGAGAGACCTGGCGTTGAAGGCCTGCAGAACGTTTTTCGACCATGAATTGTCGCATTTGTTGCTCCAGATCGAAAGGACGAGACTGCTGTTGTGGGGCCGGAGAAGCAGGCCGTTTGGTGGTACTAGTGAAACTGTATTTGGTCATTGTGAATATCGTGTAGACGATCTACGCCGTGGATCGTGATAATTGATCAATTCAAGCACATGCAATAGGCTGAGAAGAATCAAGCAGTAAAAGAGCGATGAAGCCGTGCCGTTAAATCCTCCAAATATCAAAAGTAGGACTTTTCTTTTCTTCGAAACGAATGGACCCTGTACTATGAGGCGAATAGTACTAATCTGTACAAACCCTCGCAGACCAGCCGAGATCAAACCAGAAGAGCGAGTGTCGAAACGAATGTGGAAATCAATCAAGATATGAAAAGGGAAAGAAAGGAAAAGAATAGACCCCCGTGACGGTGAGGTCGGGGGATTATGTACGGTAGAGACGGTATGGGAACGGCAGATCAATATCTGATTATTGTGGGGAAGTTACGGTGATAACCCACACCGACGGTGTGGGTGTAGGTTTGTCCTATGTGAACCACTCATGTTGGCTGCCTCTCACTCAGTACGGTGTTGTCGTGCCATGTTGATGGCGGGGGCCGAAGGATGGGTGTTTACCGACGGGTTCTAGAAATGGATGCTGTCAACCGATGGGTCACCGTCACAGGATGGGGAGTTTTATCGAAGATATGTACCTATATAGAAGAACTGTATGAGATACCCCTCTGGAACTCCGATAGGTAGATGTCTTGATCTGCGTGTGGATCGTGCACGTCTTGCAACTACTGAGACGGTCCTGGACAACGTTGTGACTCGACCACTCAACACCCCTGTAACGAGGTATTATTAACCACGCACTAAGCCTGATTAGGTGGTAATTGTAAGCATTTCATGCGGAGCCTCAATCGGCATGCGACCAGGACCCGACCGACGGTGGGTCATTGGCCGGAACAGAGCGGCGGAGATCACTTTTCGCGGCGAATCTTCCTAACTGCCAACAGCGTTTGAGTTTGACCATTGTTCTGATAAATAAGCTCAATTGCCAACTGGATCAGCGATGCGACTTCGTTAAGGTGTGTCTTGCACAAATCATTTGGATCACGGACGACACGCACATTAACATTTTGAGCGTACGGCCCTTCTGCTCGGAATAACACTGTATTGTGCACCAAAGGTAAACTCCCTATCTTGATATCGCACCAATCCCCCAATCGATTGGTAAAAACAACCCCTCTTTAATCTCGGTGGGGTCTTGTGGCAGGGCTCGGTCTACCTACCGGGATGGACCTCAATCACGCCTACGGCACAGGACCAGTCGAATTAATCTTCTTTATATCACCCACGAAGAGAAAGAACATGTAGTGTAGCCACGCGATCCAGTAAGCGTGCACTTCGAGAAGAAGCTTAATTCTAGGTTAATTCTGGGAACAATATTCCGTTGTTTCGGGTTGGTGCAGGATGTACTCGCTGGTATCATGCACCGTCATTCTGGTGGGAAGATACTTGTAAGACTTGGTGAGAAAGTAAGGATTGATGGAAATTTGGTTATCTTGATCTGTACAACTATTTCACGCCGTATTATTAGCCACTGTTATAATACTTACAATTACATAAGTGTGTATGACCCTACCTACAGGATGGGAAGGTCGGAACCTTCATCCCATAATCAGACGAGGAAGTACTCGGTCTCGAAAGCGATTCCAAACTCCCGGTAGTGGCATACATGATTCTAGAGTGCACCATGAGTACAATACAGTAAGTATATATAGGCTACCTCCGAATACATGTGGTTGAATGGTTTTTGATCTTGGGATATATCGCAAGATTGATCAGCAGCCTTGATGAAACAAATTCCTTCAACAATCCATTTAGACCAGTAATCACAGCCTTGGTTATTCCGGCTTTTTGTGCGGCTAGATATGACGTAGTGGGGTCCGGTCCTATTCAGGTATTCCAAGGCTCGAAATACCCAACATGCAGAGTGTACTTGTAGGAAAACCGAGTGATGATCCATGAACTCACCAGCTAGTTCAAAGTCCATTGACTTCCAAGAAACCAAAAGTATCAATAATCAACTTCGGAAACCCCCTAACTCACCTGCTCTGAGCTCTCACCACACCCATTCCATCCTCGCCATATCACAACACCCTGTTGCCAAGACATCCACGCCGCCGGCACCGCCTCAACCCCGGAATAGGAACAGAACCAACAGACTGGCTACTTATCTTCCACCGACGGTATCGATAGACCGCCTTGGAACATTTATGAGGTTTGACCGTTTGATAAGTAAGTGAGTGAAATTGTTTTCGTTTCTATCATCGTCCCTTCAATTTAGGTATGGGTGTCTTAGCCCATGGGCGATCACGCATCGGTGTTTGAGATGTTTTCCGATAGAATCTACGACAGGATAGACTGGTTAATTAAATCTTTCTTATCCTGAACGGATATATTAGGAGGCCCATTCTTAGCTAATCGATTGACTGGCAGGTGACCGCAGAACAAAAGTCGAACAAGAGGACGAAGTTAAACTCCAAGCCTCGTGTTCATGTGCCATGTGTAAGCAATCACTCCTTTCCTAACGACAATAGATAAAGTTAGTAGGGCTATCTTTCTAGCGTATAGTATCGGAACAAGAATTTCCTTTCCGGGCTTTAAAAAATAACAGCCACCCACCCACAGTGGTAATTACTAGCTTGCTTCGGTGGAGTTGACGCGAAGAACCTAAGATCAATAGTAAGAGATGTAAGATACCCTAGAACACAAGTCAGCAGCCCTCTTCTAATTGATTCTTGAAGCTGAGATTACGCGAATATCTGCGCAATGCCTTGTTGTTTGATGATAACCTCTAAGAATGCTCCTAAGTTCGTGTCAAGATGTCTAGAATGGGTGCTGAGAGGAATCCTCGCTTTTTGTTTCTGTTGATGACGATAGCTCATTCTATCTTTAACCGTATACCTCTAGCATCATGCTACCAAAGACGTCACATGTGGAGGGACAGCAATGTTGAAATGGAGTGGCGGGCAATGCGGTGTTACTCTTGTCTGTGAACATTGGTATGGTTTGGGGACCGATATCCATGTGTCGCCTGACTAGCTTCATCCGCTACAGGCAGGTGTAACATTCTCGAGCGGCACCCAACATGCTGAAAAATCAGACATGTAAATTTCAGGTTTCGGATAAAGCCAGATATGTTGGGCGACAATACTAGTGCAAAGGACTCTATGCATACCACGAACACTACATTTAGTGATAGTGGGAGAAGGGAGAGGGTAAAGACAATCCGCACATCTAGACACCCGTGGGCACGCCCCACCTTTCCCCAACTAAATGTACATGTACATACAGTCCCCATGGCTAAGGTATCGGAGAGCTGTGATGAAGAGAAAGGTTTGTCATATGTGCGCTATCCCGAAGATCAATGGGGAGTTTAACAGCGGATAGACGAGATATCGAGATTGGGGCACCGCATTCAGTGCACGTCAGACCGAAGTCACGTCATCGATGGATAAAATAGGCTCCCTACTCTACCCATTCAAGATGAAAGATTCGTACTGATAAATTCCAGTGAGCTATTGAATTCACCCGAAAAACAGAAGCTTATAAAGGAAAACATAAACTACATGTATCATTGGGCCAATAAGCGGCTGAGCCCCCAATGAATCCTTAGGTCGAAAGAGATCATGTTTTGAAAATACTTTAAGCCAGGGGTGATCTCTATGAAGTGTTCATTCCAAGTCGTGAGTCTAGGTTTCAACCGTTTCTCATGAGGGCTATAATCTGCGCCAACTGGAATTACAAAAACAGGGGTTCATTTGAAAACCAAGGGTGATGCGAATGACGGGGAATACCATTGATTGTATCTTTTTGACTTGCATTTCGATGCAGAATTTTGGGTGCGTCAATCGAGGATTACCTACCAATGATATCTCAAATACTATCGCTAGGCATTCGGCATAGTTTCTATCTTACCAGTACGTGGCTCAAGCCGCCGCCGATATAGACAAGCCTAGAAGGATCAGTCAATTATCGAAGCCGAACGATTATACCAGTCATAGTATATCACTCGTTGGTTTTTCCTTCCGAATAACCTCCATTAACTAAAGTCACTGATTCGAATCAACATCGGAATCCAATGCTGCTTGTTCATGTTCTAGAAAATAAACACCAACTATTTAACTAATATCAAAATAAATCAAAAATCAGAAAATTTACAAAACCAGGGAATAATATATAGGATATCGAAAACTCAAGAACGCCACCGTGTTATACCGAAAGAAATCCATATGCGCATAAAGGTCTTGAGTGAAAGGGTCAATACCGGTACAGACGCATCAACTAGCACCTACTCCTACCTAGGAATATCAAGGGTCCGCCGGCGCTTTCTCTTCTGATCCATCATACCACTGCACATAACTTTCACCCACATCCTCCTCCCATTTATGAACAAATCGGGCAATTGGTTGCTTTAACTCGACATCTCCCTCCTCCAGTCTCGAATACCATTCCTGAATTCCCTCATCACGAACATGAGTTATACCTTGCCACAGTGGAATCATGGCAGTAAACAGGATCATGAAGATTGCATATACCAGCCATCTCTGCCGCTGAGTATCTGTTTCTTTCTGACGGCGGTTTATTTCTGCTGTCCAAGCATCAAAACCTAGTTGCCCCGGTTGATTTACTCTCTTCAGTGTTGCGGTGTAATTTAAGGGTGAGTTGCCGTTGAACATCGTATGGGATCTTGCAGGATAGTTCAAGCTCATTTTTACAGGTGACTTAAAATCTAGTGAGTCTTCTCGAGCCTCTGACGGAAGTTTTGGACTATAAAGAGCGCTTCTAATCCATTGTTCTGTGGTGGGGCTTTTGTTTAGTTCTTTAATTGGCTTACCCGGGTTCTTTCTATGCTCCTCTGCTGCTTTCATGTAAGAGTCAATGATAGAATCCACTTTTGCCTGCTCTTTCTCATCTTCTGTCATTGGCTCCGCTTCTTTAGGCTTCATACGCCCAACTGCTGCAATTGTCATGTCGAAATATTCACCCATTATTTCGGGAATGGTCCACGCTCTCCAACCATCATTAGGATTAGCTACAGGCTTGTCGGCTTTTGGTATTGATGACCCAAAGTTTTCAATGTGTAAGTTTTCTGCCTCTCTGTATATAGGTGCTTCTATTTTGGCTTGTCGTCGGAATCTGTATCGTGCATTTGGTCTCTCGGGGCCCGTAGGGTGTCTAGAGCTCTGAAAGCCACCGATGTCGGTGATGCATTCACTAACACCATCCGAAGAATTTCCAGAGACCGACTCATCTCCCTCTTCCTGGCTAGAGGTCAATTCTGCTTCTTTCTGATAACTCTTGGGCCTATTCCACATTTTCTCGTATGCTCTTTGCTTGTTCCATTTTTCCAACTCTTGCTTTTGGGCGAATATTATTTTCTCGGCCTTGACCTTCACTATGGCTGCGGATTCGTCGGCGGTGAGGTCATTTGTGCCCAAAGGCTTGTAGTCTTCATCTTCTGCACACGCAAAACCTGCAACTTTCCATGGGAGCCATGACGCTAGGACTGCTCTATAACTACTTTCAGGAATCCCTTCACTTCCATGGTCTTCTAGAGGATACTTATCCTGAGGTGACTCCTGAGACCATGTAGTTGGGGAATGCTGAGTCTGCATAGATGATGGGTCCTGGAGAGGAGATCTATGCGGAAGAGGGCTCCTCGGTGGAGGAGTCCTATACCTCGGATATCCAAAATTCCCAAAGCCGTCGTCCACAAGCGCTCCGTCCACCCCCGGAATCCTCAACTCCGTCATGCCCTCCACTCCCGGTTCCTCCACATGTATTGCCCTGCGAGTCCATCTCGGCGGCGGCTGATATCCCACCGGCGCCAACGCGGGCGCCTGGTGGTATATGTAGTTGAGCCAGCTGGGCTGGTTTATGACCGCCGGGAGTGTTCTGTGGCCGCGTCGTGAAGATATCGAACTCCTGTTTCGATTCCTGTCGGTGGGATCCCGGATGTGCGAGTTGAGGAGGATGTAGTCTTCCCCTAGGGATTCGTTGTCATCCTCGGGATCGTCGTCCCACCAGCCATCGGCGCCGAGTGCTGCAGCACGGGGACTGAGGGGAGGGCGGGAGTCTATGCTTTTGGCTAGTCGTTCGGCTGATTTATCGGCTGAGTCTTTCGACTGTACAAAATCAACATCGTAAGGTACGCGGGCAGGAAGTACTGGAGGCATGTTTGCTGGTGTTCCTAGCGCCAGTGGGGGTGGTGGAGGTGGTGGAGGTGGTGGAGGGGGTTCATATGGTGGAGGTGGCGGCGGTCCGTCTTTGGAATCATCTTTTGGACCATCCTTTGGGCCATCCTTAGGCCCATCCTTAGGCCCGTCCTTTGGACCATCCTTTGGACCGTCCTTTGGACCATCCTTTGGACCATCCTTTGGGCCGTCCTTAGGCCCGTCCTTTGGACCATCCTTTGGGCCGTCCTTTGGGCCATCCTTTGGGCCATCCTTTGGGCCATCCTTTGGCCTATCCTTTGGCCTATCCTTTGGCCCATCCTTTGGGCCGTCCTTAGGCCCATCCTTTGGGCCGTCCTTAGGCCCATCCTTTGGGCCGTCCTTAGGCCCATCCTTTGGGCCGTCCTTAGGCCCATCCTTTGGGCCGTCCTTAGGCCCATCCTTTGGGCCGTCCTTTGGACCATCCTTGGGTGGTGCAGCTCTCGCAGTTCTCTGTGTTCTCAACTCATCTCTGTACAAGCGCCTTGATTCCCTCTCGGCTGCCCTGGCAATAACATGTTGGTTTCTCCCCCTATTATATGCACCACAAAGCTGTTCATTATTCTCCCATAATTCGTACAGTCTCCGCTCACTCGAGAAACCGGCCCGCTCTTGGACAGCAGTATTCCTATTGTAGCATATCATATGTTCCGGGTCCTGAGGCGGCAGCGCATTGAACGCCGGCCGCGGAGGCACCCCCCGCCGCTGTGGAAAGACATAGTTATCCTCGATATTATCGTACGCATACTGGCTGTCCATCTTCTCGCGCAGCTCTTGCGCCATGCCGCGTATATGTATCTCGTTGTTGCTGCGCACAGAGCGCGTCACGGCGTAGCAGTTGTTGTAGGTGTCGATGTCGATGTTGAGCTCCTCCTCGTCGTCTACGCGCGATGCGAGGGTGTTGAAGTTTGTGCGTTCTTGGCCGATGCGGACTTCTCGGGCGGCGGTCCAGGCTGCTTCGAGGGCAGTCAGAATGGCTTCGTTTGGGGCTGTGTCGGGGGTGCGGGGGCGGTAGAGGCCGATTGTGTCGACGGAGTCGTCGGTTTGGTAGTGGTAGCCTGCGGAGTGGGGGGTTGGATCAGGTCAGTATGTGTGCATTTTAGGACGGGTGTTAATATATAATGCGTGAGCGATGTGTGCGAAGTTGTAGATACTCGGGAGCGCGCTTGGGTAGCTTAGGGGGTATAAGGGATAGCATCTGGAGGGGTAATGGTATCTGGAGGGGGGAATGATATCTGGAGAGAGAATGATCTCGGAAGGGTAATGATATCTGGAGGGGTAATGATAAAAACGCAACATACCGTCAGCATCAGCACCAGGAAGCGGAACACTCCCATCAGGCGCCCACGGCGCTCCATTTCTCATCCTCGCCGCTCCCACCGCCGGCGTTATCGGACCCCTGATCCTCCCCGCAAGTGGATCCGGCGCCGCGCCCGCTGGCGGGGGTGGCGGGGCCGTCCAGAACAGAGATTCCACCTCATAGGCATCGTGCTGCAGCGAGAATATGGGCGACATAACCTCACTATCATCCTCTGACAGACTGGGCGCCTCCGGATCGCCCTCCACCTCCGCGGCCGGGTCGTCCACCGGGTCGTCGACATCGGCCCCGGCATCAAAGTCCGCGTCGGGATCATAATCCGGCACCAGATCGAATCCGGCAGCTGTCGCATGCGCCTGGCCCTCCATGTCGACATTCAAAGTGCTCATGAGCTCCGTCGTAAACCCATAGGCGGGGTCATCCCACTCATAGTCGTCCCGGAGCGCGTCCTTCACGGGTAGGCCGCGGGCTCGCAATGCGGGCGGGGGCCCGAGCGGAACCGCCGGGGGCGGGTAGCCGATTACTGACACTGGAGAGGCGCCGCCAATGTCCTCACTGGCGGCATCGCTGTTCCCATCTCCATCTTGCCAGACCGGGGCTTCAGCGGGGGGAACAGGCGCCAATGCGGCGGCGGGGGGGTACGTCCCAGGAGGAACACCGTCACCGGCTGCATCTGCCATGCGTATCTCGAGCTCCAGCGGCACCGGTTGGCGTGTCATGTATCCCTGGACTATCAATCTCATGATTACTCTTCTCGCTGCTGCTGCTGCTGCCGCCTCCTCGTCGTCGTGGTCCGTTGCCGTCGCCGCCGCCGCAGCACCCCGCAGTGCCTCGTCGAGTGGATTCACCGGGAGCTCGACCCGCAGCCCCTTGATGCCTGCGGCTAGCCGAGCTCTGAGGCCAGCTACAAGGACTCTTCTCCGCTCGTTCGCCTCCATGATGCCTGCGAGCCTTATGCTTGCTTGGGCCTGGGCACGGGCGTTGACGGCCAGGTTGTCGGAATCCACCTGCCGTAGGAGTGATGCGGCAATTCGGGCGTTTTCAGCAACTTCTGCTGGGGTCAGGGGCGGGGGCAACTCTGGTCCCTCTACTACCTCACCCGCGGCTCCCCGCCACCTAAACGGCCGATATCAGTTTCATGTTTTGGCATCACCAACTATCACTCGACTGGGGGGGTTTGTCCAAAGTCAATGATCGCAGGGAGAGTCATTGATCGAAGAGAGAAAGAGGTGGGGGGGGAGAGAGCTCACAATTGGCCAACCCAATTCAAGGAGCCGTAGGCCCCCAACAAGAAGAGAACAAAGATCAACGGCGAAACCACCAGATAGAAATCCCAGACCAACAGGCTCGTAGCGATCCATTTGTTCACCACCGTCCCATAATCCCCACCGCCCCAGGCCATGACTGCAACAAACCCACTCAACAAAGCACCCATCCCCACCACCCACACCCCATCATGTCCATACAGGACCCACGCCCACCTCGCAGACCATAGATAATTAAGCACCCCGGCCTTCGCCATCGACCATATGAGGCCCAACCGCATCAACCGCAACGCCGCGGTTTGGTGCGTCCGGTAATACATCGGCGACAGCGCAATGAACACAAGGATAGTTGGTACTACGACCTTTATTGATAACCAGCGCAGGAACGGCAGCGCAGCCTGCACCTCATGCGTCACCGCTTGGTACACCGGGTTGGTCTGCCGGAACTCCTGCGAGAGCGGGCTCATCCACATCAAAGATAAATAGAACACGGCGATGCATTTGCCCATGTTCATCCCCATCCACTCCAGCATGGGCAGCGACGCCGCCGTCCACCCGCGGCGCTGCAGAGCCACGATACCCCAGATCCCTAGCAAGCTGTAGAGCGCCTTCAGGTAGTTAGTCGCCCGGGCGCCCCTACCGTAGCCCGTCGTCCGGAACAAAACATACTGGAGGAGGTGGAAGCCGCTGAGCGTGGGGAAGGTGTGCACCAGCAGGAATGGGGCGAAGTAGATGGTGTTTGAGACCCGGAAGAACTTCTGGAAGAGCACCCCGCGTTGGTACCATTCGTAGGGGGTTTTGAGGACGGTCTTCGCCGACCTGAGGGCTACGGTAAGTATTGCGCCGGCGGGCATCGCGGGCTAGTGGCGGGTGTGTCGGCGGTCCGACACTGGGATCATGGGGTTTTTTCGTTTTTTTTTTTACCTTTTGTTTTTCGCGGCCGTGGTGTGTGGTTTTTTTGATATTGATTTTTGGTCTTTAGTCTTTTGTTGATGTTGGCGGTCTGGTCGTCGTCGACGTCGTAGGATGGAATCTCCAGCAACCCACGGGATCCGAGTGTCGAAATGAATGGGGGAGTCGAGAGTCGAGAAAGAAAAAAAAGACTAGTAAGTCAGTCCAGTCGGGTCAGTGCGACTGCTGTTGTACTTGATCTATTTTATCACAAGGAAACCAAAAACAAAAACCGCGGACAAAGGGGGCCTGTGTATGACCTCGAGGAAGAGGACGATGGGAGAGAGAAAAAACGGCTACTGTGAGCTTCATTGTTAATGGTTTCCCCCCCATTAATATTATTACCCCCACCCCCCCCTTTCCCCTCTAACCCACCTCCGCACCATACACACACACTCGCTCTCGCTCCGTCTCTCGAGTGAGAAAAAAAAAATGGCATTGTATTGTCCGGCCCCCACGGTCAAAGAGAAACCTAAGCACATAAGTCTTTGTTTCCCCCACCCCTCCCTCCCCCACAACCCAACAAAGGAAGCCCACCCACAAACAAAAGCGCAGGAAACAAACCATTTATTTTGCTCCGGCCAGGGTATCCGCTAAACCCCAAACAAAAAAAAAAAAAAAAAAAAAAAAAAGACACCAACCACCACCACATTATTATTATTACTACCACTTTTTACTCGTTCCGTACACAACAAGCCGAATACTTCTCCACCTCCCAGGCCACAACACCCGTCACAATCGGCCACACATCCTCCACCCACGCCCACCACTCCTGCCACCCCTCGCCCTCCCCACCCGCTAGCTCCTTGCTCCCGTCCGCTCGCTTCTCGCTGTTTGGATATGCGCGTTTCAGCGCACACAGCCTACATCCACCCATCATTCGTCAGCACAGCCACCCACAACCATCCACTACCATTACTACCACCACGAGGGACAAAGAAAGACTCACCGGTACTTAGTACAGTCGTCGCTCAACTCGCCATGGATGTCCTCCTTCGTCTGGCGGTCGGGATCGCCCAGTGATATGCGCGGGGGCAGACACACGTGGTCCGTGAAGCGCCATTCCTCGCCGGGCTGGGCGTGCAGCAGGTGTAGGCCCGGGAAGGTGAGGTTCTTGGGGAGGATGTCGTAGCTGCCGCGGAGGTGCGGGTGCGTGGTGTTTGTGTAGGTTGCGTCGTAGCTGTGCGGGGGGGGAGTAGATGTTAGTAGGGGTTTCTTGTGAGCTGGTGAGATTCTAGCTCAGAGTTCTTAATCTAATTATTGGGATATGTAGGGGGATTAGAGCCATACAGTGGCTAATTGCGGGGTCTTAATAAATCTCGGTGGGCGCTTTGTGCGGATTGAGCTGGCTCTGTTTCCGGTGATTTGATCATTTCCCGCCAATCAAATCCCTGGAAATAAAGCTAGCTCTCTCGATGCCAAGGGCCCTACTAAGCTACTATTTGGGCTTCTTTGACCTGTACTCATCCGGAAGATCAATTGCACCGATAAACCCGCTATCTTATCAGATGCCAACTGATCCCCCAAATCCGTACTAGCCCCCCGCACTAACCGCCCGCCTCGGAATAGCGCCCCACCAAAAAACCGGCCCCCTAATCATTACCCCCGCGCACACCGCCAACCAAGACCAAAAGCCAAAAGCCAAAACCAAAGAAACGCTCGTTACCTACGTCGACGTCTTCAAATCCAGCTTCACCTCGCCCACCCTCCCCCTCGCCGCCACCGTCCCATTCCCCCCACTCCCCACCGTGCCATTCCCCGTCCCATTCCCACCCCCCCAATACCGACCCGCCCCCTCGCCCACCACCAACCTCATATCCAGCATGCCCCACCCGGCCAACGTATCAAACCGCTCCCTCTCCGGCGCGCCCTTGCGGTACAGATTAAACCCGGGCTCCATCCTATAATGCCGCACCAGCTCCATGACCCCCACCTCCTCCCCATCCTTCCAGTACCGCACGCGACTACTCGCGCCAAACACGCTGCCGTTCCCGCCGTCGTACCACCCCGGCAGTACCTCCACCTCCGCCATGAGCGCATACCCGCTGCACGCGCCCGCCCACGCCATTTTCTGGAACGGCTCGCGGAACGCGAGTGCCGCGATGAGCAGATATGCGGCGGAGACGGCGAGGAGCAGGGCGGCGACGATGTAGTGCGTGCGCAGGCGGAGGCGCGGGAGGTGGATGGTGAGCGTGCGCTTGAAGGAGTCGTAGCGGCGGGGGCGCGAGGTGATGTGGTGGTGGATGACGAGGGCGTTGAGGATGCCTATTAGTGCGCTGCCGGTGATGGTGCAGATGGTGAGGATGGTGAAGGTGTGCTGGCCGTGGGAGCGGAGGTAGTAGGATGGGGCGGAGGTTGTCGGGTGGATGTAGGCGTGCGTGATCAGGATGATGAGCGTGAGGAGGGCGAGGTTGAGCGGGACCAGGGCGTAGGAGAGGGTTTTGACTACCCATGGGTGCGATTTGAACATGGTGAGCTGGGTGTGGTATTTGATAGACAGATGAGCTGTAGAGAGCGCCCTCGGGAGTGTGTAGGTTGTAGTTGTATAGCTAGTAAGTAGGGCGCTGATATTAACGATAGACGGGCAAAAACCACTAAACCAGATAAACCACTGATACTAAACTATCCACCACGCAGCAAACAAACAAAAACTCCAAAACGATAACGACCGACAATTCACACCCAAAGGAAGGACAGAAGAAAAAAAAAACCCAAACAAACTACCGACTCTTTTCGTTTGCTGTGCAAGAAAGAGAAGGAAGGAGAAAGGGCCAATCCGTCCCCCCAGAAAGTAGAATAGAATAGAAAATAGAAAGGAGTAAAAAAAGTCCCACCCACCCCCCACCCAGGATTGATCCAAGACCCAATGCACAACAAAGATCCAAAGCGGTGCAAAAGCAAGAAAAGAGGTGTCCCAACTCAGTCCTCAAGCAAAGCAAAGCGGAGATTAACGAGGCGTCGCGCACGTGCTCGTTCCAACCGACCGACCGTATTCTGGATCAAGGTCCGAGAGCAGGTACGTCTGTCCGGGAAACAGGATGAAAAAGGGCAGCTAGCTATGCTGGGCAGAAAACTCAGTCAAGAGTTTCTTCGTGAGGAATTGGGAGGAATTGGGGGAGGAATTGAGGGAGGGGGGAGGATAGGGAATGTGTAGGAGAGGAGGTGAGGTGAGGTGAGGTGAGAGGTTGCGGTGAGTGCGAGAGGTGGGGTTCCGCGTCATAAAAGAGCACTCGCAGAGGTGCAGTTTGGTTTTGCTTTTGGTTTCCGGGGGTTGGAGGTGCATGGTTATCGTGCATGTGCATATCTCGGTGCATGGGGTGGTGGGTGGTGGGTGCCTGTGGGTGTTATGTTGATGCCTCTGCACTTTTGATATTGGATGACATGAAGCCATTGGAAGAGCCCGAGAGACCAGACCAGGTCACTGGCTGGGTATCATGCCAGCCGTCATCCGACCTATCAACGTTTCCACAGCTCAATGTTTATCTGGCCCGTGTCCCTCCTGCTTCTTCACCTCTGCTGCCACGACCCAACGTCTAAATGCACTTACATAAGCTCAGGTTACTCAAGCAAATCAGCCACTGTTACGCGACATGGCATTTGCAAGCCGTCGTGCCTTAAATTCGCTGCGTGCTGCAAATCCACTGAATTAACTGATTTCGCATTCAATTACACACACACAATCACAATCAATCCCCCCATTATACATATTACACAAGTGAAAGGAAACGTGTTATCGATCGCGCCGCCGTAGTCTTCCTTCAGTCAGACGAATGCTCAACCACATCACAATCACACTCGCGGGGAGACAGGCCATGATCTGCCGGCTGAATAACGCCATGCGGCTATCCGTTCCTTCCACTCCACCATCCACCTGCTCACTTTGTCGACGACTAATTGCTAGTGAGTACAGTCGCACCTCGCTATGTCGTATCCTGCTATGTCGGATCCCTTGCTGTCTCGTAACGATCCGCCGGCAACGTCCTGTCTCCACCAAAAGTCGTTTGCTATCTCGGATTTTGGCTGTTTTTCGGATCGTATGGGAAATCAAGAACAGGTACCCCCGGTCTCTATACAAATTATATTTGCTATCTCGGAATTGTTAATAACTTAACCTATTATAGGGAACAGCTTCTACCCTTATCAGTCCCTGTCGGACTATTGTCTGAAAGGTGATCAACAGCACCCCAGCTTCCGTTGGCTTATGTTAACTGCACATACAGATTATTTTCCACTAGATGGAGGTACTGGAACAGGCGAAGAGATGGATAAGATCTTTGCTACCTCACGAGGGTGTTGGAGGGTTACTGGTACTGCACACCTGTTGCTGCTGCTACGAAGTACGAGGTTTACTGACATTGCGCAGCTTCTACAAATAAAATCCGTAGGCTATTAGGTGTTATATAGGGTGAAATTTTACGAGGAATCCAAATTTTTCATCCGTTCTTGTCCATCTACTGTGCTCATCTACATACAGAGACAATCATTCTAGAAGTCTACGGTACATGTTCTCCAGTTCGCTACTACCTTCTCCTCCGCTGCTGGACCTCCAAACTGTTGGGACACAGTTACTCTGTCTTTCATCTATGTAGTCACTCGGCTCCATTGGGTAGTGCAAATTAATATAATCTGAATTGATAACTGATGACCCTGGAACAACAAGAAGAGCCGGTTTGAAGAAGTTATTGATTGAGGTTTGCCGGGTGTTAGAGGTAGCTTTGTGCCTGAAGAGTGCATTGCGGAGCTCAACGGTTTTGGTTGATAATTCTGATACAGATAACTCTTTACCACTCGGTGTGTAAAGTTCAGTGATCTTCATCGATTGAAGATACCGAGTGAGCTCATTGGCATAATGAATTGCACCGTCAATTGTTATAATTGGAAGTGGTTGAGGTACGGCTGCTGTTGTAACTGATGATTCGGAGTCTGATATGCTTCCATCGTCCAACTGACTTGTATTCTCCGCTGATAGGAATCTGTCGAGCTCATCAGGGTTTTTCAAGAGAATACCTTCTGCAATTCCTCTTTGAACAATCACGGCCGCATCAGGGAATTTCAGTTCATCATTTGGCAATGGTTCTTCATTATCTTCATCGTAATTGAAAAATTCTTCGAAGGCAGGTGGGAAATCAGGATCGGGTCGTTGAATTGAAGGATGTTCAAAGATTTCCCGCATTGCGATATGACAGTAATTTCTCTCTCGAGCAATGAAGTGTTGATGGTGATCTTCAAAATCTTGTTCGATGTTGGGATTCATGTTTTGGCAGTTGTCAGGCCCATTCAAGTCATTCTCTCCGCAGATATTTGCCTTCTTCCAGCAACGGATGACCGTTTCCTTCGTTACTGAATCCCATGCATCGGACATCAGATATATTGCCTGTAGTATATCAATTTTGTCTGGTCGTATGGCGTGTAGATTGAAGTGCTGAACCATATTATCTGCATATCTCCGACGATATGCTGCTTTGAATGATCTGATAATACCTTGATCGAGGGGCTGTAAAATAGATGTTGTATTGGGTGGAAGGAATACTAGAGTTACGTTTGTCAACTCTGGTGGAGTAGGTCCAGTCCAATTGAGTGGTGGATTTGCTGGATCGGGGTGGGTAGGACAGTTGTCGGTTACCAATGCAATATGTCGTCTTTCAATTCGCATCTCTACATTCAAATTGCGCAGGAATTCGAACCATAAGCTGGTAATCATCCATGCTTTCTTATTGCTGCGATAGATAACTGGTAGGTTTCCAGTATTGATTCGGTTTCTTTTGAATGCGTGAGGCTCCATGGCACGACCAACCACCCATAGCTTTCTCTTATCCGTTCCAGTTGAATTAACAATATGAAAAGTTGAAATCCGAAGCTTATCATCCTTTCCTCCTACCGCAATAAGTTTGCCCTTCTCTTTATGCACATTCGATGTTTTAGGCTGTTTATTGTAGACTAATCCACTCTCATCACAATTATAACGATCATTTTCAGCAAACGGTGCCAGCTGCTCTGCTATTTGGCGTCTCCAAATAGGTAGCATGGATTCATCGATCGTTGGTGCATCACCATAATTTTTTAATCTACCGATGTTGAACCGTGTTTTGAAATTGGCTAGCCAACCCGATGATAGCTCAAAGTTTTCGTAGTTTTCGTTTACTGCAGCTTGTACCAATTGGCTCTGAATTATCTTCGTTTGGGAGCGGATTACATCGTCGGTAACCGGGACACGCTGAGACTCGGCTGCGTCTATCCAAAGGCTCAAAAAATGCTCTAAAATTGGAAAATTTGCAGCTCGCAGTTTCTGTTTTTTCGCATTTGGACCTACCAGAATAATTATTAGTCATATAGATAGATACAATAATATCAGTTGTTTCGTACCATCAGGTGGACCGGCGTTTGCACGCTTCTTCCAATCCTTCAAATGGTCCGAAAGACTAGAGAGTGCTAGTGGGCTCCCATCGCTTCTTTTTGGGCAATCGGCAAGCAGTGCAAATTCCGACAATTTCATCTTTGGATGCCTTTCCCGTAGCTTGCAAAGCTCATATTTTTGAATCGGAGTCAAACCGGTGAAATTCTGACGCTTGGGAGGCATCTCGGATAGGTTAGTGAACAATGTTATCCGACACTTGCACCCTACATTGTAGATTTATATGTATATGTATTACCTCAGCCAAAATATTTATTTGCTATCTCGTATATTTGCTATCTCGTATATTTGCTATCTCGTATATTTGCTATCTCGTATATTTGCTATCTCGTACGGGTTGACATTCGGACACGCGCTTACGACATAGCGAGGTGCGACTGTAGAGTAGAGAGAGGGAAACGTGGTGGTTATAAAAGGGTTTGTCGATCGCTCAGACGAATACACCTCAATATGGGGAGCATCTGTCGTTCTGCCGCGGCGAGATTGTGCGAATGCGGATTGCACGTATGTAGAGCAGGTAAAGTACATACTCGTAATTTTTTGACGTTTCCGGACTGAACTGGGTCTGCATATGGGCGAAAATCGTGCATAACAATCATATTTTGGTGGCATGCAGACCTAGTCTAGTCCGGAAACGCCAAAAAATTACGAGTACATGTAGAGTAGTGCACATACAACAGTCGCCTGTCATGCACCCCACTTTCACGCCTTTAGGACAGCTTGCAATTCGATACTTCTCTCCTTCCTGTTCTCGAGGTACACGACGCCCAATATACGGCGCGCAAGTAGCGTCGCCAAATTGCAATGCTTGCGGCGTGAGAAGGAAAAGATACAATTGCAAAGGGACCCTCCCGCATTGCCGCTCCCCAACCTATCCCTTGTTTGTCCGCTACCAGGGTCCTCTCTATCTAGATTCTACAGGCTAAGGCTCCTCTACATTTCTATCTATTCTTGGCACCGCCGATGCCTTGATAACAAACCCTCCCCTCCGCCCCCGGCCGGCCCCAAAGAAACAACCTAGCGTGATAACGTTAATCCGCGCCGACGTCTCCGAGCCGCCCCCGCAAACCTCGAGTGATCGTCTGTGTCTGTGTCTGTGATTGTTGCGGGGGTTAGTAATCGGGGGTTAGCGGCGAGAAATATGGTGTGATCAGGAAAAACGGCGTGTGCTCGTGCGAGCAGCGCTGTCTGAGCTGGCCGTTCTGGGGCAATCCGGGGTTAATTTGACTGTGCGCGCGCACGGCCAGGGAGGGATTGATTGATTGATTACCTTGAGTTTGGGGCGAAAGGGTTCTGGATGTGGTTTTTGGGTAAACGACTCGGTTTGTGTGTGTAAATAGAGTACACACATTGAATCTTGGATCACCGCTGCAAAATATCGTCAGATACCTGCTCTACAATGCTCTACAGTGCAGTGCTCTTTGGCAGTGCTCCGCGTCCCTCACAACCAGGATGTTTGACATGTTTGTTTGTAATCAGCGACAACCCCTGTCGCAACATCCTGGGCAACAAATTTTCTCTCCACAACCCGCGCATCCTGAAATACGTACAACGGCCGCCGGTCACCATGCCTCGCTAGCTCAATCGGTAGAGCGTGAGACTCTTAAGCGGAATCTCAAGGTTGCGGGTTCGACCCCCGCGTGGGGCTTCATTCAGTTGAAGCTGGTATACTTTTTGCCCTTTTCTGAAGTTCCGCAGGTGAGTATTGTTGCCTTACAAGAGCCTGCATAATAGCCTGCATTGAATGAAAAACCCCAGGCAACTGTCATTTTTCTTAGTGGGTGTCTCTGTTCATGTTTGATTTTGCTTTTGTGCCGTATCGTTTTATGTAGCCTGGCCTAATGTACTACGGTACCTTGCCACAAATTCGTCCAAAAAGGACAGCTGCCTTCGTTAACGTCGTCAAAATTTTCACGACTTATTCTCGTCCCAACTCGAACCGGTATTCTAGAAAGATTCCCTCGTATCCCATCCGGACACGGAATAAAAATTGTATGCACTCATACAGGCCATTCGGACTGGAAATGGTGGTTCCGGGTGGTGATAGAGTACGCGGTTGAGTGATCATAATCCTTTATTCGGTTTTTTGCTTCTTTTTTTTTTTTTTTTTGCTGTTTGGGTACGAGCTCTAGAGAACATTATGGTGTCTTTTTATGTTTTCCTCTTTTGTCGTGTTGTGTGGAGTGTCAATAGTGAGAGTAAAGGACCCAATTCTGCAGTGAAGCTGTTCAGTGTTCCCTGAGATAGAAAAAAACTCGTGTCATAGGATAGCAAAAAAAAAAAAAAAAAAAGAAAAAGATGAGTGGAGTGGTTACTTACGGGGTCCATCCGCAGATCGTAATTTTTATTTTTTAAGCACTTCTTTTGATACAGCGTTTAGGTAATGACAGTGCATTTCAGCCCGTGTTTAATACCGCAGATACGGTTTTCAGCCCGTTATTAATTGTGGAATTAAAGCGTTAGGCGTAGATGCACTATATGAGTCATTCGTAGAAGCACTTCAATCTGGACAACTTCCCGATGTGAACAACAATCGCATCATCTGCAGCGGCTCGCAAGAATTGGTGGTATAAAGGTCGCATTTCGTCCATCGGGCAACACCGTAGGGGAGGCGGGGGAGAACATGAATCCTGTAAAAGATTGCGTCCATCAGCACGATTTATCGAGTTGGAAGCTCAGCTAACTACATAGTAAAGAAGGAGGGGGATCGACGGCGAAGACGCGAGGGTTTATAACAGAGTGACCGGGAAGTGGGGAAGTGGGGTAAAAAAGATTGTGGGGAAGAGAAGGTACGGAGACTTCCAGCCGTGACACAGATACTCGGGATGCTTATCTTACGACGTATGTAGGTCTTCGATTCGCCGGCTGGGCACGGGAGCTGCAGATCTGGCCTGGGACATAGGTGGTCACTCGGCTGTGTTCATTTATACATGTAGTTACCCAGCCGCAACAAAGGCAGACTGTCAACTACACTTCCTTTGTTTCCCGCATCACCACGTCGTCGGTTCTTTGTTACTGCCATTTCCGTTCATCAAGATCGCATCGACTCTATCTCCTCTATTCATGAAGTGAATAGAGTCAGCATGAGACCATGGATTCAAGTGGTAGTCTCTGACAGCTAGGCAAACATGCATCTGATCAGGATCCCTCCGGCTCCTCGATATAGAATTCTCTTTTCATGCCCAGCAGCAACTTCCACCTGTCATGCCGGTATGTGTATGTGCTCTAGCCTAACGTCTTTTCTCCGAAAGAGAGGCTAACTGAGATATAATCTGATAGGTTTACGGATTATCAGTTCAAATTTCTTTCTTCCATTCTGGCGCCTAAACGCTTTGATCTTAGTGACTGTGTGGGGACATACTTACCTATAGCTATAGTACGAGAAACTTGGTCAATTGCTACAGTACATTGCTGGACTGGGGATATTCATGGCATAAAATTGATAAACTATGCCTCATCTCTCATCTTCATCTATGCGTCTATATCTATATGTAGGACTATGAAATATATGTTAAGCTTAAAAACGGATGTACAAGATTGCTAATAAGAACGCCCACAGAAAAAAGAAAGATACCCAATCATAACCAAACCATAAGACGCCTACAGAACAACAGATAACACACGGCTGCTCCGCCTACACACCTCCGTCACCTGGTCCTCCCCTCGCACTCATTCTCACACTCCCCGGCACCTCTAACTCATCTCTCCCATTCCCTAAACAGCCCATCAAATCCTTCACGAACCCGCCGATTCCCCACACTCCCTCAACACCCCCGCAAACCTTCCACTCCTCCCACCTTCTTGCAAAGTCTTTCAAGACAAGCGCCCGCAACGGATCCTCTGGAAAACCCTCTGTTCCAGCATACACCATTCTCACCAGCTCTACTCTCTCTGGTAGCTCTAGCCTCTCTGCAAACGCGCTATACCGTGCACTATGATATGACACCAGCAGTCTGTAAATCCGCTGCAAGGCGTGTGTTGACAGTAGTGGCATATGATACTTGTGCGCAAAGAGATATACGGCCACGTGAATAAATATAGCCGGCGACTGTGACTGTGACTCCGGAGGAACGCTGTAGGTGCTGCGTTGGAGAAACTGAAGGACGAGATCAAAAGTACCCGGATGGTCGTGCGGGAGAGTTAGTGTTATTGCGGGCTGAGAGAGAATTTGTGGAGTGAGGTGGTGACGCCAGTAGGCGCTATGTTTGATGAGTGGGTTTCGGGGGACTGTGAAGTGGATGCGGGAAGTCCCGACATAGACTTCGAGAGGCGGACTGGAAGTTGTTAGTACTGACCATAAACCGTGTCAAGTAGCTTCGTGCCCCGGACGGATGTATGGACATAAAGGGAAGCGAGTCAGGGTTTTACCTTTCGACCCTAATGCTAGGGTTATCTGGATACGGGTTGTCCTCGAGTGGGAAAGCCGTATAGTTTGTGAGTACCGGAGCACCACCGGTAAGGCTGGTGGATGAGAGATCAACGACATGTATTCTTTCCATTTTGTTTGGTTAACTTTGTTCGTTCTTCTAGGGGTATTCTTGCTAGTTCTGCGAATATCCAGCTCGGTGTTCTCTACTGGTATATATATGTAGGTTACAATACCCTCATCCAGATCCTTACCCCCTGAATAGTTTATCACCTTGCAACGATGACCCTGTCTCAGGGTCAAGACGATTCGACTTTATTACTGCATGACCCGGCTTCCGAAATATGCATACCATTATCGCTATTCATAGGTTTCTCGCCTCCTTTATTAGGAGTTCCCACTAAGAATTAGGTATTAGTACGGCAGGTGTTTAAATCGGAAACCTTGGGGGGCAGTGCCTAGGAACTTTTTTTTTTTTTTTTTGCTAGCCCATGGTAATCTTGTCCCAGTTTTATGTATGTGGCGACCGGGTGTTCTATAGTTTCAACATTTGGGGCTATGCTTTCGAGAGGGGTAGATTACTAAGCAGATGTGTAACCATGGATTATCACTCGACCCCACTCTACTCTACTCTAGTACGGGGTGGCCGGTGGCGTAAGAATCGGTGTGATGAACTTCCTGCTTGGATCCTATATAAAATTTCGTTGCCGACTCTGGTACGGTACGTGGTTATCACCCATTTTATTTTTCCATCAGTCTGCAGATGAGATGGTTATCTAGGGTTCTAATTTTGACAACAATTCTAGGGTCTACCTTTCGCGTCGGTGCTAGATTAGACGCATCTAGCGACACGTGAGTAACTAAGCATTTTGACGTCAATTTCCCGCTGGAAAAAGCTTGTCCTTCAATTGAGGTACAGGAGAAGGTTAAATGGAATGGAACATAGCCCCAAGGCCCTGTATCATTTCCGACCATGCTCTCCTCGGCTGTTTCAGCCGTGAAAGCCTTAAGTTCTGGCGGATAAATATTGAAACTCCAAATCAACAATTTAGGTGCTCTTGCCCCTAATAGACAGCAGAAGCGATAGGGATATTCAATTGAGGCCATCTCCATTAACACACTTCGTCGACAATACTAGTTATCCGCACATCTAGCTGATGCATCGAATAATAACCAAACAGCAGATTTTGGCTCCCTTCGAACTACAATGTTGGCCTGGAGTAGGCTTCCGGACGTCAACAGTAGCCTTCTATCCATTCTATAAACGAATACTATAATTGGGACCGAATAGTCCACAAAAATTTTGGAACCGCCCGCACTCTAATTATCTCAATTGCATATTGGGCCAGGATTGAGGATGTGGAGGCTTAGAACCGCACTTTTCAATCTAAGTGCGGTTTTCATATTGTGTTACCCACAAGCTATGTTCACCATGAGACGATCCGGCTCACAGTCTCGCCTCGGGATAACAGGTTCGAATCAATGAAACCGAACCTCCGTGGGGGCAGTCATCTCGAAATTATTTTCCGCGCGGCGCGAGACAAGCACGAGCCTATTAAGGATTAGTATAAATTCTTCTTCATAGGTCCTTTCTACTCAAAGGCGGGGATTGGCCTTCCTACTTAACCGTATCTTACGACAAAATATAGACGCACGCGGGATAGGTATAAATGGTAGAGGACGGCGCGACATAAATATCAAGAGAATCCTGTCAGACATTTATTATTTCAGATCACTCGACATCACTCGCTTATATCCTGGCAGCCTTGGACAGTTTCAAAAGCTTAATATCGCCCCCGCAAAATCGGCCTTACTTATCAATAAAGTCCTGCGGATAATAGGGCTTGTCTGCGATGTGCACCCTACTTTTTCGTTCAAGGAACAGTTTCTTGGTAATATCTATTGGCAATGTTCGTTGCCAAGGCCATAGTAATATATACGACCAGAGATATGGAATTTCATAATATTTAAATTATATTCATCGCATGTCCATAGCCTCGCATTAGGCTAACGATGCCGACTGGAATTTCGGTCATATGGGGATACATCTAGAGAGTAGGAAAGGCCTTACCAGTTTCTACTCTCACCTACGCATTATTTGGCCTACATGTGACCGGAATTCCAGGCAGCATCGTTAGTAGACTTCTACTGTTTTTTAGCTGGCAAATTCGGATTGTCTGCAAGTTCGAGATTTGGGAAACGCAGAGAAGGAAGACCTCTGAACTACTAAGAGTGGGACCCCCAAAAACAACAGTTCTGAAGAGTTCCTTCTGTGCGTTCCCCAGATCCTGAACCTGCAGGCAATCCGAATTTGCCACCAAAAAATAGTAACCTCAGTTAAAGCCTTTTTGCCCCTCATGAAGATGTTGCTAAAGCCGGGCACGGATGGAGCTCAGGGATTGCTGTTAGTTCCTCGGCCTTCCTGTATTCCCCGCATTCCGGTACCCGTATGCAGATCACGGTCGTCCCTCTCAACGGGTAGGAACGTTCATTCGATGAGTCATCCTTTGGTCCCTGCCTGCCGAGGAATCCCCTCTCGTCATTACCGCGGAATATCGGAGCGTAAATGGAATACTTGAGTTAAAACCCCGGGGGATTGGAATTGGGTAGCGTGAGGGGGGGGCTAACCATTCCAGTAGCATCGGCTATGTTTCTAGATTTCTGGGGGATACCGGAGCTGGAATAATGCGCGAGCTCACGCCCGGTATTTGGGGTGATGATATGTTTTTTCCGCGGGTTGAAAGGCTCACTAGATATAAAGTAGGTTGTGGGCGGGGATGTACTTTGGGGCCCTGGCGCGCAAGGGATGAGAGAGAAGATAGTACATACGCTTTGGCTCTCGTTCGTTTATACTTTTCTAACACTAACAGTAAAGCTGAGAAGAACTCTCCTGTAATCAATCGCCCGGTGTTTTATCACCCACATTTGTCTCACTGGAAAATAAAGGCTCCCGATTCTAACCCGTGGCGGGAGCATTTGGTAGACCAGCATACATGAACCTGCTCTGGCCAGGATTTTGTGGGGCTGGACTGTCCCCAGGGTTTGATATATAGTCTGGATCGGTCTGGGCTTAGCTGTTTTTTGTCCCAGGCCAGATCGGAAATATAACTATGGACTTCGTATATTCGCCTCTTATGCATGTGGGGCTTCATATCGTCGAAAGATTTCAAAACAGTTGTCACCTCGTCACATTGTCTCGGGTGAACTGTTTTAATTTGTCCAAGTGTATATTCGTATACGTGGGCGTGAGCTTTGTGTATCGGGGCTTCATAGAGATAAATCCAATATCGTTGCTCTCGAGATATATCTATGGAACTACCGATAATATATCTCACGGGTTAATACTCTCACAAGTATAACTCCATTACGTCTGAAAAGGAAAAAAAAGAAAAACATTAAGGGAGTGTCAAGCGGATGCTAACGAATGAATCAGCAAAGATATATTGATCATGAACTATCACTCGAATACTGAACAATGATATTTCTTAGCAGATGAAGGTGAAAATATACTGTCAGCAGGACACGTTACAAAGTAAGAGGATACGTAATAGTTGGACGCGGGGGAGTAAAAAACTTTCCATTTCACTCTTGTCTTATCAACGCTGCCATCCTTTTCTCAACATCTGACTGTAAGGATACATTACGAGACTACCGATAAGGGTTAGTTCTTAGTTAGTAACACTGTATTCATAGCTAGAGAGCACTCAACACTGTATAAGTAGAACAGATACACTAGACTAGCTGGTATATCTTCACGGTGAGAGGACTCTTCCTCTATCATCAATCAAGTCATCTACAGTAGACATTAAGCGTGACTTCGCTGACGCTCTGCATAAGTTCGGCCTTCAGGTTGGTATAGGATCCCAATGAGCTTGGCAACTATGGAACGGACAATTATTCAAAGACCCCTGCTGGGTAATGTTTGTGTGCTCTCCCGGATACCTTCTTGGTAGCAGTCGCTGATCATCACCTCTAGTAGTCTAGTCACCGCTGTCGACATCACCTTGCATGTTCACCCACGGATTCTCTGTCGACTCTTATACATCCCAATATTGTAAATCTAGTTACTTTGGGGCCTGGAATCACGGGAGATCTGAGAAGTCTGTTTATCACAGCCGTTTAATTATTCATCACAAGATGTTTGAGGGTGTAGGAGAGAAATCATTCTCTTGACGCTCACAGGAACTTGAATACAGGCTTGTCCTTGATTAACTGACGATTTTGGCGGGTAATTCAACTCACTAGGTTCGATTATCTAGTCTCTCTTAAACTGATAAGCTCCAACATCCCGATTTACTTTATCAACATATTTACCCTACACGGTATTTTGAAGAAAAGAGTTCCCGAACGGCTCTTGCTTAACCTTCAACGGCATCCCCGATGTGCACCGTTGCAAACGAATCCTGACGGGAGGTAACAGATAACCCGTAGTGCCAGAGGTACACCGCCGACAACGGGAATCACTTATCTGCCCCACTCCTTAAATCAGTCCACCGGCCGCCGCTCAACTGATAGACATCAGGAAAAAAAGAATTTACCCGCACAATAATTAAGGACTAGGTAAGTTCTGCTTAGCTTCGAGTACAGCTGGTTGGTTGAGTATTGAGTTAAATGCCAAGCCCTTCATCCAAGCCTGGGCTAATAATGTGTTTCTTACTACCGAAGTACTTGCATGGGTACGTAGAGAACCTATTCCAATACGAATACTGAATTCGAATTTACTACGACGATTTCGAACTTCTCCTTTGTCCCGTCCGCCAATCCACTCTCCTTCCGAATCCTCTCTTCACTTCATTAGTAAATACCTCTTTCACTCTGCCTACTGGGAATACAATGAAGCCAAGAACACCCCCCCTGCACAACTCACCTATGTATCCACCAAGATTGAATTTCTTGGCCCTCCATCTCTATCCGGCTAGCTAAGCCCAGTCGTCAAGTCCAAGCGAGTACAGGCATCTGCCAATGATACGATTTCACTTTTTTTCATCAGACGACGAGATTTGATTCCGACGATCGCTAAGGAAGATCTACACTTGTACCCTACTATACTTTACTGCACCTGCATAACGGGATGGTATGGGCACTCTATCATTGCAGGGGTGCGGGTGCGGATGCGGGTATGTCAATCGCAATATTAGTAATACTTTCTAGCGCATGGCGACGGCGCATTAGAGGTTCTGATTACTGTTGAGTTTATGGTGTCGGTCGTCATCGGTGGGGGGTTGGAATGAGTACTCTACAGGTATTGTATTATGTAGTGTAGGGTAAGATACTAATCTGGGTTATGGGTGCTCGCATATATCAATGGCCGATTTATTGTGCGGCGCGGCATGTATGATGTCCATCGGCCTTAAGAGAGAACACGTGCAAAAGAGATGGCCCGCGGTGGTTAGTTCACATCTGAACAATATTTCACTTCTGAACAAGGTTAACTTGGGAACAAAACATGACTTGCGTGACTCTAGATCTGTATTCAAACGTAGCTATTCACAATACACAGACCATAAGAATTCTAGACAAAATTCTATCACCCTGTTTCCCATCCCATCCCAGCTTTCTAAGAGTATAAACCCTCATGTAGAAAATAATATAAAGAAATAAAAATATACAACAAAAATTGCCGTCCTCTCCATCCCGAAACCCACAATAAACCCAAACGCATGCCGCATCCAGCGCACAACGTTCCAGCCTAGCCTAGGGGACATGAGACAAAAAAGTAAAGCGACAACAAACTACATATCGTCATTAACACTAGCCTTGTTCGGACCTCTAAGCCGTCTTGTTGCGGCTGTTGTCCTCAATGTAGTCGCCGGTGGTCTTCTCGGTGCTTGGCGCAAAGCCGTAGCGGATGGCATACTCTTCAACGTCGTCGGGGGAGAGCAGCGGCAGGGCCTTGGCGGCGCGCACGTACGAGATGTTCTCCTCGAAGCCCTTGGCGAAGATGAAGTCGATCTCTTCGAGTGAGCGGAGACGTGTCTCGGGGTAGAAGAAGTAGCTGGTGGTTTATTAGTATTGTAGTGTTCAAGATTAGATAGATGGTGGTGGAGCTAGTGGCTTACATGAACGGGATGAAAGCAGCATTGACAGCAGCAAAGAAGAGATACGTCCCCCACTGGATGCGATCAATCATAATCGGCGTAATCATCACGACCGTAAAGTTAAACAGCCAGTTGGTAATCGTCGACACGGCATTCGCCTTTCCTCTAGTCCTGAGCGGGTTGATCTCAGCGGGATACAGCCACGGCAGCGGCAACCAGGTGACGCCAAAGGTCGCAATATACAAGAACAGACCCGCAGCGGCGCCGCGGGCGGCAGCCTGTGTTCCAGGAATCAGGCAGCAGAAGGTGATAGTCATAGCGAGTGCCTGACCGATAGTACCAGCGAGGAACATCTTCCGGCGTCCGGCGCGCTCAATGATGAACCACGAGGTAGAGGCGAAGATGGCATAGACGATCATGTTTACGCCGCCCATGATGAGGGACATGGAGCGGGACTGGCCGATGGACTTCTGGAAGAGGATGGGGAAGTAGTAGATGACGGCGTTGCAGCCGCCGATCTGCTGCATGAGCTGCGAGGAGGCGCCGATGAGCATGCGGCGGAAGTGCTGTGTCTTGCCGCCGGTGAAGAGGTCGCTGTAGCTGGACTTGTTGCCGACTTCGGCCGCTGCCATGGAGTCGAGGATCACGCGCTTCTCGATCTGTACGATGCTGGAGTCGATGTCTTCGCCGGCGAGGGCGGCGATGACACGGGTTCCTTCTTCGTCTTGGTCGCGGGAGAGTAGCCTGTAAAAAAGCATCATCGTTAGCCAGAGCCATGAGTGATGAAACTATATAGATTATTATGTATAGTGCTGCTACATACCAACGCGGCGACTCAGGCAGGAACAGCATGCCCACAATCATGATGACAGCAAACAGGATCTGGAACGCAATGGGGAAGCGCCAGACGACATCACTATTGGTGAACGACACGCCGTAGTTGAGCCAGTAACTAATAAGGGTACCGAACGCAATAGACCCGCCCTCAATGCAGATGAGCAGTCCGCGGTTCGTCGTTTTGGCGCACTCGGCCTGGTAGGTGGGGATGGACGAGGTGTTCATGCCGTTACCGATGCCGGTGACGATTCGACCAATGATGAATTGGGCCTAGATTTGCATGTTAGTTAAATTCAAAAAGCTCGACCCCCTCGCAAATTGCGTATATCTGGTGGTAATCAAGATGTAATCATACCAACGACTGATGACCTCTGAATGCAGTAATCTGGATGATGACGCCAAAGATCATGATGACGGCACCCGTCATGATGCTCTTGCGGCGCCCGAGCTTCTCGCCGACAAACAGCACCGAGATGGCGCCGAAGAGACAGCCGATTTCGTAGATTGAGGTCACGAGACCCTGCATGGTGGGGTTGCCCCTGGTCTCGGGGATGGCGGCGTTGAATTCGGGGGCGGTGATGATACCGCTCATGACACCTGTGCAGAAGGAGCTATTAGAATTTGTGTTGCTTACATTTTACGAGAAGAGGCTAGAAGGCAGTTTGTTGAAGTGAGAAGGTAGGTAGATAGCTTACCTTGATCATAACCAAAGAGCAGGAAACCGGTGGTACAGATGAACGTGATAGCAAACTGGAGGGATCTCCCTCGAAGTTCGAAACCCATGATTGTTTCTGTTTTTCTGTCGTGTCTATGGATATGTTGTTGGGTATTATGCTCTTTTCGTGAATTCGTTCCTTCAATTCGATCAAAAAGAAGAACTCCCAACTCCAACGGCGAAAAAAATGGCAGATGTTGTCACAACACAAAAGCTGGGAAATAGGGACTGGTTATATAGATATACCTCCGCTACCCAATCTGCATTTCCTAGCTACTTAGTTAGTAAAGTATGTACCTACCCACCACCCACCACCTGTCGATACAAATCGATCACCACCCATCGTGTAAGCTATGTACCTTCTAGGGTAGAGCATCAGTTACAGCAACCCCCCCCTCCCCCCACCAGCGAGTGAACCTTTTCCCCAGGCCCGGAGACATTGCCGAGTCTGAACATGCTGCACTTTGCTGCAGCGGGTGACGGGGTAATGATCGTCGGCAGTATGAAGTAACATATCACCAAGTGTCCACATCAGGCCTAGTCATCCTACCCCGGGGAGGGCAGTTAACTAACATTCCCCGGGGAAAGCAACACCCACACGTCATAACCCCGACTTCTGTCAACCAACCGCCCCTCGTTCCTGTGTCCTAAACCTGGAAGGGCTTAAAGGGAGAATAGTAGAGGTCTTTTTACCCTCGAGGAGAAAGGGTCAAGCTCGGAATCGTGGACTTGAGTAACTGAGCCAGTCAGTAGTCTCATCGTCGTCGTCGATGGCAACCGCCACGACCAGTCACTTATCTCACTTCTCTCACTTCTCTCACTTCTCTGTGCTTCCTTCCTAACACGCTTGGCCTTCCGAATCGTTGCTCTACTCCTGCTCCCGGTGCTGATGCGCCTCCACGGCTACGGCGTTGCCAAGAACTTCAAGAAAGGGTCTCTCCTCCATTCCATTGGCGCGCTTCGGGTATGCAGCGGCACCAGGGTTTAAACTTTTTTTCTCTTTCATATGCTGAATAGTTTCTCCGCAGCTAGCAGCATGTGAATCTTGCCTGAATATGGCGCACAGGCAAGCATAAGTTCAAGGGGAGAGTCGGGTAAAAACAAGAGATTGAGCAAGAACCCCTGCCCTGGCCTGGGTGAGAGTGCTTGCATAGGTAGGGCTGCTTTTCTTTTCTCGACAGCAACCAAGCAAGTCAAGCAAAAGCAAGCCAGGCATGGCAGGGGAGGCTGGGAAATCGTCATACGTGCCCCATGAAGTAACGTTTCTACCACCAAAGAAAAGCTTTTGCAGACAAGACAAAAAAACAGAATTCCCTGAGTAAGACCAAGTTCTGCAGATCGGGCCTGAACAGGAAGGAACGAAAACACCCGTGGTGAGCCGCAATCCAAACAGCCCGTCGGTAGTCGAGTGCTAACTAAGTCGCAACATGTGGAAATGCTTTGATCAAGCCCTTCGACCTCACTTTCTCGGCCAACCTGCCGAGCTCACGTGACTGCGTCAATGATCGACATGGGGCGCGGGGGTCGCAAATACACGTATCGACGAATTTCATAAAGAAAAACACCTTCAGGGCAGTTCCAACAGAAAGAAATGAAAGAACTAGCTAACGGATTAATTCCTTTAGATGAAAAATGACATTTCGGAAGAAAAGGTTCGGAAAAACTCTTTGGAAATCGAAAGGTTTTTGAGTGTTGATCATGAACGAACGAGTTTTTCCGAAGCGTTGGCTTGGGGTACGAGTGATTGCTGTGATTATCACCATTACCAGTTAGGGGCGTGGGTAAAACCGCAGATATGGGCAGAGTATTCTAGAGTAGGTAAAGGGTACTCTTACTCTACTCTAGCTTGATAATTCAATAATCTACTCTAGAAGAACAAACTCAAAGGGAAACGCAGCGGCGGCGGGACTTATGAGATCATAGATCGCATCTATCTGGTTTTTTTTTCCATCTTTTGATTCACTCTTCACTGCAGCAGCAGTTCTGGACGGATTTCGAACACGCCCTCTCGTCATCCAAGACCCAGGTTCTCGTTTCAATAGACCTGGCCGTCGGGACTCCATACATACATACATACATACAGAGTGCACCTGCTTGCCTGTCTGCCTGCCTGTCTCTCCCAGATCGATGCCATGCCATCGGCCTACCGGAATAACTCCAACTGCGCGGTGAATACGGCGAGTTCCATCCATCTAGGCGCCTCTGTCTTTCTCAGACGACTAATTTAATTACAATGGCTTAGCTAGATGGGTGATCAGCACTGTAGGTACATGTAGCGCGGCCAGATCGTCATATGTATCTCGATATATTATGCAACTCATCCTTCTTTTTCTCTCAGGGACCACTGTCTCTCACCCGTCATTTGCATGCACAATTTCTACTTAGAGAACTCTAGCAGCAGCGAAGAACAGCTCAACAGCCGCATTCTGCGCTGATGTTGCCAGAGAGGATGGATGATCGTTCGATGCATTATAATAGGGACCCACGTCCACGTCCACGCTTTGGGTAACTCTAACCCTGGCTGGCCCTTTCACTTTTTTTATGTCGCTTGGGATGGGATGGTTGATATGATATGATATGCAGCCGGTGTGTATAAAATTAAAATCGCTCGCGAGAAATATTTTATTTATTTCTTTTTTGTTTTTCGTATCTGTCTGGTGGAGATGTTCTAGACTAGGGATATAATCCTTCATTTCGAAACAAACGTTTCACGAGCCAGCCAGCTTGTGAATACTTATCTTGCTTTGCTTCGTGTATCTATCTACCGACGATGCTATGCTGCTGCTGGCGGATAAACTCATCGGTTAAGGCACATGGATTAGCGTGATATAATTACCCCGAATCATGAGAAATCATGCAGTCCCTATTCCCAGCTCCCAGCTCCTAGTTATTACAAAAAACCCTACCTATCCCTATGTATCCACTCCAAACATACTCTACGGCTACCTCGGCAAACCAAAACCACAATTTTGTAAAATCGCGGGGTACTGTACGTACACCCCAGCCGTGCCCTGCCTGGCTGTGTTCACGATAATTATCGTCGCGCGAGATTCTGGGGAATATTGCAGGGCAGGGCAGAGCAGGGCAGGGCAGGGGTTTTGGGTTTTCGGGTTCATGGAGTACTTGTTAGGAACCAGACCATTGACCAGGAGCTGGCCTGCTCGCTCGCTCGGTCGCTCGCTTGTACTACTTTCCCCACGTTTCAATTGTCTGTGTTTTGCAAAAGCGCAGTGCAGTGCACGTACGGAGGACAGTGGTACGATACCTGCGATAACCGTAAAGAAGAGAGCGCGATTTAACGGTGAAACTTGAAACTCAGCTAGCTAGAGTCGGGAGTTCAAATAATGCTTGTGTTTCTTGGCGTGGGTAAGTGGTTGGAATAAGTAGAGTAGGAAGGGACCCCTGCATTCCGTGACAGCATCTTGCATGGCTGAAAGCGTGACAGCCGGCCGGGGGGACCAACCTCGTAGTTTTGAGGTGAGATGAGCTGTGTCACTCACCGTGGGTAACGCATACAGGGTTATCGTTATTGGATCTTCTCCATACCTCTAACAGCCCATTGACCAGGCTTGACTTACCAAGATTGACCAATTCAGATAGACCTCCATACCAATCCCAAGCCCCAATGCCAATCACAACCACCAGCACCCCCCTCCCCCTCCCTCCCTCCCACGCCATCAACTGGCTCCAGCACCCCCCCAACCTCCTCGCCGCCAACCCCTCCGGCGTGATTCACACCCAAACCTCCCCCACCGCCTACACCATCACGCTCTCGATCCCGGTGCTCTGGTTCTTCTCGTTCACGGTGACGACGGAGGCTGTGTTTGAGAACCGCGTTGACGGGGTGTTTGTAGTTACGAAGACGGGCGGGGTACGGACGAGTAGTGAGTGGACGGTAGCAGGATTGGAGGCGAGGGATGGTGATAGGGACGGGCAGGAGGGGTGTGTGGTGAGGGAGGTGTTTAGGGTTTTGGAGTGTTGGTGGGGGGTGGGGTGGTTTGTGAGGTGGACGGCGGGGAGGGAGCATGTAGTGTTGATGGAGAGGGTAGAAGCGGGGTTGCGGGCAGTGGGGGAGAGTAAGAAGGTGAGGTAGGATTGTGGAAGGCGCGTGAGTAGTGGTATTAGGGATGGATTGTGGGCTTGGAATTGAATAGTAGATGCTTTCAGAGATGATCTTTGTGAAGCGGAGTGAAGAACCGAGAACGTAGAGAATGTATTGTATGAACTGATGAGTAGAAACAAAGGCTCTTATAGTTATAGTTTAGAGGCCAAACTACCTCGAACACAAAAGTACAGATGGTTTGGAATAACGCCCAAACTTTGAATGTATGGAACGTTTAACAATGCAATCGTTAACAATATCCACCACCGCAATAACTGACTACAACCAACAGTTCTCTATGTAGATACATGTATGTAACGTTAGAGTGGGCTTGGAAACTACCAGAATCGTCGCAATTGTAATTGATAGACTCGCTGATGGGGGTATGCCGAAGTTGGGGGAATACCGAATTACACTGGAACTCAACATAATCCTTGTTGGGCATCCCCCCATCTTCGGCATACCCCCATCAGCGAGTCTAGAGCTATGTATCCTTCTATTTAGGAATTGATATGACCCTCATAGAAAGCCATGTGCCTGCAGTCGTAATGGCTTTCCAATTGAGCAATTGAGCACTTCCTTCCTACATGTATTAGGGTTAGGTAAGTACAGGGGATGTCAATTTAAGGTTCAGACCGGGGAAGTCAACTGCTCGTCTACCCCGCCTGATTCACAAAAGTCACAACCTATATGTAATTAACCAAGACAGCTGCTATATAAATTCTCGCTTCATCACAATCCTTATTTCTCATAATAAGTCCCCTTTCCCGCTGATCTTAGACATCGTCACCCAATTGCAATACAATAATTCATTTAATTCCCACTCCCCAAATCCGCAAACCTCCCCAGATCGTATTAAGCTTACACTATAAATCCCCCCCAGCAACATACGCACCCAGCGCATCCGCCTTCCAATCGCTATACCCATACCCAACCACCGGAATATCCGTCCTCACACACCCCTCCGGCACTGCCACATTCACGCCGACAAAATGCAGCTTATACGTCTTATCATAGTCGGTCGTGGGACACAAATACCAGCGGTCCAAACCATTGTATCTACTCACGCACCGTATCAGCCAATGCCCACACACTAAGAAACTCGGGGTGGAAAGCTTAAGAGGAATTAATACCGTAAGAGCCTATCATCGCGGCCAACCGAAAACTTGCCCGTGTCTGCGTCCGCGGGCACATACGCCGAGTGCGGCGACGTAAACCCGATTGGCTCCGACCTAGTCACCCCCGACACCTATCAGCACTGTCTTTCCCCGTAATCAAAAAAAAAGGAAACACCGAGTCTAAGGAAAAAAAAGCACTACTTATTCGGAAACACATAACCATTCCTCCACCCCGTCATGCCACTAAAGTAATTCGTAAACGTCAACCCGCCCTCCCCACCGCCAGGCCTACCGCCCGGATAGTTAAGGACCAGCGCCTCCACACGGCCAGAGTACTTGATGTTGCCGATATAGACCGTGCCGCCGCTGACCGAGAGCTGACGCTCAGCGGTGGTGATGCTGCCGTTGGGCCTGACGAAGGAGACCCATGTGCTTGTGCCATTACAGGCCGCGGAGGCCGTGGTGGCGGTGAGGAGGAGGGTGGTGAGGAGGGGGAGGAGCTGCATCTTGGATGGGCCTTGGGGAGGGGACTGGCTGTGGGTTGATAGAGGGATTGGAGGGCGCCGAGGGCTGGTTTTATATTGGCGTCTGGTTGCGCAATTGCTGGATCCGAATCCTATACATAGCTATCCCATCAAGTGATATCATTGACACAGTATACCCATACCGTCCGACCCAATAGTGATTCGAATGCGGAATGCGGTATCGTCCTCAGCTCTGCACATTCCCCACAGCACTCTCCCTCAGCTCCGTCCGTGCATTTGCGCCATATCCAATCCGTTGTAGATCTTGAGATCGGGTGGTTTAAAGCCATCTATATGTACGCAGTGGAACGTTTCACCGCAGCATACAGGTTACACAGGCTCACCAGATACGGAAACGCTACGGACTATATCATCGCCAGCTAGACACCAGTGTGGAAACGTTATCCCGTTTCGAATCCCTCGGTATCTTGATGTACAGAGGATGGGCTTTTTATAGGCTCCATGTGGCACCGAATTGGTGGTTTTCGTATCTGCGGTGCCCCCCCCCCCCCCTTCTCTCCTGGTTTGATCTCGTATCGCAAGATCTTGAGGAGAATTTAGTGGATTAGGCTTAGTTACAATCCTATCCCGCTCTCTCGAAGTAATTTCACCCATTTCCTGTTTTTTCCCTCTTGCTAGAGTAGATACCCACGCCGTCACCACACCTCACCCCCTCCGGCGCAAAAGGTCAGCCGAATTCCTACCCACAACACTCACAACAGATACCACCACCCCTTGATTCCCCGAAGACATACTTCCACGCACCAACCACTGGTGGGAAAGCTGGACTAGTCCTCCTGATGCAGTCTGGGCACAGTAACAGATCGAGAGATGCAATGGCACGATAGAGCTGGTCGAGAGTGTTTTGACAATGCCCATTGGGGCCGGCTCGAAAGTGGCGGGATAAGGTTGTGTGCTACGGGGGACAGGTGTGTAGTCAAGTGGTGGCATGCTGTGGGATAGTTGACTGGACTGGCTGTCAGTTGTCAGTTGAGCTTGTGATGTTGGGGGTTGTGGGCGTGTTTGGTTGGCGGAAGTCTTGGTGAGAGCAGGAAGGGGTGTTTTGGGGGTAAATGGGCATCACTCGGTGAACTGAGTGATGTGAGACGGGCGAGACGGGCGAGAAGGGCGGGCGAGACGGGCGAGACGGGCGAGCGTAGACGTTGAGAAAAGGGCCAGCTTAAGGAAATGCTAGAGATGGATAGTAGAGAAGTTTAAGTTTCGCGGCGACAAGGAAATGGCTGTATAGCCCGTGGGGAATCTCCGCTTGAGATCGATGTGGCTAGGACTAGTATATAGCAGTAGTCTGTTGCCCTGATTGGATACGTTGGCTAGAAAAGAACATGATTGATATAGGATGTGGGCTGTGGATTTCTATGCCGCAAGAGCTTGAGGCCATCATTGGGTTACTTCGGGTTGCGTGTGGATTGGGAGGAAGTAGGTTTTGCGGCCCTTGGCCATGTATAGACGTATATACTTAATTTACTTATATATATGTAGGCACTGGTATATTCTTCTACGCATTAAATACGGTCGTTCAGGTTAATATCCCGATCAAACACCATCGAACCAAGATGTGGTTTTGGGACATCCTGTGGTTCTGAAAGCACGACTGATCGAGAGTCTTTTGTGAGCTACTTCGTGAAGCAATTGTTCTAGAAATCCTTTGTTGGTATGTAAAAAATAAAGCGAGACTTCATTTCTTGATTGACACTGTACAATAGGGGGCCTTGTGTGACTCTTGTGATGTTACCGGAATATATAGAGTGGTTTGAACTCTGTATCTACCACTGACGTGGTACTTATGGGGCTGATTTTTGGGGAGTTTTGTGGTGGTAAATTATAAAGGGTTGGTTGATCATAAAGCACGCTGATGATCTGTGACTGGCTAGAAGACAGTGCGCGCGTGTGGGTATATATAGGAAATGAACAGTCACGGAGAGCCGGCCCCTTCGATAGTTCTTCAAAATAAAGCCTCTCTGAATCATTAAAGAACTGAATGGGATATAGAAGGAATGGCCGGAGGGAAAGATAGGCGTAAGAGAGGTCACGACTTAGTTAGACTCTTATATATGAATTTACATTCATCTCGTGCTTTATCCAGCAATTAATCATGCACCTGAGCATTCCACCCTATTACAGAAAATCATGCGGAGAACACATAGTAGCGAATTCGAAAATATATACTCCTAGACTCGGAAGCCAGAAATCAACATTTGTGACTGTCTATTAGCCGAGTGATATTCTATGATTCATCAAGACCTTCGCACGGTTATCCCTTAAGCTTATGCTGTTAAAGCTGCCAACTTTGCCAAGTATCATGTCTCAGTTCTGTGGCTTTCGTGCGGGGCTCCGGCCCCTGATGTTACCAATATGTTTCGTGTTGGCAGCATTTAAGTAACAGCTTAAGGGATAATCGGTGGTTTTTGGTTGGCTTTGAGATCGTATTTACTTGATTGATTGTCTTTGGGCACTCGAAACTGCGTCCTATGTACATGTGTCGACAGGATATTCATTTATTCTAGCCAGTAATCTATTTTGTGAATTAAACGCGAGATGCAATGTATATGCTGCATATAATAGCATTGTAGAAACGCAAGTGAACTGTAGTGACAATTTACAAATGTGTGCATATAGATATTGTATGTACAGCGGCGGGTAAAAAGTGATCGGACGCTTGCAAAAGCAATATTACATTTGGCGGTTCGAGGTCGTTGGCCCCAGGTTCGAGGCTGGGTTAAAGGTCGATACATCAACGAAATGGCAACGAATAACAGTATTTGATAAATAGGATGAATATAATGTACATTTAGTAGTGCGTAGAAGCTCCTTTTCTCTTAATACATTCCCTGACCCTCCTAGGCATACTCTCTATCAACCTCTTGAAGTCATCTGGTGTGAAGCGATCCGAGTCCCATTCTTCCTGGAGTGCTTGTATAAGCTGTGGCTTGGTGGTAATGGCCGGGGTTCTTAGGTTTATTCTGTATTTCATTTTCCACCATAGGTTTTCAATGGGGTTGAGGTCTGGTGACTGGGCAGGCCAAGGTATCCGTTGTATTCTCAAGCGATTTCTAGCTTCCCTAGCAACTACAGACCTGTGTATGCTAGCTCCGTCCTCCATAGCCATGGCTTCACCATCTGCCCGTCTTGTCTGAATATAAAAGGGATGTAATGCGGGAATCATAACAAGTTTAACATAATCTGGGCCCTTTATAGACCCACTCGGTAAGATCACCATAGGTCCCTTAGTACCCAACTTGATCGCACCCCACTGGTTTCATGGATCGATCAGTGGAGGTACGGGGTTATGAAGAGTCGGATTAGTCAGAAAGGTTCTATTGGGTTCTACCGGGTTCTGTTGATCGTTGATGTATGAGTCATGTTGGGTTTGTCATCGCTGGGATTTCCTTGAGTATATTAAGGGGGGTGTTCGCCTGTATTTTGTGTTCTTCTCTTCTTTCTTTACGCAACGTCTTCTGTATCTACGCTGTCTATTGCTATATAATACTCTCGTTCTCTTCTTTCCTCAAGAAGACCACCGCCTCGCTTTGTTCTCGTCCCCTGCAAACCTTACCGACGCTAGAGCCCCGTAGTACCCATATCGTGGAGCTCCCACACCGTCCCCTGCTACGCTCTTCGTGCCCTGCGGAATACTCGCTACTCACTCCCTTGAGATTACGTTGCGTCGTCATCCGCACCGTACGATATGTCCACCCCCGACCCACCTGCATGGAATGCACCCAAAGATGTAGAGGAATTCAGGCAGATGTTTGAAGCCGGCCCTGCTGAACTATTCGACAACATCGCCGCCCTCGTCCAGCGTGTCCGCCTCCAAAGGGACACCCTTCATACACAACTCACCGCCGCCAACGAAACCATTGACAACCTCGAGGAGCAGATAAACCGGCTCAACCTCGACCTCAATGTCGCCCGCGCTGCTCCTGCCCCTACCGTCGCTGTCCCCGTTGCCCCCGCCCCTCCACCTGCTCCTGTCCCCGCCTTCAGGTCCGAAAAGTTTCCAGACCCTGAAAAATTCGATGGCACCCGTACCAAGCTCCCCGGATTCACTACCCAACTTCGAATGAAACTTGAAGTTAACCACGATCGGTTCCGGAACGAGGCAGCAAAGGTTATCTACGCCGTCAGCCGCTTGGAAGGAAGGGCCCTTGACCAAGTCGTCCCACTCGTTAATGCTAACCCTGCCGCCCCCTTCTCCTCTGTCACTGCCTTCGTCGCCCATTTGGAAGCCTCCTTTGGGGACCCAGACCCCCGGGGTACCGCCCGTCGCCAACTCGTTGCCCTGAAGCAAGGCAAAGGGGACTTCGCTACCTATTATTCGCAGTTCCTCCGCATCGTGGCATACCTGGACTACAACGAGGGAGCCAAGATCGATGCCCTGGCCGAAGGACTGTCGGAAGACCTGAAGGATGCTATGACATACCGGACAGACAGGCCTAACACCGTCGAAGCCTATGCCACCATGTTGATGACAATCGACAACCAGGTTCGGGGCCGCAAAGCTGAACAACGGGCCATTCGGAATACAATGGGACAATTCACCGCCCCCGCTGCTGCCGCACACCCATCTCATACCGCCGGAGGCCTCGCCCCAATGGACCTCTCCGCTCTCCAAAGCCGCCCCACTCAACGTCCTGCCATCGAACAACGATATACTTTTGTCAACGGGCAACGCAAAACCTCCGCCGCTGAAAAACAATGGCGAAGGGACAACAATCTCTGTATGTACTGTGCCAACCCCGGTCATGTCTTTGCCAACTGCCCCTCTGCCAATCGCCCGCGCGGTAACCAACCGGTTATGAGAGGCGCCCTCCTCGCACCCAGCCATACGGCCGTCGACCCCGCTGCTCCACCGGTCGCTAGTCCCGCCTCCTCTGAGTCGGGTTTTCAGTAGTCCCGGGCTTGATCAATGGCCCCTGCCCGGGACCTTCCAATGTCTCTCCTTTGTCTGCGTTTTCTATCTCTGGCTTCTCGGTATCGTCTGTGGAGGATAAGTTGGATGGGGATCATTTTGTTGCTTCTTGTAAAATTATAAACAATAAAACATCCATTCAAACCCACGCACTGATCGATACCGGTTGCTCCGGATTCGCATTCATTGATGAAACATTTGCGCGCCATAACAACTTCCCACTTCTCCCCCTTAAATCACCCCGCACTCTTGAAGTCATCGACGGTCGGCCCATATCTTCCGGACAAATTACCCACCTCTGCTATCTGCCGCTGTCCATTGACTCCCACCATGAAACTACCCCTTTCTTCGTCACCAAACTTGGCTCGTATCCACTCGTCCTCGGAATCCCCTGGCTTCAATTGCACGATGCAACATTACGGTTTAAGGACAACAGCATACTGTTCGACTCCGAATACTGCAAACGCAAGTGCAACTCTTCCCCGATACCCGTTCCCATTAGAGGGGTCGCACCACCGCCCCGTTTTCACCTCGTCAGTTCAGCTGCTCTTTGTCGCTTTGCTCGAAGAGACAAACTCCAAATCTTTAGTACAACTATTGAAGAAATAGATCAAGCAACGGGCGTGGCCCCTAAGCAAGACTGGAGGAACCGGGTCCCAACCCGGTATAAGAGATTTTATAAAATGATGGACGAAGAATTCGCTAACGGGATGCCGCCTCGCCGCCCCTATGATCATAAGATACCGCTCAAGGAAGGGAAAGAGCCCCCTTTTGGGCCACTTTATGGTATGTCCCGCGAGGAACTTATCGTGCTGAAACAATACATACAGGACAACCTTCAAAAGGGGTTCATTCAGGCCAGCTCTTCGCCTGCCGGTGCCTCTGTCCTATTTGTTAAGAAGGCCGATGGAACACTCCGCCTTTGTGTCGACTATCGTGGCCTCAACGAACTTACTGTCAAAAACCGCTACCCGCTACCACTCATCCGGGAAACTCTCGATCGCCTTTCCAAAGCCAAGTGGTACACCAAGCTTGATCTTCGCCAAGGGTACAATCAGATTCGAATGGCTGAGGGTGAGGAATGGAAAACAGCCTTCCGAACGCGTTACGGACATTTCGAATACACCGTAATGCCCTTCGGCCTTACCAATGCACCAGCCACCTTCCAACATTTTATTAATGATTGCGTCCGTGATTACCTGGACATGTTCTGCACAGCCTACCTTGACGATATCCTTATTTACAGCGACACCTTCGAGGAACATCAAGTACACGTCGAAAAAGTACTGGAAGCCCTACAAAAAAATGGAATACTGCTGAAACCGGAGAAATGCGAATTTCACACACAAAGCACCACCTATCTCGGCCTGATTATAGAACCCAATGGTATTAAAATGGACCCAAGGAAAGTGGAAACAGTGAAGAATTGGACCGTCCCCAAAACAGTTAAGGATGTACAAGCATTCCTGGGTTTCGCTAACTTTTACCGCCGATTTATACGCGGATTCTCGGAACTGGCTTCTCCTCTTACCAGACTGACACGTAAGGACACATTATTTGGATGGACACGCGAAGCCCAAACCGCCTTCAATGCCCTGAAAGAAGCCTTTACCACGGCGCCCGTTCTCACTCATTTCGACCCGGAAAAGGAAATTACTGTGGAAACCGACGCATCTGACTATGTCTCCGCCGGTGTACTCTCCCAATACGATGACAATGGTATCCTCCGACCTGTTGCGTACTTCTCGAAAAAACACTCCCCCGCCGAATGCAACTACGAGATTTACGACAAGGAATTACTGGCAATCATTCGGTCTTTTGAAGAGTGGCGACCGGAACTTGAAGGGGCTGCACACCCAATCGCCGTCATATCCGATCATAAGAACCTCGAATACTTTATGAGTACTAAACAACTCAACCGGAGACAAGCACGGTGGGCAGAATACCTGTCACGATTTAATTTTGTTATCAAATACCGACCAGGGAAACAAGGAGGGAAACCGGACGCGTTGACAAGAAGATCAGGAGATCTCCCTGGAGAGGGGGATGAAAGACAATTGCATCAGAGTCAAGTTGTGTTGAAGAAGGAGAATCTGGATGCAAAGCTAAGTTTGTTGGCGGGTTCTTTCTCAAAGGAGCCCGCTGAAAAGAACGCCTCACTGCAGGAATTATTTGATGAAGGATATAGCGCTGACCCGTTTCCCCAAAAAATACTGGATATGCGGGATAAAGGCGATCGACAATCAAAAGACATATCACTCGCCGAATGCACCGAGGTCGAAGGCCGATTGCTTTACCGAGGCAGTATATATGTCCCTGATTACGACCCCCTTAAGCTTCGAATCCTCCAACTTTACCATGACGCTGCCTCTGCTGGACACCCGGGACGTGAAAAAACATTCGAACTCGTCAGTCGGGACTACTACTGGCCCCTCATGCGAAATTACATTGCCCGCTACGTTCGGAACTGTCACACCTGTCAACGAAGTAAACCCAACACCCATGGAAAACTCGGCGTACTTCGACCTTTACCGATTCCCGAACAACCATGGCGGGAGGTATCGATGGACTTCGTTACGGGCCTACCGGAAAGTGAAGGGTACGATGCAATTATGGTAGTGGTTGACCGGCTAACAAAGATGCGACATCTCCTGCCCTGCAATACTACTGTCAACTCCGAAGACGTCGCCCGACTATACCTGCGAAACATATGGAAGCTCCACGGGCTACCCACACACGTCACCTCCGACCGCGGTACGCAATTTACAGCTAAGTTTTGGAAGGCTCTTTGTAAACACCTCAACATCGAAGCAAGGATGTCCACCGCCTTCCACCCAGAGACCGACGGCCAAACCGAAAGGCTGAATGCTGTAATGGAGCAATATCTACGTGGGTATGTCTCTTATCAACAGGACGATTGGGTAAAATGGCTTCCTATGGCAGAATTCTCCGCCAACAATCAGGTCTCCGCATCCACCAAAGCTACACCATTCTTCGCGAACTATGGGTTCCACCCCCGGTTTACAGTGACGATCAAATCGTTGGACAAGACCCCACCGAGTCTTAACGCTAAGGACTTCGCCTCGAAGATGAAAGAACTCCACGAGCACCTACGTTCCAATATCCGTACAGCGCAGGATCAACAAGAGCAGGCCGTCAATACTAAACGAACGCCGGCCCCACAGTACGATGTCGGTGATATGGTGTTTGTTTCAGCAAAAAACATCCGAACCACGCGTAACTCCCGGAAACTGGACTGGAAGAAACTGGGACCGTTCCCCGTTAAGGAAATTATATCGCCATATGCGTATCGAGTCGACCTGCCTAGGAGTATGAAGATGCACCCCGTCTTCCATGTGTCATTGCTGGACCCCGCTGCGAATGATCCTGTCCCAGGGCAAATTCAACCACCACCCCCGCCCATTATCGTCGAACAAGAGGAGGAGTATGCAGTTGAGGAAATCTTGGACTCGCGAGAATTACGAAACACTGGCCTACAATACTTTGTTAAGTGGACGGGCTATACCGACCCTACCTGGGAACCCGCCGCATACCACGATAATACCGCCGCCGTTGATAGCTTCCATATACGCTACCCCGACAAACCTGGACCATTGGAAGGAAAGATTAAGGTTAAGGCTCGCAGGAGCTCGCGCTTGAAGGGAGGGGCTACTTTCATGGATCGATCAGTGGAGGTACGGGGTTATGAAGAGTCGGATTAGTCAGAAAGGTTCTATTGGGTTCTACCGGGTTCTGTTGATCGTTGATGTATGAGTCATGTTGGGTTTGTCATCGCTGGGATTTCCTTGAGTATATTAAGGGGGGTGTTCGCCTGTATTTTGTGTTCTTCTCTTCTTTCTTTACGCAACGTCTTCTGTATCTACGCTGTCTATTGCTATATAATACTCTCGTTCTCTTCTTTCCTCAAGAAGACCACCGCCTCGCTTTGTTCTCGTCCCCTGCAAACCTTACCGACGCTAGAGCCCCGTAGTACCCATATCGTGGAGCTCCCACACCGTCCCCTGCTACGCTCTTCGTGCCCTGCGGAATACTCGCTACTCACTCCCTTGAGAACTGGCATATCATGACCGACGTCCTACCACTTTTGAAAGAAGGCAGTAGACAATCTGGAAGCTCCTTCTCACCAGCTGCTCTCGATACCCAGCAGGTTCCAGCATGAAATCCCACCTCAAATCTCGATTCGTCGGTCCAAATAATATCTCCCCAATCCTCCAAAGTCCAGCTCTTTCTTTCCTTGCACCATTTTAACCTATTAACCATGTGCTGCTTCTTTAGGAAAGACTTTCTTTTTGCGCGACGTCGGTGGATGCCTGCTTTGGCTAAATATTTCCTAGCAGTCTTTCTAGTAATCGAAGTAGGTAAGAATTTGATAAGCTGATTAAGAACTGTACGTCGGCAACGTCGTGCAATCCAGACTAAGAACCGCCGTTCTCTTAGGCTTAGCTTCTCTGGCCGGCTCTTCCTAGAGGCATTTTTGGTGTAGGGGACTAGACTGCCAGGTTTCCGATTGTCTTTATCTCGTTTGACAATTGAATAGCAGGTGCTTTTTGGTACTCCAGTTTTCTCGGCTATTTTGGCAAAAGGATAACCCTCGCCATGTAAGGTGATAATAACTGAGCGCTGAACCTCTGTAGTCTCCGCCCTTTTAGGTTTTGAAATGGGTTTGATGGCGGTCATTTTGGCTGTTTGGGTACTAGAATCCGTTTGCTATTCACTTCTACGCTCCTCACACGAGTACTACTACCATCAACATTGTCTCAGATTTCTCAGCAGTTGATCCAGGCGTCCGATCACTTATTACCCGCCGCTGTACCTACAGTCGCACCTCACTATGCCGGATCTCAATATCCCGGATCCCTTGCTGTCCCGTACGAAATCTGGGATTTCAATTCTCTTACTGCAAACTCAATTTGCTATCCCGGATTTCTCATGGACATTGTCTGATCTTGGCATCCGGTATAGCGAGGTGCGACTGTATGTATTTACCTCAACTTATGATTGGCCCAACAGCGAACTGCACATACTCTAAAGTGTAGCTGGGGCGCGCGCGGGGTAACCGCAACTTCCTCACGAACATCTCCTCCGATAACCCCAAAACCACAAGAGCGCCTTTTTTCACAACATGTCGTTCGGTTTTAGTGTCGGCGACTTCGCTGGTACCCTACAGCTTGCCTGGACTCTCTATACAAAATGCTACAAAATTGCCAAAGGCGCACCCAAAGACTTCAAATGCCTGATAGAGGAGATCAACATGCTGCATAGCTCCATCAAGCTACTTCAAGACGAAGCCACTGACAAGGAATCCATCTTGGTGCGCGCTGGAGCCGATCGTGTTGACATGGTGAAGAGAGTAGTGGGCCAGGTTGATGTAACACTCAGGGAGTTGGAAAAACATTCAAAGAAATACGATAGCTTGGGCAAAGAGCATTCAAGCAGTATAAGGAAGTGGTGGACCGGTGTGCGGTGGTCTGCAGAGGCTTCGGAACTGGATGCATTACGCAATAAGGTGAATACACATATATGTTTGGATTATATACCTGTGTAAACGTATCGGAATGTCCTTGGATACTTCGTTTTGGGCTGTTTTTTACGGCTATCCCCCACTTCAAGGGCGACACCTGTTATATCTATTAAGAGATTGAGAGTCAGGCCTTCGCAAAGACTTAGGATATATAGCCTGTTTAACATACTAATGCGCATATACGATATAGCTGGTCTATCATAATGGGGTCATCAGTCTACTCCTGACCTCGTGCGGCAAGTAATGTTTCCCGTCCAGAAACACAAAAGAAAAAGAGAAAGGGTTGACATGTATGGGTTGCAGCTCTTCCCTGCAGCGTATAGAGACAATAACCTCGAAAGTTGAAAAGGGGGTTAATGATATCAAAGACATGATTCGAACTCCCGCAGTCGGAGCACCCACACTCTCAGCTATACAAGGCGACAGACTTTTTTCAATATCCTTAAGTGAAACTTTGATGAAAAGTGCAGAAATTGGGCGAAAATGGAGTGCCATCGGGGTTGATGAGTGGATTCAAGCGGGGAGTTGGTGGCTATTAAAGGTAGCTTGATCTCTTTAAGCAGCCTATGTCATATCATATTTACAGATAGTCGCTGACTTCCGGTATATAAATACAGTCGCAAATGGATCTCTACACTGGGTTACCATCAGAGCGCAAGATAACTTGGCAAGGATATGCAAACCTCATCAAGGCAGCCTGGATCTTGATAGATATCATTACTAGACATCCACAACTAGACTTTCTGGAGACAAGTACCGCATACGGTGTAGAGCTACTAGTAGAGGTAGGTAAAATCCTTATAATTGGATGCGGGAAGTATGTATGTACTATACTGATCACTCACATGAACTAGACAATACGAAGAGAGCTTGAAAATATTAATAAGTCAGGCCTCGCGAGACCAACGCTTGCAGAGTTGGGTACTTGTGATCTAGCAATATGGGAGACACAAGCAAAGGAGTCCACTTTAAAGCCTCACGTAGAAACCTCGAGCTCTGGCTTGAGCCGCCAGGCGTGGATGACAGAAAATGAATACGTACTCTTTCAACGGTATTTTCCCTTGCTCGTTAATTCTTATGATATATATCTCTAAGTATGTAGATTTGTATATTACCAGACAAATAGCTACGCAGTAGAAACTCCGTGCATTATCCTCTTCTTAATGCATAAGGTGGTTAAGGAAGCGAAGATAGTTCTGAGAGACCAGAGCTGGCTCACATTAGCGACATTCGTTGGTATATCTCCCAATACCCATAATCCCACAATTTTGATAAAAAATCTCTGATTTCTCTTTCATTAACGTCCGAGTTTTAGTGAGGGATGTGGCCCCGTATCCTAATAAAAATGTTATGCAAATCAAAGATCAAAAAGTACTATTCTCAACAACCCAAGGTACGATAAGGTCGTTTCTTTTTTCCTTTACACAAGCGGAATGTAGTTAATAATCCTACGACAGATGTGCAGCACCTATGCGCGATTACGGAAGCTGCTAAGGAATACTTGTTCTGTTGCAAGTTCAAAGAGAACGACCCGGAGATCCTGCGATCGTTTACTCTGCTCTTTTCTATCAAGAACAATTATGGAGGAGTGGTCAGGCGACTACTTGAAGATGAAGAGGTTTATACAGAGGCAGAAAAACTCAGAGAAAATACAAGGGCGAAATACTCTACCAGATTACTACTTGAGGCGAAAGAATTGGCAAAATTGACGAATCAATCCATTTTAATGGATGAGCACAGAGAAAAAAGCACTTCGAAGAACTTATCTTCAATTAATGAAGTAATCAATCAATCAATCAAGAACTTATCTTTATTTGTTTGGTGTACGAGGAATGAATACGATGCAGTGGCACTCCTTTTGTGCGAGGGGAAGGGCATACCGATAGGCGATCGCGAGGAAGATTTAATTATGTGCCGGCCATCACCTCTACACAATGCCGTGCTTAACAAGAATTTAGAGTTGATAAAACTCTTTTCTTTCGAAGATGGGTTTGATATAGACGCACGTGATGATTCAATAGGGAGTCATGGTCGTTCCACAGCACTAGAGATAGCAAGTGAAATTGGATTCATCGCAGCAGTAAACATCTTACTCGAGGCCGGCGCCGATTCGCACAGAACTAGTTACCAGGCATTATTTTATGCAGCGTGTAGCGGCCACCTAGACGTGGTCAACAGGCTCCTCGAGGCCGGGGCCGATGTCAATGCAGGTCAATCCCAGGCATTGCGTACAGCAGCGGAAAGAGGCCGCCTAGACGTAGTCAACAGGCTCCTCGAGGCCGGGGCCGATGTCAATGCAGGTGAATCCCCGGCATTATCCGAAGCGGCGTGGAATGGCCACCTAGACGTGGTCAACAGGCTCCTCGAGGCCGGGGCCGATGTCAATGCAGGTGAATCCCCGGCATTATCCGAAGCGGCGTGGAATGGCCACCTAGACGTGGTCAACAGGCTCCTGGAGGCCGGGGCCGATGTCAATTCAGAGAACTGCTTGCCATTATTTAATGCAGTCCGCAGGAATTATTTTGTTATAGCAGCCAAACTTCTCAAAGCGGGTGCCAATATTCAATCCCTCCCTGAGTGTGAAAGGGAGAAACTCGAGTCTTGGATGCGTAACAATGATATTTCTATATCTTAATCCACCTTCTGACCTGACCACACTCCGCGCGAAACCACTATTCCAATTCATCAGTCAAGAGTGGTGCAAGGCCTTCTTATATTTGCTATCTGCAAGTGTTGATGTCCGCTGCAGTCTTTGTTCTTGTTCGGTATTTATCTTTTTTGGTATTCGATGTATCTGGCCTGTAAGGGCAAGATGTAGTTGTGGGAGAGTTGAACTTCAGGGTATGGATTGGTCGTGGATGGGATATATCATGGTTGGGAATGAGAGTTGGCGGGGTAACGATCTAAGTGATGGACGGGTGTTTTTGTTGATTGGGCCGAAATTGTTTCCGCCTATATCTAAATTGATCTTGTTAACGAATATATCACTCGAAACTGTTTTTTCATAGTAATACATAGGTATTTGCGTTGCACTGCCAAGACGTATAGTATGCTGTAGCTTCCACCATAGGTAGATATGGTTCAGAGATCTGCGGCCAAGAGTGATGTATCCTATACATACCCTCTTTTTTGATTGCAGGATCAGGTATAAAGCTGTATGTATGCAAGGACGCTGGAAAAGATAAGAAGGGGGAGAAAGATCAAGTATGACAAAACCACGATAGAATTGAACCCACGACCCAAACTAACTATACACTAAACAAAAAGGAGTATCAAAAAAAGAAAGAAGATGAACATGAAGAAGAAATTTACGCTCCAAGTGCAACCCGCACCAACAATGCCGCCACCCCACACCCTAAAAAAACAATGAATCTTTTTAAATTTCTAAAATGCAAATGCCAATGCCGATTCAAACAGGAATAGAACTATGGAAATAATCGGAAACGAGGATTTTCCGTTCGTTAAAATCACTGTTTCAGGATACCGTTATTGATCAAGATAGCTGGATCCGGGGCGTTCTTGTCCGACTGGAACGGGAGCGAACTTCCGACGATGAGCGCCTTCATCGCTGCTGTGTCAGTTGCAAGGGAGGAGTTTAGTCCAAGGTGGTAGGCGATGAGGCCAGTCACATCTATGGTTGTTATATTAGTTGATGTTTTGAGGATTTACAGCGGGAGAGAGGAATAGAGTTGAACTTACGGGGTGTAGCCATAGAAGTACCGGAGATGGTATTGATAGGGTTGACAATGTTTGGAAGTGTAGGATCTTTGATCCAGGTACTCGTTACATCCACTCCAGGTCCATAAGTGCTGACACAGGCACCAAAGTTCGAAAATGTGGCTCTCTCATCATTGATATCCACTGCACCCACACTCAAGATATCGGTGCCCTGACTAGCAAGTGCAGGGCTGGTGAGACAAGCGTCGACATCGTCATTGCCTGCCGCAACACTGATGTGAACTCCACTCTCACTTGCCTTCTTCAGGACCTCATCAATAGCATCACTGACGCCGGATGTGCCGAGACTCATGCTAATTACCGATCCCTTGAAATCGGCAGCGGTCTTGCGCTGGTCGTGTTGTTGCATGACGAAGTCGACGCCGGAGAGAATGTTGTTTGAGTTGCCAGTTTCAGCCGAGAGCACGCGCACGGCGATAATGTTGGCAGCTTTGGCAAGTCCGAAGGTTGTAGATGCTGCTGTTCCGGCGCAGTGTGTGCCGTGGCCGACATCGTCGGTTTCGGTACCGTCGAAGCTGAAGCCAAAAGTGGCACGATTGTCAAAATCGACATGAGTGATGTCGACACCAGTATCCACGATGTAAATATCAACACCCGCACCCAAGGTATTGACAGCACCGTCAAACTCGTATGATGTGAAGTCAAAGTCCCGGATGGTCTGGTTTGAGCCGACCTCGACCTTATCTGCTTGTGAGACACGCTTCAACCCCCATGTTCCGTCTGTTGAGTCGTGAAGTTTGACTTCCACCTGGGGTTGATATGTCTTCCAGCCTGAGGAGAGGACCTCGAGTTGGTTTACGCAGTGACTTGAGAGCGAGGCGGAAAAGCCTTTGAAGGCGCTGTTGTTGTAGATGTTGGTTACGTCTTGGACAGTGAGGTTCATGGCTGCGAGCATATCGTCCAGGGTGCGCGGGTCATCTTCGGAGATAATAACGTCCCAGCTGCCACCGGAGCCGGGGGTCTCGTCGAGGATGTTTACGGTGTCTGATGTGCTGACACTGTCGGTAGTGGTTGTTGTATTCTCTGGCGTTGAGTGGCCTCCATGGGGTGCGGCAAGAGACAGACCAAGTGAGAGGGCGGAAAGAAGAGAGGTGGTGAATTTCATGATGGGGAGGTTGGTAAAAGTTTAAATATAGCGTATCCACAAAAAAAAAAAAGATGAAGTATATTCAGAAGAAGATAATTCCTGTATATTGTTAGGACCATTGTATTGAAATCAAGCAAAGACCTAGAGGAAACTCACTCAGGAAAAAAGTTGCCAACACAGAATGAATGGCGGGGTAATATTCCGGATAAGATTAGAAACAGCGGTCGACACAGCTTCTGAAAAGGAGGTACAGTGAAGACTGCGGGTGGTTAAGAGAATGTGGTGGTGGTGGTTGGTTTGTTTCTTCTTAGAAGGAATGCAAGAGCTGCAAGCAGACAAGGTGGTTGAAGCAATAGAAAGGAAGAAGTAAATGTTAAGGAGAAACAAAAACAATAAAAAAGAATTAAAAGAAAAACAAGAAGGGAGAACCTGTCCCAAAGAAAAGTGCTATTGCTGCTGTTCAACGGCTATGCTTGCAAAGGTGAATGAGGTTGAAATATCAGGGAGACTTCCCACAGTTTATATTGACCGTTGACTAGGAGAACCATACGTACTATGAGATCCGAATTAGTACTAGATTAACCCTTACATGATGCAGGAACCAGGTCTCTAGCATCCCTGTTGCCATCCCATCTCCACTCCAGCCAACCAGCTGCCACTACAGGGCACATTTATTGGCTCTCTCAACTTTCAGCCAACAATAGGCGTCAATCTGTACATTTGCATCCCCGTTCGAAATAACAATCCTACACCAGTCGTATCGTATCCGAGCTGGTGTTTTACCGCTTTAGCACAGTAATCGCCAAATACAGTTGAATTTGCCAGCGCTAAGTGATTAGATAGGACCTTTGCGGTTTCGTCGAATTTTAAACTCTCAATTTAGAGCAGCGGCTTCCAAATAACGGTATTTGGGAAAATACATACTTCAGTCCGCCGCCGAGGCGCGCTGGGCATATATGGTGAACCTAGTCCACTCTAACTATCGAGGTACAGAACTGAAGTTTGGGAATAATACTTAGGTAAATAAACATGCCAAACAGGGCATGGATCACCTAGCCGTACGATGGGAGATGAAACGAAGCCTCCGACGCCATACTGCTACTTTAGGGGTACTCTTACTCTTGCCAATGCTTCTGCGTGCATGTCTCTTTCGCTCCTTTCTTCTCTTCTTCTTCTCCCCGTTTCCTCCTTTCCGTTTTCCGCACGGAAAAAAAACCTGAGCCAATGCTAAATCCAAACCGGCCCACAAATTCTCCGGTTGGCTACAGTGGAACTTGATTGGTTGCCAAGGAGGGAGGGAGTTCAGGTACCGAATTTACGGCACAACTCTCATTGGCCAGCCCTAGGCCATCCTAATCTGTTAACCGCGCGGAGTCAAACCGCATACAAGTAAAAATATTTCTCATCTCGGATTATACTTATTGCGCCTGTCGAAACCCTCCTGAGAAAATGAGACATCTATCTGCCTGTCACCATCTGCAGACAGCATAGGCTTACCGAGGAACCTCAGGAGTAAAAATACATAACCCACGATCGAGCAGGTGTACCTACATGTACAGATTCTGGTAGAATTAATGCGAAAGTGGGTTTTCCGTGACCCGATAGTCCCATTGGCCCTCAAAGGAATTTTTGCAGTGAGCACGGGCCAAGAAACCCACCCTTTTAGTTCTGACTTTCGCAATAATTCTACCGGATACTGTACATATATGTCAGACGGGCTGCATTTCTCAGTGGTGAAACTTTTTCACTCCTCCTCCGTAACCGGGTTTGGTAGGTAGAGTAGTAGCATTCCCGACCCCAACTTTTGGCGCCGAAAAGTTACCATCTATCCGGCCGCGACGCGATATAGTATGGTTGGCGACGAGTGCGTATGTTATGTATGCAATGTAGTTTGAGAAATGCCCTTCGGTTTCTCTGTTTCGCTGTTTCGGCCGGGGAGTAGATGGATTTATCTCTTCCAGCCTCGCGCTCGGAACCCAAGAAAGTTTGGGGCCTGCGTTCTACTCTACACATGTATCTATGTATCAATCCTCGCAGTGCGTAGCCGATGAGGGAAGCCCAAAGTACATCGCATCGAATTCATAGTGCGGCCTGTCCGTGCACATGCCATCGGTTTCAAAAGTGTTCCAGTGTTTCGAGTATACGCCTTCTCCTGGCGCTATGACCCCAGCCAGACGTTGGGTGATCGTAAGCTGTGCCACTGAGTTTCCCTGGTTCGATTTTCTCGGTTGTATACGCGGGAGCAAGTCGGGGGCACGCGGGCTGTGGCTGTGGGTCTGTGGCTGTGGGTCTGTGGCTGTGGGTCTGTGGCGCAGGGTGAAAACCATTGTATTAGCTGAATGGATGGGTCGTAAAGTACATGTACATGTACATGTAGTTAACATTCCTACTTCCTACTTACAGTGATTACTATAATATATTCTACCCTCCTGTGTCGGAGATTGTTATCCTTATAAGAGGTGTTTGCATGTCCAATCTCATTTGATTAAGTCCTAACAGATGCGGTTGCCCAAATCGGTACCTCCATGTCAGAGTACTTTAACCTTCATCTAAACTTTAGTTAGCTGGGATGATCATTTATCTCGCTTGATATCGACTGCATGTAGCTTTGAACTCGCTCCAAATCCGTACATACTCTTGATCAGGCCTGCGTATATAATTAAATGCATCCACCGCACTCAAACGCACATATCCATTGCGTACGCATCCCACACAGCAACTGTCACATCCCGTAGCTGAATATTCATGCCCAAAACATTCCCTGTCTCGGATGCCATCATGGAACGCCAACGGGTTCGGAGTTCATCGCCCATAGATGCGGAGATAGGGTGGAATGTAAGGCGGGCTATATATATGGGCCGAGCCACGTCGGTCGGTTTAATCCTAGGCGTGCGCTGTTAGAAGTATCTGGGGATTTGAGGGGAAAGGTATGGATGGAGGGCTCGAAGACTGGGTATTTTATGGATGGGCAAGGGTACGTACAAACCACCGCTGCTCATTTCAGAATGATCTGGCTAGAAGACCCATCACAGCCGATGCAAGGGGGTGGATTTTGGGATGGAGTGAGGAAGAATCGGGATTTTGTACCAATTATATGGTACTTGGTGGTGTCAATGGAAACGAAAGAGGAGAAGGAGGCCACATCTTTATTTCTTTCCGATTCTATGTAACATTAAGGTTTAAGTCGTTACACAGCTAGACTACGATGCACACCGGCTAGATCTATAGAGCTATCCTCTCCCCATCTAAAGAACCTAGGAGACCAGTTGAGAGCTAAATCACTCACGATGAAGTCGCACGCGCTAGGAAAATTAATCGGAGGTTTCTCTGAGCCTTTCGAGCATTGATTCTGCCGTATCCCCGGCTGTACCTACATGGGTATGGCGTCTTCCAAATGTTCCGTTATCTAAACTTACATACATGTAATCGCCTTCCATTTTCCTCCCGTTCTTCCCAGCAGGTATTTCCCCAGCGACACTAGAACATCAACTCTATCACAAAAGAACGTTATGGTCAATTTGGGGGGTTTTTGAATCGCGGACAAGTATCTCGAAGAGTCTTTATTCCAGACAAAATCTCATATATGAGCGATAAAAGTAAAAGCAGATAAATCGTAGATGGGCTGGGCGTTAGTGCAATAAAAGATTTAAGCATGGCTCGGAATTGCACATAGTTACGCCAAGAAATCAGATAGCTAGGCTGAGTGATATCTCATGGACCTACAAGCTCTCAACTAAGACACGGCCCAGCCACCACTGTCATTGGAGCTCTCGCCACACACAAACCTCTTCTGCACCTGACTTTCCCACCCGCGCGCCACCACACAACGGTACATTCTCTACGGCCAGTGCAAACCAGCGATATCGTTCGTAACATCGTGAACCACAAGCACCGCTGTATCCCTGGCAGGCGAGATGACTTACATACCACGGACCGCCCCGAAGGAACATAACCGACCCCCAGAGAGATGCACCCCAACCCACCGTCCGCCCCACCCAACCAAAACATCCCCCACCCCCCCCCCCCCCCACAGGCCCCCAAAGCCACTCGAGCGGCACCACATCGTGGCACACCCTGACTCTCTAGTAGGCAGGCGAGTGAGTCCCACCCCCCATACGCCTAAAACACAATCACAGATTCTCACTCGACCTTATCCAGCGCGCATCTACCTGTCCATATTACCTCGAGGACATAGTAGAAGATCTACTGGCTGATACGTTTGAGAATAACAAGTACACATAGCCACCGGCGAGGCGAACACCCGCGAGCGACTCTGGCGTGACTACATTAAGAGGATGCCGCGGTCTAAGTAGCTAGTCTCTACTTCGGGTGTTTACAGCACTCTGTGCCTTCTCCTGGAGATTGGGGGATATTGAGCTGGCTCTGTTAGCCGGCTTCGGGGGCGTGAGATCGGGGAATTCAGAATAGGGATGTCCTAGTGGCGTCGCGGACGAGAGATTAGTCTCACCAGTACGATGCAGCAGGCAAAGGTAAGGGTAGAGCCGACCTTCCACAAAACTCCCATCGCACCTATCCAGTATCTGCAGCGCAGCTGCACACAAAGATATATTCCCCCCGGTCACCAAACCGCCAGCTCCTCCGCCTCCCCCACCCCTCCATACCCCCACCCTCCATCTTCCCCACCAAACAAAACCACCCTCCATCTTCCCCACAAAACCAAACCATCCATCATCCGCACACCCACCCCGCCCCACCAGCCCAGCACATCACAAGAACTCACTCGCCCCCTCTACACCCAGTACGGCTAGCACCCGCACCCCACCACGCTACCACTGCAGTACTAATTCTTGGCGCTGGGCTGCGTTTACCAATCTCCGCGCGTTGCACTGCGGAGAGGGGGGAGGTTACGGGTCTGACGAGGCGATGACAGGATAGTGCGGGGGGTGGATGGTGGGCATAGGAGGGGATCGCTGGATTCGTTTTGCCCCGCCGACGTATGTAGGCGGGGGCGTAAAGGCATAAGGCATAAGCTACTGGGCTGGAACTCAACTGGAAGAAACGGGTGGGATGGGACCATGGATGAGGGGTCTTTCATATGCCTTGAAGGCTTGCCCGGGAGGGAGACATCGCACGTGAAGAAGGAAGACATCAGAAAACGAATCCAGCTGTGTTATTTCCTGCCGCCGCCAGCTTTCTCCAACTACGTGCTCACACCCACAAACTCCTCCCTAGCTGCCCGAACAAGTACCATACATAGGAAACTAGAAATACAGTACATACGTTATCCAAAACCCACTGCCACCCCGCCACCCATAGCGTACCGTACAAAAGGAAAGAAAAAAAAAGGCGCAAGAAGGGGTATATATATATATAAGAAGGAATCCAAGCAAGACAAGAATGGGACATGTATACGACCTAGACTAAATGGTATATGTAAACCAAGGAACCACGATAATAAATGTGAGTATATAAAAAACGACAAAAGGTTGTGTAATGAAATTCAACTTTTTTTTCCCCCGTTACCCCGCTGTATATGTTATGGGCGCTGACATAAAAGAAACAGTCCTACACCTCCACCATCTCCTCTGCTCTCTTCTCGCCCTTCTTCCCCTCATTCTTCTCCTCGACGCCCTCGATCCTCTTCACCTTCCTCCCCTCCCACCACACCACCCCCCCCGCAACACCCGCCACAATACACGCCAGCGCCACAAACAACCCCGTACTCCAGCTCGGCCGCTCAATGCGGTTCATGCCCCACATAAACCCGCTCAGCACCGCCTGCAGGAACGTATTCCACACATACAGCCAGACGACAAAGTCCATCTTCCAACTCTTTGTCGGCGGGGCCCTCTCGCCCGTGACCGTCTCCCTCGGGCCCGCCTCGACGCCGCCCTCCCCCGCCGGGATCCTGAACCAGCCGTCGTGGATCGTGGCGAGGCGCACCAGCGCCGACTTCTGCCCGGCGACGCGCCACTTGAGCAGGAAGTACAGGTCGCGGAAGCGCCACGGGATCAGCCCGAAGCCGGTGACGCAGAAGAGCGCGTTGAGGATCTGCGAGTCGATCTCGATCCAGATGCGGCGCGGGGAGTTGATGTAGTTGCACGAGGGCTTGCACATTGCCGGTGCTGCGTTGATGAGCAGGAGGAACAGCATGCCGCCCCATGCGATGACATTGAGCATGTATATCGTTATGCAGAAGCCCTACCAGCACGTCAGCATCCGAAAGAGAAACAAGAATAAGAACAAGAACGCAAACTAACCAGCGGGGTCTTGAAGAACTTCCAGAACGACAGCAATCCCTGCACCGTGACCGCCCACCAGCCCGGATTATGCTCCTTCTCCGCCTCCCCCTTCTCCTGCGGCTGCAGCGGGGCTATCTCTCCGTCCGCCGTATCCGCCGCGACCCTGCCCCTCCTCAGATCCTCCTCTTCATGCTCGTGGATGGGGAAGCTCTCGTTCCTGGGCAGGCCCACGCCGGGGCTCATAGCACTGACACTGCTCCCTCTGCGTCCACCCATCGTTGTGCGACTGCCCGCGCTGTTGCGGCGAAGATCTTTGAGCGACGGTGCGGAAGCGAGTGCGTCGCCGGTGGCCGCGCAGAAGCCGTAGTGGGGGTTGGCGTCGATGAGGGACTGGAACGATGCTGTCCGCGCTCGGCGGGGCGGCGGGGGGGAGCTTGATATAGAGCGCGGAGACTCGAGGGGTGGGGGCGGAGGGGGAGGGGGCGAGAACGACATTCTCGCTGTGGGTTTTGGGGGTTCGCGCGCGGTGGCGTTGGAAGGCGTGGTGTGGCGTGATGGGGGCGTCGGCGTCGTACGTATCGTAGGTAGCTGGGCGAAGCTCGGAATGTATCAAGGGACAGACAGCTACTAGCTGTGTGTGTGCGCGGTCCAATTACTAACGGCTTGGTGGTGACAGCTGTTTAGTGCGAGATCGCGAGATAAGCTTAATTGAACGGGCACGATGCTAGGGGTACGTAAGCAGAAACGCGTGGGAGACCGGCAGTTCTGGATGTTTGATGTTCGATGTTCGATGTTCGATGTTCGATGTTGGCGATAGTGGTGCGATGCTAAAGGAAGAAGAGAAAGGATTGACAGACTGACAGACAGACAGACAGACAGACAGACAGACAGACAGCCGAGATAGCTAGAGCAGAGCAGAGCAGAGCAAGACAAGACAAGACAAGACAGCAAGCACTCAAGGGGGAAGAGAGAGACTCCCCCTCTCTCCCACTCCCACTCCTCGACGTTGCTGTCCGTCCTGCTTGCTGAGACACAAACATACAGGGAAGCTGCCCTCCCTTGCACATCCACCTCCGTCATGCTGACTCACCCGCCCACGCCCAAAAAACAGGGATCTCCGATGATGGCATTGATGATCTGGATCTATCTGATCGTCCACGTTTCCGCCAGCGGAGAGGGGTGCTGAGTGCTGAAACGTCTTTCGGAGATGCCCGCCAGCTGATTGGTGGGTGCTAGGTACATGTAGGTATTCTTACCCAGGAGTACGAATGTCTACAATACACAATGCAATACACCTCTAGACTGAGCTGCTGCGAACGGGGGCGGGAAAGAAACCAGAATTGCGACGCTCCAGCGACAGACAGCGGCAGCGGATAAATTGCGCAAGCACTCTACAAAAATAACATCCGTTTCGCGGCGCGACTGATGGCTGGCTGTGCAGATGGCCGACGTACTCTCGGCACTCCAAGTACCAACTCTAACAAACAGCATCTAACTACTTCCGCACACATATCCTGAACTGGACCAAAAAGCCCTTGGTAGAATGGACGAATTTAACCTCACAAAGCGGCGTATTAATAATCCCGGGACCGAAGCGAATATCGGCCACAGAACCCCCCCCCCCCCCCCCCCAGCGCCGCATGGACCAAAGCGATACTCGCATCCTGAACCCGGCCGGACTGACATCGGCGGGCACGCACCTAGCGTACGTATTACAGCCTACACAGCCAACTCCATCAGTCACAACACCAGCATTGCTTATCCCTTTATCGACCACGACACGTACTTCCGCAGGGCTTTAACTACACAGCCAACAACTCAGAAGAGAGTCTCCGTGCACGTCGTATCACTCGGCGAATTAAGACAAGAGCACGGTAAAAAAAAAAAAAAACCCTGAGACCACCCAATTGAGCAGTGTCCTGATCCCTTGAGAACAATGAAATGGGAAGAGTAGCCGCTCCTGTAGCAATTAATCTCAGGCATATATAAAGTGGCCCATGATGGAATTTCATGTATATGATAGACGCTTGGAGGGTATATAAGGCCGTGTTAGGTACTCCGTAGCATAAGTAAGTATACGAACATCTCAACCCGGCCGTGAAAACTCAAGGCCAACCCGACAAGAACATGGGACACCTCCAACTTCACCGCAAATAAAACAAACCCCATATACACCCCTACCTCCTTCCACAACAAAAAAGGGATCCCCCAAACCACCTCCAGCCAGCGCTAGTGAAAAAAAAAAAAAAAGAATAAAAAAAAATACAGACAGACCGTACCCAAAAAGCCCCACGCGGGGGTCGAACCCGCAACCTTGAGATTACAATAAGAGTCTCACGCTCTACCGATTGAGCTAGCGAGGCATGAAACTGAGTTGTTCATACGAATACAAGTAGCACATCAAAATGTTCTCTAGCGCTAGCAGCCGCTAGTTTCTTCGCGCGGTGTAAAAGTTTTTGCATTATGGGATGTCACCCGTACATCAACCCTTCAAGGAGTGGACCTGGCTATGTGGTATAGATGGCGTAGAGGACCAATTGAATCACTTTCTCATATTGGCCTTTATTGGCACATTGTATTTCGAGGGGGGGGGGGAGAGAAAGAAAGAGAAGACTCTTTCTTAGCTGGATTGATTGCCTGCATAGAAGTAGGTGAGTACATGTCTGCCACGATACATGAAGTATAAAGTATGTAACCTCGCAATACAATATTAGAACGTAGCAGCTGCATTCAATACGAAACATCTAGAACATTAGTACTATGGAGCTCACAGGGCGGAGTAGCCGAGAATGGTAGTGAAAAAGAAGCTTCAACTTAGCAAAAGCCCACGGTAGTCTTGGTGGTAAATAGATCCCCACTTCATCCTTAAATAGCGCTTATCAAGGACTTATTAGTTTTAAGGCCTGCTACATCACACCTATAGACAACCCACGGCGGTGTAGCGCTGGTCAACACGCCGAAACGCAGCACGTGGGAGACAGAGCTGTGAGGAGATCTTGGGTCCGAATCCCAACTGGGGACGTTATCAAAAATCTCTCTCTCTCTTTTTTTTTGTAAACTACTGTACAGATACGTACTTATAATCTGGTTTCTATCCTCCGACATGCTACTGAATAATATTGCCGCGCACTTCGTTAGATATGTACGGAGCTTAACTACATGTAGCCATTTAGCAATACGTTGACGTACGCACGTGAAGTACACTCTACTCTCTGGACTTACACATTTTCTTCGTCCTCGCACAGCAAGGCGGCACCCTCCTTCTTCCTAGCGGCTCTATCTTCCACTCACGAAATTCAAGCGAACTCATCATCTCCCACTCCCCCTCCACCCCCTCACACTTATACCGATCCCCTATATTCCCACCTCTAAAAGCACCCGGGGCCACGTCGTCCTTCGCCGTTCCATTCTTGACCCACCGCTTCATCCGTGGGACCCCGCGCCCCCAGATTAGCGTTTGGTCAAAGATGCCGAAATACGGAGGCACGATGCCCTCGATTGCGATTTCGGGGCACGACACACCGCCGACGAGCAGGATGCCAAGGGCGGCGTCGATGCCGTCGACGATGTAGGGGAGGAAGGGGTAGAGCAGTGAGAGCTCGTGTTGGAGAGATGTTGTCTGGCCGAAGCGGCAGGGATGGAGGTAGTAGGGGCCTAAGGGCAGTGTGAGGTCACTGGAATCTTTAGAGGGGGCGATGTAGAGCTCTTTTAGTGATTTTAAGCCTGCCAGAGATGCTGCTATTGATTCCTGGAGAAGAGATTTTGTCAGCGTCTTGGAGAAAGAAACCGCTATGGAAGGAGAAGGAAGGGAGTATATCATACCAGTTGAGTAAAATCAACATCGAGACATAGCACTTCAAGCTTCTGGCACGCCGACGTCAATGTCTGGACATCTTCGGAGGTGAAGATATAATCAGTTTCCAACCACAGGGTTCTCAACGATGCCCCATGCTGCGCCAGCACAGTAACGTCAATAGCCGTTTGCCTAACAACCCAGTACCAATATAGCTCCTCAAGTCCCGAGAAAGATGCTATAAAGGGTGCCGCCGAACCCTCAACCCGCAGCCACCGCAGACTTTTGACCCGGCCAGTCAATGCATCCAACAGGTGGCCCGCCATCCCCGACCCCTGTAGGTCCAGACGTACTAAACCCGACATATCAATCGAGCCGACAAGTGTCTTCACCATGGGTGGTGTGAAAGATGGTAGGTCCAACACGAGCTCCGATAATGGGATCCCATACGGCTCGGGGAACACGGCTTCGAGTAGGTCTGGCACCTCTGCTTCGTTGACGAAATGGAGAGAGAGGTGGAGCTTCCGTAGAATCTTTGCTGAGCGAGCAATGAGGGACTGCAACGAGGTGAGCTCTTTCGCCTGGTGGGGGAGCCAGTAGACTGATAGGGACTGGGTTGGTGGCGGGCCGGGGAGGAATGGGATGGAATCTTGGGTTGTGAGATGGCGCAGAATTGGACGTTTTAATAAGGCCGCAGACAATCTGGGGCTAAGGTGTTCTACTTCATAGCTGTTTAAGTTAGCTAGGTTTGTAATTTGCTCAAGCCAAGTCTCGAAGACCGTAGTGGTACATGTAATATATGTATACATGTGGTATATTGTGACAAGGCGCAATACAGGCAAGACAACCCAAAATACAAGAATCAGTGGTAAGAGATGAATTAAAGATGTATTGGGCAGAATTCAGGCTTGTGTTATCAACAGCAGATGTGATATAGGTACTTACACGACGCTCTCGATGTTCTCCATACATTCCACCGCCTCTTCAAGTTTCCTCCATCTCTCTAGATCCTCAGGAGTATATGGCTGTAGTTCATGCTCAAAAAGCCGTCTCTTCCGGTTCTCGAGTATAGCGAGTGAGCGAACCAAGCTCGCATTAGTCGCTAGGGACTCTATGAGAGAGGAGTTGAGGTCCTTGACTGTGACGGCGGTGTAGAGAAGACGGGCAGCATGGGCGTAGAATGTTTTGCAGACGCGGCAGAGTGTGGCCAAGGATTTCAGGGTTTGGTCGTCGGGGAATTGCGTGAGTGATGTGGTGGGGCAGCTGTTGGAGGCCTAGTTCGAGGTGAGTTAGTTTTGTGTAGAAGTAGGTAGAGGAGGGATGAATGTGTACATGTGAAATGATTTCGGCGACTATCTCGCCCGGGAGTAAGTGGAACATGTTGGATGATTTCTTTGGGCGGTGATGATGAGATGGCAAGCAAAGTACTTATAGTCTTATGAGCTCAGTCGCACTCGGCCGGTGAATATATATAAGCGAACATGCACCTATCAAACCGATATCCATCGTTACGAGAAGTTCTAGTTCCACGCATGTGTTAGGTATGTACTGTACTGGCCAAGAATCCCTACAGTTAGCCCGGCGGGAAACCAAGAAATTAATTCAAACGCTATTAGCAAACTGTATACTATCCATTGCTCACGCCCTTACATCGAGAGCAGACACCGGCGGTCGCGGTCGAGGTGAGGAAGCTGCCTGATTACTAATAGCCATGACCCCGCGGCTATTTATGGATGCAGCCCCTGATGCCAAATACCTATGGCGGCGGGGGCGGCAAAGACGCAGGAGAGAAGCCGACTTTTGCCGGTTATCGATTTATCACGGTCGCGAAAGTAGAAGATACGTGAGTAGATGTATACAGTACGAGTATTCACGTGATAATAGCTTAATGGCTGAAAGCGAGTGCTCGCTCATGATCAGGCACGAGAAACCGGCGTTCTAGCAGCTCAATTGATCAAGCAAAAGCGAAGGTGATATAGAAAGAAAATTATGTTCGACCTTAATTTATACTTGAGATTATCGAGGCCAGATATCTGGACAACATCTAAGCTTGAAGACACATACCATATGTTATTGTGTTGTTGGATAAACACCGTTTCTCTAGTGTCCTCTTGGCCGAAAGTCTGAAAACCGAGTGCTCACTCATGATGATACAGCCAGCATCAAGTAATCGCAACGCAGCGCTCCAAACAAATTTAAACAAACAAATAATAGAATCAATCGCCGTCCCGACTCTCTCCATCATCACCTCACTTAGTCAGGTTCGAAATACACATATCCAAACATCTCTCTCGGTATCCCTTCCCTACACGAAACCCCACCGGGTATCCTTTTACCCCAAGTTCTTTTTTGAGTCTCCATCTATCGGCGATAATATGATATATTACGGTACGAGATAGCTCTATCATATTGACGGCTGTTTTTTTTAGGGGTGGGGGGGGGGGGGGGCGGAGTCAAAAAAAAGGCCGCCCTTATACGTAACCACCCACACCTTCTCCTTCACCTAGCAGCACACCGGCCATGCTGTTTCCTCCCCGCAATACGATACCAGACCCATGCCCTCGCTAAAGCTTCTGCAGACCGACAGTATCTCGAGTGGTGGTGGTGGTGGTGCCAGGGTTGTTGATTACCGAGAGGACAATATGCTGCCCGGCCCCGGATAGTCTAAATATGTATCCCTGTAGACACTGTTCAGCACCTAAATAGCCTTGCATGACGATGATGATGATTAAACATCCCCGCAGTCAAGACCCGAGTGCTGTACCACCTCCTGTCACAACTTCTTCAGCTGCGCCTCTCCTGCGACGCCGAGTCGGTCCGCATTCGTAGCAGAACGATAGTGTGGAGAGTGTAGTTCTTCGGACTTTGTAATATGTACAGTATCAGTACATGTATGTAGCCAGTGGGATAATGATGTACTTACTGATAGTGGTTATGGCATGTACCCAGCATTCAGAGGCCCAACCGCACGTATTGCAATTGACAGAAAAACAAAAACAGAAACAAAAACAAAAACAAAAAAAACAAGTGCTCAACCATGCTCCAGTGACATGTCTCAGCCACCCACTTCAACAACCAACCACTAGTTGTACCTAAAATGACACCTAAAATATCTCGAAACTACAAAATCGCCATTTCTAACGCCCTTGCCGGATATCTATTCTGTCCACCTACTATTTCCATCCCCACCGTGATTAATTAATAACATATGTATCCTACCTTACGCGTTACCTCCACCCTACCTCGGACAGTGTGACAAATTTAAAGAACATGTATCTATCTGCACAGAGATCATCTCGTATTCTCAGTGCACCCCCCAAATTAAGCTTAGCGAACAAGCATCGCTTCACCGGGCGCACCAAACATGGCCCATGCGTCCTCCGCGCGCCGCACCGCAGTAGCGATCAAGTCGAGAAAACTCTCCAGCGGTCACCGGTCGGCAGTCTTATTCCGCAACGCCGGCTGGCTGGCTGGGATTTTTATGTCATGTGTCAGCAGCCGTACCAATAACTGGGTCGAGCTTTGAGAGTGTGCCCGGTTTTCGGGTAAGGCGGTTAGCGAGAGACAGTCAGCGCGGGTTGTCTGCGGATTGTAATGTAAGTACAAAGCTGGGTTGAGGAGAGAAAGATTGTGTATTTGGAGATGGAGTAAAGGTGAAAGAAGGTATTGGTATTGAAAGAGTGGGATAGTTCCGGTCCTGTTCAAGAAGAAAGGGTGTCTATTGCACGGTAGTGAAGATCTAGAGGTTGATGTCGCAGTTTAATTGAATATGTAGCTAGGATGGTCCTATTAACAGACGTGAAGATAAATGTAGACCCATGACAGGCGGCGTAGGTGTCAAAATAAGACACTACGCACCACCACGGCGGATCGGTCCCAGGTACTCTGCTTCCACACGTGGTGTTATAGCTACATGTATATGTAGGTAAAGCTTAGATATTATTTTATTCCCCACCGCGCCATCCCCGTCACCGGGAACACATACAACTAAACAAGAAAGAGAAGGTACCGACCTGACTTTATAGCAATTATTCATCTTTTCATTATGTATTCCTCAGTAATCACCGCCACGTTTCTGCAGACCAGGGCGGTGTTCCGGTGGAATAGTTTGGCGAGGAGATATTGCAGACGTTCATGAAGAGTTAGTATACTGGAAAACTATGTATTTAAGAGCTGTCAATGTCCCACAACTTCAAATCAGCAAGCCGGTCTTCACTCACTACATTCACTCACTACAGTCAATAAACACTTACCAACACACTCATTCTTTCTTTCATCTTCTTTTTCCAGTACAATTCATATTCCAATCTTTCCGGCTCCCAGATATCCTCAAAAGTCTCTATCTATCACAACTCAAATTACATCAACATAACCTTCCTCTTCCACTACTTTTACATTCTTCAGATATCCAATATGTTGGCCCCATCTCCCTCCTTCAGCACCCTCGTCCAGGGATTCCTCCTCCTCTCAACCCTCTTCGCGACAGCCCACGCAACAAACGTCTGGGCAACCGCCCCCAACACCGCCGTCTTCTACTGCGGTGAGGACGGCAAGGGAAAAATGACGGGAACAAAGGCCATGATGTGGGCCATGAGGGACGCAAAAACCTCAGATTATGCCCGCGGGCGTCCCGAATACCAAAGTATGAAGACCATCAACCTGGTCCAGCAGGCCAACAAGCAGCCTAGAATTGGGCGCGCCGAATCAAAGCTGTTTGCCGAGGGGGCCTCTGGCATCGTCAGGCTCTTCGAGGACAGGCTGAACGTGGACGGTCAGAAGGGCGTGTGGAAGCAGGAGGAGGAGCCTGCCTTGTTGAAGAACGCAAAGGTCACAGCGCTGCACGTTTTGAACCCTGACGACCCGTCTTTTGAGTACGTCGTCTGGGAGCGCAAGAACGGTAAGGTCGAATACAAGGACCCAAAGTATAAGAATACCGGACTCCCTATCTCGAGATTGGATGATATCGAACTTATTTGGCAGCCACTTTCTCCCGTAGGCTCACCACAGGGTTCGCCAAAGATCTCGCCAAAGGGATCGCCAAAGATCTCGCCAAAGGGATCGCCAAAAGCAGGAAGCCCTTCAAGGAGCTCATCAAAGAGCCCGACTAGGAGCATTGGGCGCAAGGTTAGGAGAGCTAGACAGTTCTAAGTATGAGGACAAGGAGAAGCTTTGGCGAACAATCTCTATGCATTGGGACGGCGCTGATTTTTGGTTGTTTTTGTTCCTTGTTTCTTTTGTTGAGATAGATATTTGCATGCGGGTCATTGAGTTTTTGGATATATAGAGAGGGATTTACGCATATTTGTTTTGAGTCAGCTTGAAAATATCACAATGGAAGACCAGTCTTGAAAACCGCTCCGTCTCTTCTAGTCCGTGTTCTACATCGAATCTAACCGAAATGATAATTAGCTCGGGGGTTTATGGGCGTATCCTTAAGGGTATAAATAAGATCTTAAGAGTAGATAGCTGATGTCTGACATTTTTCTACCTGTGCTCTTGGCGCGTGTCTTGTGACATAGTCGCTCATGTCGGTATCCATCTCCACTGCCTGTCTCTAACTTAACCACGTCTAGTATGAACACCGATTAACCATGATCTTCTGATTTTATTTAAGCGGCCAACCTGTTGTAACCGGTATCTCGTGATCTCTCCCAAGCTACAGCCACCCAGGACACGTTAATATGCGTTGCTGCTTTACCGCTGCGTCTTATTCCCATCTACCCGAAAACCCAAGCATCAATGAGCATATGCCATGTCGGTTCATTTCCCAACTGATATTTGATTAGCTATTGCCTTTTTATGGATGTCCAAGACCACGTAGATGATGGACGTACCAACACAAAGCTCTTTCTTCCGCTGATGCTTATCAGGCAACACGGAGAGGCGACTATGTCAGGTCAATATATTGCACATAAACAATGAGTAGTTCCGTACCTACAGAAGCCCGGATGTTATGACATATAGACGTGTGTAGACGGAATTCTTACAGCTTGCAGAGGTGTAAGCCCGCATGTTTCGGCAGAAAGCTGGGGGCGAGTGATACTCCATGATCGCAGAGTCATAGGGCCTGGTGTGAGGGAGTAGGAGATATGCTCCCCGAGGCTGTATCGGCATGTTTCAATAAGCACATTATGCACAATTCGGAAGGGATGGAAAATGAAGAGGTGCTGTGCTGGTTCCTCAACTAAGGTGTAGGCGGCCAAGCCTGATTAGGTTTATGTCTTGGCAACGAATCCAATCTGTTCTTTTACATGTACATACCTGTTCTTAAGTGTTACTAGAACCACAAGTGGAGTATTAAATCCTCACGGAATTACATATGGTGCGCACACTCTTAAAGGTGATGGGGTGGCATACGGAAGATACAGAAGTGGAACAATTGTGGCTGCAATATGGCCTCATGGGCCAATAAGAGGGCCCATTTCTAGCCTTCTGCTGCATCACTGCCATGGCCTGATCAGGTTTGCTTCTTTAAGGGTATAAATGGGTATAATACTGTTCCACTTTGTTTAGTCTTGGCGCTTTTTACATACTAAAATACCGAATTTCAAGCTTGAATAACTTTTTAACCAGGAGAGATATCAAAAATCTGGTTGGTAAAGTTCTTCTTCATCACTAGTACTTCAATTTTACCAACCGGATTTTTCATAATTTGTTTCGTTGGAAAGTTATTCAACCTCGACCTCGCCCCAATTTTTTGACTACCTTTATGATTGGGCGCACCATATATGTACTTAAATTATTTGCTTCCATGGCCATAGGTCCAATGGGCGAGCATATAAAATGTTAATAAATAAATAAAAATAAGAACTACCAAGTACGTGGAATTGATTTCAATCCTTTAATCTCAACACAACAGAGGGTACTTAGGGATACGGAATTTAGAGAGGTGACGGTTACATGGTTTAAACCTTTGAGGGTAAATATAATCAATTAACCATTAGTATACTATATCTGACCGAAGCGAAGAGTACTTTTGACTCTCAAGTTCTTTGCCAGTAAATATAAGACCCAAGGACGCTCGAAGTGTTACACCTAGAGATATCAAAAGAAAAAAGAGAAGACAGTAACCCTCCACAAAGTTGTTACTAACTGACGAGGTGGAGTAATTCAGTTCCACTCTTTGAACTTGAGTTTCAATGAAGCCCCACGCGGGGGTCGAACCCGCAACCTTGAGATACCGTTTAAGAGTCTCACGCTCTACCGATTGAGCTAGCGAGGCATGAAAGAGTGTTTGTCTTTGTGGATTCAAGTTGCTGGGGTAGTGTGAGGGTTTCGTTAGCGTTTGCTGGGGTGTCGGTCGGTTGTACTAAGAAAAAGTTTTCAGCCTCCAGGGACAGCGCCCTAGAGCAGACCTCAAGCCCGCTTCTTTTGTTCACAACAAGGGATTTTTTACATGCCTCGCTAGCTCAATCGGTAGAGCGTGAGACTCTTAAACGGTATCTCAAGGTTGCGGGTTCGACCCCCGCGTGGGGCTTCATTGAAGCTCATAATATACTTTTGCAGTGTTTTTTTAGGTGCGGAGAAAGGGGTAATGTATGAAGCCACAAGTTTTGTTTTTGAGTGATCATATAAAGCCGAAGGAAACTTATTTTCATCAGACACTCTTCTGGAATCTCTATCGGTGCCGGCATGGCAATCCTAATTTAATTCAGCGCCTTCGTGTTCATATGTCTCTATAAAATTGTAGCCGTGGTAATCTGACTATGCGCAAAACATCACGAGGGCTGCAGTAGGGGGGCGAGATCGACGTAGATCAATTAAGACAATGTTGATACGGATTGGCAAACCCTAACACTGCCTGAGATACATGCATCCCTGTCTTCTAATAATTACCGCGAACTGCGAAGCTTATTAATTATCTTCAGTCCCCGAAGTGATACACTGGCCCGGTCTTAGCTATGGACGTCAGTGGAATATGTAGTGTCAGGCAAGATCGACGGAGAAGGCTTAAGAAAGGGAGAGAACCACATATACCTATATACATATGTGACAAGTTTGTGGAACTGTGGATTGAATAGGGGGAATCGTGGACTTGTATTTTTACCCCTATGCCACGGATGGAAGATGCCTTCATACCAAAGCAGTACTCAATTTGGAGTACCATGATATTAAACCCCGCTAGTCGAATGGCGCCCTAGCCAGGCCTAGGCTGCCTGTAGCTAGTACACATCCGGTTATTAGGAAACCACAATAAAGCGATTCCACAATAGTAAAAAAACCACAAATAAAAATAAAACCATAAACCACAGTCAGAAAGGCAATTTTCTAGTATCTCACATGATCATGAAGCCTCCGCTTATTCACCGATGACGTATGTACAACCCTCGTCTCCTATCCAAACTTCGTGCACCACGCCCTTCCCCACGTCGATTCTACCACCAGGACCGAATGTCTCCTTCTTATCCGGTGCCTGAGAATCCTCTGGGTAGCGAATCGTGAGTTGTCCGCTCACAATCAGGTGGGTGGTCAGCGCGTTATGTTTGTGTGGTGGATAGTGATAGTTGCTGCATGCTAACTGTTAGCCAAGGAGACTGGAGAAGATGTGAAGGGAGGGAGGTGATTTACGGCGAGTCTGTCCATGTGAATACTTCTTTAAAGCCCCAGGAGCGGACTTCAGTCTCGAATGAGGATCTAGCCATTGCGTGAGGGGCGGTTGTGTTTGTGGTGAGGTTGATGGGAACAGACGGGAAGTCGAAGCATGTAGTGGCCATGGGAATCTAAATTGAGGCTAAAATGAACTCGCTAAAAACATTTATCACTCGCTCCTGCGGATCAAGCTAAAATACAGTATCTATCTATCCTAAATGTACTGGGTAACAGGACACCACCTTTCCCCTTTAAATTCCAACAAAGCACAGCTATCAACTGTCCTCTTATTATTTCGATACATCGCATAACATCCCCATCGCTGCCCAACGGGTAGCATATTCTCAAGCTCTTCCGGAATAACCAAATCCGAAAACAACGTCACAACCTCCACTTCGGAACTTTCCTCGTCCCGACGGATAAGTATTTCCATCCACGGTCCATCAAGGCCCATTCTGATACGAAGCCTTTCAACTTTGTCCATTCCGTACTCGGCTAAGCTCTCGTACATCAGGGTAGTGCAGTATACTTGCATGTCACGAAGAGCTTGCACCAACCCTGGATGGCGTTTTTCCTTTGGTAGCACACGCAATAATCGCACCTGTTCAACCTTGTTCAAGCACGTTACATTATCGAGAGTATTGTTTCCAAAGGGTGGGGTTGGTTCAAAGAGATGTTTATACCCCGGTACCGACAATTGTGGGTACGATCTGAGCATTTGATCATGCACATCGGCTGCAAGTTCCTCGAAGGCTTGTTGCTGAACAGTCGCAAATTTAGCACGCACCTGATTTCGTTTGTGTGAGTATTCGTCAACGGGTTGAAGATGGCTTGTCAAAGCATGACCATCTGAAGAGCGAGTATTCCGGCGGGTAATTTCGTCGGTGAAGTCTTTGACGAGCTCATTAAATTGGGTTTTTGAGAAAAGCATCAGTTTTTTCTCGCGATTCATCTTGGTGTTTTGAGTTTCTCTCGTCTTGAGAAATTCGGAAAGGATATTGAAACTGCTTGGTAGGCTGCCTCGAAGGTCAACAAATGAGTCGGGGGTAATGCCAAGGTCCAGATCTATGGTTTTGAGATGAGGTAGAGTTGAGAGGTGGTGAATATAGTTTGACTGTGATATTGTCGTGAGCAAACCCCTAGTTTAGGAGTGAAAATCTGAGCGAGTAGTCTTACAAAAACCTGGCTGGATGTCATAGTTCCATCATATTTACCCACCAACGCACCGCCACCAAGCGCATCTTCAACAACCACCTCTTCATCAGAAGCCTCGCCCATTCTTGCAATCTCGCTCTTCGTTCTCAAGCGGCTGTATCGAATCATTTCAAGTTTCGGTAGACCTTGAAGCACACAGCTCGCGCTGAACAGTTTTGGAAATTGTAGTTCAGCTGCTTCACACCGTAATCCTATATGTATACTTTGTAAATTTTGCATCACGACAGAGTATAACATTCGGTAGTAAGACTCCTGGTGACAGTTGCGGTCCAGAGAAAATAAAGTCAAAGTCTTGATGTTCGAGAATTCGTGCACAGTAACACCCCTTGGCGAAAGGTAGTGTGAAGAAGTATAGAGCCTTATATGTTGGACAAGCTTTAGTTTATGATCCCCCCTGCTCAAATTTATCTAGTCAGTTATCGAAATATTTTGAGGGTAAAGCCAGGACTTACCTGTTGGGAAATGTAACGCCATTGACATGTCGAATAGCTGCCTCCGATTCCGCCGCATTGGTACCATAACAGCCGATGATGACAGTTTCGTATAGTACCGGGAGTGCAAGAGCATTCCAACGATGATTTACACGGGTCATCGAATTTATGTCAGATATGTGCAATAGTTCGAGTATCTGCAGTAATATTTCCGTTGGAAGCTTGCTTATTGGACATGGTCGTTTAATCGTGCATGATCGTGAGTCCTCGAAAGTGCTGATGGTGTTGTGCCATTGTTGGGATTTTATTCGGGCAGAGATATCTGGAGATCTCTGAAAGGGGGATTCCATCATGGTGTACTTTAGGTCACGGTACTGTATTTGAGGTGAAGCATAGTAGTTTATAGGTGAAATTCGATTATTGAATCTAAGCGTGAATGTGCGCTAGGCCGACTAAGATGTTGGATTGAAAACTAAAGGAGAAAGACAGGCCTCCACAGACTTATATAGGAGACCCTAGGGCTAGAAGGATTCGTGTTTACCTTAAATAACCGCTCGGTAAGGCGGCCTCGCGGGTACTTGTCACCGATCCCAGAGAAACCGTCGCTGCAGAACAGCCGCAGTGCCACCGTCCGTGGTCGGGGGCTCCATGATTCTGCAGAATGCAGTTGACCAATAAGCAATCTTGCCAAGTTCTGTTATACGTCAAAGCGTTCCTGTATTGCGAAAATATGCACCGAGGGCCGCCCCGATATCAAACATTAACGACTGATGAATAATTTAAGCGAACCTACATGTACATACTCGATCCGTCCTCCCTCCATAGACGCTGACATCCATCTGGGCATGGAGACTCTGAGGTCCATGATCGAACTTTTGCGCTTTCTCACAATTAAACGAGAGGAAGCGAGATATAAATCTCAACTACTCAGCTGCTGCCTCAGGTGAATGGCTTCTTTGAATTCTTATAGTGCCAATGGCTGCATGGTTCCTGAATCTAGGCCTGATCAATAATCAACAAAAAAAGAGTTATGTACATACATGTATGCATATATGTAGTACATACATCTTATCAGGAAAGTGTAAGGGTTCAATTCAGCTCAAGAATGGTTGTGATGTCATACAAGAGGTGTTCTACATAGCTGCTCGCTCAAGTACATATTGGTGTCTCGAAAATCTACACATATCACAAAGTAGCCGAGAGGATCAAGAATCGATATGACCCCAACATGGATAAACCAAGTGGCATTCTCACTGCGCTTATGTGCCGAGTGACTAGTGGTGACTTCCGGAGGGCACGGCGCCAGCCACGCATATCACGCATCCAACCAACCAACAACTAGAGTATATATCCCTACGCATATGCAATCAACTAATGGCAGTCCAGGGATGGCATTTGTAAATCAGGACTTCATCTTGCCCCAAGGGGCTTCTGTTTCGTTACGTACTGAGTCGGACCAGTGATCATGAGCTGCTAGCTGAGGAGAATTAATTAACACTCGGCCACTAACCAAGTACCCCAGACGCCAGAAAGAGCTAATTGTTGATCACCCGCTTAATAATTAAGTTCGGATCCTTATTCCCGTCAACTTTATTGATATCTGCCACGCACTACAGCACAGAGCAGGGGCGTTGCCGCTAGTGTTTAGACCATAAATGGGAACGAGCAAAAAAAAAAAAGTTGTGCCTCTCAAATTGCATACACTAGGAGTATTTATAAGACCTTGTGCGTGCTCCTCCCTCTGATCGATGTGGTCAAGATTCCCTTCTATATCTGGCCTCTTACCCGAGGGTTAAACCTTGTAGGGAGCTTTTATGCGTACATGTATCCAGAGTAGAGTACATACATACATACTCGGGGCAGGCAAGAAGAACCTGAAAATGACTTTTTATGGTAACGACCTCTGATTCGCGGCTGGCGAAAAGCTACACCAAATTGAGCCCCTGCTTGCAGCTTGCATTTTCAGGTTCTTATTGCCTGCCCCGAGTACCTACCCCAGATGCAGGCGCAAGCGCAAGGCAAGTAGGATGTCAATTTTAGAGGTTCCCGAGCCACTGGAGCCGGAACAGCGCCACCACTATTGCGATAAAAAATTTGCCCAACGGGTCTAGTACCCACATATGTACCTACATAATCTCAGATGGAAATCGCACGATGGTTAGTATCTACTAAACCTCAAAGGAATAACCGAGCCAGAATGTGTTTGAAACACTTCTTTTCTTAACAAATACTTGTAATAAAACCTACGCAACAAACAAGAGCTCGAGTGAAAAGTATATCTGGGCACCAGGTTCCCTTGGGAATAAATGAGTCCCCCCTCCCCTCCTCATATGGAAATGAATCTAGGGGCTTCAAATGACTCATCCCGAAATCCAATTCCAGGTTAAGATAGCTTCCATCTTTCCTAGAAAGGGGAGTTTTGTGAATTGACACTGAACCGGTACAGGAGGTGCCTGTGAAGTCTTGAATAGGATTTGTCGTTAGTAATTCAGTAACACACTTGATCGGCGGTCGGACTGATTGACTTACCTTTCCTTCTCTAGATCTCCATGCGTCAACAGTGAAAATGATGTAAGCCCCGAGCGCGAGTATGAACGACGGCAAGACGATGCTGAGGAGTATCCATGTCAAGGCTGTGCCGCACCATGCTAGGAACAACGGCACTACTGTCGAGTTCAAACTACCACTGATCAGCAGCCGGCGTCTTGTGACGAAGTATTATCACAGCGCTTACTATTCAATAGTAGAAACCTCCACCTGCGATGCTGTTGATGCCATCGTTTCCTTTCTCTTCGCGTTGATGCTGTTTGAGGGTTGATCAAAAGAGGGGTAGTCAGTTAGGTATAGGTAAGTCACAAAAGAAAGTTGTGCGTCTTGATTAAGGCCTCCCGTCGATTTTGCAATACGCAATTGGCCGCGGGTGTTGCCATGCGGAGCGGGTTTAAGAGGTTGTGCAATTGGAGCCTCATAGTATGTATATAGATAGGATAGCCGTCGATAGATGAACCTTTTAAATCTCATAGCTTGGTGAACTTCCGCAGGGTGTATACTAAGTGATCATGATATATGTATAGAATTTAGATATATAGATAAACTCGATGATATCTTTGCTCGGGGATTGCTGACACATGCTATAACTGGTTGCATGTAATTACTATGTACTAGAAGATATTGATTAAAAGAGAAAGAGGTTTGCCATGGTGGGAGATAGTAGTATGTAGTAGTGGAGTAGCAGAGCAGGGAAGGTATACGTATGTTATAGCCGTGAGGGAAGAGAAAACGTACATGCATGAGGGTAGGGAAATAAACTCAAGTGCATTCAAGTAGCACAGAGTGAGAGGGCAAAACGTTGAAGCGGTAACAGGGACGTCACGGAATGTGGTATAAGCTAGTCACCACGAACTCCATCCTATCCAACCAACACCTTCGGTAATCCTTCGGTGGGACTGGTGGGTGTAGCTATCCATTTCGTACGCATTAGTTTAGGCCCTTTCTAATGTCCATGATCTATCACAGTTTCTACGCCAGATTAAAATACAAAACTTGATCCGGCGGTCTGGGGAATTATTAATATCTAGTTTCCACGAGGATAAGGACACGCCGATCGGAGTCATTCGGTATTAGAGGATAACTGATTAAGGCAGGGTTTACACAAGATCGAAATATCCCCCTTCAAATCTAGTGAGCCTTAATTCTGCTGAGATTAAGGGCCATAGACAGGAAATGATATGCGGCTACCTGCATCTAAGGATCGTCGCCACGATATCGATGAACGAGCTACCGAGTGATAATCTATGCGAATTAAGTCTAGTAGTCTCCACCAGGCCACTGAAGAAAATCACATATATTTAGCCGCCCCCACTACAGAATAAGTTGCTGGCTATTGGTGACTCTTTGATTCGATGGCGGAAAGGCGCTTCCCAAGGAACACCGTATGACTTCACGGGTATACCCACGCGTACGTAGCCACTCAGGTGTTATGAAAATAAACACTTTTGATCCCTCATACGGTGTGCGCGCTGTTATAGTTCGAATATTAGTACGTGCGTACAACTACATGTAATATCTCAAGAATTCTTGGCCACGCTCATAGTACTGAGTATAGGATGTATCTTATATTGCTTACACTTTTGGAGTATCGATAGGGATGCAACACATCAACCTGATTATCACAGACCTGCCGGCGTCGGTATTCGTGAAACACTGGGCCTATAGAAAGAACTCCTACATGTCTTTCTACTCTAAAGTAGCTACGTCATCATAAGTACGTAAGTATGTAGTACTTACAAGTACTTCTAAGTAGTACGACGTTCGTCTACATTAGTACTAGGAGGTAAGCGGTGTTAGTAGTAAATTATAGAACAGATCTAGCCGCAAAACAAATGACGTTTTTCTTTCAGTAGTGTCATGGGTGGATAGCTCAATGGTAGAGCGCTACACTTCATTGATCATTTCGCGGATTCGATTCCCCCCCCCCCCCCCCCCCCCCCCCTCAAGTGCCGTAAAGAAACGTGCTGGGTGGGGACGAGGTAAAGAGCGAACGAAGTCAGGGATATGAAGAGATCTGGGTTCGAGTCCCAGTCCGCCTAAGATTTTTTGCTTATGTACATACTAATATATAATCCTTTTTTCCAGTAGATTCTTAGCAATTTAGGTGCTTTATATGAACAGAAGGCTAATACCACCCTTTTTCGACAAATATGTACGCCTGATATCAGTCTTTTTGCTGGGCGAGCCTTGTTTTTTTGCCCCGTGTGGCGGTACAGTAGCTTACATAAGTAGTTCCTAAAGTATGTACTTATGTAAGTACTTGCAGAGGGCGACTTGGGCCGGCCCGGGCCAAATATAGGTAGGGCCCGGCCCAGCCCACCAAACAAAAGGTAAGGCCCGGCCCGGCCCGGCCCATTTAGTCGCGGCCCGGGCCATGGAGCGAATATATCTGGGCCTTGAAAAGGTTGTGAAAATCTTTTCAAGATGAGATATACAAGAAGACTTGCCAGGATCCGATGGGAATAACATTTTAGCCCTAACAATACTTCCGGAAATCAAAATTATATAGCAAATACCCGAGCCCATTTAATCACCAAATAGCCCGGGCCAAAAACAGCTAGGGCCCGGCTCACGAAATATTGGCCCGGGCCCGTCGTTTCATGGGCCGGCCCAAGTCGTCCTCTGAGTACTTGTATGCAAGAGGGGACAACCGAGCCTTGATAGCGAAAATAATAGCATGTTTCTGCCAGCAGCTCATGGGTGGATAGCTCAATGGTAGAGCACTATATTTCACTCATTACTAACTTCGCACATTCGATTTCCCACCACTCGAAGCCGTAAGTCGTGCTGGGTAGGGACGGCGTTAGCGATTCAAGGTAGTCAGAGAAATTAACCAAGAGATCTGGGTTCGAGTCCTAGTCCGCCCAAGCTTTTTACTCACATTTACCACACGTTACAGATCATGCAGAATAAGAAATGCAAGCCTTACGGTTTAGATCTATATGCTATACTGATTGAAGAATCTCATAAATGGCCTAGCTCGGAGATGAAGTACAGGTAACACGCAATTCTACGGGACAAGGATTCGGGAAATAGGAATATCGTTATGGAGCGGTAAATGTGTCAAAAGTAATTTTACCAATGGTAGTAAATTATTTACCACCGGTGGTATAAGCACTGAATTTCAGTCATTGTATCTGCACGCAATCCTACTACATTAGTACATTTCCACCGGTATAAACACTGAGTTTCGGTCTTTATGCTGCACTATACCAAATAAGTAAATGTTCAATCATTAATGCCAAAACGTATGAAAATTTCCCACCGGTGATGAAATACCGCCACCGATGGTGAGATTCCCCATCGGTGGACAATTTTCATATATATTGGCATTATATGGCCCCTTTTGGCCAAAAGGTCTATGCTTTTATCATAAAAATTAGCATTATAGGGTATAAATACTGGTATTATTTTCACCACCGGTGGTAAAATAATTTACTACCGTTGGTAAAATTACTTTTGACACATTTACCGCCCCATATATCGTCATAGCATTTTGATAACTTGATATCGTAATATCACGTTCGGTAGTTATCTCGAGTACGACTACTTCGTAGTTCCACGTGCGCTTATGGTCTAGTATCCCGAACCCTGGAATTATGATTCTCCATCCCTTCCTTCGTTTTCAAACAGTGGGGCTTAAATGGCGGTTGTGGCTCTTGGTGGCAAATAGTACCTCTGGTCATTCAGATTCGAAGTTGTTCCGGGCCCTGTGGCGAGCACTTTTACACTCCCAATTCGGTACCTCCCCTAGTCTGAGTAGTGTTCGCACTACCGGTGAATGAGTAGAACGCGGGGCTAACTAAGGGATTACAAACGAATAGATCCTCCGTTCTATCAATAGAACTTTAGAAATTGGACTATTTGATAATAGAACGAGTTCTCTCGGTTACGGGAAGGCGTCTAGTATCTACTCTATATCTACTGCCAAGGCTTTTTCCGGGGGCGTGCGTCATATGCTATCACTCGATTAAGAACACGAAGTCACGTGACAGACATAACTGCGTAATCCTCGCAGTAATGCCATTGCGCTACCTAGAACTACATTTGATTTTCTTTCCGTTTTCGGTTTTACTACTTTCCCCTGTCTTTTACTTTTCTTGGGCTTCTTGGCGTGTGTTGTTTGTGGCACGATTTAAATGGGCGAGTTAGCTTTCGGCGTTAAAACAGCAGTAAGTAATATTGGGATGGGATGGTGGTTGAAAGATATCTGGACGGCTATAAGTATTTGAATACTCAATTACGAAATGACTTACACTTTGTGGTCCAATAAAGTACTATATAATATATCTCCATTAACGCGAGGTACTTGTAAATCCATGTAACAATGAAAGTGGTGAGAGAAAGTAAGAAATGAAAATATAAGGACTATAATACAACTCTAACTTGGCGCTTGAGTACCCGTTTTCCTCTTTCTTCCTCCTCCCCACCACAGATTTTCCTTCTCCAATCAGCGCGCAGCTCGAGTCCCTGACGAAAAAGCGGTTCTATAGCGCTATCGTTTTCAGGCATCGTAAATCGTGACTTGACATGATCTGGCGAAACAACGTCCTCACTTAGAAGAAAATCAACCATCTCCTGGCTTTTGCTACTAGTAGCGTACTCCAATGCTGTCCATCCATTGATCAAGTTCAACGCCCAAACATCCACACCTGCCTTTCGAAGTGTCTTTACCACTTCTAAGTGCCCTAGAAACGCCGCTACATGAAATGCCGTTGATCCGTCCTTTAGGGTTGCATTTAAATCTACCTTAGCCTCAATTAGTGCTTTTAACAGCTCGAGATGACCGCCATGGACCGCTCCATGAAGCGCAGTCCATCCAGACCCGTCTCGGGGATTGACATTCGCGCCCGCAACTAACAGTACTCTTACCACAGACTCGTGTCCGACATCGCAAGCCAAATTGAGCGCGGTTTCTCCATTATTTGTTTTTATCTCGGTATCGGCACGGGATTGAAGAAGTGTCTTGGCGATTAGATCCTTCCCTTCATACGAAGCATAGTGCAGGGCTGTCCAACCGACGATACTTTGCGAATCCACTTCCGCACCTTTATCAATGAGTATCTTCAGGCAGCCGTAACGCGAGTTTGCTGCAGCCTCGAAGAGAGGAGTGTGCCCGTATATGTCTTTGCTTGATGTGTATGCGCCTAGCTCAAGAAGCTTTGCGAGAGCTCCATCATGTCCGTTACTAGCAGCATGATGAAGTGCCGTGAGCCCAGCGGCGTCTGTTAGTTGTAGATAGACACCACTATTATAAAGCCTTTCTATCTCCATCGGATTTCCTATATATGCAGCATAGTGTAGTTCGGCTGTTGTGGCGTCTGTTCCCCATCCCAAGATTGCCTTCACCACATCCATATGCCTCCCGCGTAAGGCCATATGTAAAGGAGTCGATCCATCTTTATTTTTCGCCCGGAAATTGGCCTTGGACTTGGCGAGTACTTCTAGAACCTGAATATGACCACCAAAGGCGGCGAGGTGTGATGCCGACCACTGGTTCATATTGACTTCATTCGGGTCCGCTCCGTTTTCCAGAAGAACCTGCACGGTCGATTGGTGTCCTTTGTGAGCAGCATAATGCAATGCCGTACCGTCTTGATCTATCAATGCTATATCTGCACCTGCACATAGAAGAGCCCGAATAGCTTCATCTTTCCCGTGGAAAGCGGCGTGTTGTAGTGGCGTTGACATGAGGTTGTCCTTAGCATTGCACTGAGCCTTCCCTTGGAGAAGCACCTCGATTGATTGCACCTCCCCTCTAGTAGCGGCCAAGTGGAGGGGGGTCCGCCCGACGATGTCCTCTACCTCCGTGTCCATTCCTGCTTTTATGAGCGTCTTAATAACAAGTGGGTGTCCACTTTTCGCCGCCTGATGCAATGGCGTCAATCCTTCTTTATCCCTTGCATCTTTATTGACACCAACCTTTAAAAGGGATTGGATGACAAGGTCATGCCCGTTATAAGCTGCCCAATGCAATGGCGTCCAGTATTTCCTGTCCTGTGACTCTATATCCCACCCCCGAGAAGCTAGGATGTCGAATATACATTGATTTCCGCCCTGTGCCGCCAAATGGAGGGCTGTATATCCTTTTGTATTCCGCGATCCTTTGTCCAATGGAACTTCCATGAACAGTTCTACAATTTCAATGTTGCCTTTCTTGACTGCCCAGTGTAGCGGCGTGTATCCATCCTTGTCCCTCCTCTCTCTGTCTGCACGATTCAAAAGCATACTAACACCTGAAGCATACCCTCCTCTGGCCGCCAAATGAAGAGGCGTACGCTTTTTTATATCGACTGCTTCTATATCAGCGCCTGAGTCTAGGAGTTTTTGGACACAAAATCCGTGCTTTGACAAGATTGCTAGATGTAGCGGTGTTGATTCTTCCTTATCTCTTGCGTTCGTATCCATTTCCGTCTTGAGGAGAGTCTCGATAGACCGACTTCCGATTTCAGCAGCCCAGTGAAGTAGTGTGCGCTGGTTCACATCTTTTACTTCGATATTCGCACCAGAATCTAGGAGGATCTGGACAACTAACTCATGTTCATCTTGGATACCTTGGATAGCTAGATGCAGCGGCGTCAAACCACTCGTATTTGGTGTATCCTTTTCGGCGCCCGCATTCAAAAGCAATTCAATGGATTTGTTTCCCTGCGCAGCTGCCGTATGGATTGCCTTCCAGCCTTGGATATTTGGGATCTCCAGGTTTGCACCTACGATCACGAGGGTTTCCACAGCATTTTCGTTTCCTCTCTCGCAAGCCAGATACAATGCAGTATTCCCGTCAACATCCGTCGCATCTTTCTTCACACAGGTCTTCAGCAGGAGCCGAGTGAGAATTTCATGATCTCCACTAATAACTGCTCGATGTAGCACTGTCCACCCTTTCTTATCCTCGAGATCGGGTCCTGGGTATTCGAGCAGCATTTCCATAGTGTCCACGAATCCTTCCGAGATTGCCCAATGGAGAGCCGTGCAGGATTGATTATCTTGCGCTTCTGTATCTATACCAGCAGAAAGAAGAACCTCCATGGCTTTCCAGTGTTCACATATAGTCGCCATATGTAGTGCCGTACGATTGTTAATATCCCGGGCATTCTTATTCGCGCCTGATTGTAATAGCATCTTGATGATCTTGTCGTCTCCTGTTCGGCTTGCAAGGTGTAGAGCTGTAAACCCAGTCATAGTCAACGCCTCCTTGTCTGCGCCAGCAGTGAGAAGTTCTTTGACAAGGAGAAAATAGCCTCCCTGAACAGCAACATGAAGTGCCGTGAATCCATACTCTAGCGTACCACATCCCAAGAATGCCTTCACCGCATCTTCATGGAGACCTTTTGCCGCAAGCAATACTGGTGTCATTCCGTCGTGGTCTCTGATATCTCCACCTGCATCTGGTATGCTCGAGAGTATTTTGATCACATGTTCATGACCTTTGGCTGCAGCAAGGTGAAGAGGAGTTCTGCCGTATTCATCCGGTAAGTCTAGGTACACATCCTTACACAGCAATTTAACCATATCGCCAGATCCGCAGAAAGCTGCCCAGTGGAGCGGTGTCCTTCGTTTATTGTCAAGAATACCTACTTTCGCTCTGCGTTTTATCAAATGTCTGACCATTCTCACATCATTTCGGATGGCTGCGCAATGCAGCGGTGCCAGCCCGTCTTGTCCTTGTGCATTTAGGTTTACGTTGTACTGACGAAGCGACCTCTAAATATCTGGCTGCACGCAGCGTGCCCAGATGATATAGTGCAAAGGTGTCCAGCCAGCAATATCCGTTGAATTGACGTCTGCATGGCTTTGCAAAAGCATATCGAAACTCTTTTGATCCCCTAACCGTGCCGCATAGTGTAGCGGGGTCCATCCAAAAATATCCTTTGTTTTGAGGTGATTGTAATATACAGACGCGTAGTGTTCCTGAAAATGGGCAAGCCTTTTCTCTCCACGTATCACGGCCTCGTGCAATTTCGTACGACAAAGAAGGTCGGAGTTAAGAAGATCTAGCGTGTGGACATTCGGGAATATAGTATTTGTTTTTAGCATCCATTCATTGCATCCTTCATCCCGGCATTGAAGATCGTACATTCTTGCTAGCATGCCCAGGACAGGAGGAGACGATGATTGAATCAACACAGCGGCGAGCCTGGATCGAATTTCTTTCAGACGTTTGGATGATTCAACAATGCGGCTTTGGTGTTCCCTGTCTTGAGCTGTGATACTTATAGACCGAATAAACTCTGTCATCGCAATACTGGCTTCAATAGCAACAGTATGCTTATGCCCAAAGGACATACAAGCATGTAAAGTCCATAAATAGACCTCTCCCGCCCTTTGCAATTGCCCCGTCAACTCTTGCTTTTTCGCCTCTTCTCGCGCTGACTGAACCACCGCAGTAGGGTCAGGTAGTCTTCCGTTTGCAGAAAGGGGAGGGATAATGCTGAGATATATTTCTTCTTGGCTGCCTAGCCCAGTTCTTTGTATACCCTGAACAAGTTTCGAGAGGATGGGGTTCTTCAGTGTAAATGACTTCCATGCAGCATTTTTGGTGCTAGTGACATCCTCAGCTTTTTGGACCGTTGCCGGTCCCATCAGGTGCGCCATCTGCTCTCGACTGGCAGTCTTGGCCACAGCCCACATAAAACTTGAAAACATATCCTGAGCAAACAGTAAGCCAATGGGGGCATCTGATACAACAGCCAGGCTAAACCGGGAATCTTCTTGGTCCCAAACGCGGACCAAACCTCTTTCTGGGTTGGGTGTAACAAGCTTGGTGTTTTTGTCCAAACTTGAAAGATCAGTGGTAAGATCTTCAGGGAACGGTTGAATTTTATATATCATTGATCCCGACCGGCTTTGTGATATTGGAGGGCCCGAAGCCCTGTCCTGGTCTAGATGTTCTGGGTTAGCCAGTGGTTTTCGTCGATATGAATAAAGCGTAGGCAAATACCTCTAATCCCAACGACACAATGATTTTCGACCGTGATCGTTTCAAGAACTTTAGTGCTAATAGTATCTAGACCTTCAGTGTTCATGCCATCCTCAGCTATGGATGGCATACTCACTTGAAATATTCTCGAAATACCTCCGCCAATCCACCACTTCATGTCTCGGCGGGAAGACCTCGTACTTTTCCCAAGAAGCCGCAAACCTTGCCGCTTCGATGGCATTTCACTTCTCAGCCATGCACTCTTGTCGTTATCGTCATAATTCGCTTGTTCTTCTTCGCGTACTTTATAGAGCCATAAGGACAGTGTTGCTTCAATTTCGGCGACATCACCACTCCACTTTTCCCCTAGGGGGCGTTGGATTTTAAATGTGATCAGTTGGTAGTCAGGAGCACACATAGTCTAAAATAGCTCGGTCCCAAAACCATCCCAACTCATGAGAGTATTCATGACCAGATCAATCGCAGCCGTTACGGAAGTTGCATAATCGCGACCAGAGCCGGGCCACTTTGTTAACCACCCTAGTTCTTTCCGGCTTTGGACGACTTGATTCATTCTCCCGATTCTCCGGCTTGGGATCTCTACGCTCAAAGACTCGTATCCGTGTGCGTCTTCGCCAGTCATTATGTCCCAATCGAAACAATGTCTACTCCAAACAGGTTCTTCCGGAGCGATCTTTGGTGGTTCCTGTCGCATACATATTTTATCCCAAGCTTTCCTCCAATAAGGCAGGGTGAGTGAGGGTCCAGACTCTCTCCAAAGATCACACGTTTCGTGTGTAATTCGCGTTGCAAGCCAGTCAATCTCATGCTTTGGGGGCAACAATTGAATGTACGGACGCTTTGCAAGTCCGCGACGTACCCATGCTCTCAGGACCGCCATTATAAGAGTGAGCCCAAGCTGTGCTAAAGTAATAGACCAATGTAAACTACGAAGGCCAATAAATTGCCCAAAAAATCCGCATAAGGTTATTACTGTTCCTGCCGAGCTTAAAACCTCCGAACTAGTAGAACTTCCGTTCTTCGATGGATCGGAGGGGTCGTTGTCGTTATTCCGACGTGACGTTGTAATGATATTGCGTTTATCCTTTGCAAAAATTGCATAAGAATCGAATTCCTGATCCCCTACAGTTGCATTTTTCTGTAGCCATAGGATATGAGCATCTGCATCCTTTATCTCATAACCCTGTTCGCTTGTACTGCGTTCTATTACATACGAACAAACGAGCAGGCCAACCACTAGAAATAAGGTACCAATCGATGTGAGAGGGAAAGCATAGACTGCTATATCTGAGCCCTCCTTTTGATACTTGAGCTGGGGATGGTAAGTAGCAAAGCCACCGTATATCAGGACAAACAATTGTAGGGCCGTTCCAACCACGGCCACGACATGTAGCTCATGCCTTCTACTATGATCATGGATATTGAGAGATATGTTCGGAGCGCTTTTCTTAACAGGCTTCTCCATAGGGTTTTGTGGGGCATGGGTTTTCTGTGAACCGCTAGGAGGTTGATGACCCCCGTTGGTCTGCTGGATCTCTGGTCTTGGTAGAATCTCGGGGTTTTGTTGGGACAGGGAGGTTTGGGCCTCAGGACACACGGTATTGGTTTTCAACTTAGGTGTAAAGTCTTGTGCTATAACTGTCTTAGTGCTTTTCGTAACATATGGAGAGGATTAACCAACTAATCTTCCAAGGTGGAGATAACCATGGGAAACTACTCTCCTCTATTAAAAATGTTACCACTAGCTAGGGATACTCGAGATTGATAGGGAGAGAATAATTCAATATTTACCTTTTACTTTTGAAACCATCTCTTTTTTCATGGCTTGTTCCAACGTCGTAAAGATCGATGACATCTCTGCATGCCCCTCTGACCTCCTGGCCTTAGCTTTCTTATCGATACGGATCAATTCTCTGATCTCTGGCGACCCCATTATCCTCACAATTTGTTGTCCATTCCACAGTTCACAAACTTCATGCGACGTTGAAGACATCAGCTCCACTTCTGCAACCGCGCGATTTTCCCTAGCCCTTCCAATAATTGCTTTGAGCCAGCTTGGTCCCCCAACCCTTATTGCGCCAACGATGGCGGTGATGATGCCCAAAGGTCCCATCGCGAATATAATGCTGTCGGCCCAACCCATTGATTCACTCATGAACTGTTTGGCGACCTGTTCTCCGAAGAGCGCAAGCAATGGACCTAGGTCGGAGATGAAATTGTTCGTAAAGTCACTGCCTTCACTCCACCCAGATTTCCCATGTATCGTGGACATCTCGCGTCGATTTTACTCCTCGGTGCTGTTGGGTTTTGTCTGGTGTATTCGGTACTGTGGGAAGTCTGCTTTCTGTCGACCCAGAAGTCCTTCTCTTAATACTCTAGAGAACTGGCGGAACTTTTTTATTCCCATCTTTACCTCAATGGGAATTTCTCTGCCCACCACTCTTTCATGTATCACATACCAAGAAAATGAACAACAAATATCTGGTTATTTGGTTAGAGTCGCGATCGATATAGAATAATTGAGATATGAAGCATGCTGCTCCGCCTCCACAGTAGTAAGGCCAACCAGAAGCAGGCGTCAATTCTGCAGGCAGCTGTGCTTTCAAATTCTTTAGAGCACCTACTCGATCCGTATACTATGGGGATACGTTTCCTTTTTTTCTGTTGTGCATTGCGGGAGAGTGCTGTCGTGAGCTGATGTATGTACCGAGACATTCATAGGATAAACACTGCTGCGCATCCGTGCGCATTGGGTGGCAATTACTCTATGTATGTTTGTGTGTTACACATACATATGGTTGGGGACACCTTGAGCCAGAGTGTCAAAGTTGCCGAAGTTTGAAACTTAATGGCCAACCACCACAACACATTAAAATTAAAATAGCTTTGTAGGGTTATAGAGGAAGAGGTAAATAACACTGTAACAGAGCCCAATTAATTTTATCTGTTGTGGTTGTTGAGCTATTGAATGTCTAAAAGTTGGGTTTCTGGTGAGAGGCTGACCAAACGTCGCACATTAATTACCTTCCAGGCCAACAATTACCTGATTAGGAAGTACGCTAGTATATAATTACCCGATTGGGAAGATATCTCTGGTTCATGGCCAGTATCTTGGCATAAACCCACTCTCTTGGCATTTTTGGATCGATTTCATGCCAAGTTATTACTAGATTAGGAACCAATGTCGCACCCCCCGTCGCTCGGTGTCCCCAACCATATAACGGTACACACTGCGGCTAGATGTCCGGCTAATCATGATCAGTGATCAAAACGCAATTAACGGCTCTTTAACTACATGTATGACATAAACCGGGTTAAGCATGTAGAAAAAAATAAACTAGTACACAAGTGAACTATATACTTCCATTTACTCCCACCAACACTCCTGCAAACCCCTCAAAAAATTTGCATTCACTCTCAAAAAGCTCCTGGCGAGATCGATCTCATAGCCGTGGGGTTGCTTCCTCACATATCCCAGGCATAGGGTAGACCACTGCTTACACTTGTCCTCGTCGCCCATGATGAGGAGGGTATCGACTCTATGACGGACGTAGGTGACTGATTTCTCGCTCGTAGGATTGAGAGAAGGTGGATCTCTAAGTAAATAGCGGACGTTATCATGCATCATATAATCAGACCAAGGCATGTCCTTGGGCGTTTTTACCCCTGAAGTTTCCAATGTTAGATTATTTGACAAGTATTCATGGATCTGAAGAGAGCTTACATTCCCAGATCCTACCCTCACGATCAACAATCGCAGTATGAAGAGCATCTTCCTCACACATCTCAGACGGCCAGCAATCCGGATCAGACGCCACTCTCAGTAGGCTGTAAGTTGAGCCCGGATGCTTCCTTTCATACTTCTCCATTTCCTCCCGCAGATAATCTCGCAAAAAGTTAGGATATCGGTGGTGCATATCAAGAAAGAATACTTACTAGGCCCTGGGGGTATTTGCATATCTGGATCACCAGTAGTTGGACACAATAATCTTCCGGTGATCACAAGACCACGATAGTCGGAGTAGAGATCTAATGGCTTATCAGGACCTTCACGACCAACAAATACAGGTACGCATGTCATTGCCCAAGAAGGCTGAATCAAGCCTTTCTTCCACACTGGATTGAGGTTAGCACGGACCAACTTTGATTTTGGGGATGAGTACGTACAACGCGTAATGTTCTTTTGGATGGCGTGTTCCCACTCCCGCGGCATGTCGTAATCAGCCATACTTTCACCTCTCTTCGGACGAAGCTTGTCCCATTCATCAAGTGCACACTGAGGAGCCTTTGGTGGACGTCGGCTAGGCGGACATTTAGCACGACCTTCTTTGTCGTGCAATGCTTCAAATTCTTCCCGATATTCCCCGAGTTCCTTTTTAGAAACCTCGGGGCTTTCGCCCCATAGGCGCTCGATGATGTATTGACATCTCATGAAATTTTGAGGGATGAAAGGAGTTCCAGTCATAACTGTTGGAGGTCAATAAGGTTTGCTTCAATCAAATTGTGGATGTATCCATTATTTACGTTCTTGTTGTCTTTTCTCAAGCTTTTGACGGGTTTTCGTATTCATATTATTTTGCCGACGGCCGACATCGTTCAAGAACTTTCGCTGTTCCTGGTACTGTTGCTCTTTCCCGGGAAATCTCTTAAGTTGCTGTTCAAACATAGTATGGCTGAAGTCTTTACAATGTCAGCATCACTCATGGATTTCGAATAGTAAATTACCTTCAGCTTGATCGTAAAGTTCATCGTTCTCCTGTTCTGCTTGGTCCCAAATGCCAAGAAACTCCATATGATCATCTTCGCCATCATCCCAATATGAATCAGACGCATCTTCCCAGTCTTCTTCCTGATCTTCGAGATCATCATCAATTGTTGGCTCCCTCTGTTTTGGCATCTTCTCGACAATCTTACTCATCTTTTCCATGAGGATTTTTTCCAATCTCTCAACCTCCTTTTCATCTGTAGCAAACTTGTGCTGCTGAGCCAACTCCCTCAGTCCTGCATCACCCTTGAGGCTGCTCTCAATATCCCAAGTGGTGTGGGAGTCGTAAGGATGGTCCTTGTCAACGTCCTCATCTACACTGTCATAAAACAGATAATGGCTTCTTTTTGGCCTTGCCTTCTTTTCCCCTTCTGCATCCGATTTGCGGCGGTATTCTCGGATCGCCATTTTGATGTCCCTTACACTGGCTGCCATTGATCCTTCTTTGCCCTCTTCCTCTTTTGCAGTTCGATAATATACCTCTAAAGTTGACTCGAGGACTGAGATATGATCTGTAAATTTAAATGCTTTGTGTAACAACTATGTTTGTCAGAAAACCAAGATGCTAGCGTGGGAATGGAGTCGTACCTTCATGAGTGTGTACTGAAGATGTTCAGGTGGCCTCGCGGGTAGGCGATCCCAAATCACGACATCAAGGCAGTCTCTAAAAGATTGCCACAATCGCTCTCGCTCTAAAGTCGCCTTGAAACTTTTGTCAAAAGGATGTCTTATCGTCCATTTCCCACGATGAAGTCGACCAGCTCCTATTTTATCTCGAATGATCCACCTTTCATCTGAAGGAGGGTCCACTAATGCCTGGCCTGTCTTGCAGTCCTTAATATACACGATCAGCTCGGAATGATGTGTCTTGAGGATCTCGATGAATCTATAAACTCGTGGATCATCGCGAGACATATTGGCGGCAATGTAATTTCGTGCCTCGGTTGCAGCATGCAAACGGACGGAATTACCGCTGTGTCGAGAGGTTTGTGTAAACCCAGATGCATGAATGGAGTTGTGAGAGAGGGCATAAGGCACAAAACCAATTCGTCGTAGGTGTGCGAGTGGGGGTGACTCTCGAGTGGTATCCCATCCGTTTTTCAATCCCCGGAAGTAGCCATTTAAGGATAGAATGTTCAACTCGTAGAATTCCTGCCAGGACTTGCACAGGCTGGCAGCGGTGAAGAAGGATGTTCCAGTGAGAATTGCAAATTGAAACCAGCCTCGTCGCGGCATCTTGGTTTCGGCGGGGTAGTTATAAATCCATTTCCCGCAAATCTTTACACGGTCCATCTTTCCACCCTTTTCGGGTATTTGCGCTGCGGGTTTCGACCGTCTCCTTTTCCCTTTTTTCTTTTCTTCGCCATCGTCCTTTGGCTTGGGTTGATGCACAACTAGCTCATTCGATAGCTCGTCATCCCCAGTGCTCTCCAAGTCGCCCATCTTTGCTCCGGCCCAATAATCTGCGCACGCATCACGTATGGAATCGTCCGAAGGCTTAGAAAGCTCTAGAGCGAGATCCCTTAGATCTGTATTCCGCACGTGCACAGTATCATGCAAAAATTCATCGATAGAAGAGCTGAGGATAGCAGCAGATAGCAGCGAAGGTGATGCAATGATTGAACGTAGAAGGAGGTATTCGTGCACGGCTCTCACCTCTGCACGAACCTTCCCCGAGCCACTCTCGCTGTCTACGTTGATTTCCAACGCTGGTTGATTGGCTATGACGAAATCTGTTATACTTTGAATAATTGCTTTCATATCTTGGTCCTGAATTGAATCTATATCGAGGGGGTCGTCTTCGCTATCGGGGGCCTCTTGAGTCCCCTCTGCATTCTCGATTGCTTCACCGTGATCACTCTCCACCGTAGGTGCCGGAACATTCTCACTACTACGATTCTTTTTCCCCTTTTTCCCCTTCTTCTTTTTCGACTGCTCTTTCTTCTTTGGCTCTTCTTCTTCCGATCCCTCCCTTTTCATCTTATCCATCTCACTTATCCTCTTTTTGTTTCTCCTTTCCAACTCTTCCTTCACACCTTCTTCGTGTGATTGCACATGCAGGCCAGGCATAGGCGGTGCCGGGGGACCCACCGGCCCTCTCATGAGGAACGCCTCCATATGTCTCCGTCTTTGCGCTAGCAACCTATCCGCCTTTGATTCAGCCATTCGTGCGCCTAATTCTCCAGTGGCAGCCGCGTTTATCTCCTTTGCTCTCTTTAGCGCTAGTTCCATCTCTTTCTCCTCTACTCCCTCGGCATTGATAAGAACTCTAATAAGTGCCACATATCCTGCCCTAGCATCTTCAATGATCTCCTCGATTGGATCCCAAATCTCCTCCTTCTCAATCTGAATGCGCCGCGTCGCTTCCTTTTCGTCGCGTAGCTTGGATACGTTTTCTTGGTGAGCTTTGAATAACGCTGCTTCGGCCTTGACCTTTTTCTTCTCGGCTTCGGACTTGGCGTCCATCTCTGCTTGGAAAGATTCAACCCAGTTGTACCATTGTGCATTTGAATACTGGACATCCAGTGTACGTTTCTCGAGCCGGCCGAGGGTGGTAGTCAAAAGCGCACGCGTAGATCGGAGTCGTTCAAGGTATGCCTGGTGCCCAAAGTCTAACCGGAACAAACATTAACACTAAACTTCAAGCATAGTGGCGGTATGGAGGAGACTAAACCCGACTTGTCCGCATAAAAATGGGAATGGTGAAAGTCTCTCGCCATGACGCATCTCGTCACGAGATTGTATCTCTGCAGCATATAGGCATAAATTTCTTTCAGCTGAGGTAGGGTCTTGACCGCCGCGAAGTCTGTATTCCCAAAGTTCTTTGGCAAACATTTTGGAGCATTCTTCTCTAGTGCTTCAAGCTCCAGAGATCTCCGTTTGTAACCCTCGTAGAGGCCTTGTACTTGACGGGAGTGGAATTGGCAGAATTGGCCATTGGTGTTGGTTGCGGGCTCGACACACGGCGAGCTGTCGTGGATGTTGAGGGCAGTACAGGTGCCCATTTCAAGAGCTGTGATCCCTAGCTGTAAATGGATTATAGCAAGGTAAACTGATTTGAGCGTAAACGATAAGAGATGAGGGATGAGGGATGAGGGATGAAAGATGAGCGGTGAAGGATGAGAGAGCTAGAGATGGATTTCATACTTTGCTTCTGGCGTTTGCTTCTGGCGTTTGCTTCTGGCGTTTGCTTCTGACGTCAAGAGTTGTTGGTATGGGTTAGGTTTACTTAATAATTAGCTTGTGATAGCTCCAGGCTTGGCAGAGAAAATGTTAATTCATTAACGCTAGAGATTTTACTAGCTATTAATATATAATCATTGGCCCTTTGTTATCAGAATTATTCTCTCTCGATGGTACACATGTGTGTGATGACGGCGCTGTCCTGTGCGTAGCCAGAGATATAGTGTCCCCATGTAACATGAGAAAAACGCCAAGGCTCTAATAACTTTTCAACCACAATTGATATTCAAAATCCGTGATGATAGAACTCTTTTTCATCACGGTATCCAGCCTTCTATCGTTACAGATTTTCAATATCAATCGTGGTTGAAAAGTTATTAGAGCCTTGGCGTTTTTCTCATGTTACCTTCAAGGATGGGGGCACCATATAATATTCCTGCCCAACCCATGCCTGTACGACTAGAGTAAGCTCCATATAGCCGGGCACCGAATGTCCCTAATACTAGACGTACTCCTACGTTGTAGATCTAACCGAATCATAATCCATGATTAATACCAAATTAGGCTCTAGAAAACGTCAAGTTCGAGCCGAGCTATATAATTATTGAGCCAAATTTGTGTAGGAAGCTTTATATAATTCTACAGGCGATCCCTCTGTCTCCGGCGGGCACTATTTTACTAAGTACAAACCCAATATATATTGTGCCACTATAATGGGGACATGAGCATGTATATAGCAACATAATATATGTCACATGTAGGCGCAGGTAACAAAAGAATGGGGGTTGAAATTTAGTGCCCTAGGAGAATCATTTCGGGTTATCCAAATTATTCTCCTTATTATGGGTTTTGTTCCTTGGGATACTTACGTCTTCAACCTCGGAATTTTGCAAGGCCAGCCAGCAGCTTGGTCAAAATGACGAAGCGTCCTACGATCCTCGCATCCGGCCTCGCCTACCAATCGCCAAACATAGGCATAAACTTAAGCGAATGCCAAGAGTGCGGCTCAGCGCGGCTCTTGTATGACACGGTTGACATTCCTCAACACTCAGTGAACCGCACACATGATGATGCATTTTTGACCGAGACCTCCAGAGGACATCTACCAGACTTTCGAATGGGACAAGAAGATTGCCGAAGGGAATCCCACCATGATGCCAGACGACCCCAAAGTTCCCCAAGATGCCGTCCATAGTGTAGTGCTAGCAGACCCCGTTCGGCTATGCACCCCCAGTGAAGGATAGAGGAGTACGGCCCATCGATGCCTCCGAATTAAAGGTCCGCGGTACCTACATGGAAAAGTGATCGATTCCGGGAGAGACACAGGAACACACATGTGAGACAGATTCACGACCCGCCATGATTTCTTCAGCCCCTGATGAGATTTCTGCCTTCCGAGTCCCGAGGAATTGCTGCTCGACGTCCTCAAAACCAGATCGTCATATGGTCTCTCTACTCCGATTCAAGGGACAGTAGAGTAGGTAGATGATGGATAGTGGCATGGGCGCTGTTGCTGTGACTGACTCCTGAGCTCCTGCTTGAAAGTGGCATTCTTGATGGTTTTTTTACGATGGAAGTTTGCACCCGAGACATCTCAGCAATCGGGGCCCACTGTGAATCGGGTTGCCTGATTTGACCTTCTAATCTTGACTGTAAACGCCAACCGCCTCTTGTCCAAGGAACAGACCTGTTTGTACCTGCTGCTGGCTGCTGGCTGCTGGCTGCTACACAGCCTGCCTGCCTGCCTGCCGGGCTCCCAGGGGCCAGGGTACAAGACCGTGACAGGGGTTGCCGTAACAACGAGCCGTCACGCTAAAAACAAACATGGATCCCGTCTGGCCATTAAATACACACACTTGCGCCGCACCCCAGATGAGTGTACGTGCATCCCTCCTCTCACCCACCACCACCACCACCAAACAAACCGACAAACAAAAAAAAACACAACACAACACCAGCCAACCAGGCAGGCACGTCGCGATGTCCCACACCATGAACCCCCCCACGCGTCCCTTCCTCCCATACAACAATCCGGCCCTCAACAGCGTGGAGGATCTGAATAGCTTCAACCCCAAGCGCTTCTCGCAGCAGTCCGAGGCGCCCATGATCGCGAAGCCCCAGCCAATGGCCCCCTATGTCCACCTCGACCAGAGCACGAACGCCAAGATCGCGCGAGCAGAGCGTGCAAACGCAACGACAATCTCGAGAAGGGCGCTGCTGGGGGTTCGAGTGCTGGCCATAGCGCTGAGGGTTGTGCAGCTGCTGGGTGCGATGGGGCTGCTGCTGTGCATGATGTTTGTGAGGAAGCTGGATGATATCACGGGGTGGATTTGCCGTGTCCCGGTATGAGCTCCATTCCGTCCATGGCATTCCTGAGGATGAAAAAACTGATGGTGTCTGAAGCCGGCGGCAGCTATCTTCCATATCGTCTACTACATCTACCATGTAGCTTGCAGTGACCGTGTCCGCACCCCGAGATCCAGCGTGAGCTACTTCCTTTTCGCCTCGGTTGTGGACCTCGCCATCATCTCGTTCTACGCCTTTATCGCTATCCTCAGCTACCGCCAACACCAAGGCGTCACCGACGGGGCGTGGGGCACAATCTTCAATAACGACGATGCCGCCTCGAAGATATTCATAACCGTCTTTCTCGTCGCCTGCGTGTCTGGGTAAGCTCTTCCGCGCCCCCCTACCTGCCCCAATTACAAAAACTAACCTTCCCAGTGCACTCGCCATTGTCTCCCTCCTCGTCACCCTGTATCTCATCCGCATCTTCCGCCACCTCGCCTCCCTCTCCGCGGACCAGAACCCCTTTCTCGTGGACGAGAAGGATTCAGCAGCCTACACACCCCTCGGCAAGCGCTGGTCCAACTCCACCACTACCACCGCCGCGCCCTCCATGCCCGAGATCTCGAAAGCCGTTCCCTTCCTCACCACCCGCAACTCGGACCTATCCGTCCGCGACTCGGCATACTACACCAACATCCCCGTGCCGTCCAAGACCGCCCGCCACAGCCTCTACCCCGCAACAGGCCATCTGTATCCCGCTTCCGGGCCCGTATACGACGCCCCGGCCGAGACCAAGAAGCAGGCCACCGCCACGGTTGAGAGCAGCGGCGAGAGCACAAGGAGCGTTAAGCGAGGGAAGAAGACGTGGGGAAACCTTAAGGCGCCGACCATGCCGAAGAGGAAGGACAGCGGGTCCAGCAGCATCTACAATGGTGCCCCTGCCCCGGTGGAGGTGAGGAGCACGAGTAGCTCGCTGCAGCCTGAGTCGAAGGGCGACAAGGACTGGAGCTTCAGCTTCAGGAAGAGGAGCGGCGCACATGATGCGTCTCCTTAGTTGAGGTCCGAGTACGCAAGGTGAGAGGGGAGGCGGGGAGGGGGGTTGTTGGTACGTGGCGAGTTTAGACGGTGTCTTTGTGGGGGGTCACTGGTGGTCCTGTTGTGTTTTTTTTTTTTTGTTTTCCTTGTGTGATGGCCTATTCCCTTTGTTGTCTCATTCTTAACGTTGGGTTGGATCACGGGGGGGGGGGGGCTCGGGGTTGGAGGTGTATATGATATCTGATGTGTTATGGAGTAATGTGAGGTAATGCAATGCGAATGAACGAGCGAGGAATCTAAAAAGTAGCAATGACAATGGATTGAAAATATGCTTTTTTTTTGACGGCCGTGATATGTCAGCTTTGAGCTTCAGAGCTCTCCTATGTAGACTGGAGATGAGATCTCGACGGTGTGCCCTCATGTGTCTCATGCACCGGGGACGCCCGTGATCTGGGCGGAAGATGCCAGACAGATGGCATGCTCATGCAGGTCCCAGTCCCAAGGTCAGGGTGCCGTGCATGTACATTACGGTGGAGGTGTCACATCTTTGGTAGAGTAGAGCACTTTGGCTGCTGTCAGGCATCGTATGGGTATTTATCGACGTGTGTAGAGCAGTGGCTTGTGCTGGATGGATGGTGTTGTCTCATGCTCCTTGCTGTCGGGTAGAGCATTGCTTGTTCATGGGGGGTGGGGGGAGGGGATGATGTATGCAGGTACCGGGTGAGTGTCGCGTCGCGTTGAGAGGAAGTGTCTGGTTGTTGAAGTTGGGGGGGTGGCGGTGGTGAGGTAAAACGTCATTTCCAACCGCGACTGACGGCTTCGGCGTAAACAGCAGATATCAGTACGTACCCACTCTTCTATCGCCTACCAAATCCCAGAACATCAGTCTCGAGTCGATTTAAGCTTATTCGCCCCCCGGCTATGTACGCAGATCTGGATATCGATGCGAGGCCGATATGCAAATAATCCAATTTACCCACCACCGAGAAACAATGACACCTTGTCGAAACGCAGGTACCAGGTTCCGGTCCGACGCCAGCCAGGTCTGTGGCGCAATATGGGGAAGTTGATCACGGTCGGACCTGTGTCCTTGTCGATACCGTCCACAGAACGCTAGTGGCTGTCAATGACTGAGTGACGTGTTTCCGGGGGTTTGTTTCTACCGAGGATTCGTGCTTGGGATTCCCGGGGGCACATCCATGTAGATACATGTATATAGCTGTGTATGTAGCTGTGGGTTCCGTGGGTGTCCCTCCCTCCCTTGACTGGCGATCTCCGATTCACGGGTCTGATCTTCCATACTCGTGCACTGGCTCAGAGCTGCGAGTGGTGCTGCTTAGTCACGCGCGCACTCCCTTCCTTGCACACGTGCCGAGGCTCGTTCGGTCCGTCCAACAAACAGACACGAGTCCGAGTCGACAACCCGAGCTGAGGGAGGAGGAGAAGAAACACCACCACACAACCACACATTCACACCAAGAAAAAGAACGATCCACACACATCCATCCATCACACGAACAACAACAACAACAACAACCCACGCCTCATCACGGCCCCACTCACTCCCACTGCAATGTCCGACTCGGTTGGTACGAAGCTCCCCCATCCCTACTACTACTACTACTACTCCTACTACACTCGTCCTCACCCTCACCCTCACCCTCGCCCCCACTCTCCCCCCTCCTACCACTCCTCCCCGCCGACTAGGCACAAAGCTGTTACTAACAGCTCACGGCTCACAGACCGGGTCTTTGCACACGCGCTGCAGACGGTCAGGAAGATTCCAAGGACGGGGAGCGCGCGTCCGCCGGCCGACGACCGTCTGAGGCTGTACGGCCTGTACAAGCAGAGTATGGGTTAGTTTTCTTTGGTCCTCGGGGGTGGTGTTGCGTGGGAGGCTGACGGGACTGCAGAGGGAGACGTCAAGGGCGTGATGGACAGGCCGACAAGCTACGGGCCCGAGTCGAGGCCCGAGATTGAAAAGTGGTGAGCTATGCCCCTGTTCTGCTGAGGAGGGCAAAATTGGAGGCTGACGGTTGTCGTGCTGCTAGGGACGCCTGGAATGCCCAGAGCGGGCTGTCAAAGACTGAGGCGAAAAGGCTGTACATCGCGTCACTGATAGAGGTTTGCGGTCCGTTCTCTTTTTTCTACCAGCCCCGGTCAGCGCAGTACATTTCCACGTCGTGACAAACTCGGCAGCTGCTAATTCAGCCTTTCCCCCCCCTACAGACAATGCACCGCTACGCCTCGGCCACACCGTACGTTTCTCCTCCCACTCCTCTGGGTATTTTTGTGACTAACACCCCCGCCAGTGAAGCACGCGATCTCGTGGCAGAGCTCGAATTCGTCTGGGACCAGATCCGGTCCAACCAGTCGTCGCTGTCGGCGGCGTCCACGCCGCACCGCGCCCACCACCCGCCCGAGCTCGGCATCGTCTCGCCCAACCCCTTCGGCGAGGAGGAGGACGACGACTCGGGCATCGACGCGGACCACCGCAAGTGGCGGCGGCGCGTCGAGCAGGCGCTCGCCAAGATGGCGACGGAGGTCACGGCGCTGCGCGAGCGCATGGAGGACGAGGCGGCGTTCCGGCGGCGCGGGAGGCTGCGCGGGTGGTGCTGGTGGGTGCTCGGTGTGCTGGGGAGGCATATGGTTATGGAGGTAGTGTTCTGGGGGCTGCTGTGGATGTGGATGCAGAAGCGGGGGGATCGGGAGGCGGTGCAGGCGCTCGCGAGGGTGGTGGGGTGGGGGAGGGAGAGGGCTAGGGAGGTGGGCAAGTGGAGGAGGTGGGTCAGGTAGGTGACATACGGCTTATGAGAGACGGCGGCATTAATTTGGTGTATTTTATAGCGTGCGTGGTTTGTCGATTTTTCTGTCTTTTGTTTGTGCTGTTTTGGCTGCATGTAGGTGATGGTGTCTGTTTGTGTGTTGATAGAGTAGACTCTACGTTACTGGTGAAAAAAAAAACATCGCTGTGCGCGGGTGGTCTGGTGTTTGTGTGAGCGGCGGGACGGGAGCTAGCGTTGTCCAGCTAGTTTGCGTGCGAGTGATATTCCATGACGAGATATCGCCAACACCAAAACAGCTCAAAATAGTTGTAGCAATTTAAATCCGCCACCTCCAGCCTTGCGCGTGTAGCCTTTTCTGTCTTACCCCCGTGCCATATGATATGGGTACGTGGTGAGGGGAGGTAGCACGGACGGCACTCCTGGAAAGATGGTCATGGATTGTCACTCGGTTACATCCTCCTGCTGGTCGGTGAATTGTATGCAGCCCGGAGGCTATGGCACTCCTACTAGTTGAGCGCGCAGGCTGTCGTTGGTTTTTGATTGGAAGTTGTAGGTTTGGGCTGGGTGGGATGGTACTGGGCGCGGTGGAGCGCGGAACGGGATGGCTCATGCTGGGCACTCCTAGTGTGAGGTGCGGTGAAGCACTACGCTGCGCGTGGCCTCTGTGGTGTGTTTGTATTAAGATGCGCTGTGTATAGCTGGGTATATACGCGTGCTTCTATCTGTGGTTGGTACTGGATACTTTAGGTTTCGGGTGTGGTGTGTGGTGTGTGGTGTGGTGTGTGGTGTGTGGTGTGGTGTGGTGTGGTGTGGTGCTGTGTGCGAGTGAGTCATGGTATGTCACTCGGTCAACTTTGGCTTTGATTATTTCCCACAAAAACCAACTACAACCCACCAAGATCGTTTCTCAGTTCCAAGCATGTTGGCCATGATTGATAGCGGCTAGGCTTAAGTATACAATGGGGCTTGGCACAGTTCCCACTTGCTTAAATTTACAAGTTCCCCCCTCCCCCCTCCAGTTGTTCAAAACCCCATCAAGATATAAGTGCTTCTGCACTACTTAGTCTTGAAATAGTACGCTCGGCACGTTTCATAGTATTGGAGGATTCTCATTTGTCATTATGAGTCACGGGTTCTGACTCATTCTTTCTCTGGTATTTATTAGTCATGTTTTTCTATTACTCATATGGCTATGATTCTTTATGTTTTGTACTACCTTTCTTTAGTATAAATACGGGGCATTCCCCCCTCTAGTTAGTTTATACAACACGCTCAATTACTACTTCTCAACACATAATTTCTCTACTTAGTCGCCATTCCGTAGTGGCACACCGACTTCCCTGTTTATAATCTCTTTCGACGAGGGTAGGTCGAAGATATGTTGGAGCGGTTGTGGGTGGGTTAGGGTTTCTTTTTGCACGTATTCTTTTTTTTTTGCTTTCCCTTTCTCTTTTTTTGGCGTGGGACGTGAGAGTGTGGTTTTTTTGAGATCCAGATAGTTTCTAGATGAAATTTTTCGCTGGGGGATTTAATTTGTATGTATCTAGATAGATATTTTTGATCGATACCAGCTTGGTTTTTGTTCTCTGCCTCGATCGCGAAGTAATGGGCATGAGACGCACAAAACCTGGCCAGACCTCGTCTCGAGACTTTGGACAAGAAAAGACGAGACCATGTAAACCCGAAGATACAAGGTCTCGAGACCATTTTTGCAAAAAGGTCTCGGGACTTTCAAGGAAAGCCTATCCATTTTCCACCGTCCATAAGGCTACGCAATCGCTAAATCAAGAGCCCTAGCCCTCCCTAATACTCTCACGTCGTTTTAGGACCCTTATGTATTCGCAATTCCATGGCATGACCCCTAATATTACAAGGCGAGACAAGGCTATGCTCTAGTCTCGTATCGTCTTGGATTGCGCATATGAGTAGGGATGATTCTCTACATCCTAGTATTTATTTGTATAATGTAATAATAGGAACTGCATAGTGAGCCAAAGGTATACGCATATTCAGCGAAATAGGAGAGATTATAACCCTCGCCCTGGTTTGGAAATCTTGTTCCCATTCCCGTTACGTTCTCGGATGTGCATGGCATGAAGTATTACGGCATAGCGCTTGAAGAAAAAAAAGAAAAGAAATTAAGCCAGAATCATTGCAGAAAGATCTCGATGATGATGATGCATCGCGGCTGAGGCAACGTGGTTCTGCTCGCTAGAGAATGATTCGAATCAATTCAACTGATGTGTAGAAGATACTTTACCGGCAAAATGGGTTAAAAAAATAAGCGTTATATAAGGGTCAAATAAGGGTTAAATAAGGGTTTTCGTAGTATAAGGCTTATTTATTTTTTAAGTCTACAATAACGAACTCGGGCCACTAAGCATGATCTCCAATAAGGATTATTTCGGATTATAAGGCTTATTGAACTATAAGGCTTATTGGATTACAAGGCTTATTGGATTTTAAGGACATGTACTTGTTGCGGGCAAAAGAAAAGGCGGGGTGGGTTGAACCCAGAGCCTTGCAGGTAGCATATACCTCATGCTACCCACTGAGCCATGGGAGAACTGAAATTCCGGTGCTGGAAGTAATATATGGCCAACATAATGCGAATTTTAAGCCTTATATAAGCCTTATATAAACCTTATCCACAGAAAAGCCTTAAAAAAGGCTTACTTGATGAATAAGGGAGATCCAGTATAAAGGCTTAAACTATTTGGTAATAATTATCTAAGTTTAATGGTTACTCATAAAATAAGCCATATATATGCCTTATTTTGCAGCAACCCTTACCCAGCAAAGAGCCTTATATCAAATCAATGCTAATACCAGAATTTCTCGTCAAAAAGCGCTTGATTAAGCCTTATCTGGGAGTAAATCGTTACTGGAGGCTTATAAAAATACCCGTTTTGCCGGTAATGTATGTCTTTACCGCTGGGATGATATGTATCGTGGTGCGAAGTATACATGTAGTGTTCGGATAGCCTCGTTCCCAGACTGTTTTGTTGTCGCACTCCGTGCAGACACAGAATCAAAGCAAACACAGGCTTGGCACGAGACTAGTATTCGGGCTCTTTTTTAGGTATATGGCGTACGTGCATGTAGTTGTACGACTCCGTATTCACATACGCGTACCTGAGGTTTTCTCTCTTGGCTGAAATAAAGCTCAAAATCTGGGTTATGTGGGCACCAAGCATTAGGCAGATAATCATGCGCTAGCACTCGCATCTCACTACGTGTTCACTTCAATGACACCATGAAAGGACAACAGACAGAGGCGACAATACTACGTCAAAGCTGGCCATGACTGAGAATAACAAACCATTCCATTCTTCCGCCACAACGCTAACAAACAATATTATACACAACTTATTCGCCCGACGGCCCAGTGATAGTGGTCGACAAGCTCGGCGCAGACCCAAACACAGGGACATTGTTGCTCCAGTTGACCTTCTGGGCCATAGTGTATCTGGTTCCGTCGCACGCGCCCCCACTCGAAGAGGTTGCGTGGTAGACGTTCCAGATCTCGGTGCCGTCGGGGCTGGTGAAGAATCTAGTACACGTTTCTGTCAGTCGCTGTCTTCGCGCACCCGCCACAAGAGAGATTGAGTCGAGGTGAAACATACCCGTTGTGTCCGGTACCGTAGTTGCCGTTTGCACTGCTAAAGACGGGACCAGTCTTGGCCCAGCTGCTAGCCAGCAGCGGGTCACCGCCGTTCCAGGTAAGGAGACCGAGCTGGTAGCTGGCAGTCCAGCAGTAACTAGCACTGTAGGCAAGATACGTCTTTCCACCGTCTAGAACACACACACCCAATTAGCCACTCCATCCCCAAACCACAACGGGCCAGGATCACTTACAGTACATAGCAGCCGGCCCCTCATTAACCGCACCGCCCACGACCTCCCAGCTGTTTGTCGGCTCACTCAACAAGTACGGTGTTCCAATGGTGTACGCGTTGCTCATGAGCGCAATGTACAGACTCTGCAGGCTGTTGGGGCTGAAGCGACTCCACACGAGGTACATGCTTGTTCCGATGCGGAGGATTGTGCCATCGATACCCCACTCGGCGGAGAGGCGCGCCTTGTAGGCGTAGCCAGACAGCGGGGTGCTGCCGCCCTCGAGGACGTGTTGGCGCTGGTTGTCGCAGCAGGTTGCGGTGCCGGCGGTGTAGTAGATCCACCATTTCGAGTCGATCCAGTGGAGCTCTATCGTACGTCTATCAGCGATCATTCAACTTCACAACTAGGCTGGGGTCACGTCGGAGGTGCGTACCAGGAGCCCAGAAGTTGCCGGCGCGGCTGGCCGTGCTGTCGGTCCACACGGTGGTGGGCGTGGCCGTCTTGAGCCCCGCGATGGTGGTGGCGCGCGTCAGCTGGATGTTTGTCCATGTGGTGGTGGTGAGGTAGTAGTAGCCGCCGGTGTAGACAATGTGCGGGTCACTGCCGTTGGGGTTCTTGAGCGGGTTTGTGAAGCTGGCGGCACTGGCGAGAGAGGCGAGGCCCACGAAGGCGGCGGCAAGAAGGGGGAGGAGCTGCATGGCGGCTGCGGCGGTGGTGGTGAGGAAACTGGGTCATGGTGCGGAGGGGGACCGGGACTTATATCGTGTGGGAAGGGGCGAATTGGACCGAGATCTTCGGAGTGTCGGAGCGGATTCATTATGTGGGGATCAGGGCTGTGGTGTAGCTAGAGAGATCCTTTGGCTATGGAGATATCGAAGTAATATAAGCTTAACCGGTACCTGGGCTCTGATCCTTGACCCTAGCTTGGTAACGACTCACATTGACAGCCCCTACCTAATTAGCCTCCGGAAGGGATACCGAGATGGCCTGTCTGCCTGGGGCAATTCTGCCGGTGGCTTCCTTTGGGCGTATATATCCCCTGGCCTGCATGCGGGTGTGCGGCATGTATCGATTAAGCTCGCCTGGATAAATGGCTTCCCCAGGATTCGGAGGATTCAGCAGCTCCAGCTTGAAGAGAAAAGACACCGCTGTGGATCGTTTTATTTGCTTTTTGGTAATAATCTGGGACGCTTTGGGGATAGCGTGGTGTTGGGCTGAGCTCTGTGACTGGATAAAAGGAAAAATACCCCCCCCTCCCCCCGGTATAATTGAAGGACCGGAATGTTCCTTGACCTGGATATGTGTATGTGCTCGCGGCTGTTGCTGGTATAAGGATGGCTATTATTCCTACTACATGTATTTTAGTCTGACATTAGGAGTAGTACTACTAACGAGAGTTGGCTTGGTCTTAGTAATTCACTGCTTTGAGTATATATGGGGTCGAGACGAGGTGATGGTAGAAAGGTAGTAATAACCTTCTATTCCCAAGAATCTGAGTATCGCTCTAACTCACATACTCAAGTAATGATAAACTCCGCCACTTACTACCGCTACTACTGCTACTGCAATACATTGCAAGCCGAGGCTTCTCTACAGACTCATATACCGTCCCTAATCCCTGCATACAAAACTCCCTTAATGTCACTACCGGCTAATGTAACCTCCCATCCCCATCCCCATCCCCATCTCTCCATCCCCCACATCTCGTACCTGCACCCCGCCGATTCTGCCTAAACTCGGGCGCGGGGCGATCTCGGACGAAATGGGCCTTTCCGCACGGCATCGCGACGTCGCACGTTCCGCAAGTCTTGGTCACTGGGGATCACTCGTGGGTTAGGGTTAGGGATGGATGGTGGGGGGTAATGATCGGTGGGTGGGTTTGTGCGGGTGGATCGTGGGGGGAGTTGTTTGGATCTAATAATTGATTGGAGAAAACGGTTATATTATGACATCAGTGTTGAAGTCGAGAGTGAGGTTACATTGTAGATGGTTCGGATCGAGTATCGGATGGTTGAATGGGTTAATTATAGGCTTATGGAAGCGTGTGAAGCATAAATCTAAAAAGAGCACTGGATTTTCCATTAAACGTCTTTAAATTTGGGAGGAAGTACTACATATAGTGCCGAAATAGATTGGAAGTGTGTTTTATCTAATTCCATTCATTCTGGAATTAAATCAGGGATATACTGTGCAAACTGTATTTTTGATTGATAGAACGTAATTTGAAGAAACGGATCGCAGGATAGTTGCATGATATAATTTAAAGCCGAGTAAAAATGAGCGGGGCAAAGTAAGATCTAGATATATGTGGAAAGTACAGACAAGTGTCCAAAGAAAGCACTCTTAATTCCCTCAACTCGTTCTAAGCTATAAATCATTTATGCCGGATTGACGGTGTAAGTGACTGTTGTGCATGTCACCGAGGAGCAATCATCGCGTAGAACATCAATGCGAATGACTGACCGATAAATGGGTTATATCTCGAGACTTCGACCATCATGGCATCGGGGTGTCCCGAAGCCGAGTATTCGGAAACGGTGTGCTGGAACTTGAACGTCATGGGATCCAAGCCATAAAGATAGGTAACCTCCCCCACCGTGCCCGCATCGCCCGCCTACAATACATCACAGGGTCACGTCAGGATCTGAGGGCGGTGATGAATACCATGAACATAAGGGCGAAGCTTACCGGCGCTAATCTGGACTGTGTTGGAAGACGAGCCTGCCAGCACCGAGGATGGCAGCTATCCAACAAGGATTCCGGAAGTGAGGTTTACCGTTCCATTGGTCAGAGGCTTGTCCATTCTGTTGTAGATGGTGAAGAAGACATCATATGGGGTGGTCGTAGTGCTCATTGTGATTGCTATAGCTGTGTAATTGTTCAGTGGAGCGAGAGTCCTTGGGTGGGTGTCCGACCAGAGGTCGAGCGAGGATAGGACGTCTAGTGAGCTAGATATATACTTATACCAATATATCTTATATACCCCGAGGTTCATATGACCTTGATCCTTCAATCATTGCAGTGGGTACAATTCAATGCGTTCCATTCGGGCGCTACTCAGAAACCAACACACAGCTCGACATATGTATGTACCTATGCAAAGGGGCCCGAGTTCGTAGCACGTATATAGCTGAATTCTAAAGGAAGAAGGTACTCTGACACTCCGAAGGTTGATCAACACCGAAAGCTTCCATACATGCAGTGATAGATTAAAGAGCAGCTAACTGCATCCCGCCCGCACACAAGTAGTGTCTGTACCGGTCCCGGGGAGAAAGGCTTGTTTGGGCGCGTGTTCCGGGTATATATGCAGCCTTCAGCTTCCGAATCACCACCAGCGGGGATAAGAAAGCGCAGTGAACACAGGTCTGCTATATGTAGTAGCTGGAGCTACGTAGCTACATATCTAGAGTAGATTCCGGCCCCGTCGCTCCTCAGCCGAGATGCTCCGTATGCGCTCACGTGGATCGGAAGGAAAATTTCCATTCGATTGAATTCGGGCTGTGTCGTAGGTCGTTTCGATTATCCCCTGAATGTATGAGACATCTGGAGAATCTCTCTCATGCATTAGCGTGAATTGGCAGTTATGTGACCTCCGATTTGGCGGTGGGGGTGTCCTTGCTTCATTTACAAGTTCTTGATATACTTCGAGGTGCCAGAAGTTTCGCAGCTTGCTGTTTTATCCAGCTGGTCAATCGTTTCCCAGATAGAGTACGCCAATGCATGAGAGAGATTCTCCGAACGCCTCATGCAGCTTGTGGTGGTGTTATTGTAGAAGTATGGGACGAGTACTATTGGCTTAACCAGTCATACAAACAATCACAGCTGTAGGCGATATATTGGTCACGATATTGGGTCTTGGCAAATGTAAAAGGTTCCAGGATACAGACCCATTTAGTACAAAACGAGTGCTCCCTGGTGAGTGACAGGGGTGTATGTAGTACAGTGGAGTCCCGATAGTAGCATTCTCGATAATAGCTTATCCTCGATTGTAGCATATAGTTGGGCAATCCCAAACGAGTCGGTACGGGAAAATTTGTTCTCGATACAAGCATATTCTCGATAGTAGCACACGAAAATCCATTCCCAACCATATGCTACTATCGAGACTCCCCTGTACTACTATTGGCTCTATTGAATTTGCAACCCGACTAAGGTCGCAACCCATACAAAAGCAAAGGATCAGGCTTCAATTGGGTTTGTTCCAGCTGAGAGCTGGCGCGGTACGCAAGACTCATAGCTAGATAACACATGTACCTATCTCATACGGGCATCAGCACTTCTTGTTGATAATCCTCATATAACGCGTACGTGCTATCCCTGAGACTGTCAAGGAAATATTGCCAACCCGAGAAAAGTAAATTTAGCTAGAGTTATTAGCTTTGACCGGGGATACTCATGTAAGTATGTATACGTATGTACATCTACCAGTAAACCAAGAGGAAATACCATGCCCGGCCAGCCCATGGTTCGAAAAACACTCGGTGGAACGTTACGGTTCTTGGGAGACATCAAGTGTATGTTGGATGTATTATATAATATAATACTTCCCCTTTTGCCATGAATAACTGCCCTAAAATAACGGGAACTGGATTTATCATGACTCCTAGACGCGATGGACGCTATAATCCATGGCGGCTGGGTATTGTGTAATCCTCAATTACAATAACGTGAGATGTGAGGATAAAGGCGAGGCGTGTTAGGTTCATCGTGGAGTGAAGCCCTACCTATCGGAAGATGGTGATGTTCTGGGAAATCGATAGAAGACTATGATCTCATATCGAGAGATGGTTATATCCCTCTCTCCTTCACATGAACATGTGGCTACAAAAAATACGTTGACGTAAATGCCCGTCTATAAGATAGTTAAGGAAGTGAGGCAAGCATGTCGAGATTTTCCACAGATACTTATACCTTTGGGTTCTGATGAAACCATCGATATTGTTTGTCAATACGGAAATTTAATGGCAAAGTGGAATTTGCGGGGCTTGGTTGCTAAATTGAATATTATACAACTAAAGAGCTTTATATACATATACCATGTAACTTCGGTATGTTCGACTGTCAAAATTTCACGTATAAAGTCTGGGCTCGGAAGCATAAAATTAGCCTCAATGCTTGTAGCGAGTGAGATTTGATGATGTACCTCCGATCGAACCTCAGCCCTATTCCACGGAGGTAACAAAGCTAACCTGCCTATTTGGTATATCGTATGCTTTGAAGCGAGAGCTACTTGAAGAGAACTACCGGTAGGTGACTGAAATAGTATATCCAGGCCTTAATGTAGGTGCAGTGTGGTGCATGCTCAACTGATGGGTAAATTGATCGAATCACTTTGAAAACAGGAAATAACAGATACACGTAAGAGACAATAAAGCCGGTATGGGCCTCAAGTGAGATCGGAGTGAATGTTCATGAGAGATTCAAGACTAATAAACAAAGAGAAGGACTGTAGCAAAAACATAAAGAACTAAAGAGGAAAATGATAAGCATATTCGAGGTGCGCAAACAGATCTATCCGACCGCTGGGACAAACGTAACGATTCCAAAACATCTTCCCTTTATCCAACAATGGAATCCCTAAACCCCTATAGACTAGGCCAGATCCTCTCAAAGACAACTGTGTCATATGCGTTGACTGGGAGGAGCCTGAGACTGATGAAACATTCAATAGTCAAGTATGCTCTACAGATAATTAAATAGACAAGGAGGATTACAGCCAGTGAAAACATAAAAGGGCTGATTAAGTCAAACTTGATCACTAGTTTGGTCTGAGCTGCGAATAAGAGTGGGGTGACGACAAGGGAAACACAGGATATCCGCCATAAGAGCTGCTCGATCGGTGTCGGGAAACTGCTGTACCACGCAATGCTATGTAACGCACCGTATATAGAGTAAGTGGCGAAATCTATTGTGTGGGGATCGTCTAAAATTTCCAGGTCGAAACGCCAATTATTCTTGCCATCAGATATCCAGTCTTTCAAACGCTTCCGGATTTCGTCCAGAGTGGACCGGCTAAACAGCCCAGGCGGTGCCAGTGTAGTAGCTCCCTCGGCCTCATCCGTGGCGCTAGATGTTGGGATATCTACCACAACCTCGCCAGGGACCTTCATATCTATGGGACTGAGGGAAATCGGGATCTCTTCGGCCTCTCCCCGACGGTCCTCCCTCTCCGTGGTGCTAGGTGAATCTATAATCGGGATCGGTTCATTAACTCCTTGAGGCTTGAACCACCAAAAGAAGTATATCAGGGCCGCACACAACACTTGGAGGACAACGTGGAACTCGAGCAAGGTGACCGTCAGGCCTTGAATCTTGCGCAAGAGGCATTGGATCACCATCGAAAAGGTTTGAAGGAGAGCAAGCGCCTTCCCGATTCCATCCGCTTTATCGCGATCGGCTATGAGTCTTCTGTTAACCGCTTTGGGCACCGGGCCTTCTCGCGGTATTAGCTTTAGGAATTCACTTTTGCGCAACCAGAACCGCATGCTAGGGGCTTGTCGGTCGCCAAGAGTATCCATCTCCCCTCCCCGAGAAGCCACCCATTATCACAAAAAAGGCACCTTCAATACCTAATGAGTCTCGGGGACTACCTCCATCAAGTGGACGTTTCTCGTAGAAATCCGCATGAAGAATCTTTGCTTGCCTCCACTGCTCGTGCGCGGCCAAGATGACTGATTCCGGAGCCAAAAAGGCGCATAGCATCCATTGAACCTTAGACAAAAGTCGTGAGAATGGTGTGCCGTTGACAATAACAACATCGTGAACGACCGTCCAGATGCAGATAATGAGGGTAAAGAGACAGGTGGAAAGAATTCCCAATGTCCCTCGTTCTTTCGGTTCGGGTGTCCAGGAAACTTTTGACTCTGTTATGTTCGCGGCGGTCGTGCTGGCGTCGGCTAAGGGGATGAAAAGCAGGGCTAATCCCAGAGCCGCTATTCTGGTCATTATAGGTATAAAGAGAAGGAATGATGCGTCGTTTCCGAAAGGCTATGGACTTCCATGTCAGCAGCGAAAATGAGCCCAGGCGTATCTGCGGTTTTTACTTAGGCCAATAACTGCGTCAACTTGGATATCCTCGATCGGGAGCTACCTGCTGAGCGGTTGGTTGGTTCAAAATGGCGGAAGCTAGCTCGACGGATTTAGGCGGAGTAGTGCTGGTAGAAGAGCTTGAGCTAGCTTGCTGTGGGCGGTGTAATGATAAAGGGAACGTAAACATGGGATGCGTGGGGAATGAAATTTATAAAAGAGAAAAAAAGAATACTTAGGTCCAACCAAAGCATATAAACCCAAGTCATCGCTTAAGAGGCGATCGGGTTAGCGAATGAGTGCTACTAACGTAATGTATTTCACTGAGTGCGTCGATAAGCTGGAACAAGTCGGGGCGGTTCGTATGGGTTCTGTAGGTACATTGGTGGGCGACGCTCGAGGATAAGGCGGTGTGAGGGTTGACACGTAGAGATTAGATGTTGACTACATGTACTCATCAACCATATTATGTCTTTACTCGCCAATCATTCATGTACACAAAACACAAAAAAAACCGAAGCAGGAGCTCAAACTTATGACAAGCTGCTGCTGCTGTTTTCATTGTCATTCTCATTATTGATGGCCAGGCCTATGAGTCGTCTATGATATAGTATGTAAGATATCACTCCCGGCTTGCGAGTAACCCCGTAAATTAGAGTAAAAGGCTTGACTCGCAGAGAGATAGGTTTTGCTTTCAATTAGCCAAAAGCTCGGCCCATGGAGCACAATAGGCCGCCATCGTCGCCGCCACCACCGTACACATTTACCCCGCCTTCTCGAGTATACTGTGATATTCGGTGCAATGCTAGTATTCATAAACTTTGAGATGCCGAGGTGTAGCAACATAATATTATCTGGCTGCACAAAACGCTCTAGAAGAGAACTAATAAAGGAAAAAGCCGAAGCTGAGTGACAGCAGGACACAAACATGAGGACTAGGAAACTAGAGCGATAGAGTGCGTAGAGGTAGAAAAGCACAGCAGAAATCGTGGGGTCATCCGTTTTCGCTCGAAATGTAGCATTATCTCAATCGTCATCGATAATATCAACGCGGACCCTCTTGCAGGGATTACACAGAAACCGCGTACAATAGGAGCACGTCCAGATCCAGGGAACACTCCGCCGGCAAAGATCACAAAGTTCACCTTCCCCTCGCAGGTTGTGGGCCATCATGAATGCATGGTTACAGGTGGTGACCCTTCCAGTGGGATCTCGATAGGACGGCAGCAGTTCCTCCTGAGCCAGCGCTGTGGGCTTGGAGAGCTTGAAGGGTCTTCGGAGGAAGACAAGAATGGAGTATCCAATTCCTTTTAATTTTGTAGACTTCAGTGAGTGGTATCTGCAGGTACTGGGGTCGGCGTGGGCACAGTGTAGGCTCTCATGAGGGTAGCTTGTGTCGTTCTGTTTCCTAATGGCTCTAGATCTGTCAGTTGAATTATTCACGCAGGGAATCAGTTTTTCCCCCGCTAGGTGTGGAATACTGGATCTGGGAATTCGGGGAAGAAACTTACAGACATTTGATTTGTGGTACGGATTTCAGCTGAGGGGGAACAATATACACCGGAGGTTAGGTTGATTTTGGCAAGTTACGTCTCGAGTATGAGGATTAATTAGCTGTCGACGCACGTACGTCCGGGCGTCGTTGTTTGTGTAGGTGTCTCCTACGCGGTGATGTGCATGTACATAGATGTGCAGCTCAGCGCTTGACCTTGACAGCAACCCGTTGAGTGCCAAGCTAGTGATACATGTAGTACAGCGTCAGGTATAATTATTGGAAGAGTCCTATTGGCCGAGTCAGCCGCGTAAACCACCCCTGTTTGTACCTGCAATAATAATTATTCTCGCTCTAACTAAGAATCTGTTTAATATTGTCATAGACTAAGGTCTGCATGCAATTAATGAATTAAACAAAAAAAAAAAAAGAATCTGTTTTTCTTCTAGCTACATATATGTAGGATGCCATGGCAACCAGCGCGTGCGCTAAAGATCTCACGACTTCACTTTCAATAAAAATTTAAAAAAACAGGGACAGTTGTAAATCTAATAAGTTATATCTGTCAAAGTCATTTGGAAAAATCTGTGATTTTTAACTTGTGTTTTGGGGTGCATTGGGCGGTTTCTGTGGCCAGCGGCAGCCACTTTCCTCGGCCTTGCGTACAGCCACCAAAAGTGAGGCGAAAACATGGCAGAAAATTAGAGAAAGAACAGCCCAAAACTGTCCTTTTTTTTTTTTATTTTTAATTCGTAGTTTTGGCCACAAAACTCAGGTCTTTGTTAAGATTTATGGTATTGCGAGGGTATTGTGTGGTGGTTGCCGAGGCTTTGATTACACTTGCAATTGATAAGGCCTACCTACAAGTAGCATAAGGTATTTCTTGAATATAAAGAACTATTCTATAACTTCAGATTACAAAAATATCAATTTTTCATGTTTTTGAGGGAGCAATCGATCCTGAAATCCTTGCCAAGACCTCGAACTTGTATAGGGTTTTGGCAAATTTCAACCAAAATCACGAATCATGGCCATACTGAGCCATCCAACTACTTTCGTAACTATTGCCTGGGCCAGAAATTTCTAAATTGGGGTATTTCTAAGCATATATATGTGTCCATGCAACACTGAGAATCTATCGGGGTCATTGCGTTGTGGGGAAATGCCAAGACGATGACCTTTGACCAAGAATTAAATTAACTATACATAGCTTCGTACTATGTAGACGTAAAGTGAAGTAGAGTAGGAATCGACATATAGATTGGTCGTTAATCATGATGTGGGGGCTAGGTTCATATAAAGGAATTGGAGAAATTGACAGAGACGGAAGACAGCCCCCGCCCCCAAATGATTTGAATCCAGACACGTAAATACTGTAGGACTGAAAATAGAAAATGATAAGAAGGCTTAAGGTTAATTCGATATATTAATTCAAAAATAAAATGAAGAGGAAGCTAGTGGGAAGAGTAGTATATACAAGTTATTTCCGGCCTCCGGCCTGTTAGGAAATGTGATATAGTGATAAAAATGTAATATATCGGTACACTACATATGCACTAGGCTTATTCAGGACTAGCACGTGACACTGGCAGTCTTGACACCGTATTAGGATCCACCTTCACCTCCGCCTCCACCTCCCTGCCTCCATATTCTGACCTATGCTAACGTCTAAATAGACTCCTAATCGAGCACCAAATCTAACACCAAATCTAGCACCAGATCCTCAGATTTTAGGCACCAAATCGAGCACCAAATCGTCAGATTTTAGGCACCAAATCAAGCACCTTTTCGAGTACTTTCTCGAGCACCTGCTCGAGCACTAAATCTAGCACTAAATCGAGCACCTTCTCGAGTACCTTCTCGAGCACTAAATCTAGCACCAAATCAAGCACCTTCTCGAGCACCAAATCTAGCACTAAATCTAGCACTTTATCGAGCACCAAATCGAGCACCAAATCGAGCACCTAAGTGAGAACCCAATCGACGCCTGCACCAGAGCAGGCCTAATTCGACGACCTCGGGAGGTAGAAGGTATGTGCAGGCAGGTAGGCACAGGCAGGTAGGTACGCGCGGGTACAAGAAAGACATATATATGTACAGCTCGAGCTCAAAAATCACGGGACAAGCCTCATGGCAATGGCCCCGAACCAGGACTACAGTACCAGGAACCCACATAGAACTCCATCAAATGAAGCTATTAAGAAGCGGCCTTTTGTAATTACATTGTCTAGTATATAATAATGAAATCTGTTATGTCTAGTACTTTGTATACCACCCTCTTGCCCGGATTACAGCTTCAATCCTTCTTGGCATCCCTTCTACCAAGGCCTCAAACAATCTCTCAGGTATTAACTCCCAACAGTGAATTAAAGCATCTTCCATTAGAGGTCTTAGAACCTCTGGGCCTCGGGTATCATCTGCTAGGTGTTGGTAGTGTTTGTGATAGAGTGTCTTTAGCTGTACCCATACATACTCGATAGGGTTGAGATATGGTGAGTATGGGGGCCAGCCTTCTAGAATTTCAACATTTTTCTCCAACAACCAGTCCTTAGTAATTCTGGCCGTATGAACTCTAGCATTATCTTGCATAAAGATTGGATCTATGCCTCTTTCCCGTAGTTCCTGTACAAAATCCAATAGGTAGAAGTCCAATGTTCTGATATAGACTTCTGCCGTCATACTCTCCCCCATGTCCACCCTCATACCTCCACACGTGCCTTTGAGACCACCTGCAAAACACCCCCATATCATCTTTTTCACTGTTCCAGACTTTGCCACCCCCTTGACACATTCCCGTAGCCATCTTTCCTTTGCACTTCGCAACACCCACTCAACTAACGGATTTGACTGTCTCTCAACACTGCATTCGTCGCTCCAAATTACGCGTCGCCAATGCGCGACCGTCCAATCTCGATGGTGAATACACCATAGCAGTCGTACCCGAGCCTGAAATGGTGTTAAGAGGGGTCTTTTGGCTTTAATATACTTGTGAATTCCGAATTTGTTGAGTCTCCGCTTGATGGTGCTAACCGAGATATTTAGGCCAAATTGTTGACGAAGCTCCTTATAGGAGAGACTTGGATCCCACTGGGTAGATAGATAAAGACATCTATCATCACGCTCAGTAGTCTTCCTGGGCCTCCCTACACGTTGGGGTTGGACACTGCCGATGGAGTTGAACCTAGTCCAGGTGTTGTGAACAGTGCTTTTTGGAACACCAAAAACTTCGGAAATATGTCGGACTGTGACACCACATTGTCTGGCACCAATGATCATCCAACGGGTAGCCTCTGACAGTTCTCGCCTACTTGCATTGAGCTGTTTGGAGGAAGGATTGTGGGGAGGTACCATGGTTGATGAATCACGGACGCTACGGTTGATGAGGAGCGGACGCGTTGTCCCATAATTTCTGAATAAGAACTATACATAGAATTATATTGAACTATTATTACCCCAAATATGTTTCAGGTGTGGACTGTTGAGTTCGATGGCTGGATCAGGTGGATTAGGTCAGCTGTGGATAGGGTGGTGGAAAGGTGATGGAGATGGAGTTGTGGTCGCGCAGGTCTTGTATAGGGTTGGGAGGTGGTCGCGTGAGCGGTCATCAGCAAGCTCGCATATTACCCAGGGCGCAGCCCCTTCGTCCTGGTGGGCGTTCCGCACCCCGAGCGCCTACCGCATCTGGCACCACCAGTCTACACCACTCACGTGCGGCTTCGCCCCAGGAGCACCTAACCTTCCAGCACCGCCAGGAGATATGGCTCACGTTCGGAAGGCACTCACCAATGCTCTGCTTGCTTGGGCCGCCATGAGATTATCTCCCGCTCCGGAGATGTTAGGATGGAGTGACCCTGACCACAGCATCTATGGAACTTTTACTTCTTTTTGATTACGTCAGTAGTACCACGCGAGCACTTCCCAATGCTCTCACAGTTTTCTTGAATGCTCTCACGGCATGACGAATGCTCTCATGGCACGGTGAATTTTCTCACGGCAGCGCAAATGCTCACGCGAATGCTCCCGCGAGTGCTTCCGGGAGTGCTACAACAGCACTCATCAAAGCTCACAGAGCTGAGGCATTCGTCATACCCATTCAAGGTGAGGCAAAAATCACTTTGCCCCCTTTGGATTGATACACCGTCATCAAAGTATAGGAAGGCACCAGTCCCTCAAATGATATCTAACATGGGTATCCCCAATGCCACTGTACGGTCAGTCGCGTGATACTGATACGAGCACTGTCCTGTATACTGGTGACGACTAGCCAACCTTTGACAGAGGTGTATGTTTCTGTCGATTCGTGGAAGGCATAATTAGCCTTGAAATCGAAGCCATGGTACGGCTCGTCTGAAAAGCTCAATGTCCACGCATAAGCAGCAAACATGGACTGGCATTGCCCTCTTGGAGCGAGCTTGCTGGATAGCCAGACTCAGATACTGAGCGGCCGAAACTTTACCTCCTTCTACCAATCCGCATTCATAGCAGGATGGCACGAATTTTGAATCAGAGAGTCCAATTATAACGTGGGCCTATGGACGAGAGACTATAGTGCCAAGGAATACAACCGAGGCAAGAACGTGGTAGAAGATATTCATAACTATGAACTATGAGGTGGTTCAATCCTGATCCGAGATCCAAGATGAGCCCTATGACGTAGCGTAGGACAAAAGTAATATTCGTGGAATAAATACAGAGGTTGCGTAAAAGAAGAAGGAAAGAGAGAAAACAAACAAAAGCACAAAGCAACGCCCCCTTATATATCCAACCATAGTCCAATAATGACTAATACTTCCGCGTAACAGAAACTAAAAGAACATAACAGAAATCCCCATTACAAATCCTAATCCCACTACACAATATCTCTTCATCTCGTACCAATCTATTGCCTAACCGAAATACATAACTGCCGTTACAGACCACGCCCCCCTCTAAGGCCTACCTCCTGGTAGGCTTAGGCTTCTCTGAATAACGCTCGTGGAATCGTTTGACGATATCGGGTGAATGCTCAAGGTCCGATAGTGGTTGCCAGGAGGCTTCATCATACCCTCTATATCGTACCAAGTACTCGACTCTTCCTCTTCGTTTTCTCGAATCCAAAATATCTTCGACTTCCCATTCTTCCTCTCCTTCGATCTCAACTGGAGGTGGTGGCAACTGTTGTTGTCCAGGTAAAGGATTACCTGCTTCAGGAGACAATAATGAGATATGAAATACTGGATGTATTTTCATTGACCGGGGAAGTTCCAATTCGTAAGCATAGGGATTGACAATCCGTTTAATACTATAGGGTCCAATACGCTTCCAATCGAATTTCTTGGAAGGCCGCTTCGTTAGAATATGGCGTGTCGATAGAAAAACTTTATCTCCCAAATTGTAGCGAGGGGCTGGAGTTCGATTCGCATTGGCGGATTCTTCTTGTATTCTTTGGGCTCGGAACATCTCGTCCTTTAGGAATCCCACTATCTTCTTCATCTCTCGTGCAATACTATTAGCTTGGTCTTCCGCAGTAGTTCTACCATGTTCTAAAAGGCCAAAGGTCATTCTTGGATTTCTTCCCGAGTTGGCATAAAACGGGGAGACCTTTGTTGTTTCGGAGGCATGATTGTTTGTCGCAAATTCAGCTATTGGTAACATTCGAGCCCAATCATCTTGTTGGTAGGAAACATAGCTTCGGAGGTACTGTTCCATCACGGCATTGATCCTTTCCGTTTGTCCGTCTGTTTGGGGATGGAATGCGGTAGAGAATTTTGGTGATATTTCTAGACGATTACAAAGCGACTTCCAGAACTCGGCAACGAACTGTGTTCCTCGATCAGATACAATAGTATCTGGTAGTCCATGTAGCTTCCAAACATTATCGATATATAGTCTCGCCACTTTCCTCGAATCCACTTCTTTGGTCGTTGGTATCAAATGTCGCATTTTGGTTAACCTATCCACTACGACCAAGATTGCATCATATCCTTCACTCTCAGGAAGATCGGTAACAAAATCCATTGACACATCCATCCACGGTCCATCAGGTATTGGCATCGGACGAAGTACTCCATAAGGTGCATTTCGAGGCGCCTTGCTACGGATGCACACATTGCAATTCCTAACATATTGATCGACGTATCTTCGCATCTGTGGCCAATAATATTCTCGACTTAAGAGTTCTAAGGTCTTCGCTCTACCTGGATGGCCTGCCGATAGTTTATCATGGTGTTCGTTTAGGAGCCTTAGCCGAAGATCATTGTCCTCTGGTACATATAGTGCGCCTCGATAAAGTAACCGACCGTTGTTGTCTTCCGTACATTCGGCAAGCGAAATTTTATTCGAGTGGCGAACGCCATTCCGAAGCATGGTGAGGGTCTTGTTTGGAAAACTATCAACTTGGTAAGCTTTTGAAAATAACTCCTCTACAGTGGACGCTCCTTCAGCGGATTCATTTGACAAAGAACCCGCGAACAAACTTAGCTTTGTACTCAAATTTTTTCGCTTCAAAATCACTTGACTCTGATGCGTCAACCGTTCATCCCCCTCTTTAGGTAGGTCACCTGACCTTCTAGTCAATGCATCTGGTTTCGCTCCCTGTTTTCCTGGCCGAAATTGTATAACGAAATCGAAGCGTGAAAGAAATTCGGACCAACGGGCTTGTCGACGATTTAATAACTTTGTTGTCATAAAATATTCCAGATTTCGATGGTCGCTAAAAACTTCAATTGGGAATTGAGCTCCCTCTAGGTGATGTCGCCATTCTTCAAAACATCGTATGATTGCTAAAAGTTCTTTGTCGTAGATTTCATAGTTGCATTCTGCAGGAGAATGTTTTTTGGAGAAGAAAGCGACTGGATGTAGGATTCCTTCATCATCACGTTGAGATAGGATTCCTGCTGAAACATAATCAGATGCATCGGTTTCTATCACAATCCTCCGATCCGGATCAAAATGAACTAGTGTTGGTGCCGTTGTAAACATCTTTTTCAAAGTTTGAAATGCTTCCTCTCTGTCATCCGTCCATTCGAATTTAACGTTTTTCTTTGTCAAGGCTGTAAGTGGGGCAACAATTTTCGAATATCCTAAAATAAACCGTCGATAAAAATTTGCAAATCCTAGAAATACTTGAACATCATGAAGGTTCATTGGTGTGGACCATTCCAAAACATCGATGACTTTCTTTGGGTCCATTCTATTCCCATTCGGGGTAAGGATTAAACCAAGATATTTCGTTTCCTGAACCATAAATTCACATTTTTCAGGTTTAAGGTGAACATGATTCTTATCAAGTACCCTTAGAACTTTTCGGATGTGTTCTTTATGTTCTGACAGAGTTTCGGAGTAGATAAGGATATCGTCTAAGTATGCCGTTACGAATTGATCGAGGTAGGGACGTAAGATATCGTTGATCCAATGTTGAAATGTAGCAGGGGCATTAGCTAATCCAAACGGCATTACTGTATATTCGAAATGTCCATATCGAGTTCGGAATGCCGTCTTCCATTCATCCCCCTCCGCTATCCTAATCTGATTATATCCCCAACGTAAATCCAATTTGGTATAATATTGTGCTCTTGACAACTTGGCTAAGGTTTCCTTTAACAATGGTAACGGATATCGATTTTTGATTGTAATTGCATTTAGACCTCGATAGTCAACACAAAGTCGAAGGGTTCCATCGTTTTTCTTCACAAACAATATAGGTGCCCCCGCTGGTGACTCACTAGCCCGAATAAATCCTTTGGGTAAATTTTCGTCAAGATATTCTCGTAGTGCCTTCAGTTCGATTTGAGATAATCCATATATAGGTCCATACGGTGGTCGTTTACCTTCTTCCAGTACTATTTCAATATCATGGGATGGTCGATGTGGTGGAAGAATTGAAGCATCGTATTCTTCAAACATATGGAGGCGATGGTGAAATTCCTTTGGTACTAGTTGTTCAATGTCGACTGTAGATTTTTCAGTTGCTGAAACGATGACTGTATGGTGTTCCGGTAAGGGAATTGAGATACCATGAACAATAACTGCAGTTCCACTAATTGAACAGTGTTGACAACAGTTCCGAGAGTCGAAAATAAGTAGATTTTCTTTTGGTCGAATCGTAACATCATGACGTCGCATCCAAGGTATTCCCATCACAATCGGGTAATGTCCTAACTTTGTCACAAAATATGGCGCAATCTCTCGATGACCATGAATGTCCAGCGAGACATCGACAATATGGGTAATTTTTCCTGATTTGATAGGCCTTCCATCTATAACGTCTACATGGCGAGGTATCTTAAGAGGGGTCATTGCAAGATTATTGTGGCGTGCAAAAGATTCATCAATAAAAGCGTATCCTGATGCTCCGGTATCAATAAGAGCGTAGGTGGGAATGAAAGAGTTTTTGTATTGTGAAATCGAACAAGTTACTACAAGTTGATTTCCATCCATTTCCTCCTCTGATACCGAAAAACCAGAAATACGCATCCTAGAAAAATCCTTAAACGGTCCCTGAGCTAAGCCACTTAGTGCAGGGACAAATCTTTTGCCGATTCATTATCGCTTATATCATTTTCCTCCACCGTCAATGCTGCTCCTCTCATTACAGGCCTTCTGGGTTGATTTCCAGTTGCCCTCGCTTGGGGACAATCCCTGACCATTTGTCCAACACCTCCGCAATAGAAACATCGGCCCTCAGCTAAGCGGGCATTTCTTTCGGCAGGGGAAGGGCGACGACGTCCTCCAGATAGATCCATTGGTACATCACCTCCTGGGCGGGAGGAGGGATGACTTTCAGTAGCAGGTGCATTGGCGACTGGGGCGACAACGCGAGGAGCCGAAACAGGATTCACTGGTGGGGGACGAGGGGCCGGAGTAGTAGTAGCATTCCAAGGTTTTTTATATCCTCGTTTCGCTTCTGCCGCTCGACGACGATTATCCAACCGTTGCAAAAGTGTCGCACAGGCATCTACCGTCGCAGGAGTATCATGGTGTATCATTGATTCATCGAGTTCCGCATTAATACCTTCCATCAAAGCCTCAATCCGAGAGGCTTCGTCCATACCCGACTCAGCAGCATACCGTTGAAACTCAGCAAAATAGTCGGCGAAGGTTCGAGTTCGTTGACGGATATTCCTGAGGTTCCTTCTAGCCGTACGCATTCGATCGGGGTCCCCAAAAGCAGTGTCCAAAACCTCATAAAACCGTATCATAGAGGGCAAAGCAATGCCTTCTTCGCCGACATATTGTAAAAACTGATTGGCGGCAACGCCTTCCAATCTACTAAATGCATAGGATAGTTTGGACTGTAGGGTAGGATAGCGATCGGCATTTCCCAGTAGCTTAATCTTCATTTGTTGCTTGAATAGGTGTAACCTTTCTCGATCACGATCCCCCTTAAACACCTCAGGATCTGGGAGCTTCTCTGACCGGTGAGTAGTATCTGTAGCGGGTGGTACTGGGGGTGCAGGTGGAACATTGTCTTCGATGGGTGCTTGCATAGGGGCAACAGCCGCAACAGGAGCCTGTTGAGCTCGGGCAGCAGCAAGATCTCGCTCAAACATTTCTCTTGTCCTCTGAGCCTCCGCGTCTACTTCTTGTAGATCCGTTGCATTTTGAGCAAGACCATGTTGACACTGTTGGAGAAGCGCATAGGTTTCGGCTCCAACAATATTATCGACCTGTGGGTGCTCTTGAAAAAAGGTTCGGAGGTTATTGCTGAGTCGTTGATAGTCAATAGGGGCATGTTCCGACATTGTAGACTGTGGTGTTGTATTGGTTGGCGATAGAGGACGCAACCTACGTATAACGTGGGCCTATGGACGAGAGACTATAGTGCCAAGGAATACAACCGAGGCAAGAACGTGGTAGAAGATATTCGTAACTATGAACTATGAGGTGGTTCAATCCTGATCCGAGATCCAAGATGAGCCCTATGACGTAGCGTAGGACAAAAGTAATATTCGTGGAATAAATACAGAGGTTGCGTAAAAGAAGAAGGAAAGAGAGAAAACAAACAAAAGCACAAAGCAACGCCCCCTTATATATCCAACCATAGTCCAATAATGACTAATACTTCCGCGTAACAGAAACTAAAAGAACATAACAGAAATCCCCATTACAAATCCTAATCCCACTACACAATATCTCTTCATCTCGTACCAATCTATTGCCTAACCGAAATACATAACTGCCGTTACACCAATTGGGTCTAACGTTCCCAGAGCACTCACGAATGCCCTCACGGCTTTACAAGCATTCAACTAAATTCATTCCACATACGCAAGTCTATCTTAGTATTTACCAACCAATCACCAGTCTCCACCTCAAACAAATAGGCTATTCCCAATATACTCCGAATATTAACGACCCATATCCTCTTCCTCCTCCTCCTACAAACCTTCAGGACCCCATGTGAGCTATCAGCGATACCACGATCCTTTACCTCGAGTCGCACCACTATACATGGTCTATGTGCTCGTCTCCCACTGTCTCGCAGCTTGAAAAAAGCCTGCACAAGTCCTGGTAAGCGTCCCCGAAAGACTTCCCACTCCTCTGAGGATGCTACCGACACCCTTTCCTAAAAGCCGCGTTTCCCGTACACCTGTCTCAAGGGGACGAGTAGCGAGTATTCCGCAGGGTATGAAGGAGGTAGTCGAGATCAGTGGGAGAGCCTGCAAGAGGGGTCCTGAGTGACTCTAGCGTTGGTAAAGGTTAACGGGACAAGGGGAGCAGCAGTACGGTGGTCTTCTTGAGTAAAGAAGAGGAAATAATATTATATAGTAGTAGACAGCATAGGTACAGAAGACGTTGCGTAGTAAAAGAAAGAGAAAAAAGAAAACGAGAAATAAGAACGAAACCACCTAATATACCCAAAGAAATCCAAGCGATGACAAATCCAAAGTGACTCATACACTTACAACCCGCAGAACCCGATAGAACCCAATAGAATCTTTCTGACTAATCCAACTCCTCGTAACCCAGTATACTAACTAATCGATCCATGAAACTTCGTTACAGAGACTAAGCACTAAGGGCAAGAACAGAGTAACCCTTATGTCAAAGGTTACCCTACTCAATGGCCAACGTGGTCGAGGGTCTTCCACTATACAAGAACAGCCACCGTCGGGAGTCTCTCACCGTCTCTCACCATGCACAAACAACCACTGCCGATGGTTTGAGAGTTAGTCTTCAACCATGACGTAGCTGATCTGATCTTGTACCTAGCTCTGTCACTTATGTCAGCCACTGAGGACCCTCTTCAAAACACCCTGTCTCCCTGGGTCACAAGAAATGACTAACCCTAGCTAACCCTAGCCAATCATGGAATCTCACTCGGATCCCCAGTCACATATTATCACTCGCCCTCGCCGGCCGAAGTGCTGCTGGCGGAGATGCAATTACCTGCAATTAGTGCTGGCGGCGAAGGTGCTGCAGGCGGAGGCGGACGTGCAAGCGCTCGATTTGGTGGTGCAGGCGGAGGCGGTGCTGCAGGCGGAGGCGCTGGATTTGGTGCTGGTGGAGGCGGAGGTGCGAGGCAGAGGCGGTGGGCGCGAGGCGAGTGTGGGTGCAAGGTTCGGCGCTAGAACGAATGGGGGGTCGAGGTGCGGAGCTAGGTAAGCAAGGCGCGAGAATCCACTGTGGATCCCTGGTGGCCATTTAGTTATAGTTTTCCGCTCAAAGATGTGGGGTGATTAACAGCTCCTTTGGATGGCTTAGAGTGTCTTTAGCTACCGATGTCAGTGAGGATCAAGAGTGGTCTAGAAAATCTAGAGGTTGGAGACTAGACCTATACACCTACGATTGAAGCTCTAGGAAATCTCAAAACTAAGAGGCAGAAATGCAAGCCGACAAGAAGACAAGTAGCACAAGCTGTCACGGCAGCAGAAGTACGAGAAAACATAATGATGTCCATGCAGAACGATCCCCCAACACTGACAAACATTGTCCAAAGAGAAGATGAACCGTAGGAGATGAATGAAAAAGATGGTTAGAACGACGGTTTGAAATACATGTTGCGAGAATGGACAAGAGGCATCCATCCTATGTAGAAATAGGCCCGACAATTGAATACGAGGCGAAATCCCACCTTAGTATCACTTATTTCAAAGAAGTCAAATATGCAATTCGAAGCAGAGTGTTGACCACCCGAAGAAAAGAACCAGAGGTAAAATTTCTATCAGTAAATCTCACTGACAGGGTCTAATAAAGGCTTGCAGATGTTTAGTTTCGTTTCCGCTTTTGTAGAAGCTATTGATGGGACTAGAAGATAAACCTTTTGAAAGTTGAGTTAGGATACAACGGGGCACTGAATCGATGATATGAGATTGTCAATATCTTTAGGAATTGTGGGTTCTCAAAATTATCCGGACGCTCGCGTCGGAACCACACAAATCGGCTAGAATAACCAAATTTTTAAACCACTTCAACGGCTCATATTGAAGCTTAAGATAATGGATGCATAAGAAATCACAGAAATCAAATCTCTTGTACTCTCTCCTGGTGGTTGTGGAGGAATGCGGCGTTGAAGTTGGGGGTTTGGTTGCAACAATGTCCGGATAATTTTGATAACTCGCGATACCTTTCCAGGATGCGAGCAGCAGCTGCGAGTGATAGACTGTGAAGATATGATAACCAACGGTTTCTGTTTGGCGAGGAGCAGTGGGCCAGAAAGCCATCAACTAGTCAACATTCATTAGAACAACTATGTCAGGTGCTAGAGTGCCAGATGCTACCATGCTTAGATTGCGTTGAAAGGTTTGCTGCCAGATTCTCGGTGGTTGTGATACCAGTTGTCGCTATGGAGTGCTCGAGAAGATACTTCAGTTTCAGCAATTTGGATCATTGGGGCTTGGCATGGGGCAATATCAATTGCGGCGGTGAGCTATGAATCGAGTCATAACACCAAGGCTTAGAAGCCCAAAATCAAAATTCCGTGATTTGGGCTCACCGAGTGATATTTTATGACGAACAGATTTCCTGTACTGTTACGGGGCCTTGAATTGGTTCCAAGAATGATTAACAGGTACAAGAAAAGTTAAATTAAGCCGTTAGCATTAGCATCATACTCCTATGGGCAGAGAGAAGATTAGGTTTTCCATCGACACATGAATACAGGTATGCATTATAGAGTGCCATGGAATGCCCCACCAACGGATGTCATGATCACTAACATTGCAAAACCTCGCTCTGACAGGCCGTCTGTAGCTGGATACCACCTGTACTCGTCCAGCTGCCCGGGGTTTTGATATCACCTGTGCTTGCCCGTAAAGTTCCGCCACGCCCCCAGTAGCTCTGTGAACATCTGTACTCAAAATCAGAGCCCCCACACGGGTACAGGAGCCCTGGCTCGACTCCAGATGCATCCAGTAGCTCTAACTCGAGACCAGGTACCTACAGTAACTTTAGCTTGAGCCTAGTGATGCACACAACACAAAACAAGACGAGACTTCTCTGGATCTCGTCTTCTCTCGCATTTGGGAAGAGAGGGTCTTGTGGCTAAAGAGACCTAGGGTAGATCTCGCGCAAAGTCTCGAGACCACAGCTCCACCTCCAGAGATAAGTTTCAACTTGACGCCAATTGTAGTAATGAGGCCTTGTAAACTACAGAATTAAAACCAAAATTAGGGTTAGGGTTTGGATATATTCTTGAGTTTGCATGTACAGTCGGGTCTCCCTATAAGGGTACCCCCTATAAGAATAATCGCCCTATAAGGAGTGCGGTGTAGGGGCCCATTTTTTTTGTATAGTAAATTAAGGGTAAAGTGCTATAAGAATACCCTTATGACTTTGAGATGGTTTTTTGTGCTGTACCCTTATAGAGAAATGAGGGTAAGGGGTTATTTTGTGAAAATGGTCTGCTACAGAGGGCAAAATGCAACTTTGGTCCAACTCCTATACGCAAAACTCTGTATTATATCATATCCGTTAAGTTTAAAGGTTACATCCTACCCAACAGGCAGACTATTTTACCCCCAGAACTGTCGAAAATCTCGAAAACCGACCCAAGCCCGGACATAAACCCTAACCCTTATAAACCTATAAAGGTACCTGTCCTATAAGGGTACCATCTTGCGGTCCCATCGTACCCTTATAGGGAGACCCGACTGTACACGTATTAAACCATCCGCCTGGAAAATACTCTATTTTTCAACATTTTACATTGTTTCGAGACGTCTCAAGACTGCTGAATTGAGTCTCGAGACTAATTGTCTTGCCCAACTACAGGTCTCGTCTTCTCTCGTAGAGGGTAAGGCTCATGCTTATGGGACGAATCTCAAGCTCCCAAGCCAAGCTAGAGCTAAAGTGACAAATTCTTTGATTTTATAGCTACGAAGGTTCTATCATTGGTTGTCCCTTACCGGAACCCTAAAATCTCCCAGCTCGTTTATACTTTATTATACTTGAGAGTGACAGTGGGGTGTAGGGCGAACCTCTGTTCAAGAGTACTGTAGGGGTGTTCAGGTCCATACACTGGGAGCTACCCACCCGGGGTACGTTCATTGAACGGGACGACCCGTACGGGGAAAGTTCCGTCAATGGGGCCCTAGAACCATAGTTCTGAAGCGTACCATCAATGGGTAGCCTGTACCATGAACGTTCCTGGATGGATCACCAGAACCGTTGTTTACAGCTCAAGACAACAAGTAGGAAATGCCGGAAACATTAAACCTCGGGAAATGACTGAAAGCTTCGATATTCATAGTACTCCATATATTTACATTTCCCTTCTCAATGTCAACTGCGCCACTATGCCCTCAGGGACACTGTGCATATTACATATGTGACAGGAGGACTGGCTTTCGCACATTTGGTAATACTAGTAGATCATCGGGTGTTAGACAGAAGGTGTTAGATCATGAGCCCATAAGACCAGCTATGGTCTTGGCGTCTTGGTACTAGGATAAATCACTGTTCTTAAAACTAGACCTTGTATTTCACCATCATACTACACTTAGATATCTATCGTACTAAAACATCACACTATTGTCTTGGTGACTATAGTGGGGTGATAGCAGGTGTCAAAAGATACATCAGCAAGATATGGTTGTCGCCAAGACGAGCTCGAGGTGAATTCGCTCGTCTTGGCAAAACCTCGTCCGCTCTACAGCTAAGCAAGGGTCTTGGTGCACCTGGTATGCCTGATGGTGCGCCTGGTGCTTCAAGACGAGACCTTTTCTTGGAAAAGGCAACTCAGACCGTACTTGGCGCCGCAAGCCAATGTCTCACTTCCCGACGGTTTATGAGATAGGTGCATTACTCTATTATCGTACATACTCGAGGTGCAGGCTTTCGCTCAATCCCATATGTAGAACTCCCGTTCCATGGTCAACTAAATGTATGCTGGTACTGGTAACACGGGGGCGGCCCATAGATGCATATAGGTAGGCAGTGCATTATAATGCTACATACTGGATCTTCACGGCATCTGCCAAGACCGAGTGCCCCACTATTATTTTCTTTCCAACAGAACCGATTGGTGTCCACACTGCAAGGCGGGTTGAAATACGCAGGTGCTCACACACATTCTGTTCCGATATGTTACTGATCGCATAAGAATAAGTAGCACTCCATCGATTCGAATAAACGAACGGGTATCTTAGGATTTGCATTGGATGCGCCGTCTAACAGCTGTCACTTTAAACCAATGCGGCATGCAGTGCATTACGCAAGATGTTATGATATGCATACAACCGCCGCATCTTGAAACAAGGCTGTACTGTACAGCATCACGCGCACTGCGCTTTTTCTACAGATATATGGATAATGGTGCATTTATCACTCATTCATGCACATTTAAAATTTAATTGTAAACGCGAGGACTGATCCACAAACACCGGGGAAGACGGCACTCAAAATGTTATAGGTAGCAGTCGTAATAGCCCACGTGCCGGAACGCTCTTTGATGGAACGCATCATGTAAAAACAGATCATATCAGGCTGTCGATCTTTTGCGTTCATAACACTTGCGGGCTATGGCTGGTTTTGGGCCACTTGTAATATTTGATCTAATCAGCACACGTACGCGCTGTATGCAATGTTTTTCAGGCATTGGAGTGTTTTAGTCCCCATCCTTCTGCCTTATTTACGCCATATTTCTACTACGAAAGCCGCCATCTCACATGGAGGAAATATGGCCGAATATTGTGCTTGGCTTCTGTGAATCGAGAATACTGATTCAGCTGTATCGGTACGTCGGCATCGATGAAAATGAACAATAACAGAGCTACTAAAACATCATATCATATCCATCCCGTTCAATTATACCACTCAATGCTGCGTCATGTAGTAAGGATTACGCGTTATACCTGCCTGTACATGGGGATAGGTCTTTTGTGTAAAATATACGCGAATACCCACATATATCATATTAATGCTCTAATCGTCCTGCTGACCTCCACCCGATAAGATTCGATGAACTAGTGAGAAATACGGTCCAAGCTTATCCTTGTATCTCTTAAGCCGCCGATTGCCGGCCCCGATGGTAGAGAATCGAAATTTGTGTGGGATCACTTATTTGATAGGAGAGATAGCTAGATCTGTTAGGAAACCACCAACTTTACTTGTTTTTCTGGGTGGGGGATAAGCCAGCATTTGTTGGCTGGCAACTTAAAATAGGGATAATTGTTTCGTAAAATGCTCAGGTTTGGTAATACATCTGTCTGAATAGTGCTATCAATGTAGTATACTCGATAGAGTGGGTGCATTAGGCTCTAATACGACTCACATGATAGACCACGACAGCGCTCTACCTAGTTTACAATGGGCTATGGTTAATTGGAGCGATCAAAGATTGCCGTTAATAGAAATTTCTGCTCTATCACTAGACACACGTGCTGAATGCCAACCCCTCCAAGTATTCAATTATTTGCCGGGACTTTGTGCATCTCTCGGTTATTCGCTTCCTGTACTCCCATCCTGCTCGGCTCCACAGTGCACCTCTAAGTTACGTATGCGTTGGATTAAAACACGTTGATGGGGATAAGAAACGGGCATTTCCATATTACCAAACTGTACTCGATTCGAGATTCGGGAGACGTATATTACATACTCGCTTCACTCCGGACTCCTATCTCACAGTCAAACAGCCGGAGCCACATAGATATAGGATTGGATGAATCAAGCCAGCTGCAATGAAGCTATATCGTTTGCATATGATTAATGAATTTAACAAAAATAAATAGAGCTACCGTTATTTCTGGGAAGTAAGCCCGTGGGCTTAAAGCAAAGTGGTGGGAGGAAAGTCAAGGATAACTGGTGGTGTATGCATATTCCCGTGACTTAAGCCAATCAGCAAGCATTTTCCTACCACTACTTTGCTTTAAGCCCATGGGCTTATTCCCCAGAAATAAAGGTATTCCATTTTTAAATATAACCCTAACCCACAAGCGAGTGATACCTTGTGAATACCCAGCCTCCAGGTTTGCCAAGACACCCCATTGAAACAATAAGCGATCTACATTCTAGGTGGTACATGGTGAAAGGTAACAAGTATAGAAAGTAATAATCAAGAATAAAAGTCCAAGTACATAGGAGGCCTGGCCCGGTGATGGGGACTATACAAGTTGTTGTCACGCGAACGTGAACTTGGAATACTATTGCGACTCAGGTCAGTAGTCTTCTGATGGAGTTTGGGAAGAGGTATACTCATACAGTGGTTTTGCTCGGACACCTTATAAGCTCGACATCCGGGCCTTCACGTGCTGTACAGTCACAGCCATGCTTTGAGCCTGTCCGTTTATTGAACTCTTCCATATTAACCCTGAGTAGATAATAGCTTTCTGGAGTTTTCAATGTTGAAATTTGAAACCACAGAGCCTTCCCGGCGCTCCCATGCTCCATGATCACAACATTTTTCTCAGTTGGGCGATTGTCGGTGAGGTCCTCACCCCGAACCGTCCTTACCTCACCTGAGCTTCCGTTTTGATGAAACTCAAGATACGTGACCGGCCTGAGAAGTGATGTAGCGATTACACACTTCGGCGGACTGGCGCCATTCTCTTCTGAATACGTCTCAACCGGAACGAAAGAGATATTTGTGTATCTGTCCCTAGATTGCCGGACGAGAGCTTTTGATCCAGATGCTGGTGGAATCTTCAGGAAGATATTTGTACTGCCAACCTTTAGCCCGAGTTCAAGGGATCTTTTCTCCTCAAGCTGAGCGAATAGTTCAATCAAGATGTCGCATGTCAAAAGCGATCCGATGTTCTTTCCCACCGACCCATAATTACTACATGTGTTTTAAAATGAGCAATCGATCACCCCTGAATAACTGTTCGGGCGAGATATGAGGTTCAGGATATGCTAAACTTACTGAATCCCAACCACACTGTAAACTGTTCCCTGCACGCCCTCACGTTCTACGCAGACAGGCCCACCGCTGTGTCCCCCAAGCGTTGTAAGCCCATACTCGATTCGCCCATCCCCCACGGCTATGATTTTACCAAATGCATGGTATGGACCTGGACGTTGATTCCCCTCTCTGACTGGATACCCATAAACGGTCGCCCTAACCCCAATCAATTCTTCCTTGGGAATAAGCAGGCTGTAGCCAAAGCCACCGGGGTGCCCCCCGGAATATTTCACATCACCTTTACTAATCATGATAACGCCATAGTCGTTGACTCCGTTGGCAGCGTTTGGCATCCTCTCATAGCTTTGCGAGGCGAAGTACTGATTCTTGTCCCTGCGCACGGTGACGGGTGAGGACACGAAGAATTCAACATCGATGCTCTCCGCATAGACACCACTACTTGACACAAGGTTATGCCCGGCCGTCATTATGACATCCTTCTTGTACCTTTCAGGCAAGTTGATAAGAAACCCAGTACCCTGAGCTTTCACCGTACCCCCTGTGCACTATACTCAGCCCTGTACTGGTACCAATCATACAGACGGGGAATTAAAGATCCTACCTTTTTCAACAAAGGTCATTTCAAGACGACAAGTGCACATCATAGGCCCGGCGGTAGAGAGCAAATTGCTACCTTTCACTGCCATCTCCGCCTGCAATATCTCCCCAACCTGCACTCCGCCAAGCGCTAGGACATCCTGCCAGGGGCTCATTACTGTCTCGGTGGAGTCCAAGGTGATCGGGCGTGCGAGTTGCGCAGTTAAGGGTAGGTATGGAGAAAGATATGACTTTGGGTAGTGTTGGACAACAACTGGGGGAAACCGTAGAGCTTTGACTTGATGGGTCCCGTATATAGGATATATTTTGAGAGCGCGGAGTAGAGTGCTGTTGTTCAAGGAGATCTGCGGGCACTGTGTGCAGAGATAAAGTCTTCTCGGTCCTGGTTACTCGGCACCAAGGTTAGGACTAGCTTGTATACTGCAGGTGTCTGGCTAGAATAAGGTCCGTAGCGGGTGATACTTTGACACAAACAAAGGTTTAATTTAAGGGATCTAACATGCTTGATTAGGCACAGGGTTGATAAAGTCACGCATTAATTCCTAAGCAACTGACAAACCAATGGAAGAGCTGAAGGGTACGGGGCGAATGGCATGCATGTACAGTTGGTTAATAAGAAGCGAAGGGGAGAGAAAGAGAAGTAACAATTAAACTTTATGAACGCAATCACTCTCATAATTTCTCCACTTTCTCGTACGTACGTTAGGGAGGGAGTGGGGCAGTGGGGAGCGGGGGAATGGGGGAATGGGGATGCGGGTTATCCCAACTCGTGCATCACACGAGTCCTGGTGAAATAGCTTTAAGCTCAAATTTACTACTCGTAGTTTTTTGGCGTTTCCGGACGCAACTGCTATTGCATGCACAGAAAAGACTCGCCAAGGCTATCTTTTGTATGGCATGCAATAGCAGTTGCGTCCGGAAACGCCAAAAAACTACGAGTAAAGGTGAGACACTTACCCCCCACATATACTAAGTGTGCCTTGGAAAGCCCCGCACGACGGGGTCCTGGGGGATATTATATATATATATGTACATACATGACGAATAGAAAAAAGGGTAAACCCCCTCTTGGATCACCGTTGATTTCGAGTTGAGCTACATCACGCATACATTGAAATCATTGTCATCGAAGGGGGTCATATCTGCAGGTCGGTATGAAGTATACGGTGAAGAACACACAGTCAAGCATTCAACACTCCCCACCCCACCGGAGTGTACATATCAAGGGAGTCCAGTTCTCAACAAGCACAAGAGGGATCGATATTGTACTATTTGGACCCAATCTATATGTGGGACTCGATTTAGTTTCAATCTGTGGGCTGGAGGGAATTCTGCAGAACCGGAATAACTCTTATGATTCTGGAGTTATTAAACCCTCAATTACATGTTCCAAGCTGTGTATACTTAAATTAAAGCTAAATGATCTATCCCTTAGACGGTCAGGCCGGATATGAATGGGGATCACCAGGCGCATACAGCAGGTATGATATGTTGAACGCTGAAAAACTCATACTATCACGGTGAGATGATTATCAGATCGTGGCAAGCGGTACCAAACACCTCCAGTCATAGAGTTCACAATATCATACCTGCTATATGCGGCTGGTGATCCCCATTTACATCCGACCTAACCGTCTAAGGGATAGAAGAATGGAGATGCATACTAGCTTTTATGACATTATGCAGGCAGAACACGAAGTAGAACCGCCATACGATTACATATATCCAGCCTAGTACGTGCAACTTCAACTGAGTTTCATGAAGATTTGAAAGCTTTGAGGCATTAGATGGCTAGCTACTTGCGGTGAAATTAAGCATTGTCCCAATTGCGCTGGCAACTATTCAACCCCACCAAACTTGATCGAGACCCTATAAAACCACAACCAATAGCTAAAACCAAGTGTATTAAAGTCATAGTCATTTTCATGCTCAAAAGTAATTATCTCCTACTTTAATTATCATGGTTATGGTGGTGGTGGGCCTATGAACGAAATGGTGAGGTCGAAGGTTGCTATCGCGAGAGACAATACTTAATTTCACCGCAAGTAGTCATAGGTACACCTAGAAATTAAAAAGCAACCTCATCTCCATTCACATAGATAGCTAATAGTGAATATATAAACAGGTACCTAAACTACCTCATCCTGATTCTAACATGCGCTCTATCCCTTCTTTGATGAATGCGGATGGATCCGCGCCCTCCCAAAGCGGCCATCAAACCTTGCAAGCCATCCATTCCCGGTAATGGTGCCCAGCCACCGCCAGCATTGAAACCACCATTAAAGCCGCCACCAATACCAATACCGCCGCCAATACCAATACCAATACCGCCGCCAACCTGCCAATTGCCGCCAAGACCGCCGCATTCCTTACCGCCAAACGTTTGCACCTCACCATCTTTATTGATCTCACCTAGCCTTTGATGTGTACCGGTGTTATCAACCGCCATCAGATCGCCGGACTTTGTGCTGTAACAAATGCTAGCACTACCGATAAGTGCCAGGATGCGGACCGGAGGGGCCCCATCGGTGGTGTTGCCTAGGCTTGTGTCTAATGCAATGATAGGTCAGGAATGTCTATGCATTACTACTAGGCTTGATTGATGGGGCAGGGAGAATTTTGATTACCTGTCCAATCCCCATTCTGGTACGTGGATCGATGGAGTGATCCATCCTGGTGAACGTAGCTCAAGCAGAGGCTGTCATCAGTTGAGGCCACACATATACCTGCGCCAGCAATGGGCTTTGGAACCGAAAGCTCCTTGGATGGTTCCCAAACAATTAAAGCGTCGCAGGTAGCTTCTGCAATTCCTCCGGAAGGGCATTGGTAGTAGAGACGAACAAACTCATCGTGTATGGTGATAGCTAGCTTTGATTCAGGATGGGCTTTGATTTTCAAACTCGAAAGTGATCCGTCCTGCCACTCATCCTCGTCGGGGTCGTATACATGGTCCTGGAGAATCCCCGTCTCGTCAAGCGAAACAATAACTCCCTTGAAATAGTCAGCCTGTGTAAGAATATTGATTGCACTACCGGAGATGATGTTTAGAGTAGGGCACTGACCTTTGGATCTAGAAAGCAAGCTGCCGCCGCAGTCCCTGCCTTAGCGGGACCTAGGATTTTAGGCAAGGACCACTGCTCATTGGTCAAGGTCTTCTCGATGAGGGTATTCTCTTCCGTCTGGTACACATGATGAACTGACTCGCCATTCGGCGCCGATGCAAGAGCTCCAAAGAGGGTGGAAGACATATCTGAAGTCAGTGAGGGAGGACTTCAAGAAATAATGTGGAGCTAAGAGATGAGAGGGAATTTGGGGGGGGGGGGTATGAGGTGCCCTTTAACGGCCCTTAAATGTGGTTATGGTCGTCGGGGGTCTAGATTGAAGAGGGTATATTCAGTGATGATCTCGTGCGATTTCTGCACAAGATAAACGGTACGAGGCCCTGGTGGTACGGGCGGCAAGCCCACGAAGGCAGCCAGAGAAGCTAGGAGCTAATAAATCTGAAGGCCATTGGTAGTAAGTACATGTAGTAGGTGGTGGGCGTTATTGGATTCAAGAACTTGTGACCCTGTCACTCTGGTAATAGATGTTACACAAGTTCATATCTATGTGACTACCGGCTTTCTATACACATGAGCTATAGGTGAGGGATTTTATTTTCATTGTTCTGATATAAAGTGTGATATTCAATGGTGATATAGCTTCAGGGCGAGTAAACGTTCATACTTCGGGCCTGCGGATTGGTTCTAGCGTGAAATCAAGCACGGAATTACCAAACAAGGGAAATACAGGAGGGCCGCTAGATTGATATATGTTTACATTTTCCTTGCGGTCAGGTTCAAAGGCATTCAGCATAGCCACATTGGATTGTTGCTGCTTTCCTTATACAGAGCTGTTTCGTTACGAATACAACAACGATAGCGATCTCGTTAATAGGTCACCTGATTATCTCGATTTGCTAGGGCGCTTGTACTTGCGGTGAAATTAAGTATTGTCTCTCGCGATAGCAACCATTGACCTCACCATTTCCTTTATAGGCCCACCAACCACCACCATAACCATGATAATTAAAGTAGGAGATAATTACTTTTGAGCATAAAAATGACTATGACTTTAATACACTTGGTTTTAGCTATTGGTTGTGGTTTTATAGGGTCTCAAGTTTGGTGGGGTTGAATAGTTGCCAGCGCAATTGGGACAATACTTAATTTCACCGCAAGTATGCATGTATAACCCCCACGAATGAGGATCGTCTGGGTGTGGGTGTGAGTGTTATGAAACGTGCCGCGTGTATAAGCATATCATATGTATATATTCCGATGCAACCACCGTGCGCAGCGCGAAGATCGGCCGTACGACTCAACACTAACCGCATATCATGTGCCAAACTTCAAACCTCGAATTCACCCCATAATGCCGGTAGTAGGTAATACAGTTCCAATCAGTCATAGAAATTATCCCTGACGGAAGGTATAAACGTATATATCCTTTTCTACCTAAGTGGCACGAGTACACAGCGCTTTCTGCAACCTCGCTGTCCGGAATCTAGATGCCCTGATCAATTCCTCTGAGATCGACTTTCAGGAATTAAATTTTTTAACAAGCGGTCGCACACGAGTAGAAATTTCTAAAGAGAGATCCTTAATAATACATTTGGTGCCCATGCCTACTGCATATGATCGGGCAGATTTATACACAAGTTGCAGGAATACTACTAATTAGTACGCGCAAATATACCTCAGTCCTGCTTTGGACCTTACCCCCCGAGATCCTTCTTATACAGTACAACCCAATTAACTTCCTTCAAGGCATGTGGAACGGTCTCGGCACCCTTGATCTCCTAGCTTTCTATTTGACGAAGACTCGAGTAGGAAGTATTTGATCTTATCATCTATGGGCCGGGACCCTTGTGCGCTTAGGATCGTTACTGGGGGGGAGACGCAGTATGCATACCTATATTGATTGAAGTTGCTAAATGTAGCTGTATATTTTGAATCGATTAATCTCGCATTGGTTCTTGGGAGTGATCATGAAGGGAACCAACCAAAAGGGCCGGTGATGTATGAGTATTATTGTTTCTAAAGAAATGTTCTTTGGATCCGTCCAGCTGATCAAGCGATTGACTGCCAAATTCACGACGGGCAATCTCGATTAGCACCCGGGTAGATTTCAAATAGTCGTCGACGCTGGTTCAATTAGCCTCAATGCTGCATGTCCAGTCCCCGAGTTTAGGATCAAGAATGGTGAATTGATTTATAAAGGCTTATGTAATATAATTGTCCAAGACAACCAAAAGTCCAATATCATTAAATATGCATCATACCGAAATCTATCTCATGATCATGTCAGCTAGTATCAACTTTGGTATCCATTCAACATCACACTTGTCTTCTTCTTCATTGTGCACCACTCCCCAAGCATCTTACGCCACGCCACGACTAAACCTTAACCACGATATTTGAGAAATAAATCCCATGAGTAATATTTTCGACAGGATTGACGTCTACGATGAGGAGTCGACTCCTGCGGCCATTGTCGATTACATCGCAAGTAATCAGGGCTGTGTCAACGACAAACGGCATGACAATACAACACCCCTACACCTGGCAATTTCCAAGAAGATACCTAAGATTGTTGACGCCCTTCTCAAGCATCACGCAAATCCAAATAGTCAGGACGGCAATGGACAAACCCCGCTACATCTCGCAATCTCTATAGATGAGCCTGTCATCGTTAAATCCCTCCTTGGATGCCAATCAGCAGATATCGACTCCCCGGACAATCATGGACGAACCCCGCTATGGCTATCGGCGAGAACGGGGGACATTGAGATCGTCGAGGCTTTGGTGGAGAGAAATTGCAGCATCGCAGTACGATGCCGTACTTGCGAGCTGACTCCGCTTCACATCGCTGTTCAGAATCGACATCATGACATAGCACGATATCTCATCGAAAAGAAGGCAGATCTCGAAGCAGCCGACGCAGAAGGCGAAACACCATTGTTTAAAGCTATTCGAAATTGTGATTTCGAGATGGTGCACATCTTGAAAGGGGCTTCGCGAACGCACCAACGAAAAGACGGCAAGACCATCCAAGCACTATCTGACGATGGAGCGTTCGAACGGACGGTGCAAGAGACTTACGGCGGTTTAGATGAATATGTTAAAGTAAGACAGCATAGAATAACAAGTTCTTCATGTTCCCGTCACCCTTTCTCAGTGGCTAACATACCTGTGCGCGGAAAGAAGTACCCTACATCACCGAGAAACTCCAAGGTGGATAGGCACGAGAACAGCAAAGACGAAGATGAGGAACGAAAGCCTGCGGCATCCACTCAAAAAGATAAGGACCACTCGACAGGAGTTAGCAACCCTCCGGCAGTAGTTAGCAACTCTCCAACAGGAAGCGATCCCACACCAAAGAACTCCACCGATGCCCCTCCTAATCCATACCTTGATTCCCTTGTGACTCATATCACGAGAAACGGCCTACAGAGGCTATTCGGTGGAGGTGATGAGAGACAGCTAAGGAATCACCTGCGAGCCAACGCCGAACAAGCTGGGGCCCTGGCAAACGCTATCGGCATTAATCATGGAAGCTTAGCTGCGTTTGCGCTATTGACAATCTATGATGTAGCGATATTAATTGGTAAGTACCGCTCACCACGCCGCAAAGCCCTTGAGTGCACGCCGTCTAACACGTCCTGGTGACCACAGACGACACCAGGTCGATGACGTCAAATGGGAGGGTAGCGATCAACAATCTTATGGGCTTCCTGACGGCTCTTATCCGCATATATTCCCACTGTGGTACAGGTGAACAGGGTAAAATTCAAACAATTCGGTTTCTCAACGGGAACGAAATTGCAGATCATATCGACGAAGCGGGTATCACAAAATTGTTAAAGATCCATGATTATGCTGGGCACAGGAGAACCGGAAATCAGTTGGAGAACAAAATACTCAAGCCATTGATAACCAAGGAGATGAAGAGACCACTCCTTGTTCTTGTCGTTGTGAATGGACAGGTGGCATCCCCATGATATAATAGCTAGGCTAATCCGCATTCGCCAAACATTGTCTGATGCAGAAATACCACGAGTTAGGCTTTCGGAGAAGTGACAGGCAAACTATCAGCTGTCTTACATGACTGGATATCCCAATTGAAGTCCTTCCCTGGTGGCGAGTCATGTTAGTTATACCCGTTCAGATTATTCTCAAATCGACTCGTGGTTTCCTGTTCGTTAACATCTCCTGTGTTGTATCAGCTGTCTTCTTTCAGTTTTGTGACGCTGGAGGGAACGGAGAAGCAGCAAAATTGGTTGCCGAGTTGGAGAAGAACCAAGAGATAAGACCACATATTCATTGCGAGCCAGGTGAGGGAAACGTATCTCAAATATGTACATCGCTGATACCTTTCCAATAGATAACCTTGGTATTGCCTTCGATGGAAGTTCTTTCAGCAAGGACATGTTGGATAAGGTACTTTCCTGCCCATATCTATCCTGAATTCCCCAATCTTTGCCAATGCTTGAAATGGCTAAATCAACTTCTCAATCTCGGTACAGATAGCAAAGGTTACGCTAAGCGGACTTGCTCGTGAGGTAACTATCTAGCCATAATTATCTTGGCGAAGCCACAGAAAGTATATATTCTAACGATAATTAGTAAGGACATTAATTGAGGCTCGACATCTCTTATCGAAATAAGGGGAGGGGGAAGATGGCGCTATCTGGTCCTAGCATCCCCAAAAGAGATGAACAATACATCATTTGATACATTTCCAGAGCACACTTGAGAGCAAACACACATCTAGCTACATAAATCGTTTATAAAAAGGATCTGCGGTAAATAAAATTACCACTACATAGAGCCCAGGTACACAAACGGTTTTTTACTGAGACGCGTGTTGGTAAATGTGAAGTGCATACTTGTGTATATATGCTCATAATTTCATAGCGTTTCCGAACACGACAAATATTACATGATGGCATACAAAAAGGTGTATTTGGCGCTTTTCTGTCAAGAAATTAGTAGTACATGTATATATGCGAGATCTACTGTTGGCAAAAAGCATCAATTTATGTATTTTATGCAGAAAGGGATTGGACCCAAGTCGTCAGCTCTCGGTACTCGCGTATAAGTGTACCTACACAGCGCGACAACACGGCGGCATATGAAAGTGGAAAAATTGTGGCTGCAATAGGGCCTCATGAGCCAATAAGGGGGCCACTTTGCTGCATCACTGCCACGGCTCAGTCAGGTTTGCTTTTTTGGGGGTCCAAACAGGTACAGTCGCACCTCGCTATGCCGGATGGCCAAGATTCACTAAATCTCGTGCGGGATAGCAAATATTCCCAAGAAATCCGGGGTAGCAAATTGATTTCGCGGTGAGAAAATTGAAATCCCCCAGGATTTCGTACGGGACAGTAAGGGATCCGGTGTATTGAGATCCGGCATATCGACTTGCGACTGTATCCCTTAACCTGTCGCGAAAATGCTGCCACCAAGAAAAAGCACATTTTGTGATAGTAGATCTCTCATACAAATCTAGCTTAAGGGATAATACTGCATATTCCACTTTATTCACTCTTGGCGCTTTTCACATACACGAACAACCTACCGCAAAACCTCGAGAAGTTCGCTAGTTCAGTCCAAGGATTATCTCTCAAGTGATTGGTTGGATGGCATCGATCCACGTCAGATGTTTCCCATAGAAGTAATTTTGATCTCACGGAGCTAGCAAATTCTTCGCGTTTTTGCGGTATTTCAATCTCTTATACCGCAAAATCTCAGGAATAACGAATCGAACTGGACTGGAATATTGGCCTTCGGATTGGTCAAATGCTTGTTGAGCCTCAATCCCACAGACCCAAAGCGTAACTTTTGGTCATCTTGACCAATGGGTAAGTGGTATTCCAGCCCAGTCCGATTCGTTATTCCTGAGATTCTGCGGTATATCTTCGTAACCATGATAGATATTAAGTCACTTTGTTCTTCATCATTTTTGTTCTTTAAGACCGGCACCATATATACACCGGACGAGGAGCACCCCCGAGCCAGCCCAATGCCCACGTGCCATTGCAATGACCACGTTGCCCGGGTGCTCTATTTGTATGGCAGAGCGGCGCCACTGAATACAAATAATCCCTGTAATCGCCACTTGCATGTTCCTGTTCTTTTTCTGGACCCACTCCTAGTTGAAATTTTGGACTGGACTGGGTCTGCATACCACCAAAAGATGGTTGTCATACAGGCTCTACTTCCATATGCAGACTCAGTCCAGTTTGGAAACGTTAAAAAGACTACGGCCCGAACGGCAGGACCTGCAGATGCGCGGACAGGGGTTCAGACGAGAGAGTATTCTATGCATACGCAAGGAGAGAGATCTACATACTCGTAACTTCCTGACGTTTTTGAACGCGGGGTACCCGCACAGCCCCGAGTACAATAGTTCAGTGCGGGGTATGTATTTACATACGTAATGGTGTCAAATCAGAATCGAGTGAGGTTTTATGTCTCGGTTGTATACATGTAGTAATCGAGGCTTCGAGGGCTAGATAGCTGGATCTGAGAACCAATGGCCCATGGATGATATATGGGAATATGATCCTCTGAGCATTGATCAAGGATATAATGTATATACGCAGACTTATCTTCTTGGAATTAAACTGGAAATTGTTTGTTCGTGGATTCCTAATTCGTGGTGACTAAAGACTCTCATGACAGAACCAATTAAAACGTTAGGTTACTTTATAAACTATGGCTGGTTTTATTTTGCACCAGGGAAAGATCGCATCCTACCTGATGGCATCCTACCTGCAAGAATTATAGAACCAAAAAGAAGATAGGTACTCTACCAATACGGAGTTTCACAAAACTCTCGAATTCATCGGAGTTTTAACTATTGTACCGTAGTAATACCGTAGCAATACCGTAATCTTGCAGTATTCTCCCAGGTATGGTACTGGATCCACCCGCTTCTTCGGTACTGTGGTTGGCCATGGATGATACATGGCCGGTAATACATGATTGCCGCCTTTTCTCTTTTAACCCGCAATACATTAAGTATGTACACAGTCTAAACATCCTTCAATCTATCAATAAATGTGTTTTAATACGCATCCAAGATGTGCATTGGGCCTACGGGCGCTAGATTAAGATGCACAAACCATCTGTTGAAGTACATGTTGCTTGGAGGAAGTGTACGTTGTTTAATCTCATGAAAAACCAAGCTAAGAGAGTATAGTAAACATGATATTTCAATTGCGCCTCCACTATAACCTACTCCTCACCAGGCACCAGTATCCAGAACATAAGAAAGAGTGGAATAAATAATGATCGAATATCAATCTTATCAATTCGTATATCGTATAGACCCATATATAACGATCACATCAGTCAAATATCCTTGAAAGGGGCGGGCGGCCTGCTAGAGAGGAGTCGCAGGTAATTCTGCGACCTGTCTGTGGCCCTTTTCTTCCGTGGCCTTTTCTTCCGCGGCCTTTTCTGCCGCCGCCTTTTCTGCCGCGGCTTCTTTAAAAATTTCTTCCACTGTTCTCGCAATCCTCTTCAGCACTGTACTTGCGGCATTCTCATTCATCGTCGCGAACTTGCAAATGCTTAGGTGATCGCCATCAAGGGGGACAGTTCTTTCGTTTTGGAGATTCATCCGGGCAGATCCTTCGTCGACAATCTGATACAAATCTTAGTTACATGATATCTGTTGGGGGGATTTCGTTCGGGAACTGCAAGGGAGTATATAACGCACTATATGATCACCTAAAGCCTTGGTCTCGAAGAATGTTGTGATCTTTAACCTCGGAGCCCTGTCAACAAAGTTTGTAGCAAGATCCATGAGCGTGCCGGACCATGTCTTGAAGTCGTCCGAAGACCTTGCATTTAATTGTAGACCGGCTGATAGTCTCCCAAGGAGACCGGCCCACACCGCCAAGTCGCCTCCTGCGTGGGGAGTTCCTAGAAACATTATGGATTTGGTACTATCCACTATTCCAGGGTACTGATATGATTTGCTGAAGGCCAGGTTTAAGGACTTTTTTTTTATTTACTTGAAGTATAAGCTCATGCATGCTCAGGCTGTGTGCTTTAATTCAGAATTGTCTTTGGAGTGGTTTAACCAGCTTACCGCTTTGATCACGAGCCCACCAAGTGAATGGCAAATGAACAAGATTGGACGATAGGACTAGACTCAAAGTTAGCACGCCATTATCCGAAACTAATGTTTATGGCTATATGTTTAATACCCCGTCAGGCGAGGTGCGGTCCGAGTCCGCAAGATGGTTCAGGAGTTGCTCTGAAAAGGTATGCAGTCTGCCACTATTCTCGTACGCGTTTTGCGTGAATACGCCTGATTGATACCCAAAGGTCATAACACGAGACTTTATGTTGTGGCGACTCAGAAGGTACTGTGGAAGGAAGTCGCGAAGCCAGAGTTTGTCAGACTTCGTTTCTGTCCAGGCTGAGTACGCATTTTCGGCAAGTCCATGTATCGCAATAATACTGAGGAAATAAATGATTAGTTTTAAACGCCGCCTGGCTAGACGAAACTGGGTTTTTAGGTTCGTATAGCTTACTCCACTTGGGCATCATGCCCACCTCCCTCGCCCGGCGGGTACAATTGGTGAAAGCCTATTGTATGATCCTTGATACCAAGCGTTAGCTCATATTGCGTATATGTACACTCTTCTTGATTCAGCTCATATCAGAGCAACCGTACCGGTACGTTTGTACTGAAAGTGTTCTTTGACGGTGTGGGCTTCGTAGCCGGTACTTGTTGTTGAACGGGATTCTGTTGTGGTGCTCCAGTGCCGCCTGCTGTTTGTTGGCCGGAATTCCAAGTGTTTTCTGTGTTGGGTCTCGCCGGTTGTCTATTGTCCGGCATCTGTCCATAATATTAGCCCGGGACATTGTAAGCGTTACCGAGAGGGGGCGACCCTTGCTCTCGTGCTGAGGGCGATGGCAAGGGCGAGGGCGAGAGCGAGGGTGATAATAGGCTGGTAGCTGTATACGTTGGGAACGATATAGAAGACTCTACGTGACCAACCTCTCCAAGTAGATTCGGGATGAATGAACCAGGTCCAATTAATGGTTTTTCACCTCTCCTATTATGTCGACTTCGCACACCCAGAGGAAACATTGCTGATTTCTAGCGCGTGAATAATAATGATTGTTGGGCTTCTAGTTTAATTGATGGCTGAATGATATGATATAGTGTTAGGTGGTTGACAATCCTCATGAGCTATATATATATAATACCTCTGTATAACCTTGAGGTATATATAGTTATATAGTCTCTCGAATTAAAAATCTCAAGCTACGGGGGCTCGCAAGGTTTGTTCCCACTAGGCAGTAACGCGTTGAGCCTTAAACAAACCTGCAGCCTGAGAGCGTCCAGCACTTCATTGTTTATTTCGGCAATTTAAAGTTTAAAATGAGCTACAGCCAAGTTAGACTCATTGATTAGAGACTTTTAGCCAGCAACAAAAAATCCACAAACGAAAAATTATTAATTCCCAAGACCATTCTGCTTGCGTTAGTTCCTTGGCCCGCATAGTCTCAAGGTTACTCCGAGAGGGGCATCTTAGGCATTGGGATTGAAAATATCTCTAGGCGTATCCTTAAGTCTTGCAGTCGAAAATATTATATCACATCCAACTTGCATCCAATTTGCATGTTTTGGAAATCTTGGGAATAAATAATCTTTTTGTTCGTTGCTTTAAGGTACTGGCTAAAAGTCTCTATTGCAGTCTTGAGATTCTGCTATTATATTTAATTTAGTCCTCCATTTCTGCAATATATCGTCATATATGCACTGCATAATACATCTGCGCCACATGACCATTTATATACTAAGAATTAGAAATATGATAAAGGATATTGGTTGCCAACAATATTGCATCTGCATCAAGGTGCTCTAGGTTAATCTGCAGCATCATTCAGGTATATATGACATATTCTTACTCAGCCAAACGCGGGTAGCCATTAATCATGTCGTCTTGAATGCATGAAGCCAGCCCCTCAGACCCCCACGAGGTCATCAATCAGAGGTTAATCCGAGTCTCGATTTTCACAATATTTTCCGATATGCGCAGTTTATGATGGAGGTCCTATGCCGGCAGAAGACTGGACAGGAATCAAGGTAACAGCGGACGGTTCAGGATCGATCGAGTCGAGTGGTATAGTCTGCGCATGAAAGCTTTGCGCCATGTCACCACTGTCTATGCTGATTGTACTGTACGACCACGTCAAAATCTCAATTATAAAACGTCAAGATGAACTTCCTATTGGCAGTACTTTCAGATACGCCATAGTCATCTTGTCATTTTGATCAAAAGCCAACCTTCCACCACTACTAGTACCTACATATCTTTCAATATGAGCCTTTACTACGTGTACTTGAGATGGTACAAGGAGAAAGATAGTAGATGTGGACAATGGGCGCGTCAAATTCTCACCTGCGAGTCCCGTTACGTTGCGGACGAGTTCTTTCGAGCATGCAAGGAGCTCAAGGACACTCGGGGGAGGTCACGCTTCACAAGGCTTGAACGCAACAATCCACAGTTCTGGCTATACGATACTACCGACGGCGATCCATGGATGTCCCTCTTCGATATATTGGGAGCGAATCTCGGTATGCCGGATTCAGTCAAGGGGAGGATAATGCCAACTCTTCTTCATGATGGTCCCAGCCGGATATGGGATGCTGCTCCTGTAATTCCTGGGCGAGATTGGGTTCACAATTGCTCTTACTTCATTCGCAATATACGGCAGCCCGAGCTCTACTGGTCCCTCGATCCTTCATCATCCAATATCCTGGTCTCGGACAAACAAAAGACGAAATTTCGAGTTTCTGCGGTCCAGTTTGGGCGTGATGACAAGAACAAGGTTCTGACCCGAAGCGATATTGTCCGTCTATCCCTTCCCAACAATCCTGCCGCTGTGGGAGCTACAGCCCATGTGCGAGTCGCAACAGATAGTGGTGTGATCTGTGGGGCGGATGCGGGGGAATTTACGTTTCGATTTGGAGATCTGCTTGGCAACTTTGGAAGCAAATGGGCTGCACATCCGGCCGGGGATGCCCGCGAGTTCCTAACCTGGAGCGAGCAGGGTGAGCAGGATGACTGGGAGCTTTGTTAGGCAATTATGTATCATATAGCATCAAGTGTTTTGGATGTTCCAGATTTGAATGGTCTATCACGGAAAATATCTGTCTTAGCATCGTTCATGCAGTTTCAGCGGTCCCCACAGTTCTTCCCCAATCATCATAAAACATATTGAAATGATAACCTATCACGCTCTGAATTACGTGGCCATTAATTGACTGTGAACGTGAGCACTGTGGTGTTCAATGGATCTATAGGGTGCAAGGTCGACTCTCAATCCGAGAATATGATCAATAAGAAAGTGTGGGTTGAATCTTTTAGTCAGACTCCCATTCCATACTGGTATAATCAATAGGGGAACAGGTATACAGCCTCTAATCTTTCTCTGTTGTGGTTGAGCGGAAAGGATTTGAAGTGACACAATCTTGGTAGGGAACCAGGTTAATTTTACATCCCCCCTGTCAATCACCAGCAGGTAACACTAGTTTTGTGGTACTCGTTTCTAGTAATGGCTCGCGACCGCGAGTTGACCTTGGATTGTGAGTATCAAATAATTATGGAAGGCCTTCAATGGGGGCCTTCGGCCCCCCCATTCCGCCTCCTCAGTTTAATTTCTCTAGAATTATGAGGGGCTTTAGGCCCCGTGAGTGCTCAGTACCGGGTGTTGACGGTAAATGATCAGAATCTGATAAGTGAATGCTGCGGTGAATACGTGTATTTGTCATCAGATTCTGATCACTTTTCGCTACACCCTAGTACTTTGATGTGTCGTGCTTAGTAAACACCCCTGCGCCCGACATCCAATCAGCTGCCAGACCGTTTGAAAAATCGTTAATCTACTCTAGTACCAGATATTAGATAGTAGATAGTAGATAGTAGATAGTAGATAGTAGATAGTAGATAGTAGATAGTAGAAGACTACATGTAGTAATGGGCCAGCTCGCGACCGCGAGTTGTACTTTGGGTTTTGAGTATGAAGTAATTGAGGAAGGCCTTCTATGGGGGGACCGTCGGCCCCCCGCCTCACCTCCTGCTCTCTCCAATCCAAATTTTCCTCTAGAATTATGGCCCCGTCCTCCTACTCCCCTTCCGTGAGTGCACAGCACTTTGATGTGTCGTGCTTACTAAATCACCCCTGTCGCTGTCGACCAATCAGGCCCGGACTGAACTGGGTCTGCATACCACCCATATGCAGACCCAGTTCAGTCAGGAAACGCCAAAGAATCTATTAGGAGGTTTAGCAAGCACGACACACCAACGTTGGAAGCGGGTCATTTCTATATATACTGGACTGAGTGCATCAGATTCCGCTGGAGGCCGTAACTGAGAGAACTGATATTGCAAGTACTGGAGCTGGCAATGGAACTGGCGATGGGCGACTGGGAAAGCTCGGCAACTACTATGCTGGAGATACATCATTACTACATAACTGAAAGAGCTGGATCACTACCCCATTTGCGGGAGCTGGCCAGGTCAATGCGGTGGGAGCTGGCTATGAGATGGCTAAGGCAAAAATTAATTAACTACCGGAGGTGGTCAAATACTACACGGAGGTGGTCAGAGGTGATCAACTACTACACGGAGGTGGAAAAAATTCTCATGTGGGAGGACCTCGCGGTCGCGAGGTAGGCCACTACTACTCTAGTAACGAGTACTCTAAATACTCTGCAGGTAGGTGTAGGATCTGCATCCCCGAGCTTCTTGTCGACGACGATCCTATAGCTACTACCGATGGTTGGTGGGCCCTGCAGGTATTAATGCACTGGCAACGCATATGCTTGCTCCGGCGTAGCCTGCTCATGGGACCGTCGAAGGTTCAGAACTGCGCGCATGCGCAGGGTTGCGCAGAAGACCAATGATATCTTTGTATGGAGAATTAATTGCCTCCATTACTGCATATTTAACCCTCATTGGACATGTTTGCCACGCGAGTGGGTGGTTTCCAAATAGGCTGGGTGCGCATGATTGCTATATGGGTTGCGTGATATAGGCCAAACGCGGGGAGACCCTGCGCAGACAACCAAACATTCTGCGGGGACCACTAGAGTCGTGGTAATTAAGCCACAGCCCTTCGACAGCTGAATTCAGAAATCACCAAGTAGACTAATTCTCCTGATTTCCACTCCTGGGGCTTTTTTCTGTGCTACACATTCTTCATCAGGGTCATTGATATCACATTCACCACAAGTCCCGGCATTTGTGCGCACAAGAAGCATGTAAAGGCAAGGATTAGTTGAGGTGTTTCTTTTTCGAAGAACGTTGGGTTGATACGAGCGCGAGTGGTTCTTCGTGAAGGCATTGCGCTGCTATTGAATCGCAGCCTCTGTCGACGATCATGTAGATGTACATGTGGTGTGCTTTTATGAAAATGAGACTCTCCGCGACCAACCCACCCCCCATGTATAAATCCGCCAAGTGATGATAAAGTAGGTGAAGTATATGCGGAACCCCTCAAAAATAATTCAGCATGCTTCCAAGACTTCAGTGGGGCCGAAAATCTATAGCTAGGGGGAAAAATGTGGTGTAGTTATTCTCGGCGATTAATGACGATAAATGTAACGCCAAGGTCTAGTTTTCACAAAGACACACTCATGTATACATGTAGCTAGGAAATTCAGATGGTTACTCGATTGGTTGCAGTACTGCGAGTTATCGGGAGAAGTGGGACGCAGTAGGCTTCGACGCAATTAACGGTCTTCCAACGATGACTAACATTGATATAGAGGTTCAAATAAAACGAATAATAATAATGAGAGGATATACAAACATTCATCAATACTTGATATTGGTGTTTTTTGGTGGTGTGGTTGGGTTCATGTGGCTCTGTTCGTTGTCCCGTTGTTGCGTCCCGGTATATTATTTGTGATAATCCGTAATATTTCCAGGCCTTGCTTACCTCTCTGTGCATGTGGTATGTACATGCAAACCTGCTCCTACGCAGATCTTAATTCTCAACCCGCACACTACTCCCCGCCTTCAGCGCTCCCGTTCTCAATCTTAAGCCGACCTCAAGAGATAAGGCCTTCCCCTTAAAAGAGAGCCATATCCGCTATTGAAACAACTCAACCAGGACCAGGACCAGTGAATTCTTATTCTGACCCTGCCGAACACACTTCGGTATTCACACAAATATCTCGAATTGACAAACTCTCAACAATTATGGCCGACTATGTCGATAGTGAACATTTCAATGTGGACGTATGTAGCCCTTTCCTGCTTGATAGTGTCCTACCTTCTGAATCCGCGATATAGCCGGACACCTATGGGCTTCGCACCCTGTACCCTCCCGAAGGAGAAGACCGGTCTATACTAGTCGAGTAAGTAGTCGTCGCACCAATAACTGAGCCGCGAGGGGCTATCCTCAAGTATAACCCAGTACTGATAGATCTTGATACTCAGCATTGTCGCCGTTCACGGACTTGGTGGAGACGCCATTCAAACCTGGACCGCAACCAACGGTTCTGACTCTAAATTGTGGCTTTCCGATATACTTCCGGGTGTCCTGAAGAAGGATATTCTTACCAGCGATTCTTCGTACGTGAGGGTTCTCACGTTTGGATATGACGCATCCATCTTCGTACAACCCGCGGAGGCCAACACCAAACGCCTACAGAATTTTGCATCAGCTCTTCTCAACGGACTCGATGATGACGATTTAAGGCAAGATGAGGATGTAGGCAGATTCCATACTAAGATAGGCCGAAACCTTCACTGATCTCTCATAGAAAAATCGACCCATCATATTTATAGGCCATTCCTTGGGTGGGCTGGTTATTAAACAGGTAATAAACCGAAACCACCCAACTGAGATCGTTTATATTCCAATAGCTATTGCATTTGCTCATGTTGTAGGCTCTGAATATAGCACACTCCAACTCAACACTTGGACACATTCTCGCCAGTACTAAGGCCATTCACTTTTATAGCACCCCCCACGCAGGAGCAAATGTAAAAGCTTGGGCTGAGGTGCTTGGGAGAATGTCCGGGAGTCTGGGGATGGCTGGTACGTCTCAGACCGCCAAGGCACTGGGGACCTGGTCTCCGGAGCTGCTGGATCTTTCAGACGCATTCACAGAAAGAGCAACCGGCATAGCTATAACGACATTCTACGAAACGATGGCAGAGCCAGGAGGCGTGATGGTAAGAATGTCAAACCCCTATCATGTGCTCACACTGATTCCATGACTTGCAACAGGTGGTGGACGAAGGCTCAGCAAGGTCGGGCCCTAGCGGAAGTCGAATTGTGCCCTTAAACAAGACCCATCGGGAAATGTGTAGGTTCATGACGCTCAATGACTCAAACGGTAAAACGATCCTTCAACGTATGAAGGCCGATGTCCGTACCATCTACAAAGCAGCCCTTAAGAGTCAGGGATAGATAGACGAAAGGTACTTACGCTACCATTACTCTATGCCTACCTAGTAAACTAACATGGCAGAGGTAGGGTTTACAAGGGAGTGTTGCTTTAGAGGTATATCTGGTGCAACTATAAGGCACACAGCTTTATATCTTGGTTGTATACGTCTCGTGTGGGTTTAGGCGGCGAACTGCGAGGATTGTTTCAATTAGGGAGCTAGAAAACATAGCAACTAGATTCAAAAATAAATATCATTTTCGTGTGGGAGTAGCTAGTTCTCTATGTACTTGAACCATTCTCCATTGGAAAAGGCCAACCACCAATAAACATCGCAGGTCTGTAATCTCGCAGTCCTAGGCTCTTGAGTAATGACATACGACTAGAGAGGATTTCGTCCGTCAAGACACCATGAAAAGTGCTTGATCAAAGCTAGGCTTCAGAGCATGTGCGCAGAAAGGAATGTAGGTTGAATTCGCCTTATGCAGTCCTCATAGGTGAGGCTTTCAAAAATGTGTTCCCTTTGGTAATTGACTCATTGAATCTCGCTCAACCCACTCATAAGGAACAATTCTATGGGGTCGAAGAAGAAGCATCAGAGATCAAGGAAAAGAAGGAAAAAGGAAGGGTCGGGGTTTCACGCAAGTTGATTGATTGATATCCATTAACTGTTTGCAACAGGTGCCTTGCAGCTTAAGAAATAGATCGATCGCGTTTTACTACAGATATGGCCTAACTACTCTCATATAGATTTGAGTACATCTTCTTTGAGTAATTTGTTTGATCTACCCCCCGCGTATCGCAAAATGCACTCTGCCTTGCAGTCATGAATGAGCCTGTGTAACTGGAGAACTAGATTAGCACGGGGGTAAGATCAAATAAAGAATGGGCGGTATTTATATGGTTGGTCGGATTGTACGGTGGCACCGGCTATGTGATCTAACTTCGAGCTTGTCCGGGTTATCCGGCTATTTAGGAGTGGTGATTTAACACCAAATTTAAAGGTACGTATATTAACCCTGAACTGAAGTAGCAAGGCACAAATAACTGTAAAACAAAAATCGTCAGTAAATACATCGCTCTTACCACTACCTTATGAGCAAAGTCATCTGTAAACTAGTTTCCCCACACCATACCTTTGCATGTGTATGTGCATGAATCAGTAAATATATATAAGGAAATTATACGACCCTACATACATCATTTACTCAACCTGTAGCAACCCTAAAACTATCAGGAAAATATCATTTAAGAATAGGTACTTTATGGCCCGAAGGGGTATTTTTATAAGGGTTATATAACGCTGAAATAAGGCTTATTTAACCGTTTTTGCTCGCATATTGCTTATTCCGTTTTTACGTCTCCAGTAATAGACTCGGACCAATAATCATTATCTCAAATAAGGATTATTTCGGATTTTAAGGCTTTTTCGGGTTTTAAGGCTTATTACGGATTATAAAGATTATAAGGCTTATGTCGATTTTTAAGGATTATTTTCAAATAAAGACAAAAAGAAAAAGGCGGGGGGTTGAACCCAGAGCCTTGCAGGTAGCATCTACCTCATGCTACCCACTGAGCCATAGGAGAACTGAAATTCCGGTGCTGGAAGTAATATGTGGCCAATATAATGCGAATTTTTAAGCCTGATACAAACATTACCCACCGAAAAGCCTTAAAAAGGCCTTATGTGATGAATAAGGGAGATCTAGTATAAAGGCTTAAGCTATTTGATAATAATTATCTAAGTTTAATAGTTATTCATAGAATAAGCCCTATATGTGCCTTATTTTGCATCAACCCTTACCCAGTAAAGAGCCTTATATCAAATTAACACCACCACCACCCTTTTTCGTCAAAAAGCGCTTAATTAAGCATTATTTGACAGTAAATCGTTACTGGAGGCTTATAAAAATACCCATTCGGGCGGTAATGTAACTCCACCCGCAATTGAACACAGACCATTTCATGACTACTAACTGTCTGTAACCCCTGTACCATGTAATCTGATTAATTCTAGACATCATTATAGAAAAACTCCTCTTTCACGACTCTACGGACAATTTTAGATATTGGTTAACAGGGGTTAAGTCATCCACAGATACATTTACATGGTGCACCGACCAACCTCATTTGTATGGGGAAAGGAGTAAAGATACATTTACTAAACTATTGGATAGGAACTCAATTTCCACGAGATCATTAATCCTACACGTATCCAGGACCGATATATCAATACCAAGCAGGTGTCGGTGGTGATCGAATGCCGCCTTGTTCTAGTCAAATACACCATGACACAGGGGCCAGGCGCCCGCAAATTCGGCGAATTCTCGATTTTTTTCCGAGGGTCAGGGTTCTCGTTGCTAGCTCCGATCGGTTAAAATTGTACTGGCATCCTGCTTTCCCATGCTCCACATTTGTGAATTTTTTTTTTGTTTAACTCATTAATTGTCGACGTTTGTAGATTGATTAACTGTATTAACAATTGTCGAAGAGCCATTGAAGATCAGCTACCTATATACAGCTACTCAGCAAAAGTGTTCGTGATTTAGCTTTAATGTCAGTGCGCAGTGTGGCGCGCGCACCCATGACGTTAATGTTATTAATGTAGAGATTTAAAACAACGAAAAATATATAATATAGTTCGTGGCTATATATAAAAGAAGATAGGTCATTGATCTTATTCTTCATTGATTCCGGGCTCCATTGGTGACTGGGAAGGTTTTCTCTTGGGGTTTTTTTAATGGTCCGCCAGAGTTACATATAGAGAAATGTCTCACTCCGAAATCGAACTCACGAACACTTTTGCAGAGTGGCTGTATATAAAGAGAAGTGAGTGATATAGGTTCTTGCACGACCCGTATGTTTCGCTGAGCCACACGATGCCCCGAGCCTCTGATAATGTCATACACCGTGCGTGGTGGTCGTCTGCCCTAAATGAACAAATATCCCCACAAGTCTCTTGCCCAGAATTTCGTAGTGACCATTCGCAAAATGAGAAACGAGATATATATGAGAACTGGTTACATGCCGTGTATGCAGACACTGAAAACACTTGAACGAAATGTCATGGCGGAATCATTCGGCACCCACTTGAAGTAATCGAATTAAGCTTACAGCATGAATACTCAGTTGAGTATCGTTCAACAAGAATACACTGAAACCAAAACCCGAACCAAAATAATTCTAGCCATTCGTTTGTCTCGCCCCTCTAGCGCGCGCATCCAGAAGACTTTGTGATAATTTCAACCTTGATTACCATGATCCACAAAGAGTTAATGAACTATCGATCAACTAATCGATCACCACGATCCACCGGGTATGTATTTACCTAATCAAAGACCAAATGAAAGGATTATGGATCATTAACCCTAAGGCCAGTATGAGTTTTGGGCGCCAAAGGATAGACCAAACCCAAGAATGGAAACGTGGCCTTGCGCTTGAAGCCCTGGTGCTCGCTGTGCCGGTTGTCCGATGCGTTGCTGCCTGGCGATTGAAAGGATCTCAACAACCTTCATGTGACCCCCAGCAGTTGCATAGTATATCGCCGAATTATTGAAGAGATCGACAAGGTCGATGGAAGCCCCCCTTCCTAGCAGTTCCTCCACCACCTCAACATGGCCACTCCTGGAGGCCAGAGATAATGGTGTCGTTCTTCTATGGTCCACCATGTTTACCTCTGCCCCCCGGGCCAAAAGAAGCGATACCATTCCCTTGTGTCCAGAACCGGCTGCAAGACCCAATGGAGTATTTCCGTCCGGGCCCTTAATTTCAATAGTCGCGCCATTCTCTAGAAGGGCCTCCGCAACTGCTTGATGCCCCATCGAGGCAGCGAGGTGAAGCGCGCTATATCCACACCTATCCGGGATGTCCAAGCATATGCGTCTTCCGATGTGCACTGGTATTAACTCTCTAACGACATCAAGCTTGTTGTTTATTACAGCAAGGTGTAGGGCATTCCGGCCCTGGGTTTCCACCGCATGAATAACTGCCCCGTATTGCACGAGTAACCGTACCACCGGTACATGGCCCCCTATGGCTGCAGCGTGTAATGCCCGGATTCCATCCCCCTTTGGTGACAGCCATTCAAGGCTGACTTCAGATTCCAAGAGCACCTGGGTCGTTCCCAGATGCCCCTGCGTGGAGGCACTTATAAGGGCCCATCCTCTTTCCTCGCAGTTATGTGCTTGCCCTTGACGTGCTATAATAGCCCTGACTATCCCGGAGAGACCCTTGTAGGCCGCCACGCGTAGGGCACTCAGTCCGTTTTGATCTCTCGCATCGAGGTTAACAGCATAATCCAGTAGAACGTGTGCAACGGATTCAAACCCGTGATCAATGGCAATGTGAAGCAGTGTTGTTGTGTTATTCCACTGCCGTTGGTTCACCACTCCCGGTGTCTGGTGAAGTATCCCCCTCAGGGCAGATGGATCGTTCGAAAGAACCGCGTCGAGTGCTATCCCATGCTTTGGTGTAGACCCTGCTCCGATTGACACTGAAGATAACGTTGAAGATAGCCCTGGAATGTCAGGCCCCTGCGGAAAAGTGGGGATGGGTGGCGGTGACGTTCGAAGCGGCGTTGAGGGAGGGGGTCTGGGTTGTGGGGGTGTGGGTGCTGGAGTTGAGTGTGCTGGTGCTGGTGTTGGTGTTGGTGCTGGTGTTGCTTGTACCGGGGTTGCGGGTGCGGGGGTTGCGGGTGCAGGGGTTGCGGGTGCAGGGGTTGCGGGCGCAGGAGTCGCGGGTGCAGGGGTTGCGGGCTTCTGTGCCTGGCTTGATCCCGTGACATTCCTGGGACTGAGATCAAAGTCCCTGAAATGATTGAGAAAGCTCAGGTATGACCTCTCCTGGCTATGCTTGAACTTGACTATATCGGAGTGGTCTCCATCAGCGACGTGGACCTGCTCCGTCTTGCTTGGGAGCCGTAAAATGGCTGAGTCTCGGTCAACTCTCATTCTGGGATTGCCAGAGGCTGTCGAAACGCCGTCTGGACTCTTTTTGAAGTGCGTTGTACATATCAGCTTATGAACGTAGAATATATTGTATATGGGAAAAGCTAGCTAGTCGGCCGAAACGAATCAGCGCACTCACCGTTACCACTGTCTTGGTTTGTTTGACCTCGTAGAATGTAATAATCTTGATGTTATCGCAGCAGTTGACGAATTTAGACAACTCCTCCCTCAGCTGTGAGCTTCCGGACTTTAGAGCATCGAGAAGGCGCTTCCTTGGGGATCCCTCCTTGAGCATGCCCTGCAGGTCATCTAGGTAAAAGCCTTGATGCGGTGTTCCGAAAAGTGCGATCGCACGTGTATTATCGAAAATATTCTTCCAGCCACAGATGTCCTGGGCATCCGAGTGCGCTTTCACAATCGCCTGGTGGGTCTAGTTAGGTCTGCTCGATGATCACGATCGATATTGTTGATGTTTGGTGGGTTCTATAAAGTGTGAGAATATATAACTACCTGAGCGATAATGACTCCGCCGAAGCTATGTCCGATAAAGACTATGGGCCTTGCCTTCTCCTAGAGCATACGTAGAAAGAGAAAGGAGAATTAGCCCCAAGATCTCTAATGAGCACACGGTCTCGTAGCAATCACAGTCTGCTCACCTCCGTCGTCCTTCTAGCTTTCTTCAGCTCTCCCAACAGCGTTGCAGCATAGTCGGAGATTTCATAGTCGGAATCATCGCTCAATTTCGTATTGCATCCAAATATCATTGTTCTGCATGATGGAAGGTCTTTGGATAGAAAATCCCGAAGCCACATGCTCTGGCCCCCTTTGCTTCGCCAAGAACCATATGCGTGCCCGTTCAACCCGGAAACCGCTACGATACTACATACATTGAAGAGCAATCTCAGTATATTTAAATTGTACCAAGAGGAATGGGGAAGGGAGAACGTACTCTGCGGTTATCGGTAGTGGTTTCGGCTCGTATAGCTGTGTCAACTCATAGAACTCCTTATCAATGATCAACTGAACCATGCCCGGACGCCTATAGTCGATGAGCACAGAGTCCTTTTGGCCAGGAGCGCCTAGTCTCTCCAGGGCTGGGGGGGTACGGAAGAACTGGATTAAGGCTGTTTTATCGGTAGTACTAGTGTAAGGTGATGGGACAATGGCACACGCATCGCGGTTGACACTGAAGCCTGGATACGCTTCCCGGAGTGTGGTTATGATCTTGCTTAGGTCGGCGTCCAGAGGAATACCCCTCGCTCGAAATACTGGGCTTATAATTGACATGGTGAGAATACCTTAAAGGTGGTAGATGTTGAGAGATAGCCTTGGAGGGAGTGACCTTTCTGAAGTAGGAAAACTGGGGTTGATGACCGAGCTTAAGGGTTGCCAGTGGCTTGGGGAATAAGCAGACTGCGTTCGTGTGAAGGGTTGATGGTCGAAGAATAATTCGAAGACGGCAATCTTTACGGAGAGAATGACCTTATTTTATGGTTAGACTCAGCTGCAATAATGTGACGAACGGATCGCGAGCTCGGGTCTCGGCGATTCGATGAAAGCCTTGCTGTACAGCACCTCGTTACGATAGGATACATCAAATACCGCGCGCACTGGACAGAGCTACAATCGAGCCACTAGAAATAATCTGATTGATGGTTTGAATCGAACCAAACAAAATACCTGATTCAACTATAGTGTTTTCCAAATATTGCTCGATTCCCGATAGTGTGTGGGTGTGTCAGTGGCAATATTAGATCTTAGAGGAAGAGCCTCAAGTCAAGACCCTAAATTCGAGCTAAAGGTTAAGGTTGGCACACCTACTCTAGCCTCTATCAAGACTTGATCTATGCAAGCACTCCTACATACCCAATAAGCCCATGGGCTTAAAACAAATTAGTGGTAGAAAATTGCTTGCTGGTTGGCTTAAGTCACGGGAATATGCATACACCACCAGTTATCCTTGACTTTCCTCCCACCACTTTGCTTTAATTAAGCCCACGGGCTTACTTCCCAGAAATAACGGTACTTACTCTGTATTTGGTATCATAACTACCATATAAGGGGCGATGTTTCAAACCCGACTGCGTTTCCTGCATGTTGGGCGGCATCCTTTCAAGTTTTACTAATGGCAGCATATATAGCCACACCTCCGTCTATTAGCCGAAAGCTCCCTACTCGTCAACATGCAGTGTAAATGTTCTTCGCGCGACAGACAGAAAGGTCTACAGGCGATCGAGAATCAGTCGCTCGTTGCATATATGTAAGTACCCGTAATGCCGCCAGATCTGCTATTGAGGCCTATCTCCTAATAATCCAGCAGGGCGGGGGGGCGGGCCTCAAGTGGTCCACTAGCTTAGTCTAGACCCATTGCGCTGATATTTTCAGTTACACTACGGGTGTCTAGCTAGGCTCTTGGCGTGATAGCTACCTACTTGCACCTCGTTACCTCTTCTTGCTATCTAGATATATTCCCCATACAAAAGAACTAGTGGTAGGCCAACTCGTGGCCGCGAGCTGATTGACACCTTGGTCCGACTGCGGACTTTGGGACTTGGAACTGACTGGTGTTCTGACCGATCCAAAGTCGTCCTATCCACCGGAACATACGATTCGGGCGCCCTATCCGCCAGGAACTTGCTTACCGTACTTACTTGAAAATAGCGTCCTACCAGTAAGAAACGGTTCTTATCCACCACCATGTTGAGGTGTAGTTACCTACCTGCCAAGCGTGTTCCATTCGGCGCCAGCTTAGCACATTTTACATACAATAGAGAGTATTTACCAAATGTCAAAACTAACAATTTACACTTCGCCATATTAAAAAGTAGTTACCAAAACCATCAATTCTGGCCGGTTTGCTAAGGTGGGGATGTAGGATACGCCTGGGGATATTTACTATACTATGGGTAGTTGTGCGTGCAGTTCACATCCTGCCAGCATATTTTCCAGTAAGCGTGAAGAATTATTTATCTACGACGTTTCTCTTATCATACCTTCCTTGTGTGGTTAATCAGGTCACTGAGGGGAACTGTCAATTTTGCCTCCCGCAACCATCGTTTTTAAAGTGTCAATTGTCGAATTTGACACTTAATAAATACTCTCTAATAATAATTAATTTCAAGCTCGAATAACTTCACAAGTAGAATAGATATCAAAAATCTAGAAAGAAAAACCGTCGAAAAGTTATTAGCCATCGACTTTCCGCAATTTTCGGTTACCTTTAAGAGCGGGCGCACCATACTGCATACTGTACCCTGCGGAACACCGCACCTCACGCCTCCTTGAGACTAAATAACTACAGTCGAATCTCGCTATAAGGGTAACATCTATAAGGGTAATCGCCCTATAAGGGTACAGTTTTGTGGTCCAAAAAATTTGTATGAAAAAATAAGGGTAAATGACCAAATACTTGCTATAAGAATATTCTTAGACAATTGAGATTTTTTTTTTGGTGCGTACCCTTACAGAAAAGGTAGGGCTAGGGTCAAATCTAGATGATTGTGAAGAAATTTTGCGATGTCTTCTCTCCTTACCCCCATTTCCGACCACGCCAACCAAAATATCCCTAACCCTAATTTCCCATAAGGGTACGCTCTCTATAAGGGTAAGCTGCAGCCCGATTTTCCGAAATTTTCGTACCCTTATAGCGAGATTCGACTGTAGCGGGAAAGTCTTGTATTATATCTCGAGACCTACCTCAGTCTCATCTCGAGATATTTGCCCTTCCAAAATCGCTGTATTGCCAGGTCTTGTAGACAGGTCTTGTCTCGTGGCCCTCACTAGATGAAAAATTTTCGTTCCTCAAAACATAAATTTGTGGCGGGTTGCCACGGTCACAGTTAAAAAACCCTAATCGACGTTGTCGCTGTAGCAAAACCTCTCTATTGGTATTTATATCGCGTAGCTTGTGGGAGTGCCGGCGCTGGGGAGCTCCCTCGGGTGGGTTTGCTTGGCGCGAGTGATGTCGTATGATCAGAGTTCTGAAGGCGAACCCTATATAGGCCCTACCACACCCTCCCGCCATGGAGCCGGAAAAGAGTCTGCACGTGACCCGAAGACTTCGCGTCTTTACTATAGCGCCGCTGTCGCCTCAGTCGCTTAGCCGGGCTAAGCGGGTGGACCATTCGAAGCAGACTCAACATGAACGGATGTCCATAAGACTGAGAGGAACAAGCAGAGTGGCGTCGAGTTAATTCCACTATTGGATATCAAACTCCTATGTTCTGAGAACAGGGTCTTCGGTCTTCCTCATACTCAGCTCTCACATACTTGATGGATCATTCGCCCCCAGGCTTGCGCCCCTCCCTCTCATCTGAGAGTAATCACTATAGTATCCGGTGCAGTGTCCTGTTTTCCAAATAGGGGCAGCTACAATGAAACCGCGAGTTGCCTCTACATTTAGGTTCATTAAGCTGCCATAAGAAAGAATAGACTCTTGAGCCACCTCCTATGTAATAGGTTCTAATCTATCTTTATTGATGATGAGAGGAGAGGTCTCGGTAGACCTCCCCTCTTACTTTACCCTATACACTGATGACACTCTGTCGCCACGATCTAGCTACAACTATCCGTCATGTGTCATCACGTGATACTAACTACAGTTGTCTCTTCTAAGTGCTCGCTGTTGTCTCTAACTAGCGCCTTGCATCACTCCCCCTTCTTTCTAAAAATTTTGCGGGTGTTTCTGTAGTACAACGCTAGCTGTTCTAACTGTTCGTTCGTTCGTATCTTTCCTCTGATCATCCTCCCTCGAACTGAAGCTTCTTGACTCTCTTTCTCCCTGACTTCCTAACGGTCGTATCATCGCCCACCCCTGGTTCGATTTTGATGCGGACCGTCTTTGTCTTTGACTTATCCTTCACTCCCTTCTTCTTCTTCCACTCCGGGGGTCCCAGCTTGTTAAGACGGTGATAGTTTTCTACCGTCTCCTTGGAACCCTCCAACTCTCGTAGTGATTTCCACTCGTCTTCTGATTCGTCAAAGCCCACGTAGCGAACTCTGTACTTGCAGTTCTTTTGGTTGGTACCGCTCTCAGTGTGTTCCACGATGTCTTTTATTTCGAATACTCCTTCATCTTTTCCTTTAACGGCTCATAGTGGGGCCTGGGGTGCCTCTCCTCTCGCCCCCCCGGTCTTGTCTTCTTTTAGAACGCTCACATTCTGTGTCTTGGCTATGTCCAGGCCTTGGGGTATGTCCAAACGTGCTGCATTCTCATTTATCATCTTTGTAATCGTAAATGGCCCCGCGTAAAGGTGCCTGAGTTTGGTAGATCCTACTGCTACGTTCGCATAGGTCAACGGAAGGTTTTTGGTGTTCAGAAACACGGAGTCTCCTTCCTTGACCGTCGTCTCATGCCTGCTAGCATTCGCCGTGACTGACTGCTGATCCTGAGCGTTTTGGAGCGCGATACGGCTAACCTCCAGGCTGGCGTGCATTCTTTCCGTGAACGAGGCGCCTTCCAAATGTCTCGCACTCAGTGACTCTTGTGATTTTACTTCTGCTACAGTATCTAGCGGAAGGGTGGGTGTATACCCCAAATCCGTGAAAAATGGTGTTTGTTTAGTGGTTTTGTGGGTACTGCTATTGTAGGTAAACTCCGCTAGAGGTAGTATCTGATTCCAAGAGTTGCTGTACTGGGTCGCAAAGGCTCTTAGATAGGTGCCCACGATCTGATTGGCTTTTTCTGTGGCACCGTCTGTCTGTGAGTGGAATGGTATTGAGGGAGATAACTCCGTTTTGAGTAAACCCATGAAACTTCTCCAGAACTCGCTCATGAACCGCACGTCCCGATCTGAGACAATCCGTTTCGGTATGCCGTGAAGTCGGAAATGATTTCCTAAGAATAAAATAGTGAATTCTGGTGCCGAAGTTGCCTCCTTCATTGGAAAGAAATGAGCTGTCCTCGTTCCGTGGTCTATGATCGTGCATATGAAATCGATTCCAATGCGTTCCCACCGTCCATTTGGAACGGGTAATGGTTTAAGGAGACCCATTGGTTTCTGATTGGTTGCTTTAACCCTGTGGCAGGTGTCGCAGGCGTTGATATAGGATTTGATCTAGGCCCTCATCCTTGGCCAGAAGAAACGCTGCCTCAACGTATTATACGTCCTGTCGATCCCGAAATGACCTCCCGTCAAGGAATCGTGCGCCTCCCTAAATAGTGCTACTCTCACACCGTCCCCCTTAGGTATGCATAAGGTAAGCTGCCCTTCGTCTCCGTCTTTCTCATCTAACCTGTAAAATAATCCATCACGTAACCTATACCTTTCCGCCGCCTGAATCCATCTTCTCGCCCCTTTATTCCATTCTGCCCCCTTTGCCAATATTTCTCCTGCCGTCAGTCCTTGCCTCCTTTTCACTGCCGCTATATCCCTACTCATCCCTTGAACCTTCTCCGCCGTATCTCTTGCCTGTCCTCTCAAAATACATGCCCTCCTAAGTGGTCCAAACATATCATCATTTCCATACCCGTCTCTCACTCCCTGAATCGAATCTGCACCGCTAACCACCGACATCTCCGTTCTTGAAATAGTACGCTCAGCACATTTCATAGTATTGGAGGATTCTCATTTATCATTATGAGTCATGGGTTCTGACTCATTCTTTCTCTGGTATCTATTAGTCATGTCTTTCTATTACTTATACGGTTATGATTCACTATGTTTTGTGTTACCTTTCTTTAGTATAAATATGGGGCATTCCCCCCTCTCTAGTTACCAGGAATAACACGCTCAATTACTACACTTCTCTACATACATTTTCTCTATCCGTAACTCTCCACTCCATCCTCATACATAACTCCTCACTAACGCCCAGTATTTTTTCTTTCTCTTTTTCTCCACCTTTATTTTCCACGCCATTTTTTAACCTCTTCTTTTCTTTTTCCAAGTCTTCATCGTTCCTACCATAATCGGGCCTTCTTGACAGCGCATCCGCAATTGTATTATATGCTCCAGGCCAATAACGCACCATGAAGTTGTAAGACTGTAACATCTCGAGTTACGTAATCTGTCTTGTGGACAACGTTTTCAGGGATAAGTTATCTAGTAGGCCAATGTCGGACAGGATTTTGAGGTTGCCTGGGAACCGTCGCCCCACAATTCCAGGCTCCATGGCTATGGGTTCAACAGGATGACCCGAGTCCATTCCCATCATCAGATATACGCGTACAGGGGGTCGTGGTTGTGATTGCGGGGGCGGAGGTGGTGGTTGGGGGCTGTTGAGTAGGGTAACTCACTGTGAGTCTTGGCGACCCATCCTGGTTCAATCCCGGCACCGACACTCACAACAATCGACAACTGCACCGTACCGAGCGTGCCTTCTCTATCCTACAATAATGACGGCGTTCAAAACTCAATCATGCCGTGTTTCCCCATCTTATTCTTCGATGAAATACACGAATTTCGGATTCTGAACTCCGGGTTACCGCATTGGGCGAATCTCACTTCGACGCTCGTAACCCTAACCGCCAACAGCCAGGTACAAACCACCACCAAATACAGATTTATGTATTTCATTTCTGCCGAAAATTCTATTTTGCACACCTAACCGAATCAGATGGCAACGTTCGTAACCCTAACCGCCAACAGCCAGGTTTAAACCACCACGTAATACAGATTCATGCATTTCATTTTGACCGAAAACCGTATTCTCTAACCCTAACCAAAATCCCACTTCGACGCTCGTAACCCTAACCAGCCGCATCCAGGTTTAAACCACCGGCAAATACAGATTTATGTATTTCGTTTTGACCGAGAATTGTATTTTGTATACCCAACTGAACCAGATTGCAACACTTGTAAACCTAACCAGCAACGTTCAGGTTCAAACCACCATTGAATACTCATCGATTCCTAATTCGGATTTCAATATTTGCAACCCAATATGTGAGTGACATTCCATGATCGACACCCCATCTAGTAGGGCAATGTCGGACAGGATTTTGAGGTTGCCTGGGAACCGTCGCCCCACAATTCCGGGCTACATGGCTATGGGTTGAACAGGACGACCCGAGTCTATTCCCATCATCAGATATACGCGTACAGGGGATCGTGGTTGTGATTGCGGGGGCGGAGGTGGTGGTTGGGGGCTGTTGAGTAGGGTAACTCACTGTGAGTCTTGGCGACCCATCCTGGTTCAATCCCGGCACCGACACTCACAACAATCGACAACTGCACCGTACCGAGCGTGCCTTCTCTATCCTACAATCATGACGGCGTTCAAAACTCAATCATGCTGTGTTTGCCCATCTTATTCTTCGATGAAATACACGAATTTCGGATTCTGAACTCCGGGTTACCGCATTGGGCGAATCCCACTATTTGTCTCCGCTGTGTCTTCTTACGCTCTTGGATTCTGTACTTCAGGTTACCACTTTACTAAGTTTCAACCTTCGTAACCCTAACTACCCACCACCAGGTTCCAACCACCACCAAATACACATTGATGTATTTCAGATCACCGAAGATTGTATTTTGTACACGTAACCAAACCAGATTTGAACGCTCATAACCCTAACTACCCACATCCAGGTTCCACCACCACCAAATTCACATTGATGTATTTCATTTTTACCGAACTTTGTAATTTGTACACATAACCAAACCAGATTTGAACGCTCATAACCCTAACTACCCACATCCAGGTTCAAACCACCACCAAATTCACATTGATGTATTTCAGATTACCGAAGAATGTATTTTGTACACGTAACCAAACCAACTTTCAACGCTCGTAACCCTAACTACCCACATCCAGGTTCCAACCACCACCAAATACACATTGATGTACCAACAAAATCCGCTTTCAACTCTCGTAACCCTAACTACCCATAAGCAGGTTTCAACCACCACCAAATACACATTGATGTACCAACAAAATCCGCTTTCAACTCTCGTAACCCTAACTACCCACATCCAGGTTCCAACCACCACCAAATACACATTGATGTATCAACAAAATCCGGTTTCAACGATCGTAACCCTAACTACCTGTAAAAATATGGCATTGCGACATCGGTTATGTATAGTAATTACTCATGTATAAGGAATGACTCATAGTTGGAATAAGGAGGCTTAGTGCTAAGATTATGTAATCAGGGGATCACGTGGTACTAAGAACTATATGTATATAAGGAGCAACAAACTCCCACAGTTGTCGCTGGAACTCAGCGGCGCAATAGTATCTTCTTCACACTATAAACATAGTCTTCACAAAGCTCACGTGCTCAACCCTCCTTAAGTCGTCTATTCTCCCACATTCCAATTCACGGGTTATGAGCCCGGGTTCTGCCAAACAGAATCCGCACTACACCATCGCCACCTCGCTTAACTCAACAACACTTCATACAACATCATGCCTTCAGTTGGAGAATCGTCATCCAAGGCTGATGAGACTAAACCCTCAGAGACCACAGCCACCAGTAATATTCGTCTCAAGTTTGATGGACTCCCTAAACTACAAGGGCAATCCAACTACCAAACTCGAGCGAGTGCCTGGAGGATAACGTTCAATGCTGTAGATTGTTGGGAAGCGTTGAGCATCGAGAACCCTACCGAGAATGATACCGAACTCAGCAAAACCGAGATAAAGAAGGCTCGTAAACAAATGCACAGCCTTCTCATCTCTGCTGTATGTGAAGAAATACAACCAACAGTCGTCTCCGCCGAAAATGCATTCCATGCATGGAAGGCGCTCAAAGACCTCTACGATCATGTCTCACCCAACACCACGATCATCCTCCTCAGCCGCGTCCTAGACAGGAGGGTGCAAGAAGGCGGATCACTGAACGAGCATCTCGCGACCTTCGATGTGAACTAGAATACTCTCAAGTCCAGATGCCAAAGTGCAGACCACAAACTCGCTGAGGCTCTCCTACCCCTCACCAAATCCACCGAAGCCATGGCGGCATTCCTCCTAAGCTCGCTACCCAAATCGCTGAGCAACGTCGTCGACAACATCCAGACCAAACAGGATATTACCTATGAAGACGTACGCCAACGACTACAAACCCTGGATGAGGTAGCCCCTCAAACAGGGAACAAAGTGCTCCATACCAGGAGTACTACAAGCTACAAGGAATGCACCTGGTGCAAGAAAAGGGGCCAGCCTTACAAAGGCCACGAGTACACGGAGTGCAGAAAGCTCAAAGAGCAGAACAAGAACAGGAAGGGAAGGAGAAAGGACAACTCGGCATCGGTTGTAGTAAATGACTCTACAACTACTATCTGTATGGTACGCCACGACATCTCCCAACCCCTTACTTGGATCCTTGATTCTAGAGCGACCTCTCACGTCACATCCTTCCAAGTCCAACTCATCAACATCCGACCTCACACCGGCAACGTCCGAACAGCTGATGGAACCAACCACGGTGTCACCGGAATGGGAAGCGCTAGTTTCAGCTGCCACCTTCCCGATGGAAGTAGATCTTCCATTCTCCTCACCGATTTGCTGTTGGTCCCAACCTTGGGAAATGTGGGATTGGTCTCCGAAACCGTGCTTGACAAAAGGGGATTTAGAACGGAGTCAGGATGAGGAAGCAAGTTGGTTACAAAAGAAAAGAAAGGAATAATCTGGGCAAAATTGGAGAAGGGACTTTGGAATGTACAAGTAGTTAGCAATACAGTTCGTTTGACCAATTACGATGAATGGCATCAAGCGTTAGGCCACCCTGCAACACTAGAAAACTTGTATCACGACATTCAAAGGCTGCCTCGCAAACCAGAAAGTTTCCACTGCAGTCAATGTGCACTATCAAAAAGCGTACACAAGAAACCTGCACCAATCAGTACTAGATCCAAATGACCATTTGAACTAATCCACTCAGACCTATCTGGAAAGTTCAGTATACAGTCACAAGGAAAAGCTCAGTACTATATGTCCTTCATTGATGATTACATCCGCTTCGCTTGGATATATCTCCTAAAACAGAAAGAAGACGCAAAGAAGGCCATCAAGGACTACGGTACCAGGATCGAGAAACAGTATAGCACAACAATACTGAGATTCAGAACGGATGGCGGATGTGAATACATCAACAAGGACACAACGAACTACTTCGACACACAAGGAATAGTTCATGAACAGACTCCCCCATACACTCCTGAATCTAATGGAGTTGCAGAAAGATTCAACAGGATGGTAACCACAATGGTCAGGTGCATGATCATGGACCATCCTAAGTCGTTATAGGGAGAAGCATACGCAACAGCTGTCTACCTCAAAAACAGACTACCTCACAGTACGCTTAAGGGAAAGACCCCCTTTGAAGCCCTAAAAGGAACCAAGCCAAGTATACAACACCTTCAACTATTCGGTAAAAAATGCTACGTACACATCCCAGAAAACTCTATGCCAGCAGGAAGCAAACTAGCACCCCGAGCGTATGAAGGAATCATAGTTGGATACTCAGACAGTAATAAGATATACCGTATCTGGATAGCAACACAACATAGGGTAATTGAAAGTGGGGACGTCACATTCCCCCCTCCTGAATCAGGGGAAGTTTCAGTGGAACTCGACTTCATCTCCAGCGTGAAACCAGACGCGGCAACTGCACCATCAGACGATGGATACGAATCAGAAGACAGGTCTGATCCAGAACCCGAATCGTCAGCCATCGAAGAAAACCTGAAGGAAGACGCAAGTAGACTGGGAGCCGGATTGACGGGGCTCACTCCTGGACATCACCTTACAGGACCTGATAAACAAGACACTAATCAAAAACTACCAGGAGATTTCCCGGCATCACCGGAACGAAAGAAAGTCCAACTACCAAAGACGCCAAACAAGGGAAAACAACCTGAGTCATCAGATCCACCACCAGCTCCAAGACGATCAAATCGTGTCCGCAAGAAAATGGATTATGAGCTTGATAAGGAAATAAGAAGGAAGGAATACAACAACAAGGTAATACAACAACAGGAGCAACTAAAAGAGTACATTGAATCAGTTAGAAAGGACGGTCCACGGGATGAAGGCGAACAACAGGCTATGATTAAAGAATTCAAAGGCGACCTCATAAAGGCCAGAAAGGATCTGGACCTAGAATACCAAGATGTATCCAATGAACCCGCGATCTATCGTATACGCCTTGTAACCGAACCTTCAACCTATAATCAAGCCATGAACAGCGATGATCAACACCTATGGAAAAAGGCGATACAGACTGAAAAAGACGCCGTTGATAAAGCCCATACCTGGGATATTGTCAACCGACCAACCAACCGAGCAGTAGTCAAAGGGAA